GCCCCCCCCCCCGCCAATCTGAACTCGACCATGATTCTTTGTCGGCCTCGCCTCGGAGCAGGCTGAAATTCAATATGGGAAGCCCATGTTCAATCGCCCGCCGAAACTCGCAGAAAAGCCGCATGGTGTGAATGCTTTCTGTCCGTCTTCTCTGGCGAATCAGAACCAGCCCAGTCAGAGCATTTGCGTTTGGAATCTCCCGTCTCTTGAGAATGGTAAGGGGAAAGGGAAGGCCAAAGTTTGAAGATTACATTGCCGCAGCAGCTCAAGGGACCCACCCATCGACTCTCAAGCTGAGCGACAACTCTCCAAAGCCTTACATGATATGCGGCCGATCGTCCGTCCGAGATCACATTGGCTCCGCAATTGGGATGAGATCAAGTACTGCAGTGATGTGTGCCGGAAACAGAAAAGGATCAAGGCCTCGCTTTTCTTCACTCAGAGCAAGAAAGGCATTGAGCATCTCCTGGCGCAAGTGTTCGGGTGGGCCTGCGAAAGCACGATGAGAGCACGGTGAAGTGCGGCTCCGGGGGGGGGGAGCTGATATGCCCATATGGCTATGGGTGTCCGCAGATAAGAGGCCAAACATCGAATGCGACTATCTCTGAATTTGGCCGACTGGATCGAGGCAGCTCTTCTCAATGTCGATTATGAAGGGTAGGTGCGCTGTGCGAAGCAGCAAGGGCTGCCGACGTGTGAAGGTATCTAGACTCTTCTGATGGATGAGGCAAAGGCCCTGACAGACACACATCGAGCGCAATGGCAAGGCTCTGCTGCAAACACAGGGACGCCATCCAATGCAAGCTCTCAACTGACGCCGTCCTACAACCTCTGCAGGCACCACCTGAGTTCATGGAGAGAATACTTCGCGCTGCACAACGACTGGCTCTGCGAGAGACCCATACCGACTTTCGCTCAAAGTCAACTCAGGCCTCCGATCTCACTTCCCGCCCTCACCTCCAACTCAGGCAAGGCAAGCCGCAGCTACTCACGCTCGATGACTTGCCCTTTATGAAAGGGCACATACAGCTTGCGATCATGGGAGCCCAACCCGTCCCGGCATCTTGTTATTTAAAGCATCTCCGTGCATTTGTAGATTCGGGGAGCCCAACCTCATTGCTTGTACAAAGCCTGCCATTCGAAGGGCAATACTTTGTCGCGAGCAGATGCTCGACGGACATTTGACTTGAATTCTTCAGATAAGCAAGGGCTTGTGTAGTCATGATCACTCTTGCGTCTCACTCAGATTCTCCGTAATCCACTCCAACTCTTTGTTTATTGGCCGGGCTATCAGTCAACCACTGACTACGTACTGATGTTTAGCCGCGCTATCGGAATCTGAGAGTATTCTGCCTTTTGCATTAGGTTCTCTCTCATTTCCCATTTCGACGGCTGGACCGCAGCAGGGGCCAGAGAAAAGTCTGCGCAGCCCGAGGGGATTACTGGTGCAACGGTGTATCCATGAAACCATATCGCGCATGCACCCCGTAATAGAGCGTTGAATCGGTGAGAGCACCAGGGCATTTGTTGGCAGTCTCTGCTCATCGTGCTCACCGATCGCAGGCTTGGCTCGCTCCGAAGTAGCCAGAGTGACACGGCACAGTCAAGAGCCAGATAAGACTGAAAAGTCGTGAGGCCTTCACAACCCTTCTCCTTCGCCGCCGGCTCGGTCTCAACTCACCTAACGCTGATCCATCAGTGCATCAGCTGCCTTATCAGAACCGATCCCCATCGCTTCGACAGACCTAAAAGGCATCGACAGGCCTGATGGCGACCCGATTTAGTGCTTCGCGGTATACTCGTTTCGCGGACTCATCGCAAGACTGAGCCAAGCCAAGCCCAGTCCAGATTCTCGCTCGCCCCGTATCGGCGGCGTCCTTGCAAAGGATCGCCGGTCAGAGCAATTTGGTAGTTTCAACTGCAAGCCAATCAAGCCTGCAATACACTCGCAGCGATTTGCCTGTGCTTGCCGCCGCCATGGCACCATCACACTTTTCAGCCATCGGCAAGGACCATCTTGCCGCCGCCACTTCGTCGTCCAGCGCTGTGTCGATGCCCAAGACGCTGGACAAATCGAGCAAGGATGCGATACAGAAGATTCGATCCGCTCTCCTTTCGGAAGCTGGCATATCGCTGCAGCCGGCACTGGAAGCGATTGCAGCACTCTTGGCTGATCCGTCCCTGACCCAGCCTAGCGAAGGCCGGTCTGGATCCGCCGAGACGCCACGAGGAAGGTCTGATAGCGACAAGGATAAGGATGGCAGCAAGGGTCGGGACTCTGGCAAGGAAGGCACCCCAGGCAACCACTCAACAGCACCACCTGCTACACTTTGGCGGGGGCAAGTTAGCCAGCGCGTGCATGAACATTTGACCGACATCTTTGTCGATGAGATGGACCAGGATAGTGTACCTCGGCTGGCCGCACTTGTCGAGATACTTCATCGCCTTGGCCCACTCCTCACGCCGTCTGTCATTGTGACTGACTGGTGGGACCTGTTGCTTCGCCCCGTTCTCAAGAATGTCTCTGTGACTTCCATGACGGCATCAAAAGCAAGGGACCTCGTATTCCGAGCCATGGCCAGCGCAGCGTCGTCCGCCTATGTTGACGAGTCCCCGCCTGTTGCTGTTTGGCCGGCCGTGGATGAGCACGGTACTACTGTACGCAAGGCCGGCGATGCGCTTTACACAATGGCAGCCACGACCGTCCCACAGTCTCCATCACATCGATCCGCCAGAAGTGGGAGCACGGCATCCTCGTCTGTCTTCTCTTCGAGCGGTATCGCAGGGTCATCAAAGGCGCTGGGTGTCAAGGAGGACATGTTTAAGCGCTTTGCGCATCGAATCTTTGATCTCTACACATCCGAGGTCATGTATGCATTCGATGGGTCACGCGAGGAGGACGATCAAAAGGACGCCGAGGGCGCCGAGGAGGACGAGCAGACGAGAGCTACCGCTGTTGCTGCAGCTACCGCATCAAGCTCGCCTTCCAATTTGCACATCCGAACAGACCATTCCTGTACGAGGCTGCACCAACGCGACAGCAATGGGTCTCGCGCACCATTGTCACCCAATGTCGACGCATCGAGCGCTCGCAACAAACTCAACGCACAGATTTCAGCCGTTTGGAAATGCAACATGGAGGCCCTCCTACTCTCTTTCGGAAGCGCTGAACCCAAGCGATTCTTCCATCACATGGCAGAGTCGTTTCGCGAGGGTCCAGCTCGTATATGCCTGCTTGTCTTGCTAGCAACGTTTCTGAGGCAGCATTCCATTCACATCTATCACATCACCAGCACCGCACTGCCCAAGCAGATACTCCTCTCCTTGCAGCTCGACACCTCATCGACTGTTGTTTCCCTCGGCATCACAGTGTTGGTAATGATGATGCCACATATCCCCGACTGGATTGCGAATGGCGGTGCAGGGGGCTTGCCGACTTTCCTGAGCATCTTTTCGCGCATTCTGGATTGGAGGAAGCTGGATATCGGATGGGAGCATCAAGCCGGCGACGGGCACGATGCAGAGAGACATGTGAAGGATGAAGGGTTTGCCGAGGTCAATCGGCTTGCCAAGCGGCTGAACATTCGCTCAGATATTGAATGGCAGCGAGTCGGTGAGCATGCCCATATCCTTCTGTTCTAGCGAGCAAGCGCGCCACTAATTGCCTTTCTCTCCCGACCTCTCGGATACGACAGTTGACAAAGGTCCAGCCATCCCTCCAGACCCGATGCAGTTCTTCACCTTCCTCTACGGACTCTTTCCCTGCAACACCATTCGATTCCTACGAGCCCCCATTGCCTACCTACGCAAGGCATGCTATGAAAGCCCATTCGAGGGCGATTGGGAGAACATCATTGACGAGCGAGCCATCCAGATGCGTGCAAGCACCATCCTCCGCAGTCATGCCCTGCACCCGGCTCTCATAACGCTGAATTCAGAGAAAGAAGTGCAAGACAAGCAGCGATGGATGCGTCTCGAAGCTGCAGATATCACCGCAGAGTGTATCAGCCTCTACCTTGGCGCCTGGCACGATCCAGCAACACCGGCGATGTTGATAAGCCCTAGTCATGACAGTGCACTTTTGCCCAGCTTACAAGGCGGGATTCCGATGCAGTCCTCTAGCAGCGGCGTGGGCGAGCGGAATTTGGACCACTCGTTGTCTTTGGCTGGATCTTTGAACCCGAGCGAAGAGCTCCTCGAGCGGCCCATCATTCCCCCACTGGATCTTGAAGGCGAAAGGACGCCAAGTCTGGGTTCAACGCGTTTAGCCATGTCGATTGCGCCTACGCCAGGGTCCATGCCCCTCGCCACACATAGAAGGGGCAGCTCAGCCAACATGTCGACAGGGTCAGCTTCGTCTGCGCCACGCCCAACCAGCTCGGTGGCCACGCGAACAGCAGTGAACGCGGATGACATCCTTGCGACCTACGCTTCGCTCAACAGAGGTGATCAGGTTGTCACTTCGCAGCGCGTATCGCAAGCTGAGCACTATGGTATTCCTGTTGCAACTCCCGGTTTGATGAGCCGCAGTACCACATGGGCTCCAGACGCCAGCAGCGAAGTTGTCTTCCCACCGAGCGTTGTGGGTCCCCGGAGTGGCTCTGCAAGTCGGGCTGGAATGATGTCGGGCATTCCACCGCCCATTGGCCAAGGGCCGCAAGGCCGCTTCAGGTTCCCTGCTGCTGCTTCAACGGTGCTCGGCACTCTCGCCGGAGTGCAAACCGGTAGCGCTCAGGACGCCAGTGCTAGCGACCCCGCATCGCCCGCAGTACATGATTTTGCAAGCTCTCGATTCGATCGTGGCCATACGGGCTCATGGAGGAGCATGTCTCGAGCGCCTCCTCCCGAAGTAGCAAGAGGCCGATCTTCTCGCACGTCGTCTCCCACTCGTGACGGCGGATCGTTGAACCGTCACTCACTTGTGGCATCTTTGAGCAACTCTACACGCTTCACCGACTCTTCTGGACAGTCGCGGCCCGCTCGAGCGGAAGTGTACTCGGAGCTGATGGCCTTGCAGCGCGAGAATCTGCTGATGCGAAATGAGCTCAACTTTGAGCTCTACCTCAAAGAGCAGCATCTGCGACATATCGGCCGGCTTCACCGTGAGCGCATCAACGACACGGCTCTCGAGGCCGAGCGTCAGAATCTGTACTACACGGTCCGGTCTTTGCGCGCACAGCTCGCCAACTTGACAGTACGTACCGAGAAGCAACGTACTGAAGCAGCAACAATCAAATCACGTCATCTGAATTGGGAGAACGAGCAGAACTCGAGACTCAAATCGTTCAGAGATGAGCGAAAGGCATGGATCGCCGAGATGCAGAATCTGCGTGCGCAGCTTGAGGAGGCCACGGCGACCATTAAAGCGCAAGATGACCAGATGCAAGAAGCGCTGAATGCGCGTTTCGAGGTTGAAGCTCGCCTTACGATCGCAGAGCCCAAGCTCTTGAAGGTCGAGGAGTATCACAATAAAGTCCAACAGCTCAGCTCGGCGCTGGCGCACTGGGAGAGCGACATTCAGAAGTACGAGGAGCAGAGGCGTGAAATGGAGGTGATGCTGGGTCGATGGAGGGAGATGGAGCTCGTCCTCGAAAGCATGGATCGTCAAGTCGCTGATTCAGAACAACGGGAGGCAGATGCAGAGGATCGGGCAGAGCAATTACACATCCAGCTGCAGCGGGCGTGCGCTCATGCACGTGCCAGCGCGAGCGACTACCCATCATATTCACAATTGTCTTCTGGCTTGCCTGCGGCGCCAACTCTGGTTGGGAAAGCAACGTCGAAGCAAATTCAAGAGTACGTCAAGCGCAATGAGGCGCTCGAGGCCGAATGCTCCGAGCTGCGGGCGAGGCTTGGCGAAGCGCGCGCTGCCGCGGACTACATCAGGTACAAGGAACAGCACGGGCAAAGCGAAGGAACAACAACGGAGGCAGCCGACGATTCGGATGTGCCAAACGTCCATCTGTCACAATAGCAGAGCATCAAAATACGTTGAAATAGCCTCTGTTGTGTACTGTGCAGTTTAATCAGCGCTGATATGTGGCAGGCTACTAGGACCATACGTCCAGCAGCAAGCGCGACCGTTCCTTGAGCAGCCTGTACTCTTTTTGCCCCTCTGCGTCGCTTCCCTTAGCGTCGTTGAGAATCTTCTGCAGGACTGCTTCGACGTCCTGCGCCATGCCCTTTGCCTCTCCGCAAATGTAGATGTACGCCTTGCGCTGCAGGATATCCTCAGCGATTTGCTTCCTGCGCTCCCAGAGCAGGTCCTGCACGTACAGCTTGGACCCGTCTGACTTGAACTTCTCGCGGGACAGCGACGTCTCCATCTGGAACTTGCCGCCGAGCTTGGCGGCGTACTGGGGCCACTCGTCGCGATAGATGAAGTCCTCGTCGGAGCGCCTGCAGCCATAGAAGAGCCAGATGTTGCCCCAGTCGGCGAGCGCGTCATCGCCATTCTTCTCGCGCGCCTTGTCGGCGCTCGCGACGCGCTCCTGGACAAAGGAGCGGAACGGCGCGACCCCCGTGCCCGGGCCGATCATAATGACGGGGATTTTGGGCGACGTCGGCAGGCGGAAGTTGGAGCGGCGGATGTGGATCGGTGTGCGGAGCTTGCCCTCTTTGCTGTACGCGCCGCGCGGGCCAGCGAGACTGTACTTCGGTGTCCCCCAGCGCGGGTCGCTTTCGCCCTTGGCGGTCTCATCGTTGATGGCCATCTTGAGCGAGCTGATCATGTTGGTCGCGAGGCCATGCACCCAGGACGCGCTCTGCTGGCCAGCCTTATAACGCAGGACGACGGAGGTGATATGGACAGTCTTGGGGTGCATCTTGGGACTGCTGCTGATCGAGTAGAATCGCGGACCAAGGCGCGGGATGGCAGAGATGACGCGGTCGAATGGCACCTCCCAGACGGTGCTCTGCGCGACGTCACCCTGCAGGTCGTCGCCTACGGCCAGCTGGAGCGCCTGTCCGAGCTTGAGGCAACGATCCGAGACAGTCGCCTGGAAGTATGCTTTGTCCGTTGTGAGCTTCTCGAGCTCGCCGCGGGCGCGCTCACTAGGTGCAAACGTGAGAAAGGCGTTCAGCGTCTGGCGACCGGCCTTAGCGCTGATGTCAAGGTAGTGGCGGAAAACGGTTTCGTACGTCGTTGGTGTCGGGAAGGGGACTTTCGCGAGGGTTGGATCGAGCGAGTCGACATCGATGACAGTGTCGCGCTTCTGGAGCAGGCCCAGGATGGCGAGCAGGCGGTCAACTTCGAGCTCCGGGTTAGAGGCCCAGACTGCCAGGTGGTCGCCGTGTTGGTACGAAATACCAGAGCCGTCGATGTCGAACTCCATATGCACGCAGGAGCGGTCGGCTTTACCTTCGACAAAGAGCTCCTTGGCGACTGAAATGGGCGCTGCATATGGATTCTTGGCATCGTGGATGCCCTTGGTGCCGAGCAGCGCACGCGACGAGAGCTCTCCCTTGTAAACTCGGCCCTCCTGAAAGTCTTCAACCTCGTTGACGACGAAGTCAGCGATGTCTCCGCCGCCACCTTCCTCAAAGCCCATCTCCGTGATGAGCGCGTTAAACATGCCATCTTTCCACGACAGATAGTCCTCCTCCATGCTCTTATCGTCGTCGCCTTCTCCGCGCTCGCCGATGCGCTTTGCGCCGAGTTGGGATAGACGTTCGTCGAGCTGACGCGCGGCGGCGTTGAAATGCTCGTAGGTGCGGTTCCCGAGACCAAAGACGACATACTTGAGGTTATCGAGGCGGTCGCCATTGGAAAACTGTACACTTTCGTCCTTGATGTATTCAAAGAACCTGACAGCGTTATCTGTGGGCTCGCCCTCGCCATAGGTCGCAATGACGAAGATAGTGAGGCAGTCTTCGGGGAGAGTGTCGAGCTTGTCGAACTCGTAATCCTCCAGGTCGAGCACAAGGGACGAGGTGCCAAAGCGCGCCTTGGCTTCCTTGGCGATCTTTGTCGCGTACTCCTCAGCAGTACCTGTCTGGGATCCGTAGAAGATAGCAATCCGTTTGTTCTGCGGCGAATGCAATCAAAACAGAAGCATGTGAACCATGCTGCTTTAAAAAAAAGTGGCACGAAACTAGGGGACGCACCTGAGCAGCTAGCTTTGCGATAAAATCACTACCAGCATCGTCATTACCCTTTGCAGCGCTGCCGTTCAGCCCGCCGCCACCACTGAGCTTGCTCCCTGTGCTACTCTTCGACGAGAAGATGTAGTCCTTGAAGAGAAAGAGCACGGCGAGCACCCCTCCGAGGCCGAGGATGATGAGATCGGCAGTGGAGACCATCTTGTCGACGTCGTTGCTCTTTTTGCGTGCTCCTTGGAACGCTGAACACGCGTAGTTTGGACCTTGGACGTCTAAGTCGGGCGGTGCAAGCCCAAAGCAGGTTCTGTTCACACGGCTCCCGCCACCGCAAGCGCTGAGCAGCGATAGGAGGGGAAAGCAAGATACAAGGGACTCGTTGAGCCTAATGCCGACTTGACTCGGGCGCCGACCCAGGATGAGGGGAAAAGATAAGCTTTGGTAACAAGAGGCGGGTATTATCTATGCATATTCAATGGTAAATGGAAGGGAGAAGGTTGCATTGCGTTGAAAGGTGTGGTGTTGTGTGCGCCGTTGCAGTATTCCCGGATACCCCTGAGGAAACCCGGGGCATTCAGCCAGCCTGACGACCTAACCCCGAGCCAAATTGGATTATATTCCAGAATGTAACACGACCGCAAGCCCACGTTTGAGTAGTTTTACTCCCCTTGCCTCGGCCTTCCTCGGTCTCTGCAGTTCACTAGCTGAACGCTGCTGTGACAGCCAAAGAGGCGATTCCTCGCTCTGCGGTGATCATCAGTCCGCGTGTCCGTACAGTAAACTCGGTAACTCATTGAAAAGAGTCCTCCGACTGTGGGATGGCTACATGTAGCTAACTAGCTGATGAGGATTATTAGAGCTTGGACGTTTGATCACAAGTCCCTCGCGCCGTCTTGGTCACCTAGTGACCCCTATTTTGTGCTGAATTCTCGCAGAATCCCCCGGGCGAAGAGCGTCGGCTCCGATTTCAAATGTCCATACAAAATATGGCTCTTCCTCACTGCGAAATGTGCATGAGTTACTTCCTAGGTGCAATACTGCCCCCGAGAATACCCGCATCGGCCATCGGCATTTCTTCACCATCCCGTTTCATTCTCTCCTTTCCGCCGCCTCCATCGAATTATCGGCCGACAATGCACCTCACATCTTGAAACTTGAAACAGGACGATTATGGGCATCGGGCTGGCGTTAAAGTTATAATGTGCTGTTGGAAGACAACAAAGACGGATGTTGTATACGACAGCCAACTACCAAGACCTCTGTTCAACGAGAGGAGAGGATGTTGCCGAACAGAAGAGGCTTGGTTAGGTCAAAAAATCCTCTGCGGGGAAGAGGATTAAGAGCGGAGATGGTATAAACGCCATCTCCTGCGTCGGCGGTCGAGAAGCAACGTGTGATGGTTGCCTCTTGGGATGGCGGTCATTTGCCGCCGCCACAAGAGTCTTTTGGACACTAAAAGGCGCGAGAGCCTTTCAGCTGGATTGCTGAAGCGTTTCGCCGGCTGTCCTTGTCCAGCTGGGTAGTTCCTGAAGGTGCAAGGGCGCTGGCTGCGGGCATTCTTCGACGGCCTGATTGCCATGTCCTCCTTGCACCCGTACTTACTCTCGGCCTGCCCGTCTTACCAGCGACAGGCGGGAGCTGCTGATCATCTCATCACAGCTGCTGCTGAAATGTATATTATGCGACAGCGTGTGAATAACTTTGCAGCACGTTGCTCGACTTCCTGCCCTTGTCAGATTCCAACGTCGTGCGGCATGTCTGATAGCGAAAGAACCACAGAGTTTCATCCGGGGAACGCAAACGAGCAAGCTGATAATAAGAAGATCAAAGGCAAGAAGAGCGAAGCCGAGACGGAATGAGATAAAACGAAGAAAGGTTGGGCACGAGCACCAGCAACCCGTCGGCATATGTTCCATTCAATGCGAACCAAGCTGGCGTCGCTCGCGTCTCAGACCTGCACCCAAAACAACAGCAACCGCGGCCCCCTTATTAATGCCTAACAAGCGGCAGTGCTCCTGTTGCCGTCGTGCCGGCTCCAATATTTGCATTATCGCGCCACGACGGACGCGCCCATCAAGACGGCGATACCAACAATCGCCGTGGTGCCAAGGGACATCCCGATCTACTGCACTTCCATGTGCATGTGCTGCGCACCCACCTCCGCTATCTTCATTTCCACAACAAGCGCAATCTCTCATCCGGCGCCATCCGTTCCACCGGATGAGTGAGCGGTCCTGAAACAAATGCTGCAACATGCGCGTCGTTGCCGCGCTATCTCACTTGCGACGATCTGTTGGCGTCCAGTGCGGTGCCGACGGCAAGAACTTCAGCATACGCAGCATCGTCTCATCAATACACACTTGTTGCTGCTGGAGAGTCCGAAACAACAGCTTCGTCGCGTGGATCCCTCCCCTATGTGTATTGCTCGCGCTAACAACCGCCGTCCGCCGCAGCCACTGGGTGGGGCCGGGCCGGGCCCGAGTTCGCGATATCAGCAGGCGACAAACGTGCACGAAGGAGAACAGCTCCCGGTAACCAATCTTTTTCACTGCGCCAGCGGCCTTGCATGTGCTAGGGGTGAGAGCACGAGGAAAGGAAGGTACATCATGGTCGACGCCCACCAGGCCGGCTTGCCGCACATGTCCGGCGTGCACGCTGCCTCTTCGTCCAGAAGCAAGCGCTCTGGTCGAGTAGATGTAGCACAAGTGGATAGCACGCATGTGCAGCGAGAAGCTGCAGCTGCGATGTGAACCTTCCGTCTTTTCTCGCTCTTGCATTCGTATCCTGCGGCTCCTCTATCTGTCCTCGCCCATTCTCCTTCGTCTCACGTATCCGCATGCATTCAGTCTCTGGTAACATTTCTCTTAGGCATGCATGATCTCTCTTTTGAGACCTTTTCTGTTGTTCTTGTACCCATGAGCACGCCCTGTAGCACACCCTCCAGGATTACCAACATACGAAATGATAAGACGCTCTATTATTCGCAAGGCCAATGTACAAAATTATCCACTGTTCACGCGATTGATTGGTATGTTGAACAAGTGGGCTCTGCGCTGGTAGCTGGCTCGCATGGTCGGCCCACCGACTCTGATATAGGAGCGAAGGTTGCTCTGAGTGAGCTCAGACTTCAAACTCGCCAAAGATGTGGAACACATCCTTCCACTCTGCCACCTCTCCGCCCTTCTCGACCTTGATACTGCCAACCTTCTCCCTCTCCTCCCAATATGCCGGGGGCATGTAGCCCGGGATGTTCGGGTGTGGAACTGTAAGCGGCGCCCACAGTGTATCCTTCGAATCCGGATCAGTCGTCCGCTTGAACCAGCGCGGTTCGTGCGGCGGCAGCTCGCCTGCCTCGCGCTTGCGCCGCGTTGCGCGCTGCAGCTCCTCGAGACCCTGCTTGAGTCCGTTGGCTTGGTCGAACTTGCCGCTCTCAAACGCTCGAAGATCCGGACGCAGACGACAGTCCGTCGGCGGTAACCACGGGTGCAGTCCTTGTGGCAAGTCGTTGAGCGTGACGGCGAACGGCGGCAAGTTCTGCATTTATGCAAGGAATGTGGAGGTCAGGAAACTTTCTTCTCAAGGTCACGGTCCCTTGCACACTCACGAAAGGCAGAGGTGGCTTCTCGCTGTTCTTCCAGAGGAGTAGATACTCCGCTGCGGCGGCAGGGCCACCTGCGCCCGGCACAGGTGCGGGCCCTTTGACTTGCTCGTCCGGGTTGAGGTCGCCGTTGCCGGCGCCGCACCTCCTGGCGACAAGCTGGCTGTTCCACCTGCCGGCAATGTCCCACACCTGAGTACCCGACGCATCGTAAACGGCGCCGCGGATTTCAAACGCATCCTTGCCGCGCCACCCTCTCGGCTTGAACGTGAGCACACAGCGATCGCCGGTGTTGTGATTGGTGATCTCCATGTCACCAAAGTGATCGATCGTGGGCGAGCCGACAATGAAGCCAGAAACACTGGTGGTGACCTTGTTCCACGTATAATGCTCCATAACGAGCTCAGAATTGTTTTTTACCTCCTGAGGCGTCTTCTCGTGGTTCTCTGCCCATTCTTTTGGAATCTTGAGATTGGCGTGTGCAACACCGGTTGGTCGGATCTCAAAAGTGCGGCCGAGGAACTTGGACTTGGCATCAACGCAACCGAGGTACTGCCACGCCGGGCTTTCAGCGACGCAGGCCGAGATGGGCGGGTGGTGACTGACCTGCTCGGAAAGGTAGCGGTACTTTTTGTCCATGGAAACGTACTCGAACGTCTCGCCAAGAAGCGGGTTGAAAGGCTTGGCGATACGGCCGATTGTGCTGCTATAGTTGCTCATAGCAAAGGCTCCGACATAGGCAATTCGCTTGGTCGAGTCTTGGCAGCTCGATGCAACATCGAGGCACTCGGAGAACTCCATGTCCTCCGCCATACGCTGGAGCATTGACGTGGGCTCGTTGAAGCTGACCGGGAAGCTGATCTTGGTGAGGTCTTTGCCAATGTTGTTCTTGAGGATTGCCCAGAGCGACACGCTGGGTCTGTCATCCTTGCCGATTGGCAATTGACTCCTCAGTTTCTTGTATGGCTCAACGCTCAGTTCGTTGACGAGGCGCTTGTCGACTTTCTCTGGGTCAGAGTAAGGAGATATGAGCTCCTTCTCAATATGTAAGTTCGGCAGGTTACCGGTCTCGATCGCGTCGAAAAACTCGTCATCCGCGTCGTCCATACTGTCGCGGAAGATCTCGCTGCCCGCGGCCGAAGAAACGACCACACCGCCTAACATATCCTGCGCCGAATCGACAGCGATCGCACTCGGACCGCCTCTGATGTCGCGCCTCGCTGCGAGCGATAGGGGGGGTAGAGAAAAGCTGGGCTCGTCTGCGACGGGACGCCGAGTTGAGGTGCGGCCGATCGTGCCCTCTGCTTCGGCTGAGGGGCTGCGCAAGTTGCCATACGACCCAGGGCTCGAGATCATGCTTCCCCGCACCTCTCTGAGCACCCTGCGTTTCCTGGCATTTTCTTCGCCTGCCTCTTTGAGCGCAGCCTCCATATCGGCATGCTGATGTGCCAGCGTCTTCATGTTCTCCTCCCACAGCAGCTTCGCCTGGATTTCCTGCTGGTACCGGCGGGTCATGTACGCCTCGCGATCGGTGACCATGCCTTGGAAGCGCAACAGGAGTGATTGCAGGGAGCCTAGACAATCTTGCAAGGCAGCATGCGTAGGGGCATCGCCTTCTCTGGTAGCGCCAAACGATTCCGCCAGACTAACGCCGAGTTCGGCCTGCGTGGTGAGAGAGCTGCTGACCAGTCCAAAGTCCTTCTCATGCGGCATGCCGCGCTTCTTCTTCGTGTTGACGGCAGTGACGCTGTCTGCATCCGTGACACCGTCGTCATCGCCGAGCACAGAAAATTCGGAGCCATCACGCTCTCCATTGGGTGAGTTGGAGATGTTCGACATAAGTGAAGGCGTATCGAACATAGCCGTTGCTGTGCTGCCTGCTTCCCGTGTGCTAGAAGCTGGCAACGTCGAGAGGGCGGTGAGACCGCCGCTGGCGACGGGAGGGAAGGGCCGATCGCTGAGCGCAGAAGCAGGCCTAAAAGGAGGCGGCGTCACGCCGCGGCTGAGATTGAGCGATGCAGCCTTGCCACGCGAGACGCCTCCGCCGTGGGCGTTGTTGGAGCCCGCTGTGTCGACGGCACCCGGCAAGACAACCGTTGCACCCGCAAGCACCGGCTGCGGCTGGATGAGCGACGTGGTTGAATGGTTGCACGTGCCGGCGGAGGAGAGGTAGCCTGACCCATCAATCCGACTCGCTGTCTGACTCCTGTCCAGTTGGAAAAATTCCTGCGTCTGCTGGAGAAGCTGCACCCATCGTGCCCTCTCCACTGGATGGCTACCACGCAGGTAGAGCTTGTTCGCGCTCTTGGAGCCGCTGTCAGAGATGATCTCGAATCGATGATTGTCGTTGCTGTCGGCGCGAATCTTGGCGTAGCGCAGGTTGATCGAGCCGCGCATCTGCTTGTCCTCATCTTCCTGCGCATGATAGTACGACAGCGTACCGTTCTCGAGGACAAACCAGCGCGGCTTGTATCGTCCGGCCAGATTGGTCCACTTGCCAATGTAACCCTTGAACGAAGGGGGCGCCAGAGCCGTCTGACTGGCGGTAGCGAGCAGGCCGTTGTCTGCGTTGGTCAGCTGTCGCAGTAGCGCGCGGATCTTCTCATCTTTGGTCGTGTCCAAGATCCGTTTGCCCTTTCTGTCGCGGCAGAAAACGTCAGCGCCTCGGCGTGCTGCCGTCTCAATCATTTTGGCATCCTTGTGCTGGACGGCCGCGTGCAGCAGCGTCGAGCCTGTCTCTGGCGCGAGCGCGTTGAGATCGATAGCTCGATAGCGAGGCTTGCTGAGCAATGCATAAATCCGCGCGTCAGAATCGACATGTCCACGCTCGTACGCTGTGACTGCGCTGAGGAAGGCTGCATTGAGCTCTGCGCGTGAAACTGCAAGACGGCAAGTTGGACGCAGAGGTCAGCATGTGTGTCATTCGTACAGCACGCGAAGTACAACCCTACCTTGGAACAGTGTAGCGATTTCGGGTGCTGCAGCAACTTCCATCGGGTCCTTGCCTTCCTTGTTCCTCCGAGTATCATCAATTTCAGGGCGCTCAAGCAGCATCCTGACGGCCTCAGAACGGCCGGTCATGCTCGCCAAATGCAGAGCGGTATTGCCGTGCTGGACTTCTTGCGCATTGACATCGAATGCTGGCGACGCGGCGGTGGCGGCTGCATTGCTCGGGGACGAGGGCGTTGCAAGCGCCTTATGTGAGAGGATTAGCGCAACTGTTGAATCCTCCGCACACCTTACAGCCAAATGCAAGGGACTGGTCAACTCCCTAATCTCACCCGTACCGGGGAGGTTGTTTTCCAGCGATGCCCCTTGCGAGCCCGCTTTCGCCACGGCCGAGGAGGCTAGAGAGCTGGCATGGGTCCCGAGGAAGGGCTGCAGAGCTGCCGCATCACCTGTGCGAAGCGCTTCGAGTAGCTTGAAGGAGTAGAGCGCGTCGGAGACTGAGCACCGCGCGCGGATGCAGGCGAACCAGACGCAGCCATCGAACGATACGTGCATCATTGCGAGGTGGCGAGGTGGTCGGATGATCCAGTCATGAGGAGTTTGAAAAACAAAGTAAAGGTGGACGGGAGGTGAGATGACATGAGGAAGAGCGGCCAGTTGAATGTCGGAGAATTCAGGAAGTACAATCAAAGAGGAACATTATCAGCATCGATCTTCGCAGAGTACACTACCCTTGAATGCATGCTGCTTAAGCATGGTGGCGGTGGCTCCTGTCCCGTAATCAATGACCGCGCAACTTTTTCGTCACCCGCTCCACCAGTATCTGAGCGATACACAACCATGAGGATATGCGACGGCACGAGCCAATGCTCTGTATGCCTGCCAGCAGAGCTGGATCACCCGACTCACCCTCTCTCGACACTCTCTTCTGGCGGCCCGAAGCCTCGATGCTCTTCGCCTCTTGTCCGTCGAATGCTGCTACGTCGTCCGCTACTTCCCGCGTGGCGGCAGGGGCACTGCCTACCGCTGCCGAGGCACCGGCGTAACTGCTGGACATGCTGCAGGATGCAGCGAGGTTGGAGAGGCCAGCCTAGAATTGGAGGGCCCGGTGTGCGGTCTCGACTACTGAGGTACACTTGGTGGCTGCCGCGGAAAGGACGATGAGCACGCGCTTGTTAGATATTATGCCTGCAGACAGTTTCGATTCGTCGATGCGCACTTGGGTATGAGTTCAGCCTTCGGCACGTGGAAGACGGCGCGATCGATCAGACACAGGCAGCTGAGAAAGCGCGGAGACGAAAGGCGGACGTTTGCAGCCCTCTGCGACAAGGGGCGATGGAGCGCGGCTCAGGCAGACTGTTTAGGCAGCGTCCCGACGCTCAGGGACTAGCTTTTGACGATCAGCTTGCAAAACGTCTAGGCAGCTTGCCTCTGCTCTTCACGAGACACAGGACTACAGTAGTGGTGATGACCAAGCGTGGTACTCGAAGATGCTGATTTGCCGATGTTATCGTTGCTGACAGGCCAATTGCAATTTGTGATTGGATGTGGTGGGACAGCTCTCGAATGTCAGATGCGAAACCCCTCGGAGCTGGTGTGCTTGGACGGATGTCATACACTTGACAAAAGCGTAGCTTTCACCAGCCTATTGTCACAAGAGGACCACTGGATCTACTATATACAGCAGCCTGGTCATCCATCGCAAATCTAACCACCAAGAGAGAGGGCAGACGACTCTCATGGATCACCATCGTTGATCGCCCTGTGGCCGCGAGGATTCGCGCTGGTAGGACAAGCTGTTGTTGCTGACCACTGAGATGACAGGTCCTGCTTGCTCACTCTGCCCTGGTGCTGTGCGCGCGTGTGGGTGCGTGCGCGCGGCAGCGGCCAGCGGCGTGGGTTGTCTGCCTTCCAATGGTTTGTTCTCTGCCACTACCTCCACACGCGGAGAGGCTCTCCTCTGCCAGACTGCCCACTCATGCTAGTCATCCCCTCAGATGGATGCATGACGTATGTCGTCCAGTTGAGAGTCAGCATGTGTGGGCGTGCCATCAGTCTCAACGGGACATGGGCCTGTCCTTCGTTCATCGCCCCATAGGCAGCCGCCCGCCACTACAGTTCAAACTCCACACTCCACACTCCATGTGCCCGTCCTGCCAGGCCACAGGAGGCAGAGCGTCGTGGTTATTCGGCTTTCAGGTATCTTTCTGGACAGGGTTTTGTGTAAATCCGGCCTCCTCCTGCCAGTTATTCCTCGCTCACGTGCTTGCGCTTCGGACATCTATAAACCACATTTCGCTGCCTTTTCCGATCGCATGTGGCCGTGATCGAGCGTCCAGATCGCATGACATTTGGAGTCCATCAGCACGGTCTTCATCGCTTGCTCACACATTCAATGCGTCCGATGGGGAAAATATGGTATTTGTAGAGCGGCTCAGATCGTGCGAATGCCTTCAGAAGAAATGGAACGGAAAGCCGCCTCTTTGCATTTGCAGTCGCTCGCAGGCTGTACTACGAAGATCATGATACCCTCGAGGGAAGGCATGCATCCGCACAATTCCTAGCTCTCAGCGCTGAGCCACGACCGCAGTAACCTCGAAAACTCCGCCCACTCTGTTCCATTGGTTGGCCACGCTTTGCGGTTTGTGCACATGTCCTGCGTCTCCTTCGACGCGCGACGGCGCTAGAGGATTCTTCCAGGCGAAAGACCGCAGGCAATGATTGACGAGGATAACTCAATCTTGTTCGTTGTTCACTGTTCGCTGTCGCCTGCAGGTTAGTAGACAAGAGAAGAGGCAGGCAGAGTCGCACTGCCATGGCTCGATTGTTTACTCATCAGCTGCTTTGAACCCACAAGTCAATGGCAGCCAGCTAGGGTGAACCGTACAGGAAGCACAAATATCTGCAATAGAGCGCATGATATATGTACAGACCTGCGGAGAGCAGGGTCGTCAGTTTCCAATAGGAAAGAATTGCTCAAGTAATGAGGAAAGATCGAGGTATTGGAACTCTCTCTTGGTCGAACTAATAGCTTTCGCGCCCACGCTTCGACCTTCGAAGTTTCCATGTTTGTTCTTGGAATTCGAAAGCTTTAGTCGATGCCAATCGCCGGCGATTAATTATTGATAGTGCATTTGCAAATTTCTGGGGTCATCTCTCGAAGTCTTGATCCGTCCTCGCACAGTAAAGAGGATACCACGGCGCGACTCTTCATGTTTTCTCGCAGCACAGCCGTTTTCAGACGGTGCACGGTCAAATGCGCAGCGAAAACGACCCTCTTTCGTCCTTCCACAATAGGATTTTGAATGCCTCGACCCCAGATTGAGACCTGTGCTGTAAAACTGTCATTGCATTGGCATTCAAAGCTTGTTAGATGTGGGCATTCTTCCGGAGGCTAACATTTCTCGAACGGAAGACTGCAGACGCGCGAAAATGTATGTGCATAATGTTTGAACCCCACGGAAGTCGTGAATGCGCACCTCGAAAGGGTCGCTTTCCGAATGAAGGTTAGAATCTGGACACCCTGTCTCGAAAGACGGGTAAGACTGATGACTGGGTACAACAGTGAGCAGGGCATATCGGCACAGCAACGTACTGGTGGTATGAATATACTCGGATGTTGAAGCAATGAATACCTCTCTCTGAGGATCTCAGAGCGGAAAGGCTGCTAAAAAGGCTTCAGGGCGCTGCGTGTCCTGCTCAGAGCCCCTGGCAGCTATATTTGTTTATGCGGTGCAATGCAAAAGAAATTGACAGCGAGCTCAAAATATTCTGAGGCTTGCAACAAATTTTGAGATCCCCTAGAGTGTGGCCAGCGATCTTAGCAGTTGCATATTCCAGCCCAGTCCCGGGCGATTCCTTTTCCCAGGATTACGGACAAGATTTTGACATTTCTAGCGCAAGTGCGTGACGAAGAGCCTGATATCGACTTCCAATAAACCAACATCTTTTGGTTGTCATTGACCCTAGTCCGGGATTTTTGGTCATCCTCCTTGCGTAGGGCTGTCAGGGGTACGGACTCTTGAGGGTGCGTTCGTTCGGCTGTCCGCGTCTGCAATTTCACTTCTGGGTTGGTTGGTGCAGTCATTTGCTGTTCCAGTTGTTCGCGCCGACATCGTCGATAGTCCTACAATCCACGTCGTGCCCATATGCCTAGTTGTCCACAGGCTGGATTGCCGGCACAGCTCTGGCTGGTGTGCCAACTAAAATATCGTCTGCGCCGATGACGCACCATCGGTGCAACATTTTTTGGGTTGTCTGCAGGCAAACGGACACATGTCGGTCCTTAACATCGTTGCGGTCGTCCGCAGCCTGGCGCGGACAAGAAGTGGGCAACGTACGGACGCTGACCGTCGAACACACCGTGGGTGCCCTGCGGCCGCAATGTCGATCATCATCACATGCTTCTCCCCTTGTGCGACATTCGGGGGCACCCGCTGGTGATGCGCCATCCAATGGCCCTCGCGGCAGCAGACAGAAGCGGCAGCCGGCATACAGATGGAGATCTTGTCATCTTGTCTGTGTCCTACTGTACAGTGTGTCTGGCTTTCGGCAGGAATTTGTTCCACCTCCTCTCACATGCAAATCATTCACATGCCCATCAGGAGTCCGGAGAGTTTTTATTGGAGAGAATTTGTCACGAAAGACACGCTGAGTCAAAAAAAATGCGTGCCTGAGAAGAAGAAAACAGGAATGTTGTCGGTGAACGCTGCGCTGACGCGAGCAGGGACTGCAGGCCACGTCTCAGTTCAGGTTCGCGGCCACTGACGACGACACAGAGGATTGTAGCAGGACCATGAGTGGAAATTCAATCAGCCACTCTGGCCAACATTGTGTGCAGGTCGTGAGGGCCTTCATGGAGTGCGACAGGATAGAACCGGCAAACTGCTTGAGCCACGTGGAGAGAAGAATTTGGGGAGTGCGCAGGCCATCGGCACTCAGCGTTGGGCGCCACATCGGTGGGGTGGATGTTCACTGTTCCGCCGCCCCCTTGCGCCTTGTGCAGCAGGCTGGCCTGCAGGCCTGCATGGCGGAGGCTGCGCTGGTCGAGAGATTCGAGGGTGATCGCCAAATGGTGACGATAATATCGCGCCCTTCTTTATCAGGTAGGCCCCCTCCTTTGCAAAGTCACTGATCTCGCTTTGCATTGCATTCACGGTGACATCAACAGAATCGTTGGAGATCCTCCAGCAGGCGGCATGTTCACTCACAGCGCAACAAAGGATGAAAAGGGGCTGTCGATGAATGCTGTATATAAACCTCGTCAAGACCATCATCTTTGCAACAATGTTCCAATTAACCCTTGTCCTCAGAACCACTGTCATTCACTCTCCCACGTGTCCCCCGAGGTAATCCTTCGCTCCTCACCGGCCGTTCCTCCTCCGTACTTTTCACAATCCCTCTCTATCTACATCATCGACGCCGCCGTCTAGTCTCTTTTCTCTCAAGATGCTGGCCTCTTCAATCTTTACTCTGGCTCTCATTGCCGGCAGCTCTGCTGCTCCTATGGCCAAGCGAAGCTACACTGGTCAGGCTACTTACTTCGCGCCTGGAATGGTGAGCAGTCTTGTTGAACGACTCTCGGGGCGCACGACATCATGCTGACACCATTGCTTTATTTTAAGGGTGCCTGCGGCTGGTCTGCCTCTGACTCGGATTACATCGTCGCTCTCAACACGGCCCAGTACGGTAACACTGGCCAGGCGAGCGGGTACTGCGGACAGACCATCACCATCACGAACACGGCGAACGGCAACTCGCATACCGCCAAGGTCCAGGATGCATGCCCCTCTTGCGACTACGGCTCTCTGGACATGTCCCCGGCTCTCTTCTCTGCACTGAACAACGGTAACATGGGTGCCGGTGTATTCTCGATCAGCTGGACCGTCGGCTCTGGCTCATCCAACTCTGGCAGCCCCTCGTCCTCAACATATTCTAGCTCCAGCAGCACGCCCTCGTCATCATCATCGGCGAGCAGCACCAGCTCATCTCCACAACCCAAGCAGACGCCCTACTCTGCCCCCATTCACGAGGTCAGCAGCGTCGCTCCCACGGGCCAACCAAACACAACTTTTACCACTGAGCCTCAGTGGTGGGCCACGATCAACCCTGCCTACTGCAACCTTAGCACCCCAAGCAACGTCACCGTCGCCGCCGTCGGCCCCACCCAGGCGTACAATGGTACGAATCTATCTGACGCCTGCGGCAAGTGGATCCAGATCCACAACCAGGAGACCAACAAGACTGCCATGGCCATGGTCGTCGAGTACGTCCCAGGTATGGGCGACAACTTCCTTGCTCTCGCTGATGGGTACAAGGCGCTCGCCAACATGCAGGGCTCAATGCCCAACCCGATCTCGAACGTCACCTGGGGCTTCGTGGAGACCAACAGCACCACGAGCAGTGAATAACTCTCCTGCTCGCTTTGCGCTTCATTGCATTCGCCCATTTTTCTTCAGTCATTACTCTGCATCTACAGCATTTCCCTTGGCATCAATCAATTGTCACCACTGGTTCTCCTTCGTCCGACACACCTGTATCCCTACCAGCTCGGCCTTCGGATTTATCTGCACACCAACACGGGCGCAGGACCTGTTAGGGTTCTATCAAGCAATAGACATTTCTCTAAAAGCGGCCGCGAGCGCTGCATTGTATTTCTCCTCCTTCATAGAGCTCGCGTGGGCACCACAGGCATCGGGCCCCCAGCAACACAATAGCATAGCGAAATTTGCACAAAAGCAATTACCATCATCGGATATTCTACTTCCCGGCTTCTCGCATCCCCAGACCTTTGCTTCTCCGCTTCTCGCATATGTCGCATTGCATATTTTCATGTGGTCACCGTACTCCACCACAATCGCGGTGTTGGATCATCACTAATGTCGCCCATATGGCACCGAAGAGCCTACTACCGCGAATCGGGATCAGCTTGATAGTCACAGGCAATTGCGACGGTCAAGCAGATTGCAGACCCTGAAATGAGCTGCTTACCACTCGAGCCGAACGCATGTTGGCAGCCAGAATTTTATCATCAGTGCTCAGTCTGCAGCCATGGCTCTGCCATGCTCGCAGTTCATGTGTTCTTCCTCTTCAGATAGCCAGATGTCCAAAAAGAAGTCCAAAGTCGACTCCCACGGCCACCCCAGTTCCATTCTTGGCCATGTGGCAATCGGCAGCGAAGTGGCAGCGTCTGCGGGGTGGCGAAATCTCGCAGATCGGTAGGACGCAGACGAGCATCATCGGAAGGGGCCTTCCTCGTTCACTGCCTTCGCAGTTCCTCTTCACCCTTCGCGAGGGCGCGAGAAAAGCGATCGGAGGGGGGCATAGCATACACCGGTCTTTACATTTCTAGCACGCGGGTTGGAGGGGCGGTCCCCTCGTTTTTAGTGTGATAGTCAAGTCACACAATGTTGAATTTTGCTTACGCAGATAGCCCTGCTCTGGCAGGAGGCTTCTCCCAAAGACGTGGGGAGGCGTTCACACTCTCGACTCACATCGAGGGGTGACTGTCCCGAAGGGCTCGGGCCGTGCGTCGTCCGAAGCCAATTCTAGATTGAGGGTGGCACTTTTGTGCCTTGGGGGATTGTGAAAACTCGCATTCGCCGGAGCCGAACGCGCCGTGTCACTTTGACTTACGGCCAGACTCCCATCGGTGATTTCCCAGCCTCAGAAGTTGGACTCGGCCGTTTCTTGGATAGAGTTGACGCGTTACGTCTCGCGTCACCTTACGCGTCAGGTCGTTTCTTCACATTTTTCATCTGATCGAACCCATCTCTACTTCGATCTAATGATCGACTCATCGTCCCGTCTCATCCGCTTTTCTCGACTACATAGAGGTAATAGCGTCAAGTTGTAAATGTGTCGATTGCGGGTGCCTTTTGACCTGAGCGCAAGTCCCCAATTTAGAGAATCAGAGGGTCGTTGCAAAATGGCAGCATGAAGAGGACATCGGTTTTGATGTTTTCCAGATCACAGCTGAGGCTTTGGAGTCAGGGTGAGATTTCCTCCCAAAGCACACATCAATGCCTATGAGCGACAGCTTGACATCAACAGCATCCCAGGATGGTTCATGCAAATTCAGAGAATGGCACTCCACATATCCTATCGTTACTCGAAGAACCGTGCGCCCAAGCCGGCAAGGATTCATTTTCGAACGACCGAGGAGCGGCTGTTCGCTTCCACGATCGAAATATATACGATGCAAACATGGAAGTCGGTTCGTTGAAAAAGCACACTTTCTCATGAGCATGAGCATCTTGATTGTTTGCAAAAAGTCGTCTAACAAGGCGGACTTGATTTCGGGCACTCGACTTTGTGAAGGGGTTGATAGCTCGACCTGGTGGTGTGCTTCATGATTTCGTCAGGACTAGCTGTTCAGCACCGTTTTTCGTGGCCAACGGAGCTTGGAAGCTCACTGGGATCAATTAAAGCGCAATGCGTGGCTCGTTTGGCCTTCCTCAACCCCCCTCCATCGAGATACGATCCACCAAGATAACAATGGCAGACTTGAAAGATATCAGAAGGCGCAGGTGGCTACGTCATATTGTAATTGAATGCAGTTCCCCCATCGCATCATCTTCCATTGCTTTCATATCTTTTTGTATATCTGATCTAACGTTTAATCCTCAAAGCCGCCTCTTTCCAAAATGTACCGCACTCACTATCAAGTTCATCTCCCTTGCCATTCTGGCTCTGGCAGCCATCAGCACTGTCGTCGCTGCTCCAACGCTTGCCGCTAACAAGCGCAATTCGTCTGGTCAAGTGGCTTACTACAAGGCCGGACTGATGAGTTGCATCACCACGCTCTCTCGACCACTTTATGTATGAAGCTGAAATGCACTACGCTTCAATCTGTGCCGGGAGACTGCGATTGACATAACGGCAATGAACATTACCCCGTCGCCCTCAATGGTGCTCAATATGGCAACATGAACCGGCAGAGCAGTCACTGTGGTTAAGATAACGATGTAACCAACAAGCAGAACAGCAAGACTCAGTAGGCCAAGGTCGTCGACACTTGCCCGCCTTGCGACTGGGGCTCGCTCGACCTCTCTGCTACCAATTTGCAGAGCTTCACGATGGTAACGTGAACGTGGGGTGAGTGAACGTCATCGACACTTGCGCTTGAGTCATCTTCCAGGCTTGATAAATGCATTCAGTGCTGGTATCCTGCGTCTACTTGCCTTCCCGTGTCTTCCCTATCTCATGGCACTAATTTCGCTCGGTCAGAGCCGTCATCAAGTGCCTCACCGACTGAATTGCGCAGCGCGCGAGGCTCAGCGTCATCGGAATCACAATTGTACCCCCGCAGTCGCAACAGCAATAGTAACAGCAAGTCCAAAAGGCCCGCATAGACAGGTCCTGACTATATCATTTACCATCTGCTTTGTCCTGCACTCTTTGTATCATACAAGAATAGAATCATTCTGCGTTTCCCCATCATTCATATGTTCGCTTGTTGGTTCCCAGCCTCACTCGCTTTCACCCTTTCTCACGGAACACAACGAGCAAAGAACAATTCTGAAATTGATGAAGCTGGACGCCTCACGCTTGCACACGCGAACACCTGCGCTTCCGCGTGCAGCTCGAATATATATGCATATCCCAAACGAGCCGCGAATGGCCGCCGCAAGGCAACAATTTATCGACGCGTGTCGGGCGATGGGAGCAAGCGCTGCCTTCATGCTTTTTAAAGTTCCTGTAATAGGCAAATTTGAATGACAAGTGTGTGACAAGCAACAAACCCGATGAGGGTGTCCTTAGGTGTCACTCAAAATTCGTTGTCGCGTGCCGTCGTTCACACGCCTGTAAGCTGTGTCGTGCTTGGCTAACTTTTGTGTAGCCATGTGGCAACCACGCGATACGGCAATCCCCGGTGTGTTGGTAGTATGTATCTAAGGAGCGTCCGTAACCCGTAATTTCGAATGTTTGTGTATTACAAGGGACGATTCAAAAATATGGGGGCGCGCTGCGCCCGCTCTCCTTGTGGACTTTTGATGCGAATTTCCAATCAAATTCACAAGCAGGCAGCTCAAGTCTCGAGCTAATGGCTGTTTGCCCTGCCGTCGATAATCATGCCGAGCAAACAATGGGATTGAATGGCATTTGATACAGGGTCCAGAGGACAACCACTTCCTACTCACCAGGGGATTCAGAACGTGAAGACAGAATTGTATGTACACAGAGCCCCGGTATCGGATTCTCCGGCCATTCACCACGCTTCACTGACAGGCTGACGGCTTCGGCAGTACTTCGGGCGACCCAGCGACTGACCATGATGAACACCCGAACAGTGGCCCCTAGTGGCACCCACGCTTCGGATCCGACGACTGATCACCCTCGAATTTTGCGAAGCTAACTACATACCTGCGTTTTTGTGGGTGGAGAGCTGGTAGTCTGGTCTTTGGAAGCTCCCTGATCTTCCAGACGCTGAACTCTGTGATAATCTGGGACACATTCGCATTTCGTTCACCCGATATACAGTCAGACCAGTTCGCCAGAGGTCACTTCTCTTTGGCTTGGGCTCCTGATTTTGAAAGCGTGGCATGTGTCACCTGTCATAGTCCCTCCGAACTTGCACCATCGGCAAGCCGATAACCATCGACCATTCCTTGATAACCGGCTCAATTTCTTCAGGTTTGGCAGCGGCTGGCCCGTCTCACGTTGTAGGGTGTGTAGGTGAAGCATAGGTTACTTTTTGCCTCACACTCTCTTTCCTGTTCGGGCTCCTCCCCAGCGTGTCTACCTGCTTCCATGCCCCACGAACTCGTTACCAGAACTTCGGATAATGCGCTCGATATTCGATTCAAAATCTTTTCAAAAAGAGAATTTTACATGCTCCTTCATCTGGCAGAAGCGGGTTCGTCTTTGCCTCCGACGGCTGCTTAGGCGTTTATCAACTTAAGTGGATATATAAAGACGCTCGCGCTTGCGTATCGAGATGGCGTGTTTGCAACTCATCGACTATTCCTCCTGCTCATTCGCTTGTGCCACCTGCTTCACGAGCCTTGCATAATGCTCACTTCCATGAAGAACCTCGCGCTAGCCCTCTTGGCTTTCACGGCTATGGGGAGTGTCCTCGCTGCGCCTATTCCTGCCTCCGACGTCCAGCTGGAGAAGCGTTCCTACAGTGGGCGTGCAACCTACTACAATGTCGGCAAAGGCGCGTGTGGCTGGCGCAACAGTAACTCACAACACGTTGCGGTTAGTACATTGACCGACCGTGGAGAGGGCAATGTCGGCCCCCGCTGGTGCTGACGCTTCGCTCCACCATCGTTTCCAGGCCCTGAACCGCAGTCAATACGGGAATGTTAACGCCAAGAGCTCATGGTGCGGGAAGACCATCGAGATCAAGAACAAGCGCAATGGCAAGGTCGTCAGCGCAAGGATCGTTGACGCCTGCCCGGACTGCAAACATGGGTCGCTGGACTTGTCGCCTTCGCTGTTTTCTCAGCTGAATAACGGGAACATGGATGACGGGTGAGCACCGTGCAACTTGAACCAGCTCTGTGCATCAATGTGGTTGACACGCTCGCTTGCTCGCCTTCCAACAGCGTTTTCCCGATCTCCTGGAACTAAAAATTCTCTCGATGCCGCTTGACCCGAGCTTTCCTCACTTCAGCAGGACGCAAAACCCGTGCTGCTCGGCCCTGTATCCCTATACAATTCGTCTACGCCCTTTTCTCTTTGTATCATAGCGCTTCCTATTGTTAGTGTACGTATTCGATGGATGAATACGAGCGGTCTGTTAGCACAGCAAGCTCACTCGCACCGTGTCGAGCCTCGAGTTTATATGTGCGCCACCCATCCTCATTCCACGGGCCGTCTGCGTCCATATCTCCAGTGTGGCGCGACACACTTCTTGCTTGATCGGAATCTGGCCTCCTGGAGTTCTTGAATCGGTTCCTCGACTAGTTGCATGTGCTTTTTAGTGTCAAGCTTCGGATTGACAGCATAATCGACGAGCTTCCAGCCTTAGAGGGGCTTCAGGAATAGATAACGTCATGTTCGCAGCAGATTGGGGATGTACAGACTTGAGCACAAAGGACGAGGCTTGTCGATGCGGGAAACGGAGGAAATAGAGGTACTAATTAATATTCTTCCCAATTCTGCTCTTCCAAAAATCTTTTATAGATTCAACTAACGACCACGACGGATGCTTGGGTTGGTTGGTTCGTTCGTCGCACTTCCGTTGTACGTCAGGCTGTGAACAGATTGAGTCGCGTGCCTATTATCCCTGCCCTCGTAAAGTACCTCTGCACCGCCGGGTTTTGACCTGCTGTGAGCGTTGATGGTCGCAAAAAACCCGTGATCGAAACCCAAATACCGATGTTCATCATTTGCCTCCCTTTCTGGATCGAACCCGAAAGGTTGATGCTTGCTTGTGACCGGTTGGAGAGAAGTTGATTGCCTGTACGAAGATCCAGCTTGTCGGTGACTTTAAGTGCATGTTAGCACCATTATGTAATACAGGTTTAATCTGGAAGGAAGTGATAAAACTTCAATCACTGTTGCAGTGCCCAAAAGCTGGGGCATGGCTATATAGTAATAGGTCGAGTGAAGAACCCACCAAGGTTAGAAGGGGGTGATGAAGACAGTCGAGATAACGCCGACGCTCGAGCCAGGCAACTTCCTAGAACAAATAGTTACCGAAGATCGTTGCCCCGTTGCTGGCTACGCTCCCTTGGCACTAACAGAGTCTCGATAGGGAGTGAACGCCACATTGGCTGAGGCGTGAAGACTTCTGGCTTCCAGCAAACTTCTTCAGCTGTAGCCGTCGATGATCAACACTCTTCTAAGACACACCCTTTACACCACAACTGAAGAAGGGCCAAGGTACTTGATACAGCTACAGAGGAATCCGCACCCATTGCCACCAAATCCACACAAAATGGCTACCCCCGAGCAACAGAAATTCGCCACACAGATCGACGCCAACCAGCAGGCGTTGATTGCCCGTCTGGCCGAGGCGGTCGCCATCCCGTCTGTATCGGGTGATGCGCGGTACCGCAAGGCATGCTTTGACATGGCTGATTGGCTGCTCGCCAGCTTGACCAAGCTGGGCGCCAAGGGAGAGCTCAGGCCGCTGGGCAAGCAGAACCTCGAGGGCCAACAGATCGAGCTCCCACCTGTGATCCTGGCGGACTACGGCAACGACCCCAAGAAGAAGACAATCTTGGTCTACGGACACTACGACGTGCAGCCTGGTGAGTTGGGGCTACGTTCCTACTCGAAGCAGGTTCATTTTGTAGCATCCTGACGCATACACGCTTCTTGCCCTGCTTTCTGCGTTCTGCCGCCAATTAGCACTCAAGAGTGACGGATGGGAGCATGAGCCATTCAAGCTGACTTTCGACGAAAAGAGCGGCCGCATGTATGGACGAGGCTCGACCGATGACAAGGGGCCCATTCTGGGTTGGATCAACGTCATCGAGGCGCACCAGCAGGTTGGTGTTGACCTACCCGTCAACTTGAAGATCTGTTTCGAAGGTATGGAGGAGTCCGGCAGTGTCGGCCTAGACGACCTGGTGGAGAAAGAGAAAGATGCTTTCTTCAAGGGCATCGATGCCATCTGTATCTCGGACAACTACTGGCTTGGCACAAAGAAGCCGTGCCTGACACACGGTCTGCGCGGTATCCAATACTTCAAGCTGGCCATCAACGGTCCCGGCGCAGACTTGCACTCGGGCGTCTTTGGCGGAGTCGTGCACGAGCCTATGACGGACCTGTTCGCGATCATGTCCAAGCTTGTCACGCCGCAGGGCAAGATTCTCATCCCTGGTATCAACGAGCTCGTCGCGCCGCTGACGGACGAGGAGAAGAAGCGGTACGACGTGATGGAGTTCCAGATCAGCGACATTGACGAGGCAACCGGCAGCCAGACGGCCATCAGCGACGAGAAACAGCAGGTGCTCATGGGCAGGATGCGCTACCCTAGCTTGTCCCTGCACGGCATTGAGGGTGCCTTCTCTGAGCCTGGCACAAAGACGGTTATTCCCAGCCGCGTCGTTGGCAAGTTCAGCGTCCGACTTGGTGAGTCTACGTTTGCAGTGTTCGGTGCGTCATGTTGCCCGAGTGTTCCGAATTGACATAGTCCTATTCGGTCTGCAGTACCTGACATGACCCCCGAGAAGGTCGTGGAGGTCGTGGAGAAGTACATCAATGAAGAGTGGAAGAAGCGTAAGTGCCTGCCATCGTTGTACTAGTTATATGTGGTCGCGACCTTGACGTCACTCCCGCGAGTAGTCGGCTCCAAGAACACTATGCGCCTCGATGCCGAGCCCGGTGGAAAGCCATGGTTGGCAGACCCGAACGTAAGTGATGTCGTCGCCGCTTTGAACGGTTCTCTCGGGGTTGAGCGTTCCAAATCGGGCTGACTCTGCCCCGCACTTTTGCAGCACTACAACTACCGCGCTGCTTCCAAGGCGACCGAGACGGTCTACGGCGTCAAGCCTGACTTGACGCGTGAGGGAGGTAGCATTCCTGTTTCGTTGACGTTCTCGGAGATTGTAAGTGCTCTGCAATGTGCACAGCTCGTATTGGCTTCTGTGCGTTACTGACCATCGCATTGCTCCCGCCTTTTCTGTTACGTTTCCTTTACGATCAAACAGCTCGGCAAGAATCTGTTGCTCCTTCCGATGGGTCGCTCGAACGACGGCGCTCACTCGATCAATGAGAAGGTGGGTCGACCTTTTTGCCTTGCGTTCCCCTCAACCCATAGAGTGAACACTGACCAAACCCTTGATACATCCCCACTGATTCTTTCTCTCTCACAGCTGGACATTTCCAACTACATTAAAGGCACACAGCTGCTCGGGCTGTACCTGCACGAAGTTGCTAACGCCGCGTAGATGTGTTCTTGTATTGAAGCCCTCTTGTCATGTGCTAGCAGACACTCATGCCTCGCGAGCTGGCCATGCCTGCATCCTCACTGAATCGCCCTATCTACGTTTGTAAGATCTACGTCAAGCCCCAACTAACTACCTTGACCAATGGAACAGCCAGTTTGGACTGTTGTGAGGACATAATGGAACACGTGACCATGCTTTCAACCCTGCCGCGACATGGCTGCTCCCTTGTTATGGCTCGGGTGGAGTATGGTGTATGCGGTGCATGGTGCTCAGACTCATGTGAATCTAGCCATTATCCCTCTCTGCCCTACAGTGCCTCTCCACCTCTCCCCATTCCTCTGCTCTCGCAATAGGACGACATCGGGTTTGTATTAGTAAGCTGGTCGCAGTGACTGTTGCAGTACCAGGCGCCGTGCAACCCGTTTGTTGGAAGTCGCCGATGGCGGATCCGAGGTGAACCTTTCTTTTATAAAAACTCTTCACGGCCGAAAGAAAAATGGTTCGAACCGAAGGGGTGGTCAGCACATTCATTGAGACAGCTGCAAGCGGTTTGAGTACAGCGGCCCAGTATCTCACCTATTATGCGGCCTTCTGTTGCCTTTTTTTCACAGAACGCCGCCCGCACGCCGTCCAAACGTCACCAAAGCTCACCACCCAGGCCAGAGCCGGGAGACTGAATGTGATGTTACGCTCTCTCCTTTCCAATCTTCTCCATTCTCTATCGCTCTCTCTCACGTCTGACCTCTACGGTAAATTCGACTCCCTTTTCAAGCTCTTCGTGCGAAGGAACTTCCACACTAGCCCATCATGCCATGCGCGAAACCGTGCGCAAACTGCGCTTGCGCTGGATCTGCCCCCGAATCGGACTCCGCAGCCGCCATCACCCCAAAGGCGACGCTGCACTATGATGCGACCGGTGCATCGCAACCGCTTCCTGCACGTTCCAACAGGAGTATCAAGGACGAGCGCACGCCGCTGCTCTGGGAGACGTCGGCGCCCGTGGCAGGGACAGCGTCGCAAGACGTCGAAGGTCGCCCGCTGGTGCGATGCGATCGGCACTCCAGACACGGGGTCTGCTGCAGGGAGCTGAAGGGCACGGACGATCGATCACTTATTTCGTAAGATGGATTTGCACTCCTCGCTCAGGCCTTTTTGTGTCCGCCTCTCTCACACAAAATTCCTTCATTTCGCTTCGCGACAGACCTGACACTATCCGCGACTATATCATCGGACTGAGCGATGGCCTCACAGTTCCCTTTGCGCTAACAGCGGGTCTCTCATCCGTTGGCTCGTCACGGTTGGTCGTCATCGCAGGCTTGGCAGAGCTGATCGCCGGAGCAGTGAGCACTGCACTAGGGCTAAGATTGAATGACTCCGGCTGACACCTTACTGCTCGATCTTCAACAACTTTCTGCTCATACATTGCCAGGTCAGCATGGGTATTGGCGGCTTCCTTTCCGCACAAGCAGAGGGCGAGCACTACAAGCACCAAGAGCGGTCCACGGCTGAACGCGTAGCGCGCAGCTGCGACGGTGAAATTGTCAGCGAAGTGCTCGAAATTCTTCAGCCGTACGGCGTCCCCGACGAGCTCGCCGGCAAAGTCGCTTCTGCATTGCAGCAAGCCGAGGCGCGCAAGCAGCAGCAAATGCAACAGGAACAAATACAAAGAGTGCCAGTGGAGGAGCTTGCTTCGCACGGCCTCACGCCCTTTTTGCTACGCCTAGGGCAGGGGCTAGAGCCCGTCTCGCCGTTGCGCAGCCTCCAATCCGCCGTCAACATCGGTGCAGGCTACGCCGTAGGCGGCATCATCCCGTTGGCGCCGTACATGATCTTCGAGGAGGTGCGCGAGGCGCTGTACGCCAGCATCGTCATCACTGCCATCGTGCTGTTGCTCTTTGGCGTCGTCAAGCACCGCCTCACAGGTGGCAGGATGAGCGTCAAGGCGTACGCTTGGTCCGCCCTCACCACGCTCGCCGTTGGCGGCATGGCCGCTGCGTCCAGCTGGGCGATCGTACGTGCTTTGGAAGGTCCGGAAAGGGTCTGAGAAGAGGAGCGTCGAAGGAAGCGAGCAATGGGAAAGGTCGTTGAGTCAAGGGAGGGATTTGAGGGCATGGGGAAGCAGTCAAGGAGGGATCTATCATTCGCATCGTCAACAGAACAATTAGTTGCGAATATCTTGTTGTCTTGTATTGAGGATGGCCTTGCAATGTTGGTGCTATTCTTGTGCTGCCACATTCCATCACCCTTTTCCTGTCCTTGCTTTTCACTCTTGGTCATTCGATTCCGATTCGGATCCGGACGGGGCTTGCGAGGGGGAGCTGCCAAAGCCAAAGTGGACAGAATCCGCCTTTGGTGTGGGTGCAGGCATGTCCTCAGCTGCACTGCTAGCACCGCCAGTAGGAGCAGCAGCGCTGCCGCTGCCGTCGCCAGCAGTCGGGCACAGGGACGTCGCGGAGAGCGTGTCCCACTCTGGTGACGAGGTGTGACTGGATGAGAGGCCGCTTGTGGAGCTTGCTGTAGGTGCCACAGAAGTGATGGTGTTGGAGGACGCGATCTGGTTGCCCTCATCGCTGGCGGAGCCGAGGCCTGGAGCAGCGTCGGGGGATGCCGACTCTGTCGCTGGTGGAGCGGCAGCTGCCGCGCTACCCGTCGGCGCGTCGTCGTCCACCTCCTCGAGCTTGTATGCAGCGCCTCGGGATCCAGAATCATCGGAAGCAGCTGCAGCGGCGAGGCCCATTGCTGCGAACGGGTTCGCACTGAGAGCGCCTGCGCCGCCGATTCCGCCCTCCGCTCCAGCATCCTTGGCAACCATCTTGAAAATGAGCTCCAGCACTGCTTCTGGGACGGTCTTCTGGTAGATCATCATCAGCTCGAGCGGCTGGGGGTACACCTTGAGCGCTCGGAAGAAGGCGGTTGCAGCGTCCAGGTGGCGGTCCTTGCCCAGGGCAAAGAGCGTCTCGCCAATGGAGACCTGTTCCATAAAGTAGGACTCGCGGGAAGCTTGGTCCTTCGGGATGCGCCCGTCGGCCTCCATCGCGTGCGTCGATGCGACCGCCGCAGCGATCGCCGTGTCAGATTGCGAGGCGGATGCAGCAGCCTTGCGCGCCTCGGCCTTCATCATACGCTTGTAGTCCTTCCCGAGTGATTTGCGGAAGGTGGCATCGTTACGTCGGCGATAATCAAAGTAGCTGCGACCAGCATCGCCGTGAGCATGTCCGTGTCAGTTGAAAGAGAAATAAGGAAAACAAGGAAAATGGAAGGCTGCATGGCTTTGAAAGCAGACATAGCTGCGTAGCGTATGCCGTGATGCGAACCAGCGCAGATCGAAGCACTCACGCTGCATATCCGATCAGGGCGGTCACCAGGGTGACGCCGCTGATGGTGGCGATGGTTGATGTCCGCATGGTATAAGCTCTTCGTCTCGTTCTGCTCTTGCGGGGTAACAGGCAGACTGCTCGTGCTACGTCGAATGTTGTTGTCTGCAAGTGGCAACATTCAAAAGGAAGTCGAGACTGCCAGCTTTGAGGACAGCCGACGAAGAGATGGAAGCACAGGTTGCGTTTGCTCGTTGCTTGCTCCTTGGAGCGGAAGCTTGACTACTATTTTATTATTGCACAGTCAAGGAAGCTGGTTCCGCCCTGACGTCGTGCGGCGTCCCGCCTTCCGACAGGTTTGCACTTGGCCCTTGCCAGGTCAGTTTCGCAAGGACGGGTCCTCAGTCTGATGTAATACTATTTGATGCGCGGTTCATTCTGACGGGTTGCGGCTGAAGCATCGATGTCCGAGTGGTGTTGACCGCGCAGTCCTCTTCGGCTTTGCTGGAGCACCCTCCGTCGATCCTCGGCGCTGAGACAAAAGCCTGCGAGCTTGGGGGATTCAAGTGCGCTCGCTCAAGCGTGCTGCCAGGGTGCTCGAGGAGCAACAGCGGCTTGAGACGCCACGTCTGTTACCATGTCTGCACCGTCCGGCAGTGCGGCTACCTCCGGCCTGTCGAGAGGCTGGTGCGATGTCTCCCACGAAGCGCAAACGGCCAGGCCGTCTGCTACACAGTCCAACATGGACAAGCACAGCTTTGAAGCCATCGTCGCACGGATCGACGGTCTCCGGGATCCACAAGATGAGCTCAAGCTGACCCCGCTCCGCGCGCATTACCTCAAAAAGGCTCTTGTCAAGCTGCAGGTTCAAAAGGAGGTGCTACTGCTTAGCCGTCCAGGTGAGCCTGCAACTGATCTCGGCTCGCCGCACGTTCATTGACGATGCAGATACGCTCAGATGCACTGTCCACGCTCGGCCCGCCGTTCAGGCCATCGGCGCAAGCCCGGACGACGGATTTACCGATTATGCGCTACCTCTTTCATCACTTCGTCCTGACCTTCCCCTTTCTTCGCTCCGCCCCGCCGAACTTCTTCGCCGACAAGGTGCAGGTCTTCTTCGATCGCTTCCTCGAGCGCAACATCTCTGGAAGCGACGATCGCGAGGAGACCAGCAAGCGGCGCAAGATCGGCAACAAGATCGAAAAATACATCGTCCTGCTTTTTGGAAGTGCCGTGCATGTCAAGCCGGACGGCGCAGATGGAAAGGCAGGCGAAGAGGTGATCCGCATAGCAGAGGCGGATCGAAAGCGGATCGCCGAGGCCGAGCTGCGCATGAAGGCAGTCGCGGCAGGCAACCGTCGCTCAGGGCAATTCGACGTAGATGTCGTGTCCGTGCGCGCCATCACCATGAAAGGCCGGCTACGCTCCAAGATTCATGAAGAGTTCATCATCCGGTCGCGGACGACCGTGGACAACAAGCGGACAGATGTTTTTGTCAGTCGACGCTATGGCGACTTTGTCCGGCTGGCAGATACCCTGCGTCTCGAGTTCCCTGATGAAGACATACGGCCACCGCCTACAAAAGATCGCTCAAAGGTCGAGTTTCGACAGCGGAGTTTGAATGCCTCTCCGATGGCGCCAGCATCGGTCAACTCGTCCAATGCTGCTTCACCTGCTATGAACATGGTCGACTTGGGAGCATCACAGGCGCCAGCGCCGGTCCAGGTCAGCGACAATATGCCAATAGCGCGTGAAAAGAATCGCTTGACGCTCCGCGCGTACCTGCAATCGCTACTGGCAGTTCCAGCCCTCGCAGATAGCCGGATGATGGAGGACTTCTTGACGCGTGATCCTACCTCTCTGACTGAGGAGGAGCGCAAGGATGCTGCCCTCCGTCAGGAGCTTGATGCAGTGCGGGAGGAAGAAGCGGCACGCTTTGCAGAGGAAAGCAACAAGCGTGTCGCTGCGCTGCAAGAGCATCTGGCCAAGTTCAAGACGGATCTCATCCGCTCGGATGGACTGAGCCGCATCTTTGGCACGATCAAGGCCACGCCGAGCATGTACGACCTGCCGCAAGAATACCTCGCGCTGATCGCCTGGGCGCGCATCTCTACGGCCAGCACGCTCTTCCACATGTTCATGGGCAGTGACACGTCCTCTGAACTTTTCGCGCGCCTCAAGCGCGTGCACGGCCTGATGCCGTACTTTATGATGCGCGGCATCCTGCGTATCAGCAACCCGATCGCCATGATCCGCGGCGGGCTCGATCTCTTCCTCGCGCAGCCGTTTGGGAAGAAGAGTCTCATCCAACGCATGTTCAGCAGCGGGCTGCAGGAGGATGTCAAGGAGCTCTCGGGCCTTTGCGCGGCAGTAGAGGAAAAAGTAGCGGACGAACTGCTGTGTTCGAAGGTGTATGCTTTTATCGAGCTGCCGCAGGAGTTGCAGAGCCGACTGCGTAAGACGGCCGCAGACGAGCGCCTAGATCTCATCACTGTCATTCTCCGCAGCGTCGAGTGTGGAGAGCAGCTGCATGCCGTCCAGATCGACCGGGTCGTGCGAGCGAGCCGGTCGTACGAGGTGTACAAGGCATACCGCGCCGGCCTCGCCGAGGACGAAGAGGACGAAGGGCCGCAGAGTGAGGATGCGTGGCTTTACGAAGACCTGCATGTCCTCCTGCGCTGTGGCACGCGCCTGCGCGACAAGGAGCAGATGATCGAGCTCATCTTTGAAGGCGTCACCGCCGACCTACTCAAGGACATCATCACCATCTTCTACAGCCCGCTGGCGCAGGTGTACAAGGCTGCAAACATCTCGGACAGCCTGGTGGATCTCCAGAGTTTCATCGACGACCTCATCCGTACGATCGAGACGCATGAAGAACGTGAGCGCTGATGCTGCGAGCAGAAGCAGGAGATTCTTGCATAAATGTTGAGCTGAACTGCCTTTTTTCCTTTTTCCTCAGTGAGCTACACGAATCCCCAGGCAACGGTGCAAGTATTCATTGACTTGGTCGCCCGTCATGAGGCGCGCTTCTACAACTTCGTGCATCAGGTGCACTCCAAGGGCTCCGGTTTGTTCGACGGCCTGATGCACTGGATTGAGCTCTTCATCAACTTTGTACGCGGCAGCGGGACGAGCGCCAATGTCGGCGAGCGACGTGGGATCGGTGCGGTCGATCTGGACATCTGCCTGCCCGCCGGCGCTGAGGCACGCAAGAAGGCGATGGACGAGATCGATCTGCTCGTCGTGTATGCGTACCGCCAGAAGCTGCTGCGCGAGATCAAGCTACGCAGGCGGCTCGCGGAGAAGGAGGTCGAGGCGGCGGCGGACCGCTTGCTCAATAAAGGCCCGCGTGCCAGTGCCGGCCTCGGAAGCGACGCGGCGTTCGTCGAGGCCGTCGTTGACAACCTCGGCATCGGCGACATGTTTACGGGCGAGATGGAGGATGTGGAGGCGGAGGTGGAGGATGAGGACGAGGAGGATGAGGACGAAAGAGCCGAGAGCATTACTCCACGTCATCGCCATAATAGCGATTCGGACTTGGGACACGGTGCTCATGGCAGTGGATGGGCGCCGCGTGTGCACAGCGGTGACGAGGAGCCGAGTGGAAGCAGCTCAGCGCGCAAACAGACATCGCTATCTGCGAAGCCGGTGCCTCCTGAGCTTGTTTTGATTCCGGAGATGCTGCCGACTTTCATCGAGATGGTGAGTGCCGACACGTCTGTCCTCTGCCTTTGTTCAGCGACCTCGGCAGCACGCTCACGTGTCGTTCTCTCTTGTCCTTCCCCCACATTCACAAAGGTGCGCCCGCTGCTGCGTCCGGCGCGGACAGCGAACGGGACGGTGCAACGCGGCAACAGCTACGACTTCTTCCTCAACGCCGACACCTCCATCCCACTTCTTGATGCTCAGATGCAGAACGCCCATCTCGGGTAGGACGCGCAGCGGCAAGGCTGGTCCAATTAGCTCTGGGGCGCCGACGCAAACACCAACACGCAGGTACCGCACTTATGCAATACCCTACGCATGTGCTAGACATGACTACAGGCGTTTACGCTAGAATTGGTATTCCCTTGATGTTACGGACACTGTAGACGCAATTTTCTGCTCATCAACTATCTCAGCTCCCTCCGCCAGTCGCAATCAATGTAGATGTATGCATACTGCTGTCCTTTGGGTACCTTGCCCGCGTGACCAAAGCGCGATCAACAGTCGATGCGGGGAAGGACTGATGGAAGACGGAAGAGTATAGATGGATGCAGCCGTCCGTTACAAAAGCCAACCCTCATGTTGAGAGTGAGAGTCGCGGAAGTCGGAACGAATCGCGCAGCTTGCGCACGCGCCACGCCAGTCTTCGGCGGTTGTCGGGTGTGCAATTGCAATCCTTATGGGAGAGCAAGGAAATTTTGGCGCGTGGGGGTCCCAGCAGAGAAAAGCGAACAGAGTGCTGGCAAGGCAAAAGATGGCTTTGACTCTTCCATCGACACAGACGGAAACTCGCAATGGGCGAACTTCTTCATCGACCCTCTCCCTCCTCTCCGCCCGCACACGTCCCGTCGTCCATCCTTTGGCACAGCATATCTTACTCTGTCGGACCTTGAGCAGGTCTCGCCCCATCGCCGCCACCCTCACGCGCACAGGCAACCTTACAGTCCTTTTCTACGGGACCAATCATCAGTGGAGCCAGCCCATCTGATCTCAAGTGCACACCCTCGCTCACTCCCAATCATGTTCCAATCACCACTCTTCGCGCAGCTCAACAGGCCCAGCGCCAGCGCCGGCACCAGCGCCAGCTACCCCATTCGCGCCCCACTCGAGGCCGCTAAGTCGGGCCCTCAGGGCATCGACCTGTACTCCCGCTTTGCCCTCGCCGGTGCCATTGGCGTGAGTATACTACCCTCCCTCCACGGCGACAGTCGTTCGCATGGTAGCTTCAAAAGACGGCCATCAGTCGTTATCGGCGCTACGGAACAGATCTGCAGCGATCGTGCAAACCCTCTTGCTGACACGCATCTTCCTTTCCTTCCTGGGAATAGTGCGCCATCACCCACGGTGCTCTGACCCCGGTTGATGTCGTTAAGACTCGCATTCAGCTTGAGCCGGAGGTGTACAACAAGGTAGGTCCTCGACCCGTCAAAACTTATGAATCAGTCTCGCCTAAGGCTAACAGACGCGCTCGAACCGGAATTGGCACCCACCAGGGTATGATCACCGCATTCCGGCAAGTCGTCGCCAAGGAGGGCTCTGGTGCCCTCCTCACTGGTTTCGGCCCGACCGCCATGGGTTACTTTATTCAGGGAGCATTCAAGTGAGTGGTACCTAGTGATGTCGTTGATCATTGCACACGTGACTGACAGCGGTCTCTCTTTGGTTTTCCTTATCTAGGTTCGGAGGTGTGTTTTCGTATTTGCACGATACGCGAACTGCTTCAGCATGGCCGATTGACTGACGAGTTTCCCGATGATATTTTTGCGCGCACTTTCTTGCAGGATACGAGCTGTTCAAGAAGCAAATCATTGACATCGTAGGCTACGAAACAGCCCGGGAAAACCGAACGGCCGTCTACCTGGGTGCCTCTGCCATCGCCGAGTTCTTTGCCGACATTGCCCTCTGCCCACTCGAGGCGACCCGTATCCGTCTTGTCTCGCAGCCTGGCTTCGCAACCGGTCTCGTTGGCGGCTTCACCAAGATCGCCAAGCAAGAGGGTCTTGGTGGCTTCTACGCCGGTTTCGGCCCGATCCTGTTCAAGCAGGTTCCGTACACGATGGCCAAGTTTGCAGTGTTCGAGGTGGCCTTTGAGCAACTCGTCAAGGCGACCGGCAAGCCCAAGGAGGCACTGTCGTCAGGCACTATCACGACGCTTAACCTGACGGGTGGTGTCATTGCGGGTCTCGCCGCCGCCTTCATCTCGCAGCCAGCTGACACGCTGCTGTCGAAGATCAACAAGACCCAGGCCAAGCCAGGCGAGACGACCACTGGCCGCCTGATCAGCATGGCCCGTCAGCTCGGCGTCAAGGGCCTCTTCGGTGGCCTCGGCGCCCGTTTCGTCATGATCGGTACCCTCACCGCCGGTCAATTCGCAATCTACGGTGAGTTACCAAAGCGTTCCTGTTTACCAAGCTACTCGTGCTCGTCGTGCTGATGGGTTGCGTCACTGTTCCTCCTTTTGCGTCTCTACAGGTGACATCAAGAAGGCTCTTGGTGCCACGCAGGGTGTTGACATTGCGAAGTAAGCGGCTCTTTTTCCGTTTCGAGCAGGAGCTCGAGCGCTTGCCAGTGACTTGGGGTAGGAAGGATGACAAGCGAGAGACTGGGTACATACTTCCAGACGAACCTCCTACCGTTTGCCGCCGGGACCCTGCATATAGAGGTATAGCAAGAATCATGATTGAGGTGCTTCACGCAGCTCGTCTTTGTGTACCGGCCCCGCTCTCGCCTCTCTTGTTGCTTTGTCCACTTTCCATCTTTATGCTTCGCTTCGTGCGTACATACTTTGTGCACCTACTGGAGACAGGATATCCCAGTTCTTGGCGATGCCAGGCGTCAGCGACTGCTCTGGTTGAACCGAAGCGGAGTGTGATTCTCGATTCGGAAGAGGTGGATCCGATGTCTGCTCGTCAGGCTGTAGTCCTTTCCGACACATCGACTCGTGTCATCAATGCTGCTTATCGGTAATCGAAGCGTTGACAACATGTGAGGCTGGCTGTTTGGCTCTGAGGATCTAACTCTTGAGTTTGTTGAGGCTCGCCTCGACAAACATGACGTCCCAGCGAGGGGTATTCGATTCTGTCTCTTGTCTGCAGAGCACCGTGCGGACATATTCGGCTTGATGTCCTGCACTTTGCGTCACGACAACAGGAAGTCGCAAATCTGGCACCGGAGACAGCGACTACGAAGTAAAAGAGCCGCATGTATGCCTCATCCCGGCGATCATGTAGGTACATGATGAAGGTTCTCTCTACAGGAAGAGAAATGGCAACCAACATGGGGCGGGGGTATGTACAGACAGCAATGATCATTTTATCGATCCCTCGATAGTCGATACCAGTATGTATTCACCCACGTTGAGCTTTCGGGTGTCCAACATGCTCACCCATGTATGCTTTGCTGGAACAAGGTGCTCTCTGCAAAGTTGCACGGCGTCATGGACACGACTGCGGCGGCCTTTCTCGTCTCTTGTACATCTTGTCTGCAATCTGTCGACCAGGGAGGAAGAATTTGTGGAAACAGATTGTAGTTGGAAGGGCAACCAGTGAGAGATATCGTGGCCGGTGAGGCTCTGGCCTGTGTTTGTGTAAGCCTGTGCAACTCTGCAAGATGGTGAAGCCGTGATGAGAGAGCGGGCAGCGCTGGGTAGCGTTGTCGTCCACAGTCAGCGTCTCCAACATGACTCATATCAAAACTGTTCAAGGCTGTTCACGGTACCAGCATTTAGCCATTCGCCAGACCGGCCAGAGCTGTGTATCTTTCCTCTGGAAACGTTTGTTCACGGTCTGGCAACAGACTATATCCCAGCCTTCTCTCTCCCTCACTCCATCTCACACTGAATCTCACAAGAACCCGCATCGAGCGTTCGCTTCGTCCACACTCTCTGCCACGTCTGCCTTCAATATTATGTAATCTTCTGCATTCCCCGTGGGGAATCGCGATGGAAGCTGAAGCACCTCGCTGGTCAATAGAAATGTCGCTTTTAGGAAGCGAGCGACACGCATTCGGGGCACCCACTGATGATCACCCCACTCCAAGCCCAAGGAACGCTTGCTCATGAGCCAGGTCTGTTAGTGCCCAGGCGTCTTTCAGGTCGCAGTAGCGGATATGCACGTCATACATACATCCTTGGTACCAGGTACGCGCTCCAACGGGACGAGGAGGGTTCCTCTGTCGAGGAGTGAGAATCTGGGGTCTACATCAGTTCCATTCACTATTTTTTGTACGCACACGTCAGAACTCAGAAATACTGTATTTCTCTCACACAGTGTCCATTATCTCGCATTGACGCAGTCTGCGGTTTGATGTGAAAGAGGCCAAAAGCAGACACAACAAAGTTTCCGATAAGGGCTTCTGGACTTTGGGTCTACCCCTGCCTACCTTTTGCAGTGGGGTTAAGCAAGGTTCATTGAACGGAAGCAGCCGCACGCCATGAGAACGTATTCTGGACTTGCAGTAGCACAAAGGGTAAACCCCGCAACTCTGGTGCTCTCATTACTCAAGGGGGTGCGATGGCACCATTGTCACGGAAGTCGAAACGAATTCCCTGGAGCTGGAACGTATCGACGACCTTTGACAGGGCTATAGCGGCAAGGCAAGGCAATTTGCCACATGCTCGCATATTAACGCACATTCACGCCGTTTTTACTATGCTATTTGCAGCTGCTGTTCGCCTGTGTTCGCAGGTATTCCAGCAGGTTCTAACGCCCACAGTGCGCCGCTAGTCTTGTCCGTTGTCATGTCTTCGCTGAACCTGAGTTAGCCTTCATTATGCAACTGCGTCCAAGTGCGCGCCAATACCTGTGGGGCGGACGGCCTCGGTGAACAAGCGGGGGCGCCGGGATGGGTGGGGTGGGTTTGTGGAAGAGGAGCCGAGTTTGCCGCGTGTGATTCAATCGGTTGCGTGAGAGGCAATTGGGTTAGCCGGTCAGTGCGCTGTGGTGGCCAGCGCACTGGTCACTCACCTACAAATACAAACTCGTGCATCCATACATACAAACACTTAACTGCGACATGTATTTTGTGACAAGCCTTTGTCACGCTGGCCGCAGGAAAGAAAAAGCCACCGAAGTTCGAAAGAAGAAACTTGTGCAATTGTGCGATTCGCCACTCACGCCACCCACGCCACCCTCTTTCTGACAGTTTGCGGTACCGCTCACGTCAAAAGCGCGGGGGTGGCTCAGCCCTCGGGGGAAAGAGAACCACGAGAAACTAGAAAGAATCACGCGAAACTTTCAGTTCTGGACCGTGAAGAGAAAGCGAGCTTCTCGGTAGCTGCTTCTGCAATCTCAAGAGATGATTTCTTCATTTTCTATTGTGAGACGATTCTGCATTCTCCAGCAACGACCGAGGTGTGTGGAGTTTGTGCAGTGTGCGTGACCAGTGGGAATGCAGCATACATACTGTCGCAACTGGCGCCCGGTTTTCTCCGCAGACTTGACAGATCCCCCTTCCCACCCGCCCACAAGCACGAGGTGGCGGCTGGCACGTGCTGGGGGCCTGGGGCCTGTGGAGTGTGGGCTAGCGACTCCTTCCTGGCGGTGACATGCTCTCTCTGACTTTTGCATCTGCCTTCCTTCGCTTGCCCCCCAGGCTCGAGTCTGCTCCTTGTGTCATGATGCACGTCGACATCGATTGCGGTTGGCTGTTGGCACCTTGGTTTCATTTAGAGTCAGAGCAGACGACAAAAAAAGAACAGAAGCCAATTGAAATTGAATGGATTGATTGCTCCCTATCTGAAAGAGGAGGCTCTTTCCCTTCGCTCTTCTCTGTGGGGTTTCAACTACTCTGCCTGGCTGGCTGGCGAAAGTGATCCAAAACTGCTTTAGGTGGATTGATTACCGGGCACTGCTGCAGTACATACGTAGATAGTAGAGAGTGCCCGTCCGCATAGAGCGCCTGGCGGATTCCAACCTGCGACATTTTTTTTCCATCTTTCTCGCGCGGCTCTCTCTCTTTTTCCCCCCGGGTCCCCCACGATAGCCCCAGCCTCACCCATGTCTCGCCATTCTATCGCTGCCTGGTCTATTTCAACTTCCTTCATTGGAACTTCATCACGACCCGACCGCCCTCGAAGCGATCATCCTGTGTCTTTGGTGGGAGAAGAAGGAAAGAGGTGAGTATGTGGCGGAGGTGGGTGAGGGTGAGCCTTGTTGGCTGATGCTTATCTTGGCACACATGCACATCGCCGTCGCCAGCTCTTTCCGAACCGAGCCCTGCCGAGTGAAATGCGTGCAGCCAAAGTTTGAAGGCAGGCAGACCTTTGGCCTTCTCCAATCCTCCTCTTCCTCCTTCTTGCAAAGAAGCGATCCTCCACCGTCGTTAGCCAACCTGCTCCCCACATCAGAGCGAGCATCCAGGTCATTAGCACAAGCAGGGCATCGTGCATTCTCCCTTCGCGCAGAAACACGCGAGTGCGCGCGCAAGGTGTTGGAGACGGCATCAATCGCCGTTTCCCTTTGATCCTATCCGACGCCATCGATAGCGTCTACAGATACAAATATGGCGGACGGATCAAAAGCTCACGAGCCATTGGCCTCGGCTGCCGATCCTTCAGCGGCGAGCAATGCGATGGCAGCTGCGGCGGCAGCAGCTGCAGCGCAGCAGCAGGACAAGTCGCAGATTCCGCGGCCTTACAAGTGCCCACTGTGCCCGCGTGCTTTCTATCGCCTCGAGCATCAGACGCGGCACATTCGCACGCATACAGGCGAGAAACCGCACGCTTGCACACATCCCGGCTGCGAAAAACGCTTTAGCCGCAGCGACGAGCTGACGCGTCATGTCCGCATCCACACGAACCCAAAGAAGGGCGCACATTCACATACCACTGCGGCAGCCCTTGCCTCTTCGGCGAACGAAAGGAGCAAGGAAAAGGGGCGCGTTAGAGGCAAGGCTGCAGCAACAGGCCACAGCAAACGCTCCACCTCAAAGTGGCAAGTCGGAAGCATGGGCGATGATGACGACGACGAGGAGGGTGGGAACGACGATGAGGAGGATGAGGTTAAGGATGAAGACGAAGACGCAGATGCGGACGACTCGGACGAGGACATGCCGCTCCATGTCTTGCCTCCGTCGGCCATCGCTGGTGGCCACGCAGCGCATCCATCAGCTGCAGGTGCAACGATGGCCTATAGCAATCCACACTACGCCGCCGGGTACTACCAAGCCGGTGCTGCGCCCGGCGCACCTGCTCATCATGGCGTGCGCTATCAAGCTCCAGCTTCAGCGTCGGCGTATTATGGCGTACCCATACCACATGGCTCGCAGCAGCAGCAGCTTCACCACCACCACCCTCCTACCTCGCATGCACCTCCCATGTCCGCGCTGGCCATGCTTGCAAACGACGAGCTGACCGAGATGCAGCACCGTGCTGCTGCTACGGGAGCAGGTTCTGGTTACGTAGATGCGTACGGCAGGCCCATTCCGCCACCTCCGCCTGCGCACCACTACGCTCATCACCCTCGTGCGCCTCATCACCATCAAGCAGCAGCAGCAGCAGGTCACGCTTCTCCGTACGGCACAAGCCCCGTGTACACCACGTACCCTCCTACACAGCCATCAGCACCAACCACTGCCGGCAGCCCCTCGGCCGCCGCTAGTCTCGACGGCAGGGGCGAGTCGCCGCCGCAGTGCGACCACGGCGATTGCCATCGCAAGTACAACGACCGCATCGCCTCGGCGCTTCGCACGAATTTTCGTGATGAACTAGGAGCACGGTACCGCAGCGGCGGCGTAGGAGGACCATCCGCACCTGCACCCCTTCATGCTCCATCCGCATCATCATCAGGCGCAGGACCCATTGCTGCAGCAGTAGGCGGGGGTGGCTCATCTTCCGCCGCTTCCTCTTCCACTACCTCTTCCATATATGGAAGCAGCAGCACGAGCAACACGCCCGGAACCGGCAGCAGAGAGACTTCCTCTAACTTTAAGCACTTCCGTGGCTCCTCCACTGGAACAGGGTCGGCAATAAGTAGCGCCTGCGTCTCACCAAAGTTGCAGCCACAAGACAGTCCGATGGGTGATGGTGGCGAGGAGTACGAGCATGGATGTGCAGCCCATCATCGCTCTGCGGGCGCTGGGCCAGGTGCGGGGTCAGGGTCAGCATCAGGATGGTCTCGAAGCGGCAGCTGTGCTGCGCAGTGGACCCCTTCTGGTAGTCCAGTGCTTGGACCGCTGCGCAGCATGAGCCTGCTTGGCTCTTCGCGCACCGTCCCCAACTCGCCGCACGCCTCCAGGCCAGGCTCCCCGATTCTCAGTGGTAATTCCAGCACGCTGCGCGGGGGCAAGGAGAGCACGCATTCGCCGCCTTATGTGCATCAGCACAGCCAGCACCATCACCACCACCACCCGCACTACACCCACGCGCACCCGCACCATTTGCATCACCACCTGCACGCCATCCACGCTGCACATGCAGGCGGTGAGGGCCCGCTGCACTCACCTGGGGTCGGCCACCACGGTTCGCATCGACACCGCAGCCATCCGTACGGCCTGCCGCCGCCCGACTCGTTTCGCTCGCGCTCGCATCATCACCTCTCCAGCCTGACGCTGACAGCTGGCTCCACGCCTGCAGGGGCATCCAGAGCTGCGTCACCCACGCCGTCGCCGTCGCTGCAGCAGACAGCGACCTTCACATCTGGAGAACGCTCAACTGCAGCAACTACGCCGGCATCTGCCTCTGCCTCTACACGGTCGCCGACGACGCCGACGAACGAGGCGCTCGGCAGCACTGCTGGCTCGCGGCAAACGTCGCCGGTGGCTGGCGAGTTGCTAGGCTCACGCAAGGTCACTCGTAGGATGAGCTTTGGAACCAAAACTGGTGCACTTGGACTGGCCGCATACCACCTTTCCGAGCGCGGAGCCGCCGCCGCTGGTGGTGCTGGGTCTGCTGGGACGTCTCCGCAGGACGACGATGGACGCAGAAGCCGCATACACAATATCCTGCAGTCGCACTCCGCTAGCAGCAGCGGGGCTAGTCGCGTGCTGCCCCCGCCCAGCGCCTATCACGGGAGCTCGCATCGCAGTGCCTCGCGCTCGGCGCCCACCAGCGCAGCGATCACGCCTCCCGGCTCGCCCCGCGCGCACCACCAACACGCTTCACTGCTGCCCCCACATGGCCTCACGCAAGCTTTGAACACGGCTGCGAGCCACGTGCAATGGAGGCAGCAGCAACAGAACGGCAGTGGCGGCGCGGCGACGGCGCGCGAGCACCACTATCGGAGCATCGAATCGAGCCCCGTGTCGGAGCATTCGCACATCTCGCACAAGCCTGGCTTGACGCACGCGCACAACAGCGGGAGCAGCAACGCGAGCTTCGCGACGCCTAGCGGTGAGAGCTCGCCGCATGGCGCGCTGGGAAGTGGTGTCCTCGCCCAGCAGCATCACTTGTCGTCGGGCGGCAAGGGCAAGCTACCGTCCATCCCAAGCATGACGCCCATCTTTGGCACATCAGGCAGCGCCAGCGGCAATGGTAACACCAGCAATGGCTCAAGCTTGACGTCGCTCCCTCCGCTCACCCAGGCGCTCTCCTCCCTATCCACTTCCCGCGACTCTGCCACGCTGCCACCACCGATGCTCAAGACGGACAGCTGTGCTTCCTCGGCCTCGACAGGTCCTGTTGCTGCACGCGAGATGACCACGGGAAACTAGACGACATTAGACTGTAGAACATGGAGTTTCTTCTAGCGTTTGCGAGTCAATCATCATCTCTGGCATTCAGGATCACACTTCTGCATCTTCTCTCGGACACATGTATCACACCCTACTTTACTTGGCTCTCCTACTTTGCAGTAATTAGTAATTTGCCACTTCTCGTTCGCAATAGAGATGCAGCTTTGTCCATTGAAAAAAAAACGAAGGCGCACGCGTAAGACTTGCGATGACTGCCATTCAGTATCAGACTCATTGCATCATATGCTGTCAGTACGTTCATATGACATATTGCAGAGAATGTAAGGAACGTAATAACGATACAAGCAAAGAACAATCTAAAAGCGGGACGAGGAATAAAACAAGATGGTGCATGAACCAACGCAATGGAGGAACCTCAAGAGAAAGCTGATTATGATGACTGTTATGCAATGTTGCATCCACTGCTGAACCACCACGACGACTGGCGGAGTTGTTCGATCCAATGTACAACGAGTCGCAGTCGCAGACGCGAACTACAGATGGGCAGAAGCTTGGCCTTTTCGTGCTCGCCAATGGGCCTGGTCATACGTTTGAAAACAGTCAGGGTCGGGCCATCGTGGTGAGTGAAGGTCCCATGCGGCGCTCACATTATCAGGGCAATCCAGTAGCCAAGACGCTCGACCTCGTGCGCCTCAGGCATTGGGCCATATGTGTGATTGAGCCGGGTCAGGAGCCATGGTGCAGAGCCTAAGCGAAGCGTGGCGACGAAGGTCATGCAAACGTCTACGAGCTCGGCAGTCGAAGCCTCTCTCTGCCATTGCAGCTGCTCTTCAGCAACGGCGAGGTCGCAGGGTACTGACGGCGTGCCTGCTGACTGCGAGCGACTGGCTTGTTCGTGATCTGTGGAACTTTCAGTCGACGGCGTTCGATAGAGTCCGGCGCTGCTCCCTTGCCTCTCATCGTGTTCGTCCGAGTCATCTCGCAGATGGTCTAGGCTGCGAAGCTCTTGTGGAAGGATTCAGGAATTTGACGACCACAGGGGCCCACTGCCGGGCACGCCCGGAAGTTCGGCGTTGCGCGCCATTACAGAAGCTTCGAGATCGGCTTGTTCTGGTGGCGAAAGGTCGTCAATATTCTCGATGCGGCCGACCGTGTAGCCATCCAGAGAGCCCTTCTTCAGCAGGCGGAAGCGGTAGCTGCCAACTGTTTCGAGCATGCTTCGTCCATCCGGCAGCATTTGTACCGACTTGATCTGGAGCATGGTGCCGTAAGGCGACACCCTCGGAACAGGTCCAGTCGTCGTCCTTGAAGGTAGCACCATTCAGAGTCTGAATAGTGAGGGATTACGAGATCAGCGACGGGCAAGAAACGAAATCGGAGCGCAGCGGGCGGCGAAGCTCACCTTGGGTTGCCACTCTCCAGACAGCGCCGTATCATCAGCCTGTACCTGGGCTCAAAGGTGTGCAGCACGGTGGGCATGCCCGGGAAAGCGAGTGTGCAGACAAAGATCGAAGTGGACATGTAGGCATCCCGTTCCTCCTGCTCCAGCGAGATCCTCCGCGCCTCGTAGAGGTCCTTGAAGCCGAAGATGACCGGGGCGCCGCCACTGGGAGCAGGATCAGACGCTGGGCTGCCGACTTCGACTTGCGTGGTGATGAGGTTTGTGAGGAGCTGGTTGCCAGGGTGCTCTTGGAAGAAGGCAAAGCTCGGCAGGTTCGACCTGCAGAGCGGGCACTTCTCACTGTGGTCCAAGCTGCGCGAAAAGCACGAACGGCAGAACGTGTGACTGCAGGGTGTTGTCAGCGGCTTGTAGAGCAAGTTGTAGCAGAGCTGACATTCGACCGTGTCGAGCAACTCTGTATGCAGCCGTTCGAGGTCGAGCTGCTCCATATGCACCGACTTGCCTTGTTGCTCGCAGTCGAAGGGGCAGTCGCCGCGGCTGACGCCGCAGCGGCTTCTGAGTCCCAGTCGGACCAACCCGTGTCACGCGGAGGGCTCTGTGTGCCACTCTTCTTGCCAAAATCAGCACCGTCGAGGAGGGCGCTGCTGCGCTTGCGCTTCGCCTTGCCGTTTGAGCTGCGCGGGCCCAGCTGTGACAGCGCAAACGCAGTCCGACTATGGCCGAACGACCGCGCCATCAACGTCATCGCCCATAATCGACTCGGGGGCATTTGGGTGGTAGTGATAGCCGTGCTCGAGATATTCCTCCGCTTCGTCGTCAGCGTCCTTTATGGTGAGTTCGGTGTCGTCTTCCTTATCGTCTTCGTCTTGGCCGTCATGGGCCATGTGGTGGGTAAGACTGTTGTCGAAAAAGGCAGCGCAAGACGGATCCTTATCGCGATCGCCGTGGTCGGCTTTTCCGGATTGCTTACGGCCCTCGACCTCATCATCATCCTCACAGTCGTCGTCGTCGTCTTCGACGCCTCGCCCACGGACAGGGATAGCGGCCACGCCACTCTGTGTGCCTCTTTCCAGGCTCGCTTTGCCGTGCATGACAGGCAACGGGCCATTGGGCCGTCTGCACATGGCAGCAGATCTGGCGATCAATGTCCTACCCCCGGGGAAGCCAGCTTCAGCTCCCCCTCCGGATACGGACCCGGCATCGACACCTGCGGCGCTGCGTCGCTGGTGCCCTGCGCCACTGTGTCGCCAGGCAGTAGTGCTCTGTCGGCTGCCGCCGAGCGACTGGTGCTGGTGTTTCGGGTGCACCTCGGGGTCGTACCGGACACTTTGGCCAGCCCAGAGGCCGAGCCCCCTGCCGATGGTGCTGCGCGGACAGGCGTGCAGCGGACATGGCGCGGTGCTCGAGCTGAGCGGGAAGCGCGGAGGTACATGCGAAATGCACAGTAGTGGCGACGGGCCAAGGTGCCGCGCTAGACGGACGGATGCTGCTGCTGTAGCTGCGCTACAGCCTCTCTCTGCGGTTGTCGCAGCGGAGGAGGTCGATGGGGTACCGGGCTCAGAGGTAAAGCTACATGCACCTCCTCCCCCTCCTGCAGTTGCAGGCTCACCGGGGAACGGCAGGCCGGCGTTGATGCAGAGGCAGCGCCGGCACGCCGAGTGACCGCACGACAGCGTGACTGGCTCGCTGAGTCGCTCTTTTCATGCGGCGCAGCGTGCGAGGTCGAGCAGCGCACGCGCCGCCCGCCGCAGCTGCGCTTGCGGTCGTAGTGGGGGTTGAGAGTGAGCGTGCGGCCGCGCTCGCACGAGTGCGGATGCGGCTCCGGGTTGGAAGACGGATGATGAGGGAGTGCTGCTACCACTACAGTTCCTGCTTATCGGCACAGGTGCAACAGTATCGGCAGTTGCGGGGGTGACCGTCGCCGTTGTCGCTGACGAGGAACCGTCGACTGACGATGGCGACGCTGCCGCCGCTGCATGGGACCCGCCAGTTACAGGAGCACAGACCGCTGCCGTAGACGACGGTGCGTGCCCGTCGAGCCGATGCTGCTGTTAGTCAAGATTGGAATTGGGCGAAGAACCGGACGGCACAGCGTGTGCTGCGCCGATGGGGGACGGCATGTACTGCGAATGGTGTATACGTCGACCGTGCATAGCAAGTGGCTGCGCCTGCTGGGTCTCTTGCGTCCGACTGGCCGATTTATCTTGCAGATCGGACCCGGAGCGACGGTCTGCGACTGCCGCCTGAGCGCTGGAGGCCTCAGGGCCACGGTTTATGCGCTACTGCTGCGGTGGATCTACCATGCTCTCTGTTCGTGCAACGCAATCCTCTTGCGGCATTTGGCTCACTCTACGCGCCTACGACTTGATGAAGTACGCTCTCGCCCCTGCTCGCAATGCTCTCACCGCTCACTATCCGCTTACTTGACAATGATGTGTATGTGCCGCGTGCAAGGTGCGCCCTGGGAACCCCGGGGGGAGGGCGGGCGATGCGTGTCGCCGGCGTGCACATCTACGAGCGCATTGATGGCACTGGGCGGACCGGAGCGGGGTGCATGTCTCCTTTCCGTCTCGCTGACAAGTTTTGCGCCGCTGTCGGAAAAACGGGGGAGATGAAGGAGTTAGGTTGGACGAGGTCCTCATTCAGAGCGCGATGGCCTTTCGTTCGTTCGTTCACGTTGAACGACGAGGCGGTCGAAGTTGACAGCATGGGGTCACGCGAGCGGACGGGCGGACGAGCAAGAGGGGATCTTTTCAAGGTGGGCGCGCTCGTTGGACAAATTGCTCGCGACCGTTATTGTCAGCGAGATAAAAGGGCGGGCGTGCTTGTTTCAGAAATGTGTATGCGAGGAAAATGGAATCAATGGTGGTATAGCGAGTCATACGCGCTCGCTACTGGCTGCTGGCGAGGTGATGCAGCCGACTGTTTGAGGAAAGCGCGAGATCGACCGTTCTCACAGCCCCACGGGCCAGCAGCGGCCATCCGCATCATCATCACTACTTTGGAACAGTACAGGCAGTCACTGGCCTGCTGTGCATGCGTGACACTCGACCATTTTGATTTTTTAACAATACTTCCTGCCTGCCTGCTTGCTCTCCCTCTCTATTCATCCAGCTGCGCAGCACAGAGTGAGTGCGACATGAATCGCTGCGAGCCAGTGCCATTCTCTACGACACGGCACAGCGGCTGAGAAGCAAGACAAAGTCTGCTCTCGACGACAACCCCTCGATCACCGCTGCCGATCGCCGCAATCATCTTCTTCTTTATTGTTGCGACCGCGCTTACCGTGAATGAATGGGAAGAGGTGCAGAGCCAACGCACAAAGTGAGGGTTACTGGCTAGATTCATACAAGTCGGAGCACTGTACATGTGCATAGAGCATAGTCGTGCACGAGTGATGAATGGGGTGGGGAGGAGAGGTTGGTTGGATGTGCCGATGGTGGGGCCCGTGGCGTGACAGGGCGGAATGCATAGTCACGTGATCATTTCGGTCCTTCACAACGCGCTATTCTCGCTCCTCGGAAAGTCCGGGTCCCGCGTCCCGACAGATCCTCTCGCTCTCTCGGCACACCACGTCGCGTCCCAGCTGTCTGCGCACGTATATCTGCTGGCTGTGTAAGGTGTACATGGCCTGCTCGCGCGCAGAGCTCAATGGCGCGAGCGTCCGCGACGAGGTCGAGTGAAGTCGGACATGCGGGACACTTGCGCCCTTGAGCACAGGGGTTAGCGAGATCAAGGCAAACGAAAAAGGTGCAAAGTCTGCGCTTTGCGCGGAAAGAGGTGCGCCCGTGCACGCGGCCAATTCAAGGGTTCTGGTCACTTTAGAAACGACGCACCAGCGCTGGCGGTCGCTCATGCATATATCCTTCTCTTGTCTGTACATTCGATCGGGTTCACATGCCAGATGCACACGCCTGCCTTGCTCCCCAGCAGCAGCAGCAAATGCACCAGTGACGGCCCATGTTGCTCATCCCAGAGGACGCAATCCTGCGCTTCCGGCACTCGCTGCTGCATGACGCGGCACAGCGTGCCGCCGCCGCGCATCAACTCGTCATCCTGCTCGCGCAGGTCGCGCTGGCGCTGGCCCTCTGTGTCGCTGCGCGCATATGGTTCATCCTGCCAAGGAGAGCGGGCCGCACCAGCAGCAGCAGCGCTGGTGCAGGTGGGATACACAGGCCGCGCGGACGCGCTGCTCACGCCAGTGCGCAGGCGGATGAGACGTGCAGCTTAGCCCTTCTCCTCGGGTCCGGTCAGTCCTTCCTTCGTGCCTAGGGGTTGTCTCGGAGTGTTGCTCACTCCGAGAATGGGGCAAGCAGCGACTGACGCCGGCTTGCTTTCGTCCCCTGTCCCCTCCTCCCGCCCGCACACACGCCGCTCTCCCGCTGCATGCGTACGTCTGTACCTCCACGTCTGTCTCTGCCCTCGCAGGAGGCCACACGACCGAGATGCTGCAGCTCCTCTCTGCTCTGCCTCCGCAGCGCTACGCGTCGCGGACGTACCTCGTCTCCTCAGGGGACCGCTTCAGCGCACACAAAGCCCGCGAACACGAACGCGGCATGCGCGCAGCTGTGCAGACTCAATCGCAACCGGACTCTGATTCCGCCGCCGCCCCAGCAGCAGAAGATGTAGTAAAGGAAGAGGAGAACGCTCGCATCATTGTGCTCCCGCGCGCTCGCGATGTGCACCAATCCGTGCTCACGACGCCGCTCACGCTGCTGCGCTCGCTGCTCGTCTGCCTCTGGGTCGTCGCGCTGCAACCGCTGCTGTTTGGCCCGTCGCCACCGCTACCAGGGGCAGGAGCAAAGACAGGACAAAGTGGACGCGGGCGGAGGGGAAGAATGCTGGCGGACGTGATATTGCTCAACGGGCCTGGGACGTGCGTGCCTGTGGTGCTTGCCGTCTACGTCTTGCGAGTGAGTCGCAATTTAATGCGAATGGGGGCTTTGCACATCGTACCAAACAAATCGCTGACACTGACCACTCTTCATTCCCCTCCTCTCTCTGCGCCTACTTGCAACGCAAACCCCTCGCTGCGTGCAAACAAGATTTTCGCACTCCCATCTCCACGGCTGATCTACGTCGAGTCGTTCGCGCGCGTCCGCCACCTCTCACTGACCGGCAAGCTCCTGCGCCCGCTCGTCGACCGCTTCGTCGTGCAGTGGCCCCAGCTCGCCGCGCCCGCAACCGCCGCTGCCGGTAGCGACGCCAAGGAGGAGAGCAAGGTGACGCTTCAAGTTCCTCCGTGTGCGGACGTCGAGTGCATCGGCTGGCTCGTGTGAGCTGCACCGTACCCTATCGCACGGGCAAGCGCCGCGATGACTGCTCTCTGAATGAGGCCAAAGTGGCAAAGGATGGAGAAGATGTATTTCGCATGCACAAAAGATTCAGAGAACTCACGGTGGGGGGGACGAGCAGTCCCGAACAGCGCTCGGCACACCTTGCACACTTGCGCCTTCGTAGGGCGGTCGCCCAGACTCACTGATCAAAGGCTCAACTTACTGAAAAGCGGTCCGTAAATTTAACAAATGCCTCAGCCCTCCTACATACTGTATATACAACTGATGAGCACCTTCGAGGCCCGATCGCTTGCTTCACGCAGTGTGCATACCCCACGGTGACACTTGGACGCGATATCTGCCCTTGCTCGCCTGACAGTTCTTCCGTTCTTCCGCGAAGAGTCCATTGTTACATATGCATAGATACTCACACTGTCGCACAGCGCACTGGCCCTTGTGCTGTAATTACAATGGACAAGGCGCAAGCCATATGTGTTAACGTATGTTCGAATATAATGGGAGCTGTCGGACCTGTCGAATGTTTACCGGACCGGGTGCGCCAGAGAACGTTGACCCAAGCGACCGACTTCGTCGCGGGTTCGTGTGTTGCTTTTTGCCACAAACCCACGAACGCATCTGAGGCTTGTAGTCCCCCGGGTCAGGATCAGAAATGGAAAGGGGGAGGAGCGTGCCAGCATCCCCTTTGTGGAGCCGATGGACTAATACTCACAATGAGGGAGAATCAATGGACGGACGTCATCCCTTTGTGGGCTCGCGTTGGTGCCTTCAATTGGCTCGTCTCTTTGAGACCACTCACACCGACGCGGGCTCAGGCGCCCAGGCTTCTCGTGACTCCTCATACCATGTTCCGATAAGAAAGGAGCAAGCAGCTAAAGTAATCTAACAGAGCTCTCAGCTCGGCCTCGCGTGAAGCCTGAACATTAGAGATACAAGCAATGGTGTACTCCACCATCGCAGCATCCCTTTCGCCCACTGTCGACAGGGGCTGAAGCTTGTCGTGGCGACATGTATATGATGGATCGAATGCGCAATCCATGTATGGCAAGGATGGCTATCGCCAACCAATCGAAAAATTCCCTACTGCCCGGTCATGCTCCCAAGACCTTTGCTCGCCGCGTAAGTCTGCCTAGGACGATCCTACCGCTCGAGCAGCTGTCAAGTCAAAAACATGTCGCTGGAAGCTTGCGATTCTGAACGCGGAGCATCGACATTTGCCGCTTCCCAGCCGTACACACCTCTGCCTCCGCCTCCAAGCACGCCGGAAGCAGCATCATCGCCATGGAACATCAGCTCTCGAGCAGCCCTGCATCGACTGGGTGTGGGCAGCAACAACAGAAGCAGCAATAGCAGCGGCGAAGGCGCAAGACCCACCTCTCAATTTTGCAGGCAAGACGGAGCACTGAAGCGACAAAGGATCGTCGCGGGTCCCTCGAGCGAGCTGCTCGCGAGCTCAAGGCGGTTGATCCACGCGACCTCGCCGTCACCATCGCCCTCAAGCGGCTGCATAGCGAACCGCGAACGCCGCAACGCGTCGCCTCCTCTTGTGCCTGGAGATCTTCGCGTTTACCGCTGCAAGTCCACTCATAGTAGGTGCTGCCGTCCGCCTTCTCCCAGCTTGGAGGCGCTTCACCATGGAAGCAGTGGAATACAATCGCGACGGAGATCAGAAGCAGGAAGGACGAGCTCACAGCACTCAGAAGCACTGCGGAGTTCCAGTGGCAGTGACTGCACTGGAAGCTTCAGATGGGTCAGGAAGAGCAGCCAAGATGTGAGCTTGCGCATCGATGCGTCTCGACGAGGATCTGGTGCGCGGCAAGGCGCGTATCCATTGCAGCAACAGCTGCTGCTGTTGTTGCTGCAGCAGCAAGTGAAGCCGACACCACGACGTCCATCGACAAGTCAGCCAGAGTCGCTACCATCACCGCAAGAAATGATCAAAGTGGACGCTGCATCACGCATGCCATCCTTAGCAGGGCCTATTGACCTTGAAAGCTGAAAGCTGACATGGACAACCAGAGACGGGAGGTGTCGCATTGTTTGGACGATTTGCTCGATCGTTCGTCCGCTAGCATTAGCCATCGCCCACGAGAGATCTTGGACCTAAAAGGGCGAAGAGTTTGGCTTGCAGCTGCTTTGTTGCTGGAGACCGTTTGACTGCAATGTACCCTAATTCTATCACATACACAATGTAGTATGGTGATTGTTGGCCTGTTCATGTCGTGCATTTCGCGGTGAAGATGATGGTGAGTAACGGTGAGAGCGCGTGCTCCACCACGTTGCGAACCCGCCGAGTTCGAACACGTGCGCGCGGCGGGATATCGCCCCGAGAACTGCTGCAGTGCCCCGGGCAACCATCAAAGACGAGCAGCCCACTGAAAGTGAAGACATACCTGATTGCGATCCACTATCTTCAACCATGTATGCTTGACTCCCATAGCTACCACCACATCCACAGCTCGCTGTCTGGACTATCGCAAGCAGCATATTCGTCCCAACAGGCCAGTGATCGTGTGTCTATAAAACGCGTGGAAGCATTGCGCTCGCAGCCGAGGCCCTCAAACGCCAATAGAACGCGTCTCGTCTCGCTGCCCTTCCGTCGGACAGTATATAGGGACCTCTTTCAAGGTTGCTCACCAATCTAGCAATTCACAATAAGGTGCAGACAGTGAGAAGGCAAAGTGAGTATGCGCATCTTTACAGATGTCGCGCCTGCGTGCGCATATCTGGGATGAGCTGACACATCAAGCTCTGCAGCCATCTGCATTGAGGACCTCAGCGGTGAATGGAGCAGCCTCAGTCGTTCCCCCCTCAATCCAACCTCGAGCACCGACATGACCGGTCCGCGCAAACCTCATCGTCTCCGTCATCGTCGCCATCGCCTCCACAAAGACAGCAGCACCAGTCCATTACATCAGCAGCGACTCACGGAAGCGCCTTTTCATCCGATGCATCCTCAGCGGATGCTGCATACAACCAGGCGTCTTACAAACTTGCCGAGATGGGGCTGAGCCAGGCTAAGAACGCCGAGGCCACCGCCCTTGCATCAATAGGCAGCGGCGTTGATGGCGATGCTGGTCCATCCCCTCGTCGGGAACAGGCTTCGATGAGGATACAAGCGTCGCTGCCGGCTTGCTCGCCGCCCAAGAGAGCGGAAGCTGAAACCCCACGCTCGCGTCCAGCAGCGGCGATCTCATCGCCGAATGGCAGGTCTCCAGGCCAGCCTGATTCTTGCGGCCTATCATCGCCTGCTGGGCTCTCTCCCGGTGGTGGCGGCGGCGGATTGCATATCAGCCTGCCGCCTAACTATCCAGCGCTCGGACAAAACGTTTTTTCACCCACAGCCAAATCTTCTAAGGCCTCATCGCCGGTGACGGCCATTGTCGGCAGTAGTGGTTCGACTTTTTCCAGCGGAAGTGGCATGGCCGCGCCAGTTACTGCAAGGAACGACGATGTGTCGGATTTGGAGGATGCTGTCGAGTCTTTCGCTGGGGACCCAAAGGGGCACGAGAAGGGACAAGGCTGGCCGATGTCAGCGCCTTTGCAAACGACGTTGCAGAGCTTTAATGCCTCGAGAGCTGCACCTTCTAGAGATGGAAAAGAGCAGGGCAAGAGCGGCGCGCTTGGGCAAGGGGGCTCGGCCCGGGCGTCCAGGCATCAGACGAGCGGGCCTGTCCCTGCCGGTCTCGAGTACGCTTCACTCGAGTGGAGTCCACACAAGCGGCTGACATCTGTAGACCCGCTCAGCAGCGAGTCAGGCGGGCGGACGGGGATGGCGGTCAAGTCTTCCGCACAGAGCAGCGGCAGGCTCGCAGGCGGCTCATCCAAGGAGGAGCGCAGTCCTAGCACACGTATGACACCGCGCAGGAGTGGGGTGCTGGATGTCAATGGCTCGTCAGCAGCATTGCAACAGCAACAAGAGAGTAAAGCATTGGCCAAGATGGCAAAAGATGGCGGAGACTTCAGCCTTCCTCCCGCCATGTTGAGCTCTGGGCGGAAAGCTTCGGTCAGCCTGCAACTCTTCAAGGAAACTGGCTCAGCCGGGGTCATCCCTCAGCTAGCATCGTCAAAACTGGGAAAAGAAGCAGCTGCAGCTGCCAGTGCCGTGGCGAGTAGCCGGTCGCCACGGGCAACAGCGATGGCTGCAACATCAGAAGCAGCTGAGTCTGCTGCAGCCCCTTCGTCCTCCTCGGCGGCTCGTTCTTCGTCCATGTGGCCTCCTGCTGTTCCATCATCAATTATCAGCAGCGAAAGACGCGCGGATGCCACCAGCACTGCTGCTGCTCATGAGCCCAGCGCACCTGGCCACCTGAATCCGGCGCTGCGCAGCCCGTCTGCAGACGTGTTCAATGCGTCTTCGCAGCATGCCAAGGAGCCGACGATGGAGCCTAGTCTTTCAGAGCAGAGTCGTCCGCTCGAGGTCGAGAGCCGAACCGTTGAGACGCTTCTCTCAACTGTCACATCAAAAGGCGGCATTGTGGGCATCCAGCCTCATGGTCGGAGCTTCGTGCCGTCTCAGGGGGATGCCACCGATTCGGAGGAGCAGTGGTCCGCGACGGAATTCGAGGAGACCGAGAGCGAGGACGACCAGAATGACTGGGGGGTCGGAGAAGAGGGAAATGCAGGCGAGTATGCGAGCCCGTCCTTTAGCCCGGACTTCGAGGGCTTTGACATGGATAGGAGGATACGCGCTCGGCCTCGCTCGCGACAGCGCCAACTTGCAGCGGGCGTGGAGCCGAGTGAGGGGGGGCAGCTTCGCGGATCAATCGTCATTCCTTCGCCATCCGCCTCGCACCCTCCCTCTCCCCATGAGCACCGACACAGTGCGCACAGCGCACGTGCGCCCGCCGTGGTCCAGCTGCAGCCGTTCAACAACCAGGTCGGCGGGCACAGCTCCATCTTCCGCTTCTCGAAGCGCGCTGTCTGCAAGCCGCTCGTCAGCCGCGAGAACCAGTTCTACGAGGCGGTCGAGAGGGACCATCCCAAGCTGTTGCAATTCATCCCGCAATACCTCGGCGTGCTCAACGTCACGTTTAGACATGTGGATCCCGCTGCGAAGGAGAAGGGCTGGCGCGGATCCGAAGGCGACCCCTCCCGTGCCGCTGCTGCCACTGCTGGTGTCAAGAGCGGGTTCTCGCCACTGCAGCAGCCGTCGTCGCAGCCGCAGCAGGGGAAACGCAAGATTTTCCAAGGGCAGCAGGACAATGACGAAGAGGTCCCAGAAGTGGCCGTCGAGCTGAACAGGCACATAATGCCCGAATGGGTCCTCCGAAGAAGCGGATGCAGCTTCCGCCAGGGCAATCAGCGCACTGTGTCTCTCCACCAGACGCACAGCCACGACTCGAGTCGATCGAGACTGCAGCAACAGCAAGCGCAGAACCGATCTTTCGAGCGTGCGACTTCCGAGCAACCTCCGCTAATGGCTCCGGCTGTAGATCGGGCATGGTCGCCTGCCATACTGGATTCGCCGGCGCTAGGCACGGCAGGGATCAACACGCCCCCACTATCCTCCAGCCCAATGACACCCGGTGCCTCACCTTTGACCTCCTTCTCTCCCGGTGGCGCCGACTATGTGTCTCGGGGGATGCCGGGCTCCTTCACGCCGATCGATGGGGGCGTCCAGTCCGGTAGCACGCCACCTGCAGGCGGCTACCCGGTTCACGTCTTTGGACGCGGTAGCACGGCCGTCAATCGGCGATTGCAGGAGCAAGTGCTCCGGGAGGTCTTCAGCAAGGACCCCACCAAGCGTGGGCGCCGCGTGTCCAAACGAAGCCATGCGGACGGCATTCACCCGTCCGCTGGCTCCTACGGTACGCGCGGCAAATCGGAATCGCGCGAGCGTGCAGCAGCGACACCAGGCGGAACAGGGACGCCTAATTCGGAGCGACGGGCTCCCGGCTCAATGGATACCTCACCCGGGGGCTCGAGACCACCCACGGCGACGGGCGAGCACGAGCCGTGGCCGGAAGGCGGACCACATCGACCCCGACGCGCGCACAGCGACGCCACGTTGCCGCTTCAGAACCTTTCGCTTAGCTCAGCCACGCCTGTACCGTCCAACAGCCAATCTGCGGTGAAACGCTCCCGTTCTCCCGAGGCCAATGTATTTGAGATGGAGGATGTCGAATCAGCATCGACAGCGCCACCAGAAGTTAAGGAGCACATCGCATCGCCACCGCTGCTGCCGAGGCACCACGAAGAGCACGACGATGTGGCAAGGCAAGACCATTTTCTCTTGATGGAGGATCTGACTGGAAGGCTGCGTTCGCCTTGCGTGCTGGACCTGAAAATGGGCACGCGCCAGTATGGCCTGGATGCCACGGAAGCAAAGAAGCACAGCCAGACGTTGAAGTGCGACAAGACCACCAGTCGCACCCACGGTGTGCGTATCTGCGGCATGCAAGTGTTTGATTGCACAACGGAATCGTACATTTTCCAAGACAAGTACTATGGTCGGCAAGTTGCGCCTGCGGACTTCCCACGCGCTTTGGGCCGCTTCTTCGACAATGGGGAAGTACTGATGTTGCACCACTTCCCGTCGATCGTGCAACAGCTCCGTCAGCTTGCACGAATTGTCCACGGCCTTAAAGGGTATCGCTTTTATGCAAGCAGCCTGCTCTTTATTTACGATGGCGCGCACGAGATCCAAGTCAAGCTGATGCAGGATTTCGAGCAGCGTATCAAGCACGGCATAGCGGGTGTTCCTCTCTCGACGATCGACAGTGCCTCCGCCAGCCCGGCGATGCTGCCGGTTGACGCGCAATCCGGAGGCAAGCTCGTGCCGCCATCCTTGCTCTCCGTCTCGTCCGAGTCGAGCAAGGCTGGCAGCGGAACAGCATCACCGCTGATGGACGGGTCGAAGAAAGCGCGTAGGAGGAAAGGCGAGATGAAGATCCGTATCATCGATTTTGCACATTCGACCACCGGATCAGACTTTCGCAATCCAAACGAGGAGGCGCCGAAAGAGCTGATCGATCCCGACGAGTATTTTGCCCGTCCGGTCGTGCGCTTCCCGCCGCGTCTACACGAAGGGCCGGACAGCGGCTACCTGTGGGGTCTGAAGAATCTGTGCGCGTCGTTCGCGGAGATATGGAAGACGGAGCGCAAAAAGCGAATCGATGCGGCGCTCGCTGCGTTAGGTACTTCAGCTGCAGATGAGGAGAAAGCTCAGACCCGGCGCGCGGTGGATATTGGCGATTTGCGTGTTGACGATGAGGATGTCTTCCATGAGATCTTCGGTGATAGTCCCGAAGGGTTGAAAGGTTACGTATCCACTTGACCCCAGGGGTCCGGAGGGGTCACTAATCCGATTCAGATATACTGTATATTAGGATTGGTATATGCACACAACTGTATTGCCCATGCTCTCGCGCCAAGTGTGACCGTTTTGCTCCCATCTGTTTATGTATTTCTCGTCATCCTGAGGTATATACACGCATTCAGCCTCCTTGTCTGCGGGACGAAGGAGGATTGCGCTCGCTATGGGGACGCTTTTTCATCGAGCATCAGAAATGTCATTCTTCCACGCTACATAGGAGCACTTGGTGGGCTTTGACAGGAGCTTCCTCGAGCTGAACAAGCGCGGCGTACTCCCCTAGCTTGGTGCTGCTGGCAACAGACGAGACAGAAAATTGATGCTGCCGCTACCTCGTCTTAGATGGTGCAGTAATAGCTGCGACGCCTTCATTGTATGCAGCGTTGTTCTGTGTCGCCGTACCGCTCAGCATCTGCCCGTTGGCCCCGCCCATTGCACCGCTCGAATTCCCCCAGACGTCAGAAGCGGGGGCTGCTTCTGCGTGCTGGGCTGGTACGGGCGCTGCCAGCGGTGCCGTGGAAGATGATGCAACAGGTGTCGATGCCGGAGCAGCGGGGACGCCGATGCTGTACGCGGCTGCGTTCTGAGCGGGTGTGCCAGAGAGCATAGCGCCGTTATTGGTTGCAGCCTGCGGAGCAGGAGATGCCTGTGCGATCGCGTCGCCTGCTGCATCTTGGGCCTGATCGCGCTTCTTCTTGCTGACTAGTGAATCGTTCCCGTTTAAGTCCTTGACACTTTCCCCACCCGTTTGCGCCGTGCTGTACTGCGCAGGACCCGAACGGAATCCGTTCATGACATTGCCATTGTTGATGTTGACATTCTTGGAACCGGAAGGGGAGATCGGTGCGGTGGAGACGAAGGGGGCGGAGGCGAGCAAGAGCAGAAGGTATGTGATCAGGAGGGCGAGGAGGGTCGACTTGGATGCGGAAGAATAGAAGAAGGCCATGATGACTCGTGAAGGCCGTTAAGGATAGGAGCGAGGGGGGAGGTTCGGGATCGGTAATATAACCTTGACCAGAAGGTGCGCTGCCGAGGGGCTTGAGAAGCCGTAGTAACTTGCTTTTTGCTGGGCGTCTAGCGCTTAGCTATTGTGTCGTACTTAGTTGAGCTGTGCGAGTTGTTGACCGTCGTTGAACTTGGCAATAGCGAGATGGAAGGAACAGGTCGTTGTATCAGACAGCGACGGTGTGTGGCTGTTCACCGTACGTAAAGCAAGGGTGGACGGAAGGATTATCGTGAGGGTGGGAGGGAGGGAGTGCAGCTACCAGAGCTGATGAGCTTCGTTAGAGCCAGGCGAGGAAGGGTGCGCAGATGAGAGGTGAGGAATGAAGGTGGAAGGAAAGGGAAAATGTAAAGGTAGTAGCTTTTCAAGAGTATTTAAAGGGGAGACAAGAGGCCCTGCCATTCTGAGAAAGCCAGAGCGAGAAGGTTGAGACTTTGCGAGCGGTAATTCAATCTTGTCTTGCTAGCACTTTAGACGGCCAGGCCCAATGAGAGCGGCACAAGCTCCTTCCCTCTCTTGCCCACAAAGGCTGGCGCGGCGAAGCAAAAGAAAGACTAGTGCGCTGCACAGCCCGTCGGCAGCGGTTACACGAGCCTCTGATAAGACCTAATGGTCGCACCAAAGCAGCTCAACGGTCGTCTGGGCTCTGGACAAAGAACTGCATAGATAGAAGGCATCAAGGTCGGTGCGATGGTGCCGTTGGAAGCTCACTCAACTGCAACTTGGAAGGGTCAATGGACATCGATTACATAACCACATGTGTGTCGGCAACTTCGGACCGGCTCGGACCGTCACCGAATATCCGAGTCTCCACCTTTTCCGACGCGTTTCTCACGAGAGTGAAAGAGAAGCACATGGCCACTCAGCTGCTTGCCCAGCACCCCGTGGGGGACACAGCTTGGAGACCCAACAAGAGGGCCTTCGGAAAGAAGACCAATCGCCGTCTTATAAGAGAGGATGGCGTGCACACATCGACTCTGCAGGTCATTGTGAGGACGATGTATGCCCACGTCTGCATTTATACGAGGTCGCTGACGCAGCAGCTAATTTGCAGTCTTTCCACACAGTAGCCATGCGCCTCGTTAATCCGAGCGACTGGCGCGTCGAGAACTTGCGACCGAAAGGCACCCAGGCTCCATCGATAAACGCAGATGTTGGTGAACCGATTCTCACGCTGGTCAATGCCAGTGGCAACCGACTGCATGTCCATCCCATCTCGGACCGCCTTGTACGCGTCGTGCACAAGCTGGCTCCCGAAGCGCTGCAAGTCAAGCTGGATGATCGGCATCGGCATCCCACTGGAAGAGATGGCGTCGCGTGGGAGACGGTAGAGGGAAGTTGTGGTTGCGAATGGACAGCAGAGGTAGGTTGCGAGGTCGCCATGCCAAAACTAAAGGCGATCGCTTATACACTGCCTCGTACTGCAGCACGTTCCGGACGCAAAGATCGTCAACCTTCTCTCGCCAGAAGGTATCCAGATCACCGTGAATTTCGCCAATGTGGTTCGCTTGACCTGGGCTTGGCCCTCCTCCGTCTCACCCTTCCTATGCGACTTCAAGACAGCCTACATGTATGACCAGCGATCAGGGCGAGTGTTTCATTACGTCGAGCGCGAGGGGTACAAGCCGCTTTCGGAACATCATCGCAGCGCCAACGACAACCACCTCCAGCCGCACGATGATACGACCGAGTTCCTCTACGGGCTTGGCGAGACAAAAGGCCCTATGCTCAAGACGGGCAAGCGGTACATCCTCGATGCACGCGATTCGCTCGCGTACGATGTCGAGGAGACGGATCCTCTGTACAAGGTGCGTTTGCGTTGCGCCAGCTTTTCATTCGTGAAACAGCGCATGACTTGTGGACATTCCAGCTTTGCCCTTTCTATTTGCTGTACAACTCCTCCACCAACTTCTGGCTCGGCATGTACTACAACTCGCTCGCCCCTTCCGTCGCAGACTTTGGCGCTGAGCACGATTTTAGTACCGGCGACTCGCGCAGTTTTAGCATCGAGCAAGGCGCGCTAGACTACTACGTCCTGCTAGGTGCCAGTAGCTTCGATTCTCAAAGTGATGTTCAAGCAAGAGCGTCACCGGCTCCGAAGCCGCGCCTTCGAGACATTGTCTCTCAACTAGCAGCACTTGTGACGCCGCACGTTACGGCCTCCCATCAGTTCGCAAGCGACGCACCCCGCCTTCCGCGGAATGTGACGCCGAATTGGCAAGCATCGCCAACGCTCCCGCGCCTTGCCTCCTTCGGCTACCTTGCAAGCTCCATGACCCTTGCAGAGCTGGACAACGCGCAGGAAGCCGTGGGGGATTATGTGATCGAGACGCGTCAGTATGGCTTCCCAGTCGACGGGATGCATCTCAGCTCTGGATACTGCCTCGACGAACAGAGCGGAGAGAGGATGTACTTTCTTTGGAACAAGACAAAGTATCCCGACCCGCCTGGACTGGGCAACAAGCTGGAAAAACAGCTACAATGTCACCTCATTATCAACGTAAAGCCATGGTTGCTTGAAGGTCACAAATGGTACAAGGAGGCGGCACTCGCTGGTGCGTTCGTCAAAGCTGCCAAGGACGCGCTTGTCGCCGGCGGAAAAGGCACCAGTTCAGTTACGCTGAACGATTCGTCCAGAACGTACCATTGGAGTGCATCAATGGGACAGACAGCCGCGGGCTCGCACGTCGATTTTTCGTCCAAAGCTGGTTCGGACTTCTGGCAGAAGGCGATCAGACATGGTGTCGCTGCCAATGGCATCACCGGCCTCTGGATCGACAACAATGAGTTCTCGACATTGATCGACGATGCGCAACGCATCGCTGGAGAAGTCAACGGGTGGGCAGCTCCAGAGCAAGCTGCCAGCAGTGTTATCGTGCCTACGCCGAAGTCGGTCAGCGAGAAATTGGCTCAGCAGGTGGAGGATCGGATGGGCTGGCGAGGCGGCGAGATCGAAGTTGGCGCAGTCGGGCGCGCGACGCTGACAATGGGCATGGCTAAAGCCTCTTGGGAGCAGATGGCTCGCACCGACCCGTCCACACGTCCAATCGTCGTCACGCGCTCCGCAGTGCCAGGCATCCAGGCATATGCGCACGGCACTTGGAGTGGCGACAACAGCACGACATGGAAATGCCTCAAGTACAATACAAAGATGACGCTCAGCGTTGGCCTCAGCTTCGGCGCAGGGCTGTACGGGCACGACATCGGCGGCTTTGCGGGCGCTCACAGCCCCAGTCCTGAGCTGCTCGTGCGGTGGTGCCAGCAGTCGGTCTGGCATTCACGCTTCACGCTTCACTCTTGGAAGGCAATCTCGACGACATTCTACATGTACGCTGACCAGAAGGATGTGATGGACGCGCTGCTCGACGCGCTGCGACTGCGGTACCAGCTCGTGCCGATGCTCTACTCTCTCTACATCGCAGAGTACCAGCGGAAAGGGTGGCCAGTTCTCCGACCGTTGTTGTGGAAACATTCTAATGTCCGTGCATGCCTTGGCCAAGACGAGCAGTTCCTTCTGGGCGACACAATCCTGGCTGCTCCAGCGCTCGACTTTGGCGCTCGTGAAGTGGTGTTCAACTTGCCTTTTCTGGTTGACGGCGCGGATGGTGACGCGCCCCTGACCGAGTGCTGGTGGTATGATCTGCACGGCCAACAATGGATCAAGCCAGAAAAGCGAGGTCAAGCTGCTCGACTCATAACGCTTCCGGCGCCTTTGAGCTACTGTCCGACCCTCATCCGTGAAAACGGTCTTCTCATACTTGCAGGAAGAGCACGTGCGACTGTGTTCGATCAGGACGCGCGCCTCAAGCGCACCATTCAGCTCTTCCCGGCTGCTGCTGACCGTAAACGCACAGTAGAAGCGATAACATTCACGTTGATCGAGGACGACGGAATCACCAACGAGGCAATGGCCGGTGCTTTCACCGAATTTGCTCTGACATGCTGCGTGCAGTCGGGGAGAGAAGCGAGCGAAGTACTGTTCAGAATCGATGCGCGTAACAAAGGCTACCCTGGTTCGTGGCAATGGACTCTCGAGCTGCCGGCTGGTGATGCTCGCAAGATTATCGTCGAAGACAACTCCGGCACAGTCAAGGTTGACGGCGTGCAGAAGGGCAATACCATCGCCCTCACTGTAACAGTACCGTGAAGTTCCTTTCACATGTGTATATTATGGGATGAAATTTCGGCGGCCTCCATGGAGAATACATCAAAAGCAACTTTCAGAGAGCCAGATCTTTCACCTCTTTCACATTGACGATGGTGTTGATCGTGTTTACGCCAGCGAGCACCTTCAACGCCTGAAAGCTACCGCCGTCTGTAATCTCGGGACCTTTCTCGAAATCAACATAGGGATCCATCGCCCACGCTGCCCAGCCGGTCTCGTCTCAGGTGACGCGCTCTCATTCGTCAGGAGGTCAGGGGTCAGACCGTCCACCCGCAGGTTCCAGGAGGCAAATCAAAAGTGTAAGGTGTCGAGGCGTCAACCAATGCGTAAGCGGGTGCGCATCACCATGCGTCAGAATTCCCTGGAGCCGGACTACCTCAAGCGTCAAACGGAAGGAGGAGGCATTTAGAAAAATTGATTGCCAGCCTGTCTTCAATATAAAACGGATGAAGGACTTGTGACTTTCTTCAGATGCTCAGGAGCTCCAGCGAGTCTCATGTGGGACTACGATCAGCATCTGCCAATGTACACAAATTAGAAGAGAATTGATATGTAAGAGGGACCGGCAGAGAGAGTATACAACCAACAGATCTCACAGCAGCGAGCAGGGACAACGAAGTGAAATAAAGAAAGTCTTTCCCTAGACTTCTTCCCAGAAAATGCGGTGCAGAAATGAAACCCAAGGTGGTGGAGGGCAGAGACAACTAGGTTGCAGAGAAAGAATGGATCACTCGCCAAGGAGGATCCTGCAGCATGAAACGTTTCATGCGGTCGGGGTACTGCCCGCTTCAGAGCGGATCTCGTCTCCGGCCATGGTCACTTTAGTGTGCCGGGATTTCGTCATCAGCTTGCTGCTGGACGGTCTCTTAGCTCAGGTAGCCATCCTGGCTGTAATGTTGGTAATCATCGCGGACCTCGTTCGCCACGGTATACTCCTCGCCATGCGATGGTCTCGTGTGGTCTTCTATACAACTGGTAGCAGGGAAGCTAACGCGTTAGCGCTCTTCTTGTCGGTTCGATCTCCCAGCCAGTGGGCTCCGCCAACAGGCATTCCTAACCTCACAAGGGCCACTCTTAAGACCCTTTGTGTTTTCTCAGAGGAAGAAAAGATACAGCATTCAGGTCTGAGTGGACGAGTACGAGGATTTTGAGGATTATCAGGACCCACAGCCAAAAATATCTAATCGTCTTTTGACTTTTGCCACTCGCAAGCGTCCCGCACAAACATGATAGCCATCTCCCTCTGATAGTGTGACTCTGCGTCATGACACAAGGACTGACCGTCCTACTTCCTAACCTCCTAACATACCTGTACCGGTACGCCTCTTAGACTGCTCGCATCTGCAGCCTATCCGCCATTCCATTCTGCCCTTGCAAATGCAAGAAGAGCGCGTGAGAGGTCAAAGTGCAAGCAAGGAGGATGGGCAGTGGCCAACCAGGATGAGGAGAGCATGCAGACTCGGTGCTCAATCAAAGGCTTTGGGGTAGAAGCAGGTCACCCTGAGCTGCAATTTGCAACGTACATTTGCTCGAAGTGTGAAAGCTCGCGACCTCGCCCCCAGAGCGGCGCTCCATTTCGTCATGCACCAGCTCATGAATGGACATCTTGTCACACGGCACGTGCAATGCATACGAGAGAAAAGGCTGTTCCAAAAGCTAGCGCCGACAAAATAGAATGTCGTAAAAGGGAAGATGCCAACCTTCGAGTCGCCCCCGGTCGCATTTGAACGGCAGGCTCTAGTCAGCAACTGCCCAGTGAGTGCATACATTCTTGATTTCAGATGCTGGCTTTCAGAGAACCATTGTTCTTCGCCTCCCTCAGCTTGGCCATCGTGTCTATCGAATCCTTTCCGCCAACCTTGCTGCGAACCTCTTCGTCGTCGACCAGCATGAAGACGTTGTGCTTCTTCTCGTCGCCGATTGTGTACACGCCCGTTGTGACATTCGAGTTGCGACTCTTCTGCAAATCCTGGACAAGCGACTTGACGGCGGGTCGGTGTGGCAAGACGGCTGCAGAGAATGCGACGTTCGATTTCGTGTATTCTGATGGAGGTCAGGAATGAAGTCAGACTTTCACCCATCTTCTTGTGCGAAAGTTGCACCCACCGTGTCCGCAATAGATGACTGTGTCGTCTGGTAAGGCTGCCAATGTCTTGTTGAGCGCCTTGTGCATCTCCTCTGCTGTTCCTTCAAAAAACCGTCCGCAACCACTTATGAAAAGCGTGTCTCTACGAATACATCGAGTGGTATAAGCTCAGACCCTACCTCGCAGCGATGACGATAATATCCTCGTTCGTGCTCACCCTGTAAAGACGCCCTTCTTGTTACCGTCAGCCTTGTCCTCGAGGAAGAAGCAGACTGAGTCTTGGGTATGACACGGTGTAGCATGGCCTGTGACCTGAATACTGGACCCTTCCCTAAGCGGGAAAGAGTCTAGATGGCCAACTTGTTTCGTCAGCTTGGGGATTTGGTGTGAGCCACCCCAGATTGGTTTGCCAGGGTATGCTTTCGCCTAGAAGGTGGCCGGGAATCAAAAATTCAGCGCGAGTCGCAGCGCTTTGAGAATTCTATAAGACACTCACGAAGTCGTTGTTTCCGCCAGAGTGATCAGCATGATCTGAGAGGGAAGCAGAACAGGTCAGTTGTGTCAATATAATGGAACAACAGCTCTCGGCCCTCATGGGTAGCGATTCACGGTGAGTGGTTATGCAGGCGATTATCTCTTTGATGCCTTGCTTCTCTGCCTCCGCCTGCAACTTCTTCACGTCGAACGGGTCCACAAAAGCAGCACTCAGCGGCCCCGATGCCATGTCGTCGATGACGAGGTATGCGTAGTTGTCATCACGCACGGGGACTACGTCATGGGAATACTCAGGGTTCAGTCATGATTGCGAGCTATACAAGGCCTAGGCCTGTCAAATCAAATGCACTTTCCGGAACCGACGAGCTCACCTGGAACGATTTTCATTTTGCGTGCGAATGATTGGCTGAAGCTGCGATGCGCGATGGCCTTCGAAGTGGGGATGGATCGAACAGCAGTCCAAAGGAAGTGGCGCATTTACGATCTTCAAAGGCGCTCGGATCTGAGAAAGATGTATCGCTAATACTGCTCTCTTTTACGTCGAGGCGTGATCTTCCTAGCTCAGATCAACGCCACAAGGATAAATGGGTTGGCTCTGCGCACCTCAGCGAAGCAATAGCACTAAGCTGCAAGCTGCAAGTTGCAACCACGGACCACTACAATGGGCTGTTCGCGCCATCGGCCACCACTGATCGCACTGACATCCTGACGTCAGGGCAAGGGGCCGACCCAGCTCTGGAGCAGCCTTGCAGGGGCCATGTCGATGTCTCCATACAAGCGCACAAACAACAATTAGCCCGGAAATCTTGTGCCCTATGGCCGAAAGCCCTGTAGCCTCCGAGCCTTTTCCCCAAGTTTCTTTCCAGACCCCCGTAAATTCCTCGGAAGTCACTGGGACTGTAACCCCGGCCCAGCCCTTCCGATCATTTCCCGGTTCCGGAAACTCTCCCGAAACCGCTTTTTCGTGCCCTAGAAACCTCGGGTCTTTACCCTGGAGGCATAGTGAGAGGAGAACTAGTTTCCATATCTTTAACAACAAAATATGGGGTGTATTCTGAGTTGCCGCTTTCCCAAAAGCCTTTACCGGGAGTATCGGTATGATTTAGCTTTCCTGTACCCGGTATTTGCCAAGTTTCCGCTCCCAAGGCGGGCACGGCGTTTCCCAACAAGTGCAGCATGATGGGCCCATGTATCGTCAGTTAGTCAGACCCAAGAATTGCAATTCTTGGTCGCTGCCACCATCGAATGGGACCATTATTCCTTTGCAAATGCTCGATCAAGTTCGGATAAACCTCCATCTTCACCGTCATTATCATGATTATGAGCGACTCTACGACGGCTGTTCGCCGAATTCTGGCTCCACTCCCGCTCTTTGCCCCTTCGCATCTGCATGGCTTCGATTCTGTCTTTACGCACTTCACCAAGGCTTCTGATGTTTCCAAACAAATGCTGAATACTTCTTGCCGAAGCTGGCCCCAAGCGCTGTCATACTTGATCCAAAACCTTTCTTTTCTGCCTCAAAATGGTGACACCCTGGTAGGAAGAGAGGATGATGGCCTTCTGCGAAGCCGCGCTTTCGGCGGAGGAAGAGCATGTGGTCAGTAGAAAGATCTTCCCTGCCGAATGTGAATCGCATTTGGATGGGGATTGGGTTTGGAATGTACCCAAATCGTCTTCACTCAAGGGTCCTCTTTCTGGAATGACGAAGCCTGGGGGCGCCTCCATCGACGTTAGCATTTGGAAGAGCAGGACTTGCCATACTGACAAATGTACTCATAAAGACTCAAAGCTTCGAGGTCATCAGGTTTGTACACATAGTCATTGAAATTAGTGTTGGAGGTGCGGCAGACCTGCTTTCGAACGTCACAGACGTCTTCGCCTTCATCTTCATCTTCTCCCTTCGACTTTTGAGTTTGGCTGTGTGCGCCAAATACCTCAGGCTCTTTCTGACACAGGCAGTGGAGTGACTACCCGTGACTGGTAAACTGGGAGGATGCGTAAGAACCATAGGATCTCTTTAAGGGACGGTTGGCCACTTGCTACGCTGGCCACCGATGCCTGATCTTGATTGCCTCATTCCCGGGTTCGAATATGATGTGGGGCTTGTCCAGACGGTAGCGTGCGACATATTGTGGCAAGGACCATTGTATCCATTCTTTGGAAGCGCAAATTGTTACACGATTTGCCGGAGTCAGCCATCATGGTAGTTCAGTTCAGCTCTGTATTCGTTGCATATTTCAGGGGAAAGATTATCCGTTTCAGGAAGGCATTCCGGCAACGTCTGGCATCAAGTCCATGATGCAGCGGAGGGCATGCAAGAGAGTCTCATTATTGTGCGAGCTCCTTGTCGAAAATCCTATTTAGTTTAAAAACCAAGATTCACCTCAGGTGAATTATCCTCATCGTCAGGTAGTTCGCTTGCGAAATAAGAGATGCTCTGTGAATGCTGCTGACATATCTCTATACTACGCTCTTCTGTTGCGAACTTGCGCGTGGCGAAAATACAACGTTTCGCAAACTCCTCGAGTAAATCTTCGACGGTAATGTTGCCAACAGCAGAGCGCGGGGAATGCAAATGTCGCTGCCATGAGTGAAGAGCACAATAGCCTCACATGCTTTTCCAAGGACCTGACAATAACGAGAGGAAATGTTGTGAGGTAATCTAGATCGGAGCTGGCTGGCATATGAAGTGTGTACTCGCATTCCTGTAGATGCTGATCGATTGCACGCGCCGGCTCAGTGTCACGGCGAAAGCCACAATCGCTACCAAAAGGCGAAAGGCGATGGCGCAAAGAGACAAGCAGAAAGACAAGTGTTCCAATTCAAAGAATGAAGTAGTAGGTGTCTCGTGGGTTCAGTGCAGCTGCGCGACAGTGGTAAACCGGTATGCAAGTTAAGAGTTAGCCGATATCCAAAAGTGAGGGAAGCACATTTAACTCCACGATGACGAACTGTAGTGGCTACGCCACCGGATGCGAAGGCGAACTCAGGGTAGAGGCACGCTTCACACCGCTGCACCGCTGCAGGCGGCCAGCAGGCGCAGTCCATACGATGCGTGAAAGAATGCACGGAAACCAGGCGAGTGCATCTTGGGCAGAGGAACCAAATAAGCCTGTACATCTAATCACAAGTTGAGCATCTAAAGACAAGCATGCACGATGATGATCTCGCAACCTTGGAAGTAAAGACTCGGTCCATCGACATCATCACGCATAGGCGAATATAGCGGAACAGTGACACGCGGCACTCCACAAGCCAGCTGTGATTTGCTTTGTGGGGTGTGTGGCTCATGCCGATCGCATTCTCTTTCTTCTCTGCCCTTTCCATGTCGTCCGTCAAGCACAGAATGGGGCAGGCTGTGACCGCTAGCCTCGAAAGTGCGGAGGTAGTGCGCACCCATGAACCCGATTCGACAGCGGCTGAGCGTCTCGAAGACCTTTTTCAACCAGGATCGCCCTTTCCTTCGAGCCGTCGAGCGTCGACTAGCGCGTCTCCAGCCCACCGGGCCGGCGGCAGCCGCAACGCTTGACTCGGATCTGGGGTCGGGTGAACCAGCAAGTCATGGGCGTGATTTTCGTCCTGGCTGGGATGAATGTCGGTGGCTACTGCAAGAAATCAAACGGCGGCGCGGAAATGATCAGATTCATGAGCGCCTCCGGAGGGGTAAGGCTACACCCCTAGATCGCAGCGAACGACGCAGCCTTCTCTCCATGATGCTCCGCATCACGAGGGCCAACGAGCCAATCGCATACGTCCTACGTGAGTCTCCATCCTGGGTGTGTTGGAGGCGCCGCAGACAGAAGTCATCATTGGTCAAGCCTGCTCGCTCGGAGTAGGTCCAGCAGCTGTATTTTTTGAAACGAAATGGAGATATCGTTGTGTCACAAGGTCTCGGCTCACAGCAACAGCATGATTTTCACTTTGGAGACATCTCGATTCTGACATGTGCGCTTCCTTTTGTACGCTATTAAAAATTCAGAGAATATGCCATTCGGATCCTTAGACCTGGCCGTCCGTCCTCCTACGCTCATCCCGCGACCCGAGACGGAAGATTGGGCATGTGCTCTTTCCAAGCAGCTCATCGCTGCGCTTGGACGTTCAAGTGTCGCTCGCGAAGAACCCTTTCGCATCCTCGATCTCTGCTGTGGCAGCGGGTGTATTGGTCTCTTGCTGCTACACGACTTGCACATCGCAGGCATCAAGAATGTCGCAGTGACCCTAGCAGACCTCAAAGAAAGTGCACTCGACCTAACGATGGAAAATGCGCAGCGCATTGCGGCAGCTGCTGGGACCCCAGACCTAGCGCAGACAGTCACTGTGACGCAAATCGACCTCTTCTCTGATGGGAATATTCGAGACTTGCTCGGTGGTGCTCCAGGAAACCAACAGCAGAGCCAGCTGGACGGCGCGCGCTTTGACCTTCTTGTGTGCAATCCACCATACATTCCTCCAAACGACTGGCCTGGACTTGATTCTTCCGTGAAAGAGTGGGAGGACCCAGACGCACTGATCGGCGTGCCACGGCATGCCCGGCTTGAGGATTCAAATACTGCTGGCAGCGACGGCGAGCAGGGTCTCGTCTTCTACCGACGCCTCGCTGAACTGGCACCGCGTCTTTTGCGTCCTGGCTTCCATGTGGTTGAATCTACAAGCGTAGTCGACAGCAGAGATTCGGATACGAAATCTGCAGTTTTGCCTCAAATCGTCCTTGAAGTCGGCCAGGGACAGGCATCCGCCGTGCAGGAAATGTTGGCAGGGATGAACAGCGCAATTTGGAAGGACGCTTGGGGAGTCGACAGGGTCGTCGCTGCCTCTTTTCGCCAGTAATCACTGTTCTCCTCCACGCTGTACTTTCGCTGCGGGATGTATCTATTACACCAAATACGGGCTATCGATAACGCTGAAGCCAACAGCGACTCCGCCTTCATCGCTCTCCCTCCCCTTGGTCCTAAGCAAATGCCCGCCTGATCGGCTTTTGAGCACTTCAATAGTGTCCGCTTGCTTCCCTTGGGCGAAGAGGCACGTCCCATAGATACCCAGCTCGCTGACCACATCTGGTGCGAGCGCCGCGCTGGCGTCTGCGCCGGCACCCGCTTTCATCAGCAAATTACCGAGGCCGTTCGGCGGCTGAATGAGGCTCATGAGGATGTATCCTTCTCGCTCGGGAACTGCATAGCTTTCCCCTCGCTTCGCGTCGCGGTCAATCATTGCCTTCAATGCTGACGGAATGTCTTGCTTGTAGATGTTGTTGCCGCCACCTTCCCGCTGCGGCTTCAGCACGAAACGATGTGGGTCCCGCATGGCGAGGTCGTACCCCTTCTTTCCGAGTTCGGATCGGGGATCCAGCGGGTACAGCTCCGTCCAACTCGCTCGCAAAGCCTCAACGTCTTCCGGCTTCCACTTTTGCGTACCCGATCCAGAAGGCTGCAGCAGGAAGCGCTCCAGTATACCCTCCTCCGAAAGTACCTGCTGCACCTTTTTTGCACCCGCCAGCTGCAGCGCGACGCTGGGACACTTGATCGCAGCGCTGCGTTCGAGAAGCTGCCTGACATCCCACGCTTTCTCATTACCGAGACCTTCGTAGTCCGTCGGCGTGTACCCCGCGCGGAAGTAAACGACTGACACTTCCAGCTGATCGGGATCGCTGTCGTTTTGAGATGACCAGGGGGCAGAGATGAATAGTTCGCGCTTGGGCAGACGCAAGCTCGCGGCGTGTTCTTTGACTGTTGACGCCAGCTCGGCAAGTGTCTTGCGCACGCATCGAATGCCATGCGCATTCAAGAGCTCGTACTCAATCGCTCTCTGATCGAATGCATTTCGCTCGTTGGGCTGGATGACGAAGAGAATCACCGGGTCGGTGAAGGTGTGCGTACCCGGCATCTCCGAATTGTAGGCCTGGTGCGCATCTGCCAGACCTTGGGCCAGGGTCTTGAGAGCGTCGTTCTTTGGCAGAGAGTCGAAGTTATCCTCCTTGGCTTTCCCCTTGCGAGATTGGATGTGCCCAAAGTACGAGCCAGTGGCATGCGCAAGATGCTGATGCAGCTTCGAAACGAGATAACAAAGCGGGCCGAAGGAGGAAGAGATCGTGTTGAACTCTACCTGCTTGATGGTCAGGTCATGAGATTGGTCTGTGGTCGATGAAGCTGATGAAAAGTCGCCTGACAGCAAGGAAGTATCATGCAGGAGGTAGTCCGATCGGAAGAGGCCGAGTTGCCGTGGCTGGAGCAAACAAAATGGATCTGAGCGACAGATGTCTCGCATCTGGCTAAGGCCAGGTACTCACCTGTGCCAGACCTTCCTTCATGACGTTTTGATACACATCCCATAGCTTCGCTTGAAAGTCATCAACGTGAATGACATTCTGTTTCACATAAACGTCTTCGAGGAATTGATGATCCAGCGCCACGCGGGCGTACAGTTCGTTCAATATTGGTTGCAGCGACTTGGCGTATGCGAAGAGTCGCGCAGGGAAAGGCGAGGGTAGAAGGGAAAATGGCGCATGGATGACCGAAGTCGTGTTGACTACCTTTTCGCTTGCCGGTATCAACGGACGATACACCAGTCCATGCGCGAAGGCATAGTCCGTTGCCGAGTTGCATAGGTGCGAGATTTGTGCGCGCGTCAGGCCAGCTGGAGGCCAAGCCGGTAAACACTGGTTGGAGATCGAGGCAGCAAGCTCATCGGACATCTTGACACAAGAACTACCAGCGTTGACAGTGAGCCGCCCAGCGACGCGTTTGATGCCGTGGGTAGCAGCCCGGGCTCTTCCGATTTAGACGAGGATGAGGTGTGAAAGGACACATATGCGCTGTACGTGTCTGGATTCGCTCTCGATACCAGTCTATATGTAGTTCTAACCCCCATTGTTGTCTCTCATTGGGTGCCCGCTCTTTGATGATGAGCGGTGACGTTTCCTCGTCCGACGTCCTGTCTTGCAGACGTTACCACCGGTGGCGCGAGGGGCCCACTCACGACGCGCACTCTCATTCTGCGGTATCGCCGAAAGCACGTGACGCAAGCCGCGGAATGAATGAGACTCATAGCCGCCCCATGGTGACATCAAGTGCTGCGGCAACTCTGTCGGCGCAATAATTCAAACCCTGCGGGTTGCTGTTGGCGGAGCGCCAGCGCGAGCATCCAATGTGCTCGATGGTAGTCGTCAATAGACTTGGTGGTCTTTAACATCAATCATAGGGCTTTGGAACAACCAAGTGCTTTCTTCGTCAGATTCGCAAGGAGGTTCTCGCAAAAATGGTGAGTATCCTGACATCGCCGTGTTGCGCCATTCGAGTCACTTCGAAATGCGTACTCGCAGACCCAAGTCCGCAGTATCTCGACTGGACATGCGGCGACGGGCGGGAACTGGATCACACGGATAGGCGCTGATTCTTCTTGACCCTCCCCTTCGCTGTAGCCGTCGCAAAAGACTTTCAGGACTAAGGTCAGGCTGGCTAAGGCCTCCAGGCAGAACAGGTGAGCATTCAGCACGGCCTAAACGTCCACTTCCTAGCCTTGCAAACTGCCAGGGGAATAACGGCATAAGAGCTGGGGCATGGCGGCGAAGCGACAATGATGCCTGTGTAAAAGCGAGAGGAAAGGTCAAACAGTTGCATTTGGGCAACTTTGTAAAGTGTTGGTTCATGCAGGATGATGGCGGAGGCGAACACTGCGGCTTTCAGGCTCTTTAGCAGGGATAGTCCATGACAGGGGAATGGAAGGGGCTGCACGCAGAGGCCTCTGGTTCAGACTTTTCAGAGGTCGACTGTGCGGTGCCGATGATATGGGCATGGCAATTTCGACCTCACCAAATATGTCCGTTTGCCTATCGCTGGGCAGTCGCGGCAGCAAGTTAGACCTGTGATGGATGGGTCGAACGCGCATCTTGTGCACCGCGTTTGAGGACAACCGCTAGTTATCGGGAATAGACTGCGGAGGACTATGCGTTGCCAAGGGTGGTATGGAGAAGTGGTGCCGAAGAGCTGGGGAAATGCTTCTTGTCCTCTTCTACATCTACGTCTGCCATTGTAGAGTGCGAACGTCCTGCTAACCTCCAGCCCGACATCCACAGGCCGATCCCCAACTGGTTCCGCATGAAGACGGACAACAAGATCCAGTACAATAAGAACCGCAGGCACTGGAGGCGGACGAAGCTTAACCTCTAAGTAGGTTTCCCGGTCATCACGGAACACCTCAACACGCTGCGCCAGCACTGGCTCACGTCGTTCACGTGCTCTCGTCTAGAGCTCTGGAGGACCAGGATGACCACGTGTGTCATCTGCATGCCTTCGCCATCTCTGCACGCTGTGCGGGATTGTATTACTACCGCATGAATCGTTATGCATTCTAACAGCATTCGCACGATTGCTGAACATAAGGCATGAACATTTGTCCTATGCATATGCTTGTGTGCATGCCGTGATGAGAATAGATTGATGCTTGGAGTGGAATACAGGATGAAGAGATCCACATTTATGGGATCATTTCACTTGCATGCGTATGAACGTTCGTTCGCATCCTGAATGGTGTCAGACTATCGCAGTTGGTCGCCAAGGGCGGGCTTGATGCGGAGAATCGGAGGGGCCAGCGTTGGCATTGAGCAGCGGTTCGCCGCGCGCGTTCTTGAGTACGCTGCCGTTGATCGCGCTATCGTGATGCCCATTGAGAGCATGTCCGCCGCTGCCGTTGACGCTGCCATTCATCGAAGCTCCCGTGCCGCCATTCACAACCAGAACATCGTCACTTGATACGACTGGGTCGACCGTCGCGCCGGCGAGACCGTACTTGGTGACGGCATCAAGGAAGCCTTCCTCGCGTATGACATCGTAGATCTTTCCGAGCTTGTTGACGTCCATCTTGAACAGGGTCCGGCAGTCGCGCCGCGAGAGCTTGCCTTTGCGCCGGAGGTACTCGACGAGGATTTGCTTCTTGATCGTCAGATAGGCAGCCGGTTTGACGCGCACAGTCGAGCAGAGAACCTTTTCGTTCTCGGTGAGGAGGGATAAGTTGGGGTCATTAGTGAAATCCATCGGGCGAGCTTGAGAGATAATGACCAGGAAAAGTCAGCAACAGTAAAAACATTGGTGCCAAAAGGCGAGAAGCAATCAGACTGAAACACGCACGAGGTTTGCGGCCAAGCTTGCCCGTGGCGTCCGCCGCGTCGCCTTTCTTGCCACCCGTCGGCCCTGCATCGTCCTTACCCTGGCTCACGACACTGACCTCCCTCTGGCGCGCGGCAGCGGCCGCACTGCTTGCTTTAGACGCACTCTGTCGCGGCCCGCTCGGCAGGCCCGCAGCGACAAGCGGGAAAGCGGCGAGCCCACCCTCCGCCAGCGCTGCGGCTTTCTTGACTCGCTCTGTCCTCTCCTTTTCGTACTGCACGCCATCTTGCAGAGAAGTGATGCCCGCTTTGCGCCAGCGCTGCATCTGCCCAGCGGCCCGCCGTAATGCTTCTTCGTAGCATAAGCCATTGAGGAAGTCTTCGAAATCTTGCGCTGTCTGTAGCTGTGCGAAATGCCGTACGCGATTGAGCAGCTCGCGCTCCTCTTTCGGTCGGCGACGCTCTGCGGCTATGTTCTTTCGAATGGAAAAGCGGATTGAAGAGATATGAATAATGAGTAGCATCAGTGTGTCAGAACGACGTTACTTAACGTAGATATGCGGCTTCTCACCCTCTTGTAATCCATGAGATTGCGCTGAAACATAAACCTTTTTCTTCTCGCTCGCCGGTTGATGCGCTCGTTGTACATCTCCAGCACCGTCAGCTTGAGTTCGAGATCCGCGTCATCTTCGTCCCAATCCGCTGCTCGATCTTCCGTAGCTTGAGATGCATCACCCGCAGCCGCAGCAGTGGAAGATGCACCTGTGCCGTCTACCGCAGATGCAGAGGGGTCTGGCGCGCTCGCGTCTTCCTCGATAGCTTTTTTTTTGCCCTTGAGGTCCACGCTCGAAGATGCAGATGGCGCGGCGTTCGAAGTGGTGGTAGCAGCGGCCGTCTGCTCTGCTGCTCTTTTAGCAGCCTGCGACGAACTCTCGGCGACTGACATAGACACCTCGTCCCCTTGCCCGTCTCCTGTAACGGCGTTCGCTTGGCCCTTCTCCTTACCGTCCTCGGCTTCAGGCGCAGGAGTGTCTGTGTCGCCCGCCTCCGCAAGTCCTTTGCTCCCCGTACCAGCACCTGTTCTACTACCAACAGCGCCTCGAGCGCTGGGCGGCATACGCGCCATGCCCTGGACAGCCTTCTTCCCTCCTAACGCATCGTGCTCGCTCTTGATAAGTTCTCCGCCAAACTTATACACTCGGCCGAATTCCATGTCCTTCGTCAAGTTCTCAGCGTCCTGCTCGTACTCGTAGTCGAACTCGAGTCGACCAGGCATGAAACCCGCAATTTCCGAGTGCGAGGTGGGCGCCGAAACGAGTGGCTTGGTGAGCTTGTTGGGCTGGAAGTTGGCTTGTGCAATGCGTAGATCCTCGATTCGCTGTCTTTTGCGAGTCTGGAAGGCCTCTGCGTTGACGGACGGCTTGAAATGCATATTAGGCGCCACGATGGGAGTCGGACTACGTCGCCCTCGCAGCTCTTCGTCTTCTCGCACCCGGTCCGCACGTGCTGCTTGCGCTTCCTGCAAAACAGCTGCTGCTCGCCTGTCCCCTTCTTTCGTCCCATCTCTGCCTTCGAGGAAGACTTTGATGTAGTGCTTCTCGACTTCCTCCTTGGTGCGGTTGCCAATGTGGTCTGCAATGTCTGCCCAGTTACCCACACCATAGATCTGGCACCCGTCAATGAGGAGGAGCTCCTCGTCTGCACCCCAGTCATCGCAGAAGATGGGGTATGCATGTTGCTCCTGTGTATACAGCGTAAGAGATGAGTGCAACGCTCGTAGGTACATCTTTCTTCCATTGGCTACTCACTACGATGCGATAGTTATGCCACGCCTTGTGTTGTCTGACCTCTATACCGGCACAGAAGCAGCTGCCGCAGAGATCAAAGTCCTCGCAGCCCCCTGCGCATCTGACACGAACGGTGAGAGTGATGTCGGCTCCGCAGGCATCGCAATGATATCTTATCCCTGGTTCGACGGCTGTTCAGAGAGTTGAAGACCATGTCGTTTAGCCAAGTAGAAAGTCAAAACGAAGGAGGTCAGTCAGCATGCGGAGAGGCATACAACACCTGGCCGACGGACGCCGGGGTAGGTCACTTTGACGACTCACCCAGCTTGCGGTCATCAGGCTTGGCTTGGACCTTGTTCTTCCGATGACTGACAGTCATCGTGTCTGTGCAAAGCGATGGCCGCCTGAGACCTTAGCACGTTCTCGTTGAATAGAGCCAGAGTGCTAGACTCCACCCACGCCGACACCCTCGGCCGAACTGAGCCAGGCAGCGCGCAAGATTCCGTGGGCGAGACACGCGACACCTTGTGCATGCTCTCCGCGGTGGACCTGTCGCCGCTCTGCTGGGTGGGCGGCGAGACAATTCGTTGTGTGTAGCTGCTGTCTTCAGAACTTGTATGTAGGACAAGCAGCGTCGGCGAACAAGAACGTTGTGATGTGTGGGCGCGGGCAAAGGAGGGTCGAGCGCAAGGTCCCGATCACCACACCCGGCGACTTTCAGCGCAAGCTCCGTCCTACAACCAATATGGCCTTTGACAACGTGTTTTGCGGCCAACAGGCAGCTGTTGCGCACCAAAAAAGCAGCACAGTCAGCCAAGGGGGTGGCACTGATGCCGCAGAGCGTGCCAGCTGCGTGCTATACTTATGCCAATCAGCGAGCTAGCTTGGTGGTGAGGTAGAGGACATGGCCATGAGGTGGTTGGCGAGATCGTGGTTCAACTCGTGTGGTAGCGTGAGGCTGGGATCAATCGAGTGTCGTGACTCGCCTCAGCTCTCCCTCCCATCTCTCGGCTGGGCTGCCGTGCTGCGCCCAAAGGAGAAAGTCAGCCAGTCTGACTGCTCTGGAGCCCTCCGGGTACCAAGGCATATCACACGGGCACTGCGCCCCGTGCCCCGGCGTCTTTTCGCCCGCGCATCCAGGTTTGTTTAACCCTAATACATTGCGCTTTCATACACCCGAACCTTACCTGCGCGCTTTCTCACTGGGCCTTCGATCTACTTTGACTCCATTAATATGAAGGTCCGCCCTGCGTACTCAATACGTCGAGCAAGCTGCGCAATACAAGTACAGACCAGGGTTGTCGCAATCGACAGGTTCAGAGGCAGTGGAAGAAAGGAGACAACGGTAAGAGAAGCACGACACGAGAGACAGCCACGATGGCATCGTATCTAGCCAGCATCTATGGCACGGAGCAGGACAAGGTGAACTGCTCATTTTACTACAAGGTGAGGCCCACCCCTTGTGATGCTCTCGTAAGCATCACCACTTCTTCTGCTGAGCATCACTTACTTTGAGTTTCCAGATCGGAGCATGTAGACACGGCGACCGCTGCTCGCGAAAGCACACCAAGCCGCCCTTTTCGCAGACGATCCTCATCTCAAACGTGTACGCCAACCCGAAGCATACCGATCCCAACTGCACGCTCTCGGACGAGCAGATCCAGACTGGCTTCGACAACTTCTTCGAGGACTGGTACGCGGAGCTGGCAAAGTACGGGCATCTGCTCGAGATGCACGTCTGCGATAACGTAGGGGATCATCTGATCGGGAACGTATATGCGCGGTATGAGTGGGAGGAAGAAGCGCAGCGAGCGGTAGATGCCTTGAACGACCGATGGTACGATAGTGAGTCTTTTCTATACCCAGACTCTAAGCCCCTGTTGCCTTTTAAAGCATGCCCTAACCCCCTCGACTCCAAGATCGGCCGCTCTGGGCCGAGCTTTCTCCGGTCACTGATTTCCGCGAAGCGTGCTGCAGACAGAACGAGACGAACGAGTGCAACCGCGGGGGGTTCTGCAACTTTATGCACCTGCGGCACCCGACCAAAGGGCTCATCAAACAACTCGAGCACGAGCAAGCCGTCGAGCTGCGTTACAAAAAGGAAGCACAGCACGCCGCAAAGGAGGCCGCTGCCGGAGGCGGATGGAAAAAAAATCTCGAAGAGCAAGGCGCAGGAGGATGGAAGAGCGCGCCGAGCGGTGGCGATTGGCGCTCAGGGCCATCAAGCAGACCGGTGGCGACTTGATCGCTTCCAAGGGCTCTTTCTCAGGCATCTGGTGTGGGAGGTGAGGTGCCGGCTGCAAGGTGGCGCAACACTTCAGTTTGACGTGCGACGTCCTGTGCCATGCTGCATATACTACGCGCCCTGGGCATTCCGATGCACCAGCGTTCATGTGGTCATTCCATACCACTACTATCTCATAGTTACCGCCGCACCCGACTCTGGCGTCGCGTTTAGTCAGATGATAACATAGTGCCCCCCACAGATTCGTGGGAGAGGCAGCAGAGGAGCGACGACGAACAAAGAGGGAACGAAGAACACTTTCGAAAAAATACAAAAAGATTTCAGGAGCGGGGTGGTACGGAGATGTTGGAGATTCAAGGCCTTGACGCGTGAGGTCTCCTTGCGCGAGTCGATGGGCTATCCATCATGCACACGCGCGCGCACCGCCCTGGGACCCATTTATCTTGAATTGCTGTGTATTGCCAAGACTCGCGGCCCAGCAGCGATATGTACCAACATTGCATCCGCCCCAAGCGGTGTTCATGTGGCATGCTGCTCCGAGGTAGATCCAGAGATGGCGGATATGTAGAATTTTTGGGATGCAGCAGATCCTTTTCCACGCATGCCTGTGAACGCAGCCTGAGGCGTGCGGCCTGCCGCTGAAGCACTGGCTCCGCGGGCGGCCTGGCAACACAGAAGCGCTACGCAGTACTCCTTGTCCTCGAATTTCCGCACGCAAAATCGGCTCATGCAGCCGCAGCTGGAGCCAGAGTCTCCGCCTCCGACTTGTCTTCGGCACGCGCAGATGCCGGCGCAGCATCGCCGTTCGGGACAACAGCCGCCTTCTCGCTCTCCTTGCTCCCCTCTGCTGCTGCCGCCTCCTTGTCCTGCTCGGCGCCGTCGGCAATAGGCGCAGTTGGCGCCGAAGGAGCCGCACTGCTGCTGTTGCCACTGGCCAGAGTGTCCTGCAAGAAGAGCGAATGTCACAAGCATCCGAAGTCAGCCTCTGTTTCCCTTTTGCACCATATCGCTTGTATGAAGTGGGATGAACGCTGGACCGCAAAGACGCGTCCACATTTCCGCTCGGATTTTATCGTGCAGGGGTGCGCTCGAAAACTTAACACGTCCCTGCATGCGTTCCGACGCGCCCACTTCCTTCCACATTAAGTTTCACACTGCCTTTGCGATTCTGATCCGCTCGACACGATGCCGAGGCGACCGCTGAGGAGGCGCGTGCGCGTGTGCGATCGGACGCAGTCCCCATCAAAACTCCCGCGTCACACGCAGTCTTAAAATCCATCGCTCCTCCTACTCACAGCCCATTTTGAGTAGAGCTTGTCTGCCCTTGACTTGAAATTGTATTTGCTCTCCGCATCGGCCGGGATCTCTCCGTCTTTGAGACCGATGATCTTCTTGAGCACCTTAAGGATCTTGGAGTCCTGCAGTTGTTTTTGCGTCATGTCGGTGTACGCCTCGAGTGTCTCAAACACTTCGCCGGATTTGTCCATCGACTGTTGGCGAGTTTAGCGAGACGACGCAGGGCGGCGTCCCTTCCAGCGTCAGCAAAAGCTATCTCGTTGGTGAGCGTCTGGGTCCACGTTTCTGCACCAGACTCACATCCTTGAGCACGCCGTCCTTGCCAAGGAAGTTGCGTTGCAACTCATGCCTCCATCCCTTGACCTTCTTGCTCGCAGGGCCGAGCTCTGCTCCATCATCCTTGTCGTCGTCCTTTCCGCTACCCGCGCCGGAACCATCCGCCTTGCGCTTTTTGCCCGTTTCTGCTTTTTTGCTCTCGCCCGCCTTGGACGCCTTCTTCGCCCCCGAGGAAGACGACTTCTTCGATGACGCGCTCGCCTTGGTGCTACCACCAGACGAGGACTTCCTCTTCTTGGATGCTGGCTTGTCTGCGTCGTCATCAAGCTCATCCTCGTTCTCGGCAGCTTCGAGTGCAGCTTGCTCGGCCTGGCGCTCCAGCTCGTCAGCTTCCCGCTGCCACGCATCTGGGTTCAGCGCGGTCTTGTACGCTTCAAGCAGATCGCCTTTTGTGTGCGTCTTGTCATTGATGTATGTTTCAATGTCATCCCGTGACAGCGGTTTCAGCTCCCGGCCACCGAGGAAACCGCTGATGAGCAGAGCAGCAGCGCGAAGGAAAGCCAGGGTGAGCATCGAACGCGTCTCTGGTGCACAGCAATCGATTCGAGGCGTTACGCACTAGTTGGAGTCGGGAATGAAGCGAATAATCTTCTGGTTTGCGCCACGCTTTTGCTTCATCACGTTTGTTGGCGCCGTATCGACGACCTGAAGAACGGAAAGCACAACATGACGCGTCCGGTGCGAGTGGCCAATGTCAGCAACTCGGCAAAGCATCAAAAGGGAGCAGGCGAAGACAACCTGTACACGCGTCATAAGGCGCGATTTCTGGCACAGAGGGAAGAGGAACGCGTAGCGCAACTCACCATACCCGGCCAGAAAGGGTAACCGGGAAGCTTGGCGAGGACCAGGTCTCCGGCGTTGCTGTAGGTAGGAGGGCTCATCATGCGCGTCAGCTCGCAGCGCAGTGTACGACGCGGCGCATCCGTCCCTTGCACCGCACTCGTAGAGGAGTCGTGCCGAGGGGAGATAGGACGCGTCCATTGTGCCACAGGAGGGCGACAATCATGACACTCACAACTGGGGCAGCGCGCTGCCGGAGCCGTTCTTCTTGCCCTTGCTGGCGACCATGATGGCTGAACGCGTTGGGAAGTGGCGTTCAGCGCGTGTGATGGGGGCTCGGGGCTCGGGTGCCACTTACACACAGCGTCTCCCCGAGAGCAGAGCGATGGATGCGAGGAGGGTGTGGGGTGTGCTCCGTTGGGTCGGGCATGGGGTGGATGCAATAGAAGAAGTGGTGGATGGATGGAATCCTCGCCTGCGTTTGCACACTCGCTATTCGTCACGCGCTGTGGCCATCGGTCAGAGTGCGTTGCGGGCTGGCTGGAGCGCGTCTCCCTCTCGCAGGACACTGCCGCAGTGCCCGGTTGGAGTGCTTTACTTTAGGTATAGTCAGCCAGTCACGTGCACATATGTGCATCCGCGCAGCTCTCTCTTGGAGTCTCTCCATCGCTGGACCACTTCGATGCTGCCCCTGCCAACTTGCCCTAATTATGCCACCACCCATTACCCTCGTGTGACCATCGCTCGTCTGTCCAACACACGAATAGCCGCCCTCCCTGCGGTTCGTCTGTCTGAAATAACGGTGTCCTCTGGCCGCTGCACCGTCTTGGCCTGACCGACCATGAGTAATAAACTGGTGGTGAGTTGATCGTCCCGTCGCGAGCGTACCGGACACGCAGCTGTCCTTTCCCCCGCACGCGCCTCGCGCCTCCTCCTTCCTGACTCTTATTACCTGTGTGCTATGCTCTGTTCCCTGTCGTCGCCACGGCCGCACGGGAAACAGTCATCGACATATCGCACAGTGATCGACGATGTGATTAACAACGTTCGGCAAGACTTTGACGACATGGGCATCGAGAAGGAGGTGCTCGAAGAGCTGCAGCGGTCCTGGGAGAGCAAGATCATCCAGTCCCAGGTCGCCGAGTTCGAAGGTGCTCCACCAATGCCGCCCAAGCCATCGAGGCGGGCGAAACGCGAGCAGGAAGAGAATGAGAGGCTGGAGAGGGAGCAACAACAACAACAGCAGCAGCTGGATGTGGCAGGCGCCGCAGCAGGGGCATACGCAGACGCAGACGAGGAGGAGGATGGGGAACGCAAAGCCAAAATGGCAAAATTGGATCACAATACAGCAGCGACACGTGCCGTAGGTACAGAGACAGAGGGGCCATCCGCCGCGCCGTCGAATGATAATGGGGTAGTGGCGGCAGAGAGCAGCAAGGCCGGCGCAGCGATTTCATCATCATCTGCAACAGCAGCAGCAGCAGCAGGGATGGCAGCCAATAGCAACGGCAAGCGAAAGCGATCACCAGGCGGCGCCGGCGTTGACGATGATGACGGCACGGATGACGATGCGCCTGTGACCGTGCCGTCTTCTTCAGCGCCCAATGGGAGCAACGCACCAGAAGGAGCAGCCAACGATGAAATCGGCAGCGACCTGGACGACTCGGAGGAAGAGGAAGATGCGGACGGTGGCGGTGCGGCCGGTGGTAGCGGGGCGGATGGCGACCAGGATATAGTGCTGTGCCTGTACGACAAGGTCACGCGCACGCGCAACAAATGGAAATGCGTGCTCAAGGAGGGCATCGCATCTATCGACGGCAAGGACTACCTCTTCGCGAAATGTACCGGCGAGTTTGAGTGGTAGCCGTAGCGCCGGATCACCAGATGAGCCTTTCGCGTCGTTGGCACGCGCGAGGGCATGCGCGCGCCAGCCTTGCTTAACTTTCTACGAAACACGACACCCGACGAAAAAGACACGCCGGACCCCATGCATTGGTAGTACCGTTGCTGTAAGCGAGCATTGTCATCAGCCATTTGATCAGAAGACGCTTTTGAGCATGCCTCTCGTCTTCGTCACTTGGAAGTTTTAGCAATAAATTAGCCGAATTAAAGGGGGTGACAAGAGTATGCGATGTCCCAAAAAGGAGCAACAGAGAAATACACGTGTACACGTAGCCGTAGTCATATAGCGCTCATACACAGAGATATTCTCTCGCGCGCAAAGGTACTGTCCTCGTGCGATATGCGGTACGTATCATGCAGCGCGTCGCAACGTGAGCGGCGCCTGCAAGCTCAAGAAGGGTAAAAGGCAGAAAGCGCTCAGAGCACCATGCCCCTGAACTTGCTGCTCGAGCTTGATCGCAATGAGTCTTTCGGTGATATTGGCGGCGTGTGCGAGTCGCCCTGTTGCCCAGCATCCATGTATGGGTCCGCAGCATGATTAGCAACATCGCCACCACCACCGCTTCCAACAACAGCGGCGACGTCTCCACTTTCATTGGCCGCTGCAGCTTTGGCGCCGCACGACGTGCTTTCGTGTTTGTGGTGTCGATTGAGCGCATCCAGACGCGCAAAAGTCTTGCCGCAGTACTCGCAGAGATGTGGACGAATGTTCAAATGCTGCCGAGATCAACATTGTCAGCGTCGCGTTGGTTTGAAAATGCCGCTGTTGCAGCAGTAGCAGCATGCGGATCACTCACCAGCTTCTGGTGGCGCTTTTGGTCATGAGCGCGCGCGAACGCGCGAAGGCAACCGGAATACCCGCACTTGAAAGGCTTCTCGTCGTTGTGCGAGCGAATATGGCCGTTCAAATTGAGCGCACGTGTGAAGGTCGAATGGCAGCCAGGGAAGGGGCACTGGAAATGAGCATCCGCTTTCCGCCTGGATACCGACGCGGCTTGCGTCTTGGCCGTCGTGACAGTCGCATTGACGGGCGAGTTGAGTTTTATGTCCGACGTGCTCGCCTCCCCTTCATGCGCTTCCAGGGAGCCATACTTCGGAGACGCCGTCCACACGTAGGCCACGTGGCGTGGCGACGAGCCGGTGCTTGACGCGGAGCGTGAAGACGCGTTGGACGTACGACGCCGGTGGCCGCCTTTGTAAGGGTGGTTCCGATGCAAGCTGGCAGAGCCTGCCGAATTCGGCGGCACGAGATGCCCATCGGGGCTGGTGAGGTGAGAGATCAGGTCGCCAGACCTGGTTGCACTCAAGTCTTCCGATCGGACTCCTTTGGAGTGAATTTGCCAAGCGCTGCGATCAGGTCGGTCCATCAGATTGTCCAAAACTTGTGATGGATAGGCATCTGATCCGGAAGGCAGATTCGGGAAGCGCCAAGCCGTTGGCGGCGACGTGCCTTGTGACGGCATACTCAATCCACCTGTTACAGGTCCGATGCTACCGCTCGAGTAGACTCGATCGTGCGAATAAGGAGCGCTCGAAGGGATCGAGCTGCGGCCGGCGCTGCGCGGCCGCATTAGCCCTGGATCACCGGGAGCCGGACTGGAGAATTCGGTCCTGCTTGGCGCTCCTTGCGACCTTGTCCAGCCATGCGGCCCTTCTGAGGCCGACAGCTCATGTCGCAAGCGTGATCGATCCATGGTGGAGCGCGTACCGCTGTCCTGCTCTAAATCCATCACCAGCAGCTCCTGCTGTGCATTGCTCTGTTTCCCGATTTGCGGTGGTAGCTGCTGCGACTGTCCACAGGCGTACGCGGTTCCACTCTGAACCGGCACACCGGCTTTGTTCTGGGCACCGGACGGCCACATGGCAAGTGCAGCTCCTGCAACTGACTGCTCCTGTGTCCAATCCTGCCCAACACCCTGCCATGTGGAGCCCATGAAAATCCCCGCGGGCGCAGTGAGGCCCGTCTTGCTGCCAGGCCCGCCCGAGAAAGACATAGCTGTCGCACCGGATGGTGATCTGGGCCCGATGTCTGAAATGGACCGCTTGCGGAGACCGCCACTGACATCCAGTCCGCACTTCCCAGAAGTCTCATGTCCTTCGTCCTTGTCAAGGCCCAAGAAAGCCTTGAGCTTGTCATACGAGTCCTCCCGCTGGGAATTGGCCTTGGCCCAGCCAGGTGTCCAGTTAGACGGCTGGTCCTTATCGAAACTGAGGAAGGCCTTGAGCTTGTCGTATGAATCTTCCCGTTGCGGCTTCTCGTGGGCAGGGCTTGCATACGTGTCGCCACTCCCCGGACCGCCAAGACCGCTACCGCTACCACCTGTGCCCAACTCCTTCTGCAGGCTCTGTGCAAGGTTGGCCATCATCTGCGGCACAAAGTCCTGCGCCGACGCATCCGCGGATGGACGTTGTCTGCCAAGATCCGTCAAGATGTAATTGGTATCGCCCCCAGAGACGCTCCTGCACCTGCTCTCCAGCAGATGCGCGTCGAGGCGGTGTGGCTCTTGTACCAGCCGAGCCTGCTGGAGCGCAGCAGCAAAGAGCAGGCGCTGTGACTCGGTATCTGAAGGTACTTGACGTGGTGTCACGAGATCCATCTGAGAGTGGTCAGGTGGTTGCGGCTGCGGGCCCTGCTCTTGATGTTGATGTTGCTCCCGCCCCTGCTGCTGCTGCTCTTGTTGTTGCTGCTGCTCGCCGGTCCCAAGCTGTAGATTGGCTAGCGGAACAGACTCTGAGTAAGTAAACTCGCTGCTGGGTTGCGACAAGGAGTTGAATTTGGCCGAGCCAAGCGGTTGAAGCGGTGTGGGTGCTGTAAGCAATGGGGCTCGCTCTTGTGGCTGCGAGTCCCCGGCTGGAATAGAAACGAGCAATGCGTAGCTCCCTGCGCCGTTTGTCGCGGCAACAGCCTGCATGTTTGCGGATGATTTCGATGAGCCCTGTAAGTCGGGTGCAAAGGTCGACCATTGACTTCCCTCCACGGGATTCGCAGCTGGATTCGATGGCCTAGCACCCGCACTAGCCGGCACGCGGGCTTTGAGAATCATGTCTGCAACCATGTTGCCGTCTAGCCCCTGCCCACCCTGCCACTGGGACGGATGCGACGCCGTTGCTGGCTCCCCATCCTTCCCCAATGGCGCGCCAGATTGCTTCTCGGTGGACGCATGTTCATCTGGCGGTAAGAATGTCTGGGCGAGGGTGAAATTGCCGCCGAATACGTCGCTGGAGAGGAGCGCTTGGTTCTGCATCAGGTTGTCGTACGTATCCTGCTGCGACGGATCATACGCAAGGATGCCGCTGTTTGCGGATGCGTTTCGCGCTCCAGCGCCACCATATTCATTGAGGTACACATCTTCTGCTGCATCCATCTGCGAGTCGAAGTCATCGATAGCAAGTTCGCCAAGACCAGAAATGGAGCTGCTGCGATCCCACGCATCACTGCTGTATGCGCTCTGATACGATGGCGTGTACGCACGGGGCACTGGATCGAGCAAATCGCTTCCCATAGCAACTGGTGCAGTCCAGAAAGATTCTCCGATTACCACGCCAGCGCTAGCCAAGGGCACATCGGCTCTCATGCCACCTTGTGGTTGTGGGTGTTGTTTCTGCTCATGCTCTAACGCATCCTCGGACAGCATGCTTGGCGGCGGGTCAGCTGAGCTAGTTGCCGTCACTGCATGAAGGCCGTGGAAGGGAATAATGAAAGATCAGGGCCACGCTCTTGCAGATGGACTGCGAGCTCAGAAAGATGACAATGGCGCGACATCACTCACGCCACGAAGGAAGGTTGAATGCACTGTTGCTGTCCTCCCGGGTCATACCTTGCATGGCCTGATCACTCGCTCCATCCTCTTTCCAGCCGTTCCCTCGTCCTACAGCGGAAGACGCGGCCTTGCTATCGTCTTCATCCACCGCATCGACTGTAGCTAGGGGCATCGCACCGGGAAGGGGAGACGCCATCGCGTAGGACAGTTCGAGATCCTCGCGGTACGGCACCGTTGCGCCTTACAAGCACCAAGCCCAATGGTGGATGGCAGTCGGACTGTATGGCATACAGCAGAAGACGATCTTACAAGGAGATGACAGGCTTTTTTTTGATGGAGGCAGAGAGCGACCAAAGAAAGTGTAAGGGTGTGGTGCTGATGGTGATGGTGATGGTGATGATACCGTTAGATGATGTCAGGTCGCTGATCAGACCAAACACTCACAAAGAGACATAGAGCCCTCTTCATCAGAGAGTCGGTTGTCGTGGTCGTCAGTGTGACTATGTACATACTCTTGTGTGACTGACTGGCTGCGTCTTGAACTGCCTTTGACGTTGTCTGTCTGTTTTCCCTTGCTCGACGTGCGGTGTGAGCGTGGGCTGGGACTGGCTTTTGGCGTAATTAGCGTTTCGGTCCCGGTTTTGAGACAGGCATCTGAGGCACGAAAAAAAGCCTCCTCTGCTGCTACTGGTGGATATTAAGTTTTTACCATGGTGTTAATTCTAATTCCATTCTTGACTGTCGTTGAACTTGGATAATTTTCAACAATTAAAATCCTCCCAATTTGCTCCAAACGCTGGCGTCCTTTCATGCATATTTGTATTTCGATTACACAGCTCGAGAGTTATAGCACTGATACAGCCTTTACTCATGTCAGTAACTCGGCGCTTGGAAGCTTGGATGGGCCTTGATACGCACTTACGTACCTTATTATCTGCTATTTGACGAGTGTCAGTCGCGCGTCCCCGAGTGCGGAGCGAGCACAGTGCAGTTGCCACCTTGCGCCTCGCAGACAGTCGCAGAGCCGAAGACGAGAAGCGGCTCTACGCTGCTTGGAAATGATGAATGAGAACCCGGGCGGCAGTCGGGAACACGGCTCAAAATCTGCCACCCTCGCAGACTGTACGCAAGCGTGTTCATAGCCAATAATACAGCCTGAAGAGAGTAGAGACGGGAGAGCAACTCTTCCCAGTTGTTGCCGTATGTACGCTGGCATCCTGCCTGCGATCTCCGGGGGCGAACAGAGGGCAGAAGCGTAAGGCGGGGGATGTTCGAAGGATGATTGCAAGATTGAGGTACCGATGAAGTCGGGGGAGAGAGAGACAGCTGGTGGAGGGATTGCCAGCAAATCACCGGAAACGAACACTGGGGCTTTTCAACTTTCCGGCGTATTAGACACTCCGTTCCGTGTGGTCCCTAGGCAAGCCGGGGGGTTTGGAATTTGGGCTCTGACCATGTTTCTGGCCTCGAAATTATTGCGCCCAGGTGGAGCACTGAGCACTATTCAATCGCACACGTTTTGGAGTTATCGTAAGTTTGTGGCATTGGGGTCATGTCTGGCGTTGCTCCAATGCTTGCGGACGCGGCTCGCATCGCCTTTTGCATTGGGACGCCTAAGGGGCTTTGTTGGCGACCGGTGAAGTAATGAAGGAGGGCGAAGCAGTCAAGCTGGGTAGTGCAGGGTGCGGGGCAGCGGTGAAAATGTGAAGGCTGCTGAAGGTGCCAACCACAATGGTGCCGCTTCCGCAAAGGCCTGTGTGGTGGCAAGTTCATACCTTACCATTCATACCCAATTCCACATGCCAACGTCAAGGCGTAGTCTGTCTGTGGCGAAGTTTGATTTTCCCGCGGTCGATGATGCATCCTCCCGCATCTCGACGCGGGCAGTATGCATGTACTAGTAAACAAACGCTCAGAACCCGACGATCCGAAAAATTGAACGCTGTTACTTGGATACTGGATATATACTGGCTTTTCATATCAACCTTCGATTTCTGAACACTGCTTTTTTCTTAATGAGGGGCCCGTGTCTCACTCGGTACGTTTGTAGTACACCGTGTTGTGATGTTCCCGCTGTTGGCACCGAACCCTTTTCGCATCTGACAGGCGCTGGCCTGCGCCGACTGTACATACTGACCACAGGCAGCCATAGGCCACGAGGAAGTATACCGTACATCGGGGGAAGTTTGCTGGATGATGTGTGCATGACGCCTGGGGATACGTACCATCTTAACGTGCCACATTCAGCCGTGCAGGCATCTCCCAGTTCAAGTCTTCGTTCGCACTTCGCAGGCAGCAGGATCGCAGCTCACATATCACATATCACGGCTCATAACTGCCAGCGCAAGAGAGCTGGCAGCAGCATGCTTTCATCAAAGGCTGTGCTGTAAGTGTCAGAGCCGAAGGGCCGTGGACCTAGTTGCCCCGGGAGGTGCTGTTTGCATGTGCAGAATGGCTGTGGCCCCAAAGTGTCCATACGTTGGTGATATACCTCAACCATGCTACTGCTTGCTTGCGACAGAAAACAATACAAATGGGTTCAGACTCGTAACAATTGGGCTGATGGAAAGCGCACACCGTGCGTATATGCCTTGATGCTGCGGATAAATGAGGGCGTTGGACTGTCCGAAAATGATGATGATGATGCTCTAATCCAGGATCATCTGATCTCGCGGGAGCGACGGCGCGCGCGGCGCCATCTGATCTGATAATGGGACTTTCATCGGCCCCTGGACCTCGAAAGGGCTGGGGAAGCCAGCCGCTTCCCATACGTTACTGCAAGATAGAATGTCGTCCAAGAACTCCTCTTGCGGCTCGGCGATGAGCGCACCGCGGATATCCATCACCTTGCGCGGCTCTGATTCGTCTTCGTCTGCAAAGGAAAGCCCAAGCGCAGATAGCGTCTGGCGCATGGCCGGCGCAGATTGCGACGGCGGCAGCAGATCCTCGCTCGTATCCATCGCCTGGTCATCGCCATCGCCAACCAGACCGATCAGCGGCCCAGACTCGATGGTCGGCAGCTCAAAGTCTGGCAGCTGGTCTAGCTCAGAATTCATCACGCCTAGTGCCATGCGGCGCTGTACGGCGCGCATGACGGGATGCTGGACAATATCGTCGATGCTCGGTCGAGCTTCCGGGCGCGAGTCGAGCATCGCAAAGATGAGCTCGACCAGTTGGTCGCTCAGATGCGAAAGGTCGACGTCGGTAAAGTCGTCATTGCGGAGCTTGAGCCATGGCTCGCCGTTGTCAGGCAAAACGACGTTGCCTCCAGCTTCCAGCATAATCAGGCCCAGACTGTTCACCAATAGGAGGAGACTAGCATCAGAAAAGAGAGGGCCACAAGCGAGAAATGGACTTGCCGACATGCTTGTAAAGCAGCTCACCTGAACATATCTGCCTCCTTGCCATACCGACCCTTGCTCATGATCTCTGGCGCGAGATACTCGCGGTCGCCTTCTCGCTCCAAACTCTGCTTCTTGCCGCGTCTCCGAACGGGTACCAACTCATCGTCTCCATCCCCGATCGGTGCAGCGGCGTGCACACCGGCACCTTTGAGTGTCGCCGCTGCTGGCATGAGGGGCCACCGCGTCGCAAAGCCAAAGTCGCCGACCTTGAGCGAGCCGACCTCGGTGATAAGCACGTTCGCAGGCTTGAGATCGAGATGCAGCACGCCGTTGCCATGGATGTGCTGCAAGCCAGCGCTGAGCTCCGCAAGGATTTTCCAGAGTCGCGGCTCGTCCAGGTTGCCCGCCATGCAGCCATACTCCTCCAGAAAGAACGCGAGTGTGCCCAGGCCGCAGAGTTCCGTCTGCAAGAAGAGATGTCCTCCTTCTTCCCACGCGTCAAGCAGATTGATGACGTTGCGATGTGCCTGACCATCGTGCTGGAGATGGCGGAGGATATCCACCTCCTCCATGCGCCTGAGCCTGTCCCGCGGGCCACCGAAGGCCTTCTTCATGCGCTTGACTGCAGAGATGTAGCCGGTCGTCTTGTCCTCCACCTTGAGCACCTCGCTGAACTCGCCCGTGCCTAGGACGGACTGCACGTTGAAGCTGCTTTGGAACTTGCTGACGTTGACGCCTTGCCTCGGGGACGCCAGCAGCAGCAGTGGCGAGCGCACGTTTCTGCTGCGTGCCCGCTCCCGCTCCCGCTCTTTGGCGTTCGAGTGCGACGTCGGCGACGGCGTCGTGACTAGCTGCGCCGCTTCGAACCACTTGATGGGCGTATGGTTGCGCGTCGGCGTCATTGGCACAGGCGCGATGCCCATGCCCATCCCAAGGCTCATGCCCAGACCCGGCGAAGGCGTCGGCCCGCCGTCAGTAGCTGTCGAGGCCGCATTTCCGCTGAATGTGGCTGCCGCCTGCTCTGTGGTCATGGACGTCTTGCGTTGCAGGCCCTGTACGCTCAGGGGCCGACTCCGGTGATTCATAAACTTCTGGCGGTTTGCGAGGAAGGAAGACGGTTCGCGCGTGAAGTGCGAATCGTTCGCGGCGGCGAGGCCGCTGATGGACGCGGCAGGCGTTGCAGCATCAAACGCCTGCGTCCGCGACAGAGCCGGTCGCACTGCCGGCTTCTTGGGTCGGTGGCTCCGCTCCAGCGTGCCAGACGCGTCCAGTGTCGGCCAGCCTTTCGCAGCACTGTTCTCAAAGGCATGTTGATCCACAGACATGAGCCCCAACGTGGGGCTGTCGCACGAGTCCTTCAGCAAAGGGGAGTGCGGCAGTAATACCGGCGAGGGCGAGTCGGATGAGGAGCGACTGGGAGGCCGCTCCGGTATGCCGAGATGCGTTCGCAGTGACGCAGGCGGCTTGAACGTCGTCGGTGCTGGCTTTTTGACAGGCGTGTCTGGCATGACGCTCGTATTCGCTGCCGAGATGGCGTGATGTGCTGAAGCGGCAGCAACGACCTCTCGTAAGCCGATCGCGGCTGCACTGCTCGTATTGAAGTTGGGCCGTGGCGGTAGCGGCTGCAAATACTCGCCAGACAGATCCGCCAGATCCCCCCGTGGGCGATTGCGCTTCGAGACGAGGCCAGTCGACATAAATGCGGCTTGAAGTGGCTTGACGTTCTTGAACTGCGGTGTGGAGAATTTCGGAATCGACTCTTGCGCCACGGGATGTTTCTTCAGCGGGCTCTCAGCAGGGTATAATTGCTGACACCCGATCGGAGCTGTTCGCTGTGAGCGAGCCGAGCTGGGTGCAGCACTTGGAGAAGAAGCGGCGGAGCCAGCATCGCTCGAGTCTCCTGTGAATGCCTCATTTGCGAGTGATGAGCGCTGGCGCGGTCCGAACCCTTGCGCCCCCAACACTCCCAGGTGCTTGGGCGTCGTCCCCTGTGCTTTGTCCTTCTGCGGTGTAGACTGCGTTGGAGCATTCGCCGCAAACTTTCCAGCAGAAGAAGGAGTCACGAATGCCAGCCCACTATCATCCGCCCTGAAGCTGCTGCTGCCGAAAGAGACACGCGATCGATCCGCGTGACGCGTTTCGAACAACCCTGGGTGCGCAAGCCGGTGCGCCTTCATGTGAGCCGGAGACTGGTCGACGTCTGCGACATCATCAGTCCACTCGGCGTCCCTTTCACCGATCGGCAAGCTAGGCGAGGAGATATCTCGTAGCGCGAGCTTGCTCATTGTTGACTGACGATTGCGACTCAGATCAGGGGCAGACTTGGATGGCGTTTGCTGGCAGCCAGGTGCTTGGTTCTCCCCTTGCGGCCGCTTCCGAGCAAAGTCAAACAGGGCACTAGCATGCTGTAGCTTCTCCTCTGCAGCCTCGATTCTCAATGCGCTCGCGCTCCTCGAGGACATCGGTTCAGCTGTCAGGAGAGTGTGCGAAGAGAAGGCGGACCCGGTCGAGGACGAGCGATTGCGTGCTGCGCTGGTGCTGGCGCTGCCACTCTGTGCTGCTGCCGCCAGCAGGAGCGATTTGCGCTTCGCAGGTGTTCTGTACGGGGAAGAAGGAGGCAGTGCGCTTGCAGACGTCTTGCTGTAGGGCGATGGCTGGAGGGCGGTGGAAGCTGCAGAATGATGGATGGTCGGGCCAGTCAAGGATACACTCCTGTCGGCCATGTTGGGCGCGAGGGTGAGTGCATTCCCAGCATGATCTGGCGTCACGTTGCCCAGCAGCGCAGCGCCTTTGCTGCGCTTGGAGAGCGACGCGCCTTCGGTTCTCGAACGTGAATGCCGCAGGATCCTGCTCGGTGCGGGTATTCGCGAGCCGGACTCCATCATGGCGAAGTGGGAGGCCGGGGATGATGTTGCATTTCCTCACTTGTTGTCGTGCGAAAGCGCGAATATACGAGCATATACACGAACGTGGATGCTCTTGTCCCCTTGGGTTTATGTGGGATGGATCTAGGAGACGCTGGGGGGGGCCCTCTACATGACGCGCTCCCAAACAAGATGTTATTATTAGAGCGAATGGTAAGCGTATACACGAAAACACGCGCCTGTGCACGCGGTGAGACGACAGACTCCGTGTTGACAGAGAAAAGAAAGAGCGGAGAGGGGCCGTGAGAGGACACACATCAATGCATCCGACGCGCAGCAGGAGCGCAGTAGCGCGGCCAAACCTCAAACAGTGAGACCCGTCCCGGGCGTCGCTTTGACAGCGACGCGTTCGTTGGCGCGCGCCTGCTTACGTGAGAAGGGGGGGCATGTCCCCTGTAATTCCCACCCATCACAACACCCCCCCCAATTGCTGGATTCTATATTGTTTGTAGTTCGCAAACGTTCAGACCAGTCATCCTACTTGTAAATCTTTTCATATGGGCTAGTTTCACGTTCTTGTCACCAGCAGTGAAGCTATCCTGGTCGGGTGCTTCGTCACGGTGGTCTGTGCAGGGTCCATGCCTAGAAGTGGGATAGGGTTGAGGGCCAGAAGGACCGCGAGCGGCGGGCTTCTCAAGCAATACACGTGTATAGACACTTCGTTGCGCGAAACTAAAGGGAACGAAGAGCGCCAAAGTGGACTGGACTGTCTTCACGCCGTCAGGCCGTATGCTACAGTTGAGAAAGGGGAGCTTAGAGCTTCGACTAATCTAACCTGACGGAATATTGCCATGCCATCGCTACATCACTCTTCAGCAAGGAGCACGTATTCTCGAGAGCTTGCTCCTAGGTGAATCGTGTCGCCGCTTTTGAGCTCGTAGTAACGCGATGGAGGGATGTCCTGGTCGTTCACTGCCGATCCATTGGCAGACTCGAGGTCGATCAAAAATGGCCTGATTGATGCACAGGAGGTAAGGAGCGCCGAGGAGTCAGGCTGACAGCTGTTCGCTCGAAAAGAGATCCACGCGAAGGACTCGGGTGTGCCGGGATCACTCACTTTACCCTTCGCTTCTCGTCGCCAAACTCGTTGCGCTCAACAATAAGGCGATACTGCAGCACCGCATGTTGTTTCGAGCAGGAAGGATGATCGATAGGAATATCCACCACCGCTCTGTCTCTTCCAAATAGATAGCACGATTGTCGAGAAATGTGATGCAGATCTGGATTGGGGAGGGACGTCAGACTACACTCTCGCTGCGTTTCAACGCATTCCAAAAGGGATCGAACTGACCGATCTCCTTGCCGTCCTTGAAAACGTAGAGACGCCACTGCTTCTTAGGCTTTCTTGAATCTGGTGGTTCGTGGTACTTGAGTGCGACACCGTTCACATTATTCGAAGCAGCCGCGAGTAACCCCGAGCGCTCGAAATTCGGCTTCGCCTCCGCTGTCTCCATCTCCCCAATTCCTCCTGGAGGTGCCGCAACATTAGCACCACTACCGCCGCCATTCCCCGATGCATCGTACCGGGCCCGCTCTCTCGCTCTGTCCCGTGAAAAGTCCGGCGACCTTGATCGCGGACGGCGAGGAGGCACATAGCGGTCGCTGCGCTCTTCGCGGCCATTGTACGGCCGCGACGAGGGTCCAGCTCTTGAGCTTTGCCACCCATCATCATCATCACCATGGTACCGATGAACACTTTCGTAGCGTCCCGAGCTCTCGTTGCGATCACGGCCTTCTGGAGATTTTGACCGCAGTGACCCTGTCCTTCGGCGCGAGGAGGGCGGCGCGTCCCATCTGGAAGCGTAGGCGCCGCTTGGGCAATCACCAGAGGTCGGTGAGCGAGGCATCTGCGGTACAGGTTGTGTACTTGCTGAGTGTTCGCGCTTGCTGAACCCTTTCCCTACTCTTGCATTTCAACTTGTCTGGAGTGTGCTGGATTGCTGCAGCCTGTTGCAGATGGTTGGAAGCACCAATCCAATGATGAATCGAATACTATATACGTAAGCAACTGAAAGGGTGTACCAGCTTTTCACAAGGAGAACGAAAAGAGTGGCGCAGTGGCAGGAAAAGTCCCCAAACCTATCTGCAGCTTCCTTGGAATCAAAACCTACCATCCTTCATCGAAGAGCCTCACCCTTCTAATCAATATTCGATCTTGGGCATGCGCCAACCTCAATACAAGTCCTAGCTCAGCTTGAAAACAAGCACCTAACGCGTCTTCATGTCCTTCTCAGCGCGCTGCCGGTCCTGCGCATCCGTCCTGCGGCGCGGCGACCTCTCGCTCCATACCCGCAATTTCGCATCAACGTCAGCAGCAGGTGCAGCGACCATTGCGCGAGTCAAGCCGATACCTCAACCGCGGGGTGTGTCCACTTCTTTTTGGCCCTGAAAATGCCCTAGCATGTGTACTGACTACTCTGTGTGGACCCCTCTCAGATGGCATCGATACTCCAAGTGCCTTCCTTGCCGCCATCTCTCGAGCACCCCGGAGAGATCTGGCATCGGACTCGAACATCGCGACAGCGCTAGGCGAGGACTGGTCTGAGATGTTCAAGCTCCGCGGCGACGATCTGAAGAAGAAAGGCGTGTCCGTGGCGGAACGGAGGTGCGTACCGGTAGTAATCTAGAGTCGACTGAAAACAGCACCTAGGCTGAACTGACACGCTTGCTACCTCGCAGATATTTGCTATGGGCGCTGGAGAGGTTCCGGCAAGGGCAGGATCCGAAGAAGTTTGCCTATCAGCCAAAGCCGAAGAAATTAGTCAGAGGGTACGTCATGCGCCTCCTCCGCCTGTGGTCGCTTCAGATTCGAGTACTGACCGCCGCTCTTCCTCGACTGTGCCCAGATGGGGAGCTCGAGTTCAAAAGGGCACTCGTGTCAGCGGCCGTCAAAGGCCCGGCGAGAAGTGAGAGAACACACCTTCCTTACAGGGTAGTGCTTTCTTTTGCTCTCTTGCAACAATTGGCGACTTCTGTGTGGAGATACTGCAATTCTTATCTGTGTTACACGAAGAATATCCGAACGAAATGATGTGCAAGAGAATCCCCTAACGAGCGCCCCAGAAGTCCAAAATCCATACATGTCAGATGTGCCGAAGGGCGATTATGGATGGAAGTGTAGATGGAGCCGGCTCAGTACCCGTGGTACCGCGGCTCCGAATACGAGTGCTGATTCCCATAGTGAACGATGTAACCTCCCGACAGCGACGACTGGTGAGAGTGCGAGGAGTAGTGTGAATGCGCACGGGCCGAGTGCGGCGTGTGGCTTGGTGAGTAGGGCGCGTATGCTTGATGTTGCATCATCATCTGCTGCGGCGGCAGTGGCCCTCCTGCCCTGTTCGGAGATGACGCGGCGGGAGGCCCACGCATCTGGTATTGAGACGGCACGGAGTGACTTGCCCTTGGTGTGCTGGCGAACGAACCCAGCGCGTACGACTCGGTCGACTGCCGCGGCGACATGGCGTTGTTAACGAACTTGAAACCCGACGAACCTCCTGCGGCAACGTCTACGCCTGCAATCGGGACACCTCGCCCGACGTTCCTCATACCAGGCGCAGGCGACGGCCCGGCAGCAGGCCCATAGCCGAACCCCTTACGCTCAGCGCCCAGCGGCACAACATCATCGTCCATGTCCTGCCGCGGCAAGGCGGAGTACTTCCCAGCCGAGGTGCCCAGAGCGCCAATGCTGGAGTAGGAAGCCCCCGCCGGACCGAGCATGCCACCAGAGATGCCGCTTTGGGACTGCGCTGCGATCCTCTTGTTGCGCGAGCGACGCCAGAAGGCCAGCGCGATGCCCCAGATGACGATGGCGCCAATCACGGACGCGACGATGGGGACGCCGTACTTGAGCGCGTCGTGCGGGTTTAGCGGCGAGCTATCGTCTGCATTACTGCCTGAGCCATCATCCACGGCTTGCTTGCTCGTCGTGGCACCACTGGCGGCGCGAACAGTGTCTGCCATCGACTTTCCGCTTCCATCCCAACTGTTGCCATTCGTGACCTTTGGGGTCTCTGTCCCGGCGTAGCCGGGAACGCCCGCCACGCCACCAGCACTCGGGTTGGAGATGGCAGATATGGGGTTGGTGGACATTTGAAACTCCGGGCGGTTCGTGCCTGTGATGTTCTGCCCAGTGTAGACATAGCTCGTCACGCCTTGTCCGCTTCCCGTTGTGGCAATATTCCCTGTGTTCTGCGGAGCGCAGCCCATGTAGAAATTCTTGATTTCGTGCGAATAGTAGCCATTCTGCTGATACTCCTGCGTACCCCAGTCGATCGCACCACCGCTCCATGCGATCGTGCCTTTGTCGTTCTGCGAGCTTCCGCCGGCCCAGATCGACAATTGCAGGCGTGAAGGCGTCTGCGGGAAGTTCCCGTGGGTCGAATTGGCGTACAAGGTACGCACGACATTTCCGTCAATCTTCCACTGGATGTAGTCAGGCTGCCAGTTGACGCCGTACGTGTGCCAATCGCCCACCGAGAAGGTGCCACTCTGGTTGAGCGTCTGCGGCTGCTTTGTGTTGTAATCTCCGAGCGCATACGTGTTCGTCTGTGTGTCCTGCTCGTTGGCGGTCGTGAATTCCCAATCGATCTCGTCTTTGACATCGCTCATAAAGATGAAAGCTGCGACGATACCTGCCTGCGCATTGTGGCGAATGGTGGCTTCGACATCGCCGTAGAGCATGTATTGGGTAGTGGACAGCATACCTTGCGTTCTGTTGGTCAGTTGGAGGATGACACCTTCCGAGCCGGCGCCGAGGCTGCCATATTCAAGCGTGAATGGTGTGGACGCGGTGCCATTGTACGATAGACTGGCGGCGATGACAAGACATCAATCATCTGTGCTCTCCTAGCTTGGCTTTGACGCGCTCACATTGGCATAAAGATATTCGAATTGTTAAAGTCCGCCGGCCGGAGCGTGATATTCTGTGTCTGGCACACGGGCGCAGGGTTGCACGAGGTGGGAGAGTGCGAGGACAGAGGATTGCAGCCTCCGCTGCAGAACTGTGCTCCGTTTCCACATTGGCCACCTGAGCTGCAGCATGGCGCGCTCGATGGGCACTGAGAAGCGCTGGAGCATGAGATGGTCTGCGCGACAGCAGATCCGACATACGACGCTACAAGGAGGCACAGGGCGACCCATGCACGCCGACAACATGAGGACCTTGAGACGGTCATGGTGCTACTATTCCCCACGCCGAGACGTCGCAAGGCGAGCGAGAGAAGCGTCACTGGAGAAAGGTGAGAAAATTGGCCACGTCCAGGTCGGCGAGCGCGGTCGACTTTTCGCACGCGGTTTAGGGTCAGGGTCACCTAGGATGGGTCAGCGATGGCAGACAGTCCACCATTCGTGGGCGAACGCGGACCGGGGGCATGGGCATGGTCAGGCGTGCCTTGGCTAACAAAGATGGATGGCAGCTGGATCGGACGCGACAGCGTCGTCAACCACGTTTCAGAATCGACGGCCTGGAAGCAGGTGGAAAAGGACTCAATATGCTTGCGAGGACGTTGAGTTCGCCACATCACTTTCCTTTTACAGGCAATCATGTTCATCCGTCTCTGTAGTCCATGGCACGGGAGAGGGAAAGGAGAGGTGAGATGTTCAATTGACAACGGAGAGGACAGCACTGGGCCGCAAGAGTTCAATCGTCTCCCGTCCCTGGGGCAAGGGGGTGGTGTACAGGCACTAGGGCGCACAAAAAACCAGCTCACTCACACCTATCAACATTTGTGCCGCCGGACAGGCAAAAAGGTCCGGTGTCGTGACCTGCGGCTGGGCGCCCCAGTGGCGGCTTAGATGAATTAGGAACGGAGCCGTCGAGATTAAAATGTTGTCGACGCAGATCCGACGACCATGCTGTATCCATATCGCATTTTCGCTTCATTGGCGGCAGCCAGCCGCTCCTTCGGCCACATGTCTGCCGCTCGTCGAGATTCGAGTGACCATCGATACGAACATGATCTGGCGACGGGCTACACCAAACAAGGGTCCACTTCGACTTGAAGCGTTGATGCGCCCACGATGTACGGGATGTCCCTTGGTCAGGCGCCGTTTTGCGCCGGCAGGTTTTCAGATGAGAGCCAGCCGCGTTTTGATCAGTGAAGGCATGACAAGGTGGCGAAACATCTGGCATGGAGATGAGGATAGAAGCTGAGCAGCGCTTGGCGTAGATGGAGGGATCGGCCGAGAGGTTCCAGCGCGTTGCGGGCGTCAGTGCGTCTTCACCAGTGTTTCGCAAACTGTACCTGCGCCGCTTCATTCGTATTCGTTGGAGTTTACGCCACCTTTGTCACCGACAAAAAGGGGTGTTCGATTGCAAATGAACTAGCTCCGATATGAATATGAACCATGGATCTGCACGACCCGCATGTAGATGCGCAAGTGCACACCGCCCGGCGTTCATTTATCGCCATCGAACCGGTAGCAACAACATTAGTGGGCGGCTCCCAAACGTGGCTTTCGATGCCGAAGGCTGCCTGCCGAACACAGACATGGCGCGAGCCACGACTGTCGTGCAGGCTGTAAAGCTGACAATTAGCTCACGTAGCACTGACCTGACTTTTCAACTGGGTACCCGATGACTTGAGCGGAACGTGCCGCCCAGCATCAGCTGACTGGTTCGGTCCAAAGTGGCCTCTGGGGTTTCGCCCACCTCAACCTGCCTTCTTCGAACCCGAAAGGCGCCGTGTTCTCCCTCCTCACCCCGCTTCTCTGCGCGGATATGCCGTGCCAAACGTCCCAGATCAGTTTGGCGCCTTTTCTTGCTCATATGGCTTGGGTTTCATACATTCCTTCCGCTCAATGATAAACAGTGAGCCATGAACGATGAAATGCAGATGGTAGGCTACCTACAAAGTGGAGCGTGCATGGTGGAGTACCGCAAGAAATCTCCACCTACAACCAGGTTCAAGCACAACTTCTTCAAAAACTGTCTTACTATGCCCTACTCTTTTCTGGATGAAAAATCAAAATGTATTTTCTGTCCTGGAGAGCCTGTCTTTTTTTTGCGGGGCAGGCCTGTGGCAGGCATCCATTTCTGTCATCGACTACCTGCCTCCTGCCCAAGTGAGACGCAGTCCAAATGGTGCCATGTGTAGAGTTTATCGGCAGTCGGTCAACTTTGCATTACTGGTTTCCTGAGGTGTATTCCGGGGTAGTTGATTATTGCCCCTTGACCATTCATATTATCGATCAGGCGATGAGGCGACCGCTGTCCACCGTCCACCGTCCACCGTCTCATTGATCATGCGAACAAAGGCGCATGACAGACGATCAGATCAGGGTGCATTGTGCATTTCATAGATTGTTCGCGAGGGGTGAGAACCGAATGACTGGATCATCGAAATCAAGAAACCAGGGAAGAGACCATACTTTTGCGAGTATGTGCACGATTCTTTCCTGCAGAAAGTCTAGACCTCTTGATGTGAACGGTCCGGCTTTGTCCTTCTCGTTGCCCACCAGGCGCGATCGCACTGGACGCACGTGTGACTCTGCAACATGACGCGCGACCTCTGGAACAGAGCGTGTGTCGGGACAAGAACCTCATCACAAAAATGAACACACTCAACGCTATTGGGGTATAGGGTTGTGTACATCTTGTCTCCAAGGGGCAACAGCAACTGTGCTGGCGAAAGAGTGCGGTTGGCGCACAGGAACACGGGAGCGTGACGCAAGAACCTCGCTCAAGCGCTCTCAGCCTCCACAGGTAGAGGATGGCCATGCGCTCGCACAAAGATCTCGGTTGGATGGTGCTAGAGTGGACTCACTGCATCGTAGACAGAGTGGGCTTGCGTGAAGCGCGCAAAGACGGTCAAACCAATCAGCTCACGGCTGGCAGAGCACTCCACCACCTATCGTTCTGCGAGCCCAACCAGGCCGAAGCATGCACTTGTCTTCATCAGTTCAGGGCAAGCTCGGTGATAGAGGGGACGGGTGGAGGGAAGCGCTCTAGACAAGGTTCATTCCGTCGTCAAAGTCCTCGACAGGGTCTGCATTCTGTGGACATTAGATGAGCTCTGGTTCCCGCGGCCAGACGCTGCTCAGATCCCCAGACTTGACCCGACCTGACACGTCGCTGCTCGATTGGAACTCAGCGCCACTTCGCAAATCTCCAGCTGGCGTACCGCGTGTATAGGCTATCCCCTCCGATCCTTGACGCCAGCCAGAGACGCAATCGATACTGCAGACGCAAGTATTCCCCCTTCATATTAGTCTTCCAACCTCGTCGCCTCACCGGCCATCTCGAGCTCAGCCCCAGCCTCTGCCCGCTATTCAACGTTACCCTGGGTCCATCAAGCGCAGCTTTCTCAGTGCAAGGCACAGGATTATCGGTCGTTTCCTTCGCTGGTAGCAGAGAACCTTTTGGGGCCCAAATTTTGGGACGTGTCGGCTCGGATCGAGCGCCTGGGACCGAGGCGCATTGGATTCCTCGACATTCAATCGACTTGACCATACCATAGTCCTGGATCTGCGGCAGCCCCATTGATCGAAAGTCCACGCCAACGATCCACTGCCAAATCGTTTTCAGCTACCCTCAAAACATCGGTGTCAGCGTGCCTTATTCTGCCACGCGCCCTTCGTATTCGATCGAGCGTGTCAAAGGGTTGCCAATTATTGTTGTGATTCCACATCAAGGAGCTGCGTAACGACATAATTCGAGATGGATGGCGCTCCATCTGCATCCAAAACATCACCTGGCGTGGCAAACGACTTTGCACCTGCAGGAAACCAAGACGCTGCAAAGGCAAGCACCTCGTCCTTGGCGCCGCAATCGCCACCGCCATCGCTGCCTGCATCACTAGCCGCAGCTAGCACGGGAGCCAGCCCTCCGTCTGACATGGATGAAGACCAACGCTCCAGCGAGCGGCAGCTTGAGGAGGCAGAACGACGCAAAGCAGAGCGCGACAGGACTAATGAGAGGGCCACGATGGAGGCACGCATTGCTGCGGTCGCCAAGCAGCGCGATGCCAAGACAGATCGGATGATCGACCGACTGAAGAAAGGTGACGAAGTGAGTCCGCGCAGATAAATCCACACTTGTGCTCGAGGACAGCCTAGTGTGTCACTGATGAACTCTGACAATCCCCGTTGATTTGTGTGCAATTAGCAACTCGCGAATCTCCTTTCGCAAGCAGCCGACTCGCTCTCAGCGCTTCTACCTAGGCGGCATAGCAGCGCTGTTGGTATCGATCCGGGTCTCACAAACGACCCGAATGACCTCGACGAGGCAGATGCCGATGAATTTGAGAAGAAGGCGCAGGACTGGTTTACGGGCCTCAATGTGAGTGGACATATATTCTCACCATCGTGTTATAAAGCTTACCAGAACCCGCTCCTGACCATGTGCCTTCTACATCGACATTCAAAGGAAGTGCAAACGAACATGCGAGCTGCAGTGCATCACCTGAGGCGATCAAAACTGCCCCCTTTAACACCAAACGCATCAAGCGTATCACAAGCGTCAGGGCAGCTCGGGTCAGCAGAACGAGGCGATAGTCTACGCCTGCTTGACCAAGTCGCACAAGGCGGCAGCAGCAGCAGAGATACAAGCTTGAGCACCGAAGAGGAGTCATTGAGCGTCAGTGCGCTGCGTTTGGAAGAACAGGGATGGAAAGGCCTCAGCAAGGCGCTAGGCGAGATCCACACGCAAAGACAAGTCGAAAGCGCAGGCGGGCAGGCGTCCAGTAGAAGCGGTCCAGGGACCGGCTCTTCGACGCCACTCACCAGGCCCATCTCGCCTGTGGTAGATCCGCGCGCAGCGGAAGCGGACCAACAGATGCGAATACAAGGCACGGCGGGCAAGATCCTATCCCACTTGGCGACGAGCGATGCCAGGCTGCTCGATGCGCTCCTAAAGAGCGGCGCCTGATCCTCTGCAGCTGCCACGGGCGATGCCCCAAAGCATGCACCAAGAAAGTGATCCGGCGCTTACAGCAGTGGGTGTGGCACAATCACGAGCAGACGATCGCATAGTTTTCCTTTACCTTGCCCCGCCTACAGTAATAGGCACTTGCGTATGTTTAGGGAATGTAGTCTTCACATTAGCAGTACAGTACAATACTATGTTTGCAGTTTGGCAAATCAAGAAGATGCCAGACCTTTACACATGCACAGTCTGCCCGGAAGCAAACCTTTGGACTAGCTTGGCAATGGCGACATCTTGAGCGCCAATCCCGACACTCTTGAATATCGTGAACCGTGTTGAATCCTTCCCGATGCTAGCGACGTCCATCTCTGATCTCTCGCGCTCGTTGGCTGCAACATCGACTTCCACCGCGGGCGGTGGCTGCACGAGAGTACCAAGCTCGCGAGTTTTGGTCCAATCTATCTCTGCTTTCAAGAGATCGCCTGCTTCAGTACCTGCATGCGACAAGCTGTCAGCGCAAGGATTGTATCGGCAGAATGTAGCACGATGCAAACTCAACGGCATGATGATATTGAATCCACCATGATCAGGCCCCGCGATTGCGCTTGGAGAACGAGCTGCTCTTCTACTTCTTGCATGTGTGGTTTATCTAGAGATGGCCCAAGTTAAGTAAAGCTAGTCGCAATGGGTGTGGACGGTGTATCGTGAGAGGGACTTACATGACCCGATGAGGTTGAGATGCGCGCCAGGCTTAAGCGAGTTCATTCGGAAGAGCGGCGTTGTGCTAGGTGTGCAGCAGCACACAATGTCCGCGTGTTTCAGCAAATTCTTGTTCTCAGACACCAGAAACGACAGCGTTGATGAACGCTCGGGCATTAGCGCAGCTTTCAGCCGATCAAGGGTCGCTCTCGCACGAGTGCTACTTCGCCCTTTGGGGACCATGAAAGCGACCATTTCGAGGGTACGTTCATAGAGCGAAGTGAGCAACAATGCGTGCCAGTATGCTTGTGCACCGCTTCCATAGACTGCGATACCCGACACGGTAGAGGTGCCAGGCGGAAGAACCAGAGCCGTCGCTAATGCCGAGCCTGAGCGAAGCAACCATCAAAATAAAAACATACATTTCACCCGTTTGTCAGTTCATATCCAGAAGAGAAATACAGTGTCAGCTGGTTGCCGCATCACCTGCAGCAGTCCTGGCGGCGGTGAGGGACGACGCATCCATGACAGCCTTCAACACCCCGGTCTCATCGTCAAAGAGCAGTGTGGTCCCGGGTATCCCACCGGGTATCCCGTCTTTCGGCACGCTGACGATCTTGATCGCGGTCGTGTCAAGCGCACGGGCGGGCATGAACAGCATGTGATGATTAGGCGCATTAATCGCGAGTCGCTGCGGGATTTGCATGCATTGTGCGAGGTCTGGTTGCTTTGCTGCTGCAGACACTTGATAGAAGACCTCAGCTTGGTTTCCCAGCAGGGTTGATGGTTGACGAGATAGCTGCAGCAGCACTGCGTCCACCTGCGATTTGCTGTACACCGTGACAGACATGTTCGTAGTTAAGTTTCTGCTTGATGGTCTCCGATCGGAAGTCTGCCGTAGGAGAGGATGAGCAGGAGCCCCCCTTCCTCCATCCCCTCCTCCTCACACCCGTGAAGCTTGTGAAGGAGAACGACCCTTCCAGCTGAGCGAGAGGATAGCCGATGCGTCTTTGCCCCACGTCACGTGCTGTGGTGCAGCTTGTAGGATGGCAAAGCTGCCCGATCAAATCCCCGAACATTGCGGGCTTCCAGGCTCTGGGTCACTGTGTGCGGCTCGCGCGGTGGCGTCTGTGGTTATTTGGCTATTAATGGAACTGCGTCATCTTGCAGCCAGTCTTTGTTGCTCGCGGCTCCCCCGCAGCCGGCGTGGCTCTTGTTGGCTATGTCGTGTTCGAGTTATACGTATTGAACGAGCGCTCGAAGTACTTTTCTTTTGGTTGCATGTACAGGTGGTATAGAAGAGAGGGGCTGCATACCTTCGAATTGAGACCAGCGTACTGTTGCATCGATCGTCGCGAACGGGGTGGTGGCACGCAAATGGAAGTGTGCTGAAGCAGGAGAAAGACAAACATGTCTTCCTTCAAGTCTTCACAGCTCAGCAAGGCCAAGCCCCAGCTGGATCTTAAGGCGCTGAACTCATTTTCGCCTGCATGGACCCCGGCTCTACGCTACACGACGTGTATCGCTGCTCGTTATGCGGCATTCGAATCCGTAAAGAACGCACAAGAGCAAGTCGACAGCTTGGAGCAGAACAAGCAAGCGTCACCCACTGCATCAGAGCAGGACAAGACGGAGCATTTTGAGGAAGAGGGAGAGGAGGACGCGAGCGAGGGTCCTGGAAAACGCCAAAGATGGGTCGAATACGTCAAAGATTGGCAAGACTTTGCTCAAAAGGCGAGCATCGAAAAGTATGAAATCGTATTGCACAACGCCACTGATGCACTATCCACACACAGTTCACGACAGCTACCTGTCATCACTTAGGCGTCGCGGAGGAGACACTGCCTCCAACTGACGTTAATGAAGAAGACGTGCTGCAGGCAGCTAAGGGGGAGTTCAAACCGACCGAGCCTGAGAAGTCGGCGGAAGAGCTCGTCGGAGGCCTCAAGCTCGATGATATTGGTGACATTCGGCAACGAGTGGGAGGCGCGCTTGAGGACGGCCAGAATGTGGAGGTGGTCCATGAGCTACTTCTCGTTGCGTTCGGCCTGGGTCAATATAGAGCAGTGGATGGCACCACCACCCTCTTCGAGCAAGACATGCTCTTCGGAGCGCTTCCCGAAGATTCTCCAATCGGCATCCAATCTGGCTTTGAAAAGCCACCGACTCAGCCGCAAGGTCCCTCATGTAGCGCTCGTAAGAGCACAGAAAGCGCAGTTGCAGATGCAGACACCAAGGAATATGAATTACCTCCTCCACCACCACACACGAAGGACGCAGTGGACAACATGTCTGAAGCTGGCACCAAGGCATGGGGTGCACTCAGCAAGGGAGCTCTAGCATCGTGGAATACCCTCACGACCGGCGTAACAGCTGGGGTGAATGAGGCCAAGAAGGCAGTAGGAAGGTTGGATGTGCCATCTGGAGGACCCTCTGATGGCAGTGTATCTCAAACGCACCAGGAGATTGCATCAGAAGATCGCAAGGCGAAGCCCAAGGCGCCAACAAAGCCCAATGAAATCTGCCACTACGACGCTCGCGCCAGGGCGGTCATCTTCCGCGCATGCAAGGCGATGGGAATGGCAGGCATCGATGTCTACCAAGGAGAAAAGGCACTAGCGCAGAGCATCTTTTTCCTGCTTCAGGAAGGAAGGAAGGCTGCTACCAACCAGGATCAAGGAGCCGACCCGTTGCAGAGTCTCCCTCGCGACAACCCTAGGGGGGCGTGGATGAACACTGTCAGTGCACACACGGTCGACAGAGAGAAGCGTAAGGCGAATTGGGCACAGTGGGCTGCGACGGGTATGGGCTTTGCGATCGGCGGCTCAATCATCGGTCTCACCGGGGGGCTTGCCGCGCCACTTGTAGCACCGGCGCTCGTTGGATTGACTGGGCTGTCCTTCCTTGCGACAACCAGCGGGATCGTCCTGATGGGCACATTGCTCGGGCTTGGCGGAGGAGGGCTGGCGGGCTATCGCGTGCGACAACGCTTGCGCGGCTTGGACTCGTTCGAGTTTGTCGAGTTGCGCAATCAGGCACGCGAGGCGGGGCTGGCCATCCCGAGCCTTCACGCGACGATCTGCGTCGCGGGTCTGCTACTCAAAGAAGAGGACCAGGTGAATCCGTGGGCGGACACGTTCGAGCGCACTGTCGATTCGCGCGACATCTATGCCGTCAAGACGGAAACGCACATGATGGTGGAGGCGGGCGTCGGTCTGCGCGGATATGTGTTGGACCAGCTGATGCGTGCCGGTGGGGCCAGAGCGGCAGAACAAATCATCAAGCACACTGTCCTTGCCGGCCTCACGGCACTGACGCTCCCAATTGCTGTCTTCAACGCCGCCAGTGCCGCATTGGATGGCGTCTTTGTGCGCGCCAAGACCAAGGCGCATAAAGCGGGCTTGGTCCTTGCTGAGACGCTGCGCAAAGAGGTGCAAGGGCACAGACCTGTCATCCTCGTCGGCAGCTCGCTCGGCTGCACGACGGTACTTGCTGCGCTCGTCGAGCTAGCGAAGACGCCGAGCGAGACGGCGCATCTGGTCGACAGCGTATTTCTTATCAACGGGCCCATGACTCCATCCCCTTCGACGATTCGCCAAGCACGGAGCATCGTCGGCAGACGCTTCGTCAACGCGTATAGCTCGAATGACATGGTGGGGCTCCTGGAAATTGCTTCGCTAAGTGCCGTGTAGATTAAACCTTACTTGGCGGCTGATGGATTTTTTGCCCATCCCCCTTCCAGGTCTGCGCCATCGCCGCCTGGCTTGGATCAGGCATCTCGCTCGAAGAGATGCGCAACGGCCAGCTTCCGCGCGTGGCCGGCTCGGGGCCCCTTCTTGGTATTAGCAACGTCGAGAACATCGACATCTCCGACTTGATCAGCAGCCACTTTGAGCTTTGCGATGCGACGACGCTGGAGCAGGTGATCAAGCGCTGCCAAGCCTTTCAGGACTGACGAAGCGCGTTCCTACGGAGATGTCACAATGTTAAAAATGTATTTTATCCATGTAAAGCCATTAAAAAGTCACTCTCTACTAGCGACCAAGGACAAACCTGTGTATAAAGGTATCTCATTCGTAACGAGTCTACATGAAATGGAATGAATCCCTTAAATTGCGCCTTCAAGACGATTTGTCTCTTACTAGGTTCAACGCAGCTCGCGATGAATGTATTCATCAATACCAATGCTCAACTTCCACCACGTAGCCAGCAAGGCTGGGCTTCGCCTGCAGCGCGGCACACACTCCACGCCTCGCAGGGCCAGGCCGCCGCCTAGCCGCCGGAGCAAGGGGTAAAAAGTGACACTGTACTCCATTAGGTACGCTAGCGCAAACGTCATTATCACTGACCACACCGGACGCTCCGCAATATTCGACAGTCATATCACGTGCTCTAGTGACTGGTAGATGTGGCCTGGTGTGACCTGCATGATCTTCGGCCCAAGCGCCAGTATCATCAACAAGCTTGTCACTAGTAACATCAACATAACATGGGAACCCAGCCAGCCGATGGAAGTTGGGACAAGCCGACTGTTTGGGCAAAGGTTGCACGAGTCTTGGTGTTTGTATGATCGTGATACAGGCGGAGGTGCACTGGTGGTGGATTAGTCGATAATTTTGGATCTGATCCACTTCCGCCTGATCCTGGGAAGGTTGCGGGAAGGCGGTGCAGGAGCGACGACAATTGACAGGCACGGCGGTTCGCTGGCGGGATGCTGGGTGGAATCACAGATGTTGTGCTACTCAAGGGGCGTGGGCTGGCAACGAGCCGCGAGCGAACGACCACGCAGCCCTGACGCACAGCCACACACCGCACACGGAGGCCTGCGCCTTGACTGCAGGACACTAAGAGCGGTGTCTGTATTTGGGCTGTTGTAGGATCCAAGCATGAAAACTGTCTCGCTCTAACGCAGTGCTGCCCCTTTGTCGGCCGGAGGCTCCGATCCAACTTGAACAGACATGAACTGGTGTGGAGACAAATCCAGATTGGAAGCCAGCGCAACTGGGCGAGTGGCGAGGTTGAATGGCGCACGACCGTGCAAAGGATGACATTGCTCTCCGTGTGAGCTCCAAAAGTTGGAAAGAGGTTGGAGTCCTCTACTGCTCAGGTAGAAGCGAGGATCCGCGAACAGTACTCCCAAGTCGAGGTGCAATTGTAGCGAGATGCACGCGAAAGCTTTGTCAGAGCACCCCGTGTATAAAATGCAATGGCAAAGCGATGGACTAGTCGGTTATCCGTTTCCCCCAACACCAAGCTATTCCTCACGAATCAAGAATCAAGACATTTAGCTACTCACAGTCAAGGGCTCTCGCTTGAAAGCTTTCGCGCCACACACATCCACCCACGCGCACACACACATTCTCACAATGTCAATGCCAGCACCCGCTAACCCGCAGAACACCTCTGAGCAGGATAAGGTCTTGGGTCACCCGCCGCAGCAGAGCCTCGGCGGTAGCAACCCATACCCACCGCAATACGTACAGCAAGGTGTTCAACCCATGCCTCAGATGGACCACAGCGCGATGCAACAAGGCATGCAGTACCAGGCTGCCATGCTCGCTGGCTGCGCACAAGGCAACCACAGCTGGGAGACCAAGTACGGTGTAATCGGTATCATCGTCGCCATCGTCTGCTGCCGTGAGTCCAGCACTACGCCACATCTAGCCAACATCACAAAGATCCTCGTACTGACTCATCCTCTCGCATATTCCCCTTTGTACCATCATCAGCATGCGGTCTCCTTGCACTTCTCTGCGACCAGCACAAGAAGTGCACCCGTTGCGGACAGCTCTCCCAATGAGGCTGCCCGCCGCCAACTTGAGGAACACCTTTTGGACCCCGTGTACGTACTTCTCGCGTTGCACATCCAGAAGATAGCTTGCTTTCGCAACGGCAAAGCGGACGTCGGGAACCGACAGCATACCCTTTTTGCAGGCCAACCCATAGGCTCGAGCATCGCCTTCACCTGTCGTCGTTGTATTTGTATTTCTGTCACCTTGCAAGAAACAGCTGCAAAGATCAAATGCGGATCACAGAAGACTTGTAGCCTTCGAAGATACCCAGCACGAATGACCTCGAAAGGATCCCCAGTTCTCATCGCCGGCTTCATTTCCGGTCTGTGATTGCAGGAGCGTCCCTCTGGTCCAGCCTCGCAAGTCGTGGACTCGATCTGAGTCATCCTCAAATGCCAACACCAGGGTAGGCAAAAGTAAGACGAGTGCGGCTCGATGAATGCAGCCCTGTAGGTTGAAGGGTAAATGACCCAGTCTCAAAGCAAGCATGAAGCAGCGATAAGACGTATGCGTCGCTTCGCAGGCCGAAATCTTGATGTGTGCTTTCCCTAAGTCGTCATCGCTTGAGGAAGCTTCTTTTTAGCGCCTCAGAGGCAGCGGCTATGCGGACGCATCAACTGCGCTGTGCTCTATTGTGCGAACATTCCACACTCGGATTACGCACTTCATAGCTTCTGGAGACTCTGCTGCCTATGCATCAGGCCATTCATTCATGGGCTTGCCTTTGAGCACATTATCTCCGCTGTCATCAAAGACAACGTTCTCGACGTGGTCGTGAATCTTGCCCACGAACTTGGTATGCGAACCATATGCTGCACAGTTTCATGAGGTCACAGGGTATGAGCAATGCAACAGCTTGGCTTGACACTTTGAGTGGAAGGTCTGCCTATTCCACTCACCAAGCAAAACGTCCGTGACTGGATGCCTGATCTCCATCCTGGTCGTCGCCATGACCTTCCCAAGGCTGATGACTTCAGCATTGACGTTGAAGCTGTCTCCCACCTTACCTGATGGCTTGACAAATGTAGTGTGTATATCTGTGCTGACGCCTGTGCTGTAGAACCCATGCGAGGCGATGGCAAGTGATCCCATCGTATCCGTCAAAGTGCAGATCAGACCGCCGTGAACGGTGCCGAGACGATTTACTGTGATTTGGGATTCGCACGACGCAGTGACGAGGAGTCAAAGTTAGTTCAAAATGAGCTATTGCGTCGCCTCAAGAGCGAACCTTTCCTCCAATGCATCAGCTACCAACCATTGTGCTGCTCCACCTTGAGCGATGCTTTCACTTTGCCTGGTGTGGCATGCTTGATAACCAGGTTCTGCATAGTTACCGAGTCATGGCCCTGGTTGCGCATGAACGCCTGCGTCACGCGGCGCACGAATTTTGTGCTCGCTGCCATTGTGTCTCTTGTCTCTGCGATCTGCGGCGTAAGCGGTAAGGAGGAGATTGGGTCGTCGTCCCGCAATTCGGAAGAAAGCGGAGGACGAAGGGAGGATGCACAGGCTGAAGTGAAGTAGATGCGAAGCTCGCTCCGGCTCGGCCCTGATCGAAGGAGTGTGCGAGTGCCTCTTCAACTTTAGAAGTGACTAGTGACAATTGCTCGATGTCGAGAGGAGATCTATGCACCGCTCCTGCTGACCCTGATAACCTCTATCCTTCGGTTCCGTTCAATTTTGCTTCTTGCACGCAGCCAGCTGGCGATATGCAGAGGCTTTCCCGGTTCGCCGGCTTGCTCCAAGCGTCTCAATAGTCGACTTCCGAGGCGATGTTTTGCAGTATGCATGTATCACCGCACTTGGCGGTTCAGACAGCTTGTCGGATCAATGCCGGATCTCAGCGCATCTCATTAGCCTAGAGAGGCCCAATGGCGAGCACAGCAGGTGTCACCAGGGAATCTGCATGTACCCGAGCAAGTGCTGATAAGTCTTCGCTTTGGCCAGCATGCACGAGAATTAAGCGACAACTGCGAAATGTGGTTCTCTGACCAAATACAAAACACATCGGGGATTATAGGCATGGCTGGGGAAGACAATTGAGTTCATGATATTGACATTATCCGTTCCGTCGCCGTGCACGTCGTAGCAGGTCGCAGATGTATTTAATTCTCATCGAACTTTGCCGCACCAGTACGCTGTTTGGCGTATGCATTATGTTCGAGTAAATGCATGAGGTTTGTGCTCTGACTATGTACTGCGTCAGCATACGCAGCACAACGCAATTACTTCGCAGCCTCCGCCGCTTCTCGAAAGAAAACCCCCAGAAAACACCGCAAATCCCCTTCCGAGTTATCCGAGAATGGATCAAGGACCGAGATCTCGAGCGGCCGGTTGTCATGGCTAGACTCTGCAGACCCGCGGATTGGCTCCTAGCAGCTTGGGTGGACTGGAGTCTCGACTGGTAAAGCTTGGTAAAGCTGGTTGCGAAAGAGAATTTTGATTTCTGGGGCCGAAGGTGGCGCTGGAGCGCGCACATAGGTTTCCGAAGCTGCGTTATCGGTAGCCCAGGAGACAATGGACAAGTCTCCAGAAAAAAACGAAGAGTGTGCGAGATCATTTTATTGCGACCCTTTAGCGCTCATAGTAGACCAATGTGTACACTTGAAGCGGTACTCTACGAAGGCAGGGATAATGGCTAAAATTTATGTAAGTCTGAGTAGCATGCAGGTGCATGCACCATAATTCAGCAGCAGTGATAACCGGGGGGGCGGAAGGGCTTGTGGATGTGCCGATGTGGTGCATATGCCGCGACAAGGCTAAGAGCATCATCACGTGATCCTCTCCCGTCGACGGTGACTTTTCTTAGCGGGATTTCCGAAGTGGGCGGGAACCCTACGATTTGCAAATCATTATCTGCAATCTGGAGGAGATTCTGGCCTCTCAGTATCGTTTGAGGACTCTAATGCTCCCAATGAGTCACAGTGTTGCTCTGACTACTTTTGAACCTTTGATGGAGATTGGAATGAGATTGAAGTTCTGCAGCCTGTACTTACACAAATCTTGCTGTCAAGACCTCTGAGCTGTGAGCGTTGTCGTTTCAAGATTTCAAGCTCCGGGTTCGATGCCCCTCAAGATCATCCGCTCGTCTTGCTGATGGTGCAGGCAGGCTCCGGCTGCCAGTCGGAGTCCTCAATCGATAGTCAAGAGGCACCGCTGGCTGCATGATCCCATCTCTTTCCGGTCAGTCTCTACGCCATCGGCATCTTCTTCCAAGTCGAGTCTGCGTCTTGCTATGTGTGATTCGGAGTGGGGTGCAGCACGAGCTTCTGCCACCGTTCTGATGCCCCGCCCTTTGCGAAGGCCCCGATGGAGGAAGGTAGGCCGAAGAGACTGAAGCTTGACGAGAACCAGTGTCCTCTTGATCACTGGCCAAAGACAAATGAGGATTCGGACGACCGGATCCTTTCGGAAATAGCACACCTGCTTCAGCTTCCTCCTTCCTTCCGTATACTTGAGTCCTCATCGCCGCTCTCTCTGCCACCGTCACCTTGCTGCACACTCACATTGAGCTTGGGAAGCGGTTACTGTGTTACCACCACCATTTATCAGGTGTGTACCAACTACAAGGGCAATGAACAAGATGCCAGTGGCAGCAACGGATACCAACGGTGCACCGTCGGTAATCACGGGCCTTTGGTGGATCGCAAGGTCTGCACCGCCAGCCGCAACAATAAGGTGCAGTGCATGGCTTAGTCCGTTAGCGCACCCTACCTATTCTTCTTCCGCCGCATCGCTTGCTATGTACAGTCCACATGAGCGACGTTGTAGCCGCTGTTAGCGTTTAAATATCGAATGTGTTGTTCTGGAACTTAGACAAGGTTTGCGCTGGGCCAGTGCCAATTGTTTTGCCGATGCCAGGTTCAAGGCAAGCAACGACGCGGAGACAAGCAGCTCTTACAGGTGTGAGGACAACATTTCTAGTTCGAGCTTACTGAGCTCGAAATCGACACCAGTGCCTCTGGGCACGGAATCGTTCGCAAAAGCTCGCAAAGTCAAGTACAGCCGTCAACGGGTTCGCAGGCACAGAGCCAACTTCGAGGAAGAGAGTCCGAAGAGACTCTGACATACATATGGCGGCATTTATTACACCCCCTTCGATGATGTTAAGAGCTCCATTTGACGCAGCAGAAACCTCACCAGGCGCAGATGGTCACAGTTCATGACCGCGACATCGCATCGACTGGTGTAGTCATTCCGTCCTCTGCACTTCCACAACAGATGGTATGAGTGCCAGGGATGGCGCCGGTAGCCCACCACCACCACTGTAATCAGCAACAAGGGCACTAAGCGCAACAGCACAACGATTTTCATTGGCCAACCCACTGTATCTGAAGGCAGCGGTGTCTCAGCTGAGCGTGAAAAGCTATATCGAAGCCGCCGCAGTCAGTTCGCACGAGCATGACAGGGACACGGAGGGACACGCGTCTGTTCCATGCGGGCGCTTACCAGACTCCGCTGATCTTCCCTTTCTCGCGTTCACAGTCGCTATATGCTGTGGATTGGCAGCTACGAAAGATGCCTGATCGATGAACAAATCGACTGCCATCAAAAGCACCTCCTGGCTCACGTCCGTGTTCCAATGCAGTAGCTCGTCATCAACATTATCTGAAGCATTCGCAGCTTAACCGGTGTATCAACTGTGGAGCGTTCTCGTTCACCAGCACAAGCAGCAGTTGCAAGAAGAGCGGCATCTGCCTAGGCCGGTACTTTTGCCATCGTCAGGGCTACCATCGTCAGGGCTACCATCGTCAGGGCTACCATCGTCAGGGCTACCATCGTCAGGGCTACCATCGTCAGGGCTACCATTGTCAGGACTGCCATCGCCGGCACTGGTGCCCACGCCGTAACAGATACGAATGCGAGTGGGCCACCATCCCGAGCACGGTTACTTCTCGGTCATGAAGCTTCAAGTCCCTCTCGTCTGCTCCACAGTTCCGATGGCGAGTCTGATGCCGAAGCTGATGTCCATGCCGATGCTGGTCGATAGCAGTCTCGAAACCGTGATACCGACACGGTCCATCGCTGCATGAGCAGTAGGCAGATCAAGGGAAGTGGGTATACAACGCGGCGCCGTACTTCCACTTGCGCGACCTCGCCTGGGTCACCCTCCATACGCATATCACTTCTGTCTCGCAATACCCTCATGTGCTCGACAAAACGCTAGATACCCAGCGAGCGGATGCGGACAAAGCTAAAGCGTAGCGCGAGCGCAAGTGGATGTGGAAGGAAGATTACTGTCCACCTTCTCTTGAATGCAGCGATCGAGCGATTGATGATCGCGAGTGGCCCAATGCCGGTGGGGATGTTGGGGCAAGCAGCGGGATTCCGGATCTGGTTGCGGCACAGTCGAACGATGCGGATGTGCTCAGCACGTACAAACTTGATATGCTCAGGTTCAAATCCTTCAATCGCCTGAATCGGAGCGCTGGAGTGGTGACGTGCAGCGTAGCCAACAAATCTCACATTCGCCACTCTCTTAGCCACTGTGTTTTACTCGCAGCCAGCTGCACCGCGTCTGCCAAGCACTTCCTCCCAGTAAAATACAACGTACTCACGGTCATCGTGTATGGATGCGCCGCGTGTCGGCTCCTCGGGCCAGGCGCGTGCACTGCGACACTGCCCGACATCCAAGGACCCATTTTATGGGCCTTCTCCAGCCGTCAGCAGGATACGAATGCGCTCCGATATGGTCGCACGGCCATCCTTCTTCCTTTCGAGCTTGGCCTGCATAGCGTAGCGCAGACGCCACTAAGATGGACGCTGAACAAATGAAGGGTCTTGCTGAAGCGCAGCGGGCGTATATTTGTGAGTCGAACAGGTTGCTACTACATTTCTCTCCTTCGACGTCCTGCTGACGCGGGCGCAGAAAGAATCTGCAAGGCCGCAATCCTAACAGAACCATGCCTCGATTTCCCGCTCGAGCACTCCTGCCGTTTCGCCATATTCTTGCACAGATGCTGCGGCCGGGATGCCATCAAATAACACCCTCGTCGTCGCTAGGGGATGTCGTGGCAGCCCCGATTTAACAGATCCGCCTGATGACTCAACAGGCCCATCTACTATTCAGTGGCAGAACTATCATACCCGCCAAGTCACAAACGCGTATCGGCTTTTTATGCTTCCCCGACTGCGTGAAAGTTTAGTTTGGTTCAACAAATCCGATGCTTGGAGTCCAGTCCGACAGGGGCGGTGCGCGATTTATTAATGCATTCAATTCCTTCGGCTGGAAGACATCGTGGACGAGTGTATCGTGGGCGACATTCCATCATTCATTCCCACGAGAGTAGGCATCGCTAGATGAGTACATATGCAACGTCAAGCAGCGGGCGCTTGATGCCGCGTCTTAAAATGACCTCCTTGATGGCATCCACAGACAGAACGACCTTGGAGCCCTCGGGGCCATCCTCTTTACTTCCATCCTGCGTGACATTAGGCGCATGAAGCTGCAAGTCTAATAGGCCACATTCAGCAAGTGTGAAAGCCACATCGTCGACTCGCAAGTTGCAGGCCAGAGCTAGTCCTTCGAGCGTAGTGTCGATGGATGTCAACTGAACCGGGCTATCCGTCACTGGATCTTCCATTTTTAGATGTTCAGCTTTTACGCCATGGGATTCGTCGTTCGCAATCAAGCGTGGCGAGATACTGCGCTCTGTTATCGGTGAAGAATGGCGATTTGGCGTGACTGATCTCGCAGCAGAAGTTTCACCTGCCCAGCCTTTCGACTTGCGCTTGCGACGGCGCTCCTCTGTTACTCCATCCGCTTTGTCCGCCACATTGACCGGTCTCTGAGGAACCTGCGATTCCGGAAGACCCGCAAGCAGACGTCGAACGCGAACCACCTCTGCCTGCTGGCGCGCTTGGCGCAACACGCTCGTTGAATCATCAGCAATCAGGCTGACGGGGAGGCCTTCGATGTTGATCGCCAGAGCGAGAGTGCGGAGCACGACGGAGGCCCAATGGGACAGGTAGCCTTTCAAGCCGAGGTCGGACAGTGGGCGTTCGGGAGTCCCTTGGAATTTGGATAGGGCAGATAAATAATAGCCTAACAGAAAGTAGCATTAGCCGTGGCTTTGATGCGCTCCTTTACCCATATCTGTCAACTCACTGAATTCCATCATTAGCGTACCGTATCCTCGCTTCTGGAAAGGAGGAAAGGTCACAATGCAAGCCAAATTATAATCGTCATACGAGACTTGTTCCTGCCGAGGGAGGGTGCAATTATCAGCAAGGAAGCGCTTGAACGAGTGCCAGATAAACTTACCTTCGAAAAGAAGCCGATTGGGTGGTCAAAAGCAGTGCTAGCATCGGTGAGAACGTAAAAGTCGAAGGGCTCCACATCAAAGTAGATGGTCTTGTGATCGATGAACAACTTTCCAAAGAGGGACAAGTTTTGTCCATACAACTGTGGGAAGTTCTATGTGTGAATGTGGGGAAACGAACACCTGTCAAGCAGCAAAGTTTGCCTCACCTTTTCCTTCTGACCCTCGACCTTCCATATGGTGTGGGCTCCTCGTTGGTAAACCTTCTCCCCTGGTGGGCGATTATTCGCACATGTTTTCTGCAAAGAGGAGAAAGTAGTGTTAGTACTGCAGGTAGAAACTCTATAGTGTTACGGTGCTGCGGGCGTACAGAATGCGCCTTGTATCCGGCGAATGTCCTCATGTACTTGAAGCAGCCTTCGCAGACCCATAGGCTTCGGAGCGTCTTTGCGGGAAGGTACGAGAACCGTGCTTTATCTTCTGTGCCTGCTTGGGCTCCAGTCGTACTCGAAGAAACGGCGCTTTGATGGATGGCACCATGTGCATCGTGGTCATGCTCTTCGAGCGGGTACGGCGAGTAGTACCAGGTCTTGATATCAAAAGAGCCAAAAAACACGCTGCCATAGGGAATATCTCAGCTTGGGAACGTAGTTTCAGATATGAGTGGAGCTAAATGATCCTCACCGGTCGATATTCCGGACGTTGCTGCTTGGGTGAGCGTGCGACTCGCGTACCGCATGTGGCACTGGCGTGGAATCACGGCTGGGGAGCGCACCGTTGAGATGCTGACGTCCGGGCAGTCGCGCGACGGTGATTCCACCCGTCAGCGCCTTCACACAGGGGCTGAAATCGGTCACTCTGAAAGCGGCACTCACATCCTGGCGCTTCCGTTTGCCAAGCGCCGTTGCGGACACTGTCTTTGAAGAGATAGGACCCCCATGCTGGCCAACCGTTTCTGTCGCAACTTCGGTAGCGTCGGAACCCTTCTGTGTTGCTTCTACCTTCGATTTTCCGTCCCGCGAGTGGATGGCGCTTTCATCGATCCATCGGTCTAACCGCTTGTCGGTGCCTTCAAGATGAACATAGTAATGGTATCGAGGTTGAGCCGGGTCAGCCCAGAGAGAGTACTCGACAATGACGCCAGGAACTGCTTGAGCGATTTATGGAAATGGATGCATCGCTCAAAAAAATCAGCATCCGGTCGCCCATGGGATTTACTGAGCCAGCGAGAAAAGCTGACACTTACGCAAAGCACCGTCCTGCTGCTGCACGTAGCACGGCGTTCGAGGTCTCAGCGGGCCAGCTGGCACAGGGGCAGAATCCACAACTTTCGCCGGAAGAGCACGGCCGGCGCCGGCCTGCTCTGATTGGTTGCCTGTCATGTTCTGCTTATTTTGCGTCACAGTGCAAGCTGTGACATGCGTGAGGCTGTATACAACCCTCGAACTTGCGAAACTTCAACAAGAACCTCGCGCAGTATAGAGAAATGTTTGGCTACCGTTCTCCAGTTAGCGGTCTCGGATTGGAGCTCAACGGTGGAGAAAAGCTTTGCTGGTGGGGCCGTCTCAATTATTCTATCGCTGACTCCACGAGATGTAGATCACTCGGAAGCGAAAAGGCTGAGACTGGCAGAATTTATTTCTTTGCTTCTGTGGCCCGCCACTGAAATAACAAGGAACACTTGAGATTGCCCTCCCCCAGTCCGAAAGCCAACGCTCTTGGTCGAGGCTTAGGATGTGTCGTGCAAATTGAGCACATCGGCTGATAATTACTACTTACTACCGGACAGGGTTTTGGGCAGAAAAGGGTGCATGAATTTGACCCGTATCTCCATCGTATCGATCTATCAACGCATTTGCATGAGGACCACGCCAGCGGCACCGCTCGTAAGAGGCGCACTGGTCGACTCTTGTCGCTCCTACCCATTCCCGAAATTCAAGCACTCGCTGAACTCAGGGCGAATTATTCAGCTGAGGCTTCTGGCTCCAAGAGCAGACAACTCTGAATGGAACAGGATGTAGTGTACGAATCTCCCCGCCCGGTTTTCAATGCAGTGCTTCGTTGTTACGCACCTTGCAGCCGCAGCGAGCGTTGGAGAGCATTTTGTCCTCGCCTTCGTCCCATATTTCTGTACAATTGCATTCATCAGAGGCGCATAAACGAGACATTTGCCCCCTTCCCGCCGACTAAGAACTCCGACAGCAGGTCGTATTCACTGCGTTCCGCATCCTCCGGCTTCACCTTAATTTTGTCTACGCCTGGGTCTTCGATGCACCCGACAGCCGTCTTGAAGGTGTCCGTCACCGTCAGCATGCTTTGGCCGCTGGCGATCGAGCTGCCTGTCTGGGCGTTGCTAGCGCCTTCGGAAGTCATGGTGATTCCGGAAATGTCGCTTTCGGAAGTGCTGTCCGCCGTGCGGGATATGCTACGCAACCCTGGGCCATAGCCGCTCGCCTTGCGCACAAAGGGATGGATCGCAGCACCGCTTAGCAGAGCGACTGTGTTACGCACGCCAAACGCTGACGTAGCGCATCGAGGACGATGCTGACGGATGGCCGTGTACTCGGAGGTTGGCCTGTCTTCTGCATCTTATACATCAGGGGCGGCGCATACCGTGCCGCTACTTATGGTGTCGATGCTGAAACCAGAGTTGGAGTCCTCGTCCATTTCACTGTGAACGTTGCCGTGACCGTGAGACTACTCAATGCTGTGCTCAACATCCATGGTAGAGTCTTCACTGTGGGAGCTTGCAAATCCGCTGGCGACGGAACTAGAAGCTCCGTTAGCCGTACCTCGGCACTTGGTCGCGGGCAGATCCATCAACCCGTCCATGTCGTCAGACGCGGCGGAGGTGTTATCGCGCTCATCTTCCATGACCTAGCCAGCTTCGTCGCTATCTTCGTCTGCATCGTCCTCGCACGCGCCGTCTCCGGACGGCATGGGCTCGAGAAGGACGGAGTGCTCACCGACCCACTTGTGGGTACGGTCCCCGTTGTTACTACCCATGTTTCGCTTAGCATACTACGTCTGAGCAGCATGTCATTCTCGCCGACGCAAATTGTGAAGGCGGTTGGAAGAGGAGGCGGCACATAGATGGCGCGCAGCACACGCTCTTTCCTAGCCTTTCTGTGACGTGTACCTTCGACAACCGGGCGGGGCGGGACAATAACGCTAGGCAAAGGTTCGTGATGCTCTTCGGTCTTGAACTCGACAATTTTGGCAATCGAATAGTACCGGCATCGTACACGCTGGCCCGCTTGGGACAGCCAGGTAGGCCATTAGGCTGATGGGACCAGAATGTACAGTATGCATCGCCAGCTAGCAGCGCGGCACGTGGGTGTCGCAGGAGCTACTCGGCTTACTTGATGTCTAGTACTTGCTGCTTCAGGCAGGCAGCTTGTAATACAATCGTGGCGGCTAGCAGCAGCGGAATAGCTTGGACAGAATGGAACACGCTCTTTATTGCCGTTCTTTTGCGTTGCAAACTGCTTTACCGCCAATCGACATCGTGGACATGGTGCGTTGAAGATGTATTGCAGAAATTTGCCGAGCCGAACGAAGAGCATCCGCAAAGGGCAGCAATTCGTTGGCAGGCCAGATGTTTGCACCGTGGTGTACCTTGATGATCGAGTAGGAAAAGCAGGTAAAGGCAATGGACATGAATAAACACAAACGGACTCTCGGATGCGTAATGCTGAAGGAGCGGGACCCGGTCGCATGCAACGATCAAACGTTGGTTGGATTCACACCCGGTCGGCATGTGTGCAAGGAGCGACAAACGTAGATGCATAATTTTCGGCAAGAACCGGCACAGTAAAAGGAAAGGCGGGGGGAATAGGATTTGGAGTTAAAGGTGCCGACGCGTCCTGGCTCTTTCTGTGGGGTGCCTGTATCTTGCAGAGAAAAGTGAGGTGAAGATGCCTACGGAGCACCGTTAGGAGGAATACAGGCGGTGCGTGCCAATTGTCCCACGTTTGGGCGAGCGAGGATGCCAGGGGGTAAAGAGGGAGGGAAGAGGGTTATCCTGAGGAATTCCGGGCGCGGCTGATGCTGCGATGATCTGGAACGCTGAAAGCGTTCGGTTATCGGTAATCTAATCTAACCTTGCCTTTCTATTTTTTGTGTTGTGGCAGCAATCTGCTTGCTTGAGTCAGAACACGATCGTTGGGAAAGGCCCATGCAGGCTTGCATTCGCTCAGATGGAGACCACCAGGGTCCAGAAGATCCCAGCAAGCGCGGTTCGCCTTCCCTCATCCTTCTTTTGTGCCACATCTGCGCCATGTCACCGCAGGCTGAATTGTGACTCGAAGCCAGACAAGGCAATAAAAACCCTTGGATAGCGTAAGCAGGCGGTGAATGTTGAAACATCGATACCGATACTGTTCATGTGGTTCATCAGCTCTGTGGCGCTGGGGCACTGTGGGACTCCAAAATCCATACCTTCAAACCCCACATACAGGAAGACCAATCAACCATGCCCTACATGGGAGCTGAAACTGCATGTCATGTGCTTCCTCTACGCGTATGTAACAGACTTCAGAGCCCAGCGAGCTAACAACGCGAAGTTCGTGTTATATACACAGAGAGAGAGAGAGGAAGAGGAACCCGGAACGCTGGGCGTTGACCGACAACATGAGCTACATTAGTGTGACCCATCGCCCATTCTCCAGCTTCTGCTTCGCCTTGACGGGTGGAAGCTCCCAGCCGAGCCCGGCGCTTGCACCACTGTCCACTCCAGCCGCATATCTAGGCACCAGCATGATGTCCCTAGTGATGCTCTGCACGGTATTGCCTGCACTCCCGCCGGCCTTGGCAGCCGCCCTGGCGCGAGCGAGCGTCGCAAGATCAGCAGCGCCGGCTGCGTTGCCGCCGCAAGCATCGACCGGCTTGTCGAATGTGCATAGGTTGCGACCTAGCGTGCTCAGCCAGGCGGGGTTAATCTTGGTGATACCACGCAGCATCAATTTGCCTTCTTGCAACACCGTCTCGCCGTCTCCACTTGCGTTCTTGATCGTCACCGCTCTTGACTTGCTGCGCTGCACCTCGGTGAATACGATCCATTCCGGCGGCGCTTTATGGAAAAGTGTCGAGGATGGGTGGATGTACGCAAACTCCCGGCCGACGCCCATCGCTCGATACGGCACATAGCGTGTGCTCTTCATCTTGGCGTAGGAATGCACGGCATGGCCAGCCGCATCGGTCGGGCTGCTTAGGTCGGCACGCACCGCGACTTGGTCGACGAACGCTGCTGTGATCAGCTGGCGCAGGACCTTCAGCTGCATCTCATTTGGCAGCTTGAGCTTCGGGTCCATGATCGATGCCCGGTCACCTTCACTCAGTCCGACGAGGTTCATGACCACTAGGTTCGCCAATTGTGCGCGAAGTTTGTGGATTTCTTCCATTGCCTTTGGGCGCAAAAAGTTCCTTTCACAGAAGGCAGTGCTACCGCCATCATACTCGTACGCCCCTACCGCACTGAGCAGACGGTACACGTCACTGAGGCTGGCGCCAAGAGCCGAGAAGCGAGACATTGCTGCAAAGTATAATTGACGTTGAGACTTTCCCTCTTGTCGTTGCTTCTCTCTTTCACTCTTCAGATGCTGCTTGTTGTCGTCGCCCACGGCGCAGTCTGCACCGTCTTCAGAATCATCTTCAAGATGGTCTTGTAGAGCTTCCTCGCGAAGAAATGGGTCTCCAACGCTCAGTGCTGCAACGAGCGCGACGACGAACGGCAGGCACCCATGTTGCTGCCCTTGCACGAGCAATTTGGCGAATCGGGGGCTGAGTGGGAACTGCGTCATGACTCGGCCCAGTTGCGTGATCCTGGCGGCTGGGAACTTCCGGCCATCTGCTGACTTGGAATCAGCTTGTTCAAGCGCATTGAGATGTATCAGAGTACGCTCTGCCGCCACCAGTGCGTCTCGTTCAGGACAGGTTGGGAAGGGGAAACTGGCGACGTGGATGATGTTCATGGCCTTCATCTGCAGGACCAAGCCATCAATCGGTGTCCGCAAGATCTCCGGCTTCGAAAATTGCTCGAAGTGATCTTCGTAGACTGCAGAAGAATAGAGACGGTAACAGTGGCCAGGGCCTGTGCGGCCGGCACGACCTGCCCTCTGCGAAGCAGACGCCTTGCTGATCCACGTCACGTTGAAGTTTTGGATACCCGACGCAGCATCGAAAGACCGCTCCTTAGCGCGCCCGCAATCGACGACATAGCGAATATTGGGGATGGTGAGCGATGTTTCGGCGACATTCGTAGCCACGACGACAAGGCGCGAGTCGGCAGGCGGCTCTTCGAATACTCTCATTTGCTTCTCCGATGGCAGCATAGAGTAAAGTGGAAGAATGTGAAGTGGCACGTCGGAGTCGTCGCGAAGTTCTGGGGGAAGATCGTCGTCGTGAGCCCCCTCCTCGTCTTCCTCATCCGTATCGAGCGCATCCTCGTCTTCTTGGATAGCAGCGCCATCGTCCACGTCCGCTGCAAGGTCTTCGTTCGCGTTGACACCAAGATCGACCTCCTCTGCTTCAGGGTCAAAGCCTGCAATAGCTGCAAATTTCGATTGTTGCTCTTGATTCTCGCCACCATCTTCCTGTCCTTCGTCTCCCTTAAGTCTTGCGGCTTCTGCGCGGCTGCGTGCAGCACGTCGTTGCTCGATGGCCTTGCGCCCGTATCGCTGTTCAAGCCGCTTGCACACCGTCACGATCTCCTGCTGCCCTGTGAGGAAGACAAGAATACCTCCAGGTGGAAGCCGCGCGTGGATCTTGCTGACCTTCGTCACAGACTCGGCAATGTAGTCGTGCACAGTACGGCGATTGAAATGTAAGGTGACAGGGTGTTGACGTGCTCCGATATCTACTATCGGCGGCCTCGGTGACAGCGGTGGGAAGAGGCTCGCGTTGTCCGTAAAGTCAGAGACGCGAAGCGTAGCGGACATGATGACAAGGCGAAGAGGTCGGGTGCCGGCCTCTTTCGTGCTGCCCTCTCCACTATTCGCAAGCCACCTCTTCTCTCGCAGACGAACAATACGCGTGAGGAGTCCGATCAAGATGTCGGTGTTGACGCTACGCTCGTGAGCCTCGTCAATAATTATAAGGCTGTACTTGCGGAGAAGAAAGTCGGTGGCAAGCTCGCGAAGCAGCACGCCATCGGTCATGAACTTGATTGACGTTGAGGGCGAGACTGTGACATCGTAGCGGATTTGATGGGATACCTTGTTGGGAGGGAGCGATAGCTCTGAGGCCACACGCTGCGTCATACTCAACGCTGCTACGCGTCGCGGCTGTGTGATGCCAATCATGCCAGGGTTCTCTGCGCTCGCCGAAAATATCAGCATCCACATCGGTAGTGCGGCTCCACCCCAATTCCCACTCACGACTTCCAGGGGTACCGAAACCTCGCTCATACAGAAACTGTGGCACCTGGGTCGTCTTTCCGCTGCCTGTCTCACCGCAGATGACGACAATCGGGTTCTCGATGATCGTCTTAACGATGTGCTCCTCTTCTGCGACGACCGGGAGCTTGAGTCTGGCTTCTTGCAGAGTCACAGACCGCTGCACTGGAACGTTTAATACAAAAGGCCTACCAGTTTCTCCCTTTCGTGCTTTCAGCTCGGCATAATGCTTCGATGCGAACGCCGACATCTGATCTGGCGCGAGCTCGGTCTGGCCGAGCGGCCCTCGCGCAATGCCATCCTGTGGGCCGATGTCACCCACTCGCACTTTGAGGCCAGCAACAGGCTGCAGCTCGAAGCCATCATCACCAGCTGCACTAGTCTCGCCGTGCTGTGTGTCGCCCTTAGAGGCGTTCCCGTTGAGACCCATGGCTCCCCTGGCCCAGTCTTTGAAGCCAGTACTGCGAGAAGTCTTTTGCAGTCCTCTTCGACGCGAAGTATGATCTGATGGTTCTCCGTCCCCTTCGTCCTCGCTGCTACCGTCTTCGTCTTCGTCTTCGTCTTCCGAGCCTTCGCTTTCCCCCGATGCAGGCTCAGCCTCGCTCCTTTCATCATCATCATCCATGACTTCATCAAACGAGACGACATCATACTCTTGGTCTGGGCCCTCGACTTCGCTCGGAAAGCCTTCCCATGGCGGACTCTCTGCAGAATCACCGCTTATGCCCCTGTCCGCTGCGGCGTGCATGCCCCATCAGTTTCATTCCTTGGCAGGTAATCGTCCTCGTATGCGCTCACCGAATATACTCTGCGCCTGTGCCGAGCTTTCGGGAGATGCCGACATCGATGCCAGCGAGTCCCCCGGCTTTTGCTTCTCATCGTCCTCATTTTCATCGAGGTCAAAGCCGAATGCTCGCGGATCCATGCCTCTCCTCTTGAGCTCAGCCAGAATGGCTGTGTCGCGCTCCTCTTCTAGCTCATCGTCTGTAAGCGCTCCATTCGCCTCGTCACCCTCGCCAGGCTCATCTTCACTGGAGCTCGCGCCACTGCTTGCGTCTTCCACGTCAGAGTTTCCGTCATATGCGCCGCCAAAGCCGAGTTGGGCTGGATCGAGACCGCGGATACGCATAGCTTCTAGGATTGCGCGATCAACTTCTTCCTCCATTTCCTCCTCACTAGACGCATGGTTCCCATCGCCTTGGTCGTCAGACTGACCGTCGCCATTGGATGACTTGCTGGTCTGCGCCAGATCGAAGGACACTGATTTCTGGGTGACTTTGCCTTTTCCCTTGTCTGTGGGCAGCCGTGGTACTGTAGGGATCGGTGGCGCGCGCTGCTCCTCTTGAGATTCATCCCCAGAGGAAGCTGACGAATCAAAATCATTGTCTTCCTGATGTTCATCATCATCTTCTTTGGCAGCCACTTTACCCCAGCTGGTCCCTGACGCCCTGAGCCTTGACCGTGCAGTGCTACGTTCTTGCAACTCTGGCTTTTCGGAACGCTTTGCTTTTTTCTTCCTTTTGCGCATACTCATTGAAGCCAGAGAGACTGGCTTTCCGTCGGCATCAACTGCAAGCGCCGCTCCAACATGGGCGGCTAGTTTCGACATGGTGGCACCGTTGGATTTTGCAGATGGCGCAGAGTCGAATGCCCTAGTAGCCGCTTCGATACGCGCCCTTCTTTCAGCGTCTTCGTTGACCTCGCCGACAGGGCCGCTTTCTAGCTCGGCTTGCACGGCTCGCTTATTGGTGCGAGTTTGCTCGTTCTCAATGTCTGCATCAAGTTCAGCATCTGAGCTGGAGGAGAGTCCATCGAGATCTGCATCCTCATCGCCTTCGGTGACCTGAAACGCTGCAGCCCTTCGTCGCCGAGCTTTGCCTTCGCCTTTGCGTTGAAGCTTCTCCGCCCGTTCCTCATTCGTCAAGCCGCCGCGTGTAGATCCAAGCGTTGACGCACTGACAAGCTTGCTCCTGTCAGCAACATCGGTAGAAGTTTCAGCCAAGGAGGAGAGCAGCCGCACTCGGTCTTCCTTCTTGAGCTGCTTGGCAACGTATGCTTCGAAACGTTTGCGCTTCTTTGAAGACATGGGTTTAGAAGATTCGTCCTGATTTTGTGATACCAGCTGGAAAAGTTAAGATTTTAGTGTCAGTCATATGAATGAGTCTCAAAGCCTCTTGCAGCTTCACACACATCATGCATCATTTTTTGTGCTCGTCTGTGCTCGTCTGTGATGATTTGTGCATTCGTGTCTGCCGGGGCAGCCTGGCCATTGGCTACCGCATCGCCGTCCCCTTGATCTGGGTGACCTAGCTTGGCTCTCTTAGCCTTCTTGCCCTTGTGGCTGTGTGCCGACCCCCCTGCAACACTTTGGCGAGCCTTGGAGTTATATCGCTCTCGTTTTGGCGGCATCTTTGCAACAGAGCTCTGTTCCTTTTATTCGCACTTAGTGGGTCGATGACCGCCTGAGCTCCCATGCGTTGGGTGCACCAGCTGCCTGACGGTCAGGTTTTGCTTGCGCACGAGTACAGCTAACGACCACGTCGCCTCCCTACTTTTACCGGAACCTCTACGCACGCAGCACGTTGGAAATACGAAGGAAGTACTGTCTAAAGCCACCATGTACCAGGTACCACCAAAAGCAACATTGCGACAGCTCCCTCCCCTTTCTCGCTTCTCACAAAAAAATATGCCGTTGGTTGGCCATTTTTATTTTGGGCATTTCCATTGCACCGATTTGATTCACATATCCATGCGGCGCCGCTGACGGCCGAGTCGCGAGGGCAGCTCGCTCCACTTGGATGTTCTGTGACTTCCGCTTCCAGATGAGTAACAGCTTTCGTTGTATATCGGCAGCCTGGATCCAACTTTATACGGCACTGGTGTCATTTTGCTACCCTCAACGCATCGAGGTCTGGTACAAACTATGTGTAGGAGCACCGGTGCGGCTTCATACAGCGGCCTTTGATGTGGCGCTTGGCCTGAGCTGTATGCATTGATCGCGACTCTTTTCCCTGAACGGAGGCCCCAAGCCCCAAGCCCCAACGCTGGTCAGCTTTGCATTGCGCGCGCAATCTTGAGACGAGGCTAGCGATGTCAATATCGGTGGGGATTTGGTGGAAAACTTCAAAATCATCGCCTTTGTCGTAGCGAGGAGTGCTCCTCCCCGGAAGCTGCTGGAGAATGCACCATCTTCAGAAATACTGAAAAGGACGATACTACCCACGAGGCATGCCATGCTTACCCCAAATGCAGGTTCAAGAAGCACTCCTCAGCAGGCACCCCAGATGCAAGATGCAGACACAGAAGTGCGAGAGACAACAGCGTTGCTGGCCAGAAATAAACCGGCTTGGGAAAAAGTACTGTGGAAGAAGCAGCCGTACCCGGATAACTATGTCCCTGATTCTTTCCTGTCAGCGCTGCAAACCAATAGTGCGTACATCCACTCCTTCCGACCATTGTCGTGCGCACTGCCTGGTCCGTCTGACATTTTCTTTTCAGCCAACCTGTATCTGCCGAGGACGGCCACTTTGATTCACTTTTCCCTGCCGATTTCCATTCACTTCAACCTCGTCATGACGTTCATCGGCACTTACATACACCTCCTGAATGGGAGCCTGTCTAGTCTCACGCTCTGCGTGTTCAGCACTTCGACATCTGTACTCGGCTGGTCGTTGTGCAGTGCTCTTCCCCCTCATTTCCTGAAATCACATTCAAACCACTCACAAGCTGTCTCGCAACGCCAAGCGGCAAGGCGCAGCAAACGCGGACCTGTAGCCCAGCAAGTGGGGCGCCTGCTTTCTCTGTTGCTGCTCGCGCTTGTTCTGTTTGCGCTCTCTCCAGTGCTGCGAACACTCACGGAGGCGACCACCTCGGACAGCATCTGGGCACTCAGCGCTGCGCTGTTCTGCCTCAATATGGCCACCGCCGACTACAGCACGACTCACCTCGCAACTCGCTCTGATGAAGGCAGAGGAAAGCAAGGTTCAAATCCGTCAGTGAACGCAGGCGCGCGAGCAAATGACGCCTGCCGCTCTTATAGCAGGGGTGTGCAACAGCAGACACTTTCCAACCAACGACCTCCAGTCTACATTGTCGCAGGGCAGAATACTCAAGCGGGTGGTGGATTGGCAGTGAAGGTCTCGCTGAATGCAGCGGTCTGTGCGTCGGTCGTACTTGCTTCACGCTTGCGATGGAATGGCGATGTCTTTGCACTGTTGTTGTTCAGCATGCAAGTCTTTGCACTCGTCCCCATCTTCCGCGCAAGGATGATCGGAATTTTCGTGGAGAGACATGACAGGCTGCTGCGGCGCCGCAAAGAACAGTCGAAGAAGCGACGGGACCAAGCGGATGGGAATGCCAGCGAGTTGGCAAATGGCGACATTACAGCTTCATATTGGGGAAACGAGTCTGCTCGTGCTCCTGCGGGGTACCTTCCAAACCCGGTCATCGCCTTTCAAGTGCTGCTTTTCTCGTTTTCCCTCATGGTCGCCCTCGGCCTTTTCCTGACTCTTGACCTAGCACAAGGGACCCAGGAGACGATTGCAACTCAGCGAGACGCGGGCGGAGGAGCGCGTAGCGCTGTGGCGATCCATATCGGGATGATTGCCTTTGTCAGCATCGTTTGCCCAATGTGGATGCGACACTTGCAGAGGCACAAGCGTAGACTCCATGGTCCATGGGACCCGGCTGTACCTATTATTCGCGCACCAGAATTCTAATGCACACCTCTGAGGTCACATGCTGCTGCTCGGCTGGAATAAGCCTTGCTATGTATATGGCTATGCTACAGATGCTTGATGATGGTGATTTTATAATCTGGCTCGTTTCAAGCATACATGCCTGCCAACTGGCCTTGAATCTGCAGGTTCAGATACGATAGGTCCATCAAGCTGATCTCTTTAGCTCCAGCTTCCGCTTTTGCTATAGCCTGTCCCGCCTCGAAAGGTCGGATCTCCACACTCCCCGTGCCGACGGTGACGTGCGGGCGCCAGGTTCCTTGCTGCATCCCTCCTTCGCCGCTCTGCAAATCATTGAAATTCGGAACTTGCTCGGAATGTACGTCTCGCACCCCAATTACCATTACCCGCCCGTCCCACACGAGCTTGTCCAGATGGAACGCAAAGTAGACGGGTGGCTGATCTGGCTGGCACAGCGCTTCGTAGCACTTCCAGCGCGCTAGCGCTCCCTTTGCGTCTGCACCCAAGACCCCTGTCTCCTCCGCTTTGACGCTTTGCGAGTGCACGAGCGTGATGTGCGGGTGCACGACGATGCGACTGCTCTCGCGGAGACGCTGCAAGAAGGCGAGGGCCGATGCTTTGGCGGCCACATCGCAGTGACTACGCTGAAGAGCATCCCGAACAGTAGCGTCGACATCGATGTCAACGGCGATTGCATAGTACCGCGGCGGCTGACTTGGCGTCTTTGCGATGCCCCTATCGCGCTGCTCCTTTCTGATGCCGATCTTGTACTGCTGCGCTTTGGCGAGCGCAGCTCCGAGCTGCGAGGGACTCGGTTCCGGTCCCGGCAGCACGCCACCGCAGATTCTCCGCAGCTCATGGACGAGCACCCGGAGGTTCTCTTCGAGTGATCCGTCAACGTGCAGCGTGATGCTGTCGTCGAAGCGCTCGTCTCCGCGCCCTTCGCTGCCCTCCCCATGAGCCGCGCTCCCGAAAGGCTGCATGGTACTCAGGAACCGCCATAGAATCTTTTCGTGGGACTTTTGCGCGCCACGCACGTTGCCTGACTGCAAAGACTCGTCGGCACGTAGCGATTGGTGGTTTTGACCGCGGGCGACAATGCGTGAGTTGCAAATGGTAAAGATCTGATTGTGAGACATGGCGTCTAGGGCCCATGCGAGGGCAACGACTCGGATGCGCGGGCTTGTGTCATTGCTGATGGCGTCAGCGCGGATTTCCTCTTTCGTTCCCTGTGGGGTATGCTGCTGCTGCTTTCCCTCCGGTCGGAAGCCATCCCTCTCAATGCGTTCCACCACCTCAGCAATCTCGTCACGGTGCTGGAACAGGTGGTTGTTGCGGTCGGCGATGACAAAGTCATTCGCCTTTAGCTCGCGCTCGATGTTTTGCAAGAAGATCGGCCCTGTCTTCTTTGCCTTGACATCGTCGCTCTGTGTGTGGCCAATGATGATCGCTGGCACGCAGGCAGCAAGAAGCTCACGCAGGGCGATAGCCAGCACCGTCTTGCCGCATCCAGGCACAGCGATGGGCACGATGAGCGTCTTGGTAAACGGTCGCGACTCCTTCTCGCGCCGGGTCGCCTCCTCCACCGTTTGGTTAATTTTTCCGTAACGGGAAAGCAGTTTCTTCCCTTGCTCCGATTCGCAGAACTTGAGGAAGTAGTTGCGCACGCCGATGATTCCTTTCCCACGGCAGAATCCCTCGAACATGCCCAGCTCTGGCGAGACAGCACCATCCTCACTGCCAAAGATTCGCTCGTAGCACCAGTCGACAAAGGCGAGCGTCTCGGCGCGCTTGGACCGCGGGGCCGGTTTTGGCGGCAGCAAGACTTTATTCGCGGATGCGGCAGCCTTGTGAGCTAGAGCGTGCTGCTTTCTGGTTTCTCGGTTCAATTGGTTCGCTTGCTTCTTGAGTTGTTTCTTGCTCATCACTTGCATAGCCGACGCTGCGCCGGAAGTTGAGGGGCTCTCTGATGCTAACCCCGCTTTCTCCCCAGTGTCTCCTCCCACAATCTGTTGCGCGCTCTTGGCCTCTCCCTCCTGATCACTCCCTCTCATACTGTTGCCAGCCTGTTGTATTTCATTCACATTCATCACGCTGGATTGATCCTTGAGCCAGATATTACGCTCAGCGAGCATGCGTCTCGTCAGCTCTCGCCAGTCCCGGTACATGAGGTATGGCTCGTCGAACTTGATCTTGAAGAACCATGCCTGACCCGGTGCGTACGGGGGACGTGCCACTTGCTTTGCGGCATGTGACCCATTTGCACTGCCTCGCAAGACGTCTTGAATAGATGGCGCATCGGTTGGGATGTGCGTGCGCACGACGAATCCCTCGATCGGTTCCCCATGCCACATGCCGCTCTGGCCGACCTCGTCCGTAATGCGTTCGACCTCCGCGTAGCTACCGACCTCGAGCCATCGGACGCTGAGCAGACCCCACTCCTTCGCGAAGTTCTCCACCTCGCGCATGTCCCGCGTGGCGAACTCGACCGCGTTGGAGTTAAGCCCGTGGAGATACAGCCCGGACCTCTCACGCTCGTACGCAAGGACATGTTCCTCGAAGCTGTCGTCGCACAGCTCCAGGACAGCCGTCTCGTTACGCTGCCACAGCTCGTGGGCCAGGTCGGCGCGCGTGCGTCCGACGCGGGAAAGGTGCACCGAGAGCCAGGAAGAGCCCATCTCTGCGTGCGAGACGCTCGCATCTTTACCCTCGCCGTCCGCTTGCTGCGTATCGACCCTGGCATTGGCACTCGAGGGGCCCGATAAACCCGACTCCTCTGGCCGGTCGCCGACGTCAGCATCATCGCCATCTTCTAGGACAGAAGCAGGGAGCGGGCCAAGGGAGTGCTTGGATGTGACGAGGAGAGAAGATGGTGTGAGGGCCGACACAAATATGATGCATCCATTTTCTTTGAAGGTCAAGAGGTAAGGCGGAGAGCTGTACTGTTTCAGAGAGGTTGGCTGTTCATCCAAAACGAGTGCTAGTGAGCTATCTATTATGGACAGATTCAGAAACAAGGAACCGATTGACCCTACCTTTGTCCATGCCATCTCGCCCTTGTTGAAGAATTTGTCATATCCACGCACGACAATCCGATGCCGTGCATTGCCTTCGCTTCCCCCTCCTTCTCCTTCGTCGGCATGTTCACCATCAAGCTGCTCCGTGAAGAGGCCTCGGGCGAGCGTCGGCAATTCGTTCCCTCCATCCTTGAAATAAGTCTCGACCGAACCAGCAGCTTTTCGGTAGGCATACTCCTTGGTCTTCCACGAGACGATCTTGTGCGCCACCTTGTTGCTCTGGTCCGACGCGGCATGGGCGTCTGGATCCTCCTCGTGCGCAGTGTATGTGGTCGCCCGGATTAATGACTTTCCTTTCTTGTCAGCTGCACGCTGCAGGCAATGCACGAGGATGGTGGAAGCGCCATCGTATCGATTGGCGCTGCGAGCCTTCGAGCCATGCTTTTGGCTTTCCGACAGCGAGAGTTCTATCAGAGCCGAGTCCAGAGGTGCACCTGCATTGCTTGGAGCAGGCCTAGACGGAACATTCATGGTGAACGCGAAACGATCACGGGGTGGGTGGCTGTTCCTGCTGGCAAGACAATCAGACGCTGTATCGTGAGCGCAGTTGGAATCACGAGACTTGCTCTCCAGCAAGCACTGTTGAAGCTGTTGTTACCAGAGATTGTGTTCCGTAGAAATGGATTCAGATTTCTTTTTTTATTGAGGCCAAAAGTGGATTCGAAAGGTGCTGCTTTACAGGGATTATGAATTCATTTTCCTCATATTTGGATCCAACTCCGTTTTAAAAACCTGTGATCTTTCTTGTTGTCTCGGCCGAGATTCCTAGAGGAACGAGGAGGTGCACGTGATGGCATGCACAGGTTGAGGCCAGAGTCATGTGGGTTTCAATTTCGAATTCCTCTGAATCGGGGTTTTTTGCATATCGAAATGTAGTGCTGGATCGGGGCTACCGAACACAGTTTCAAAACATGCTAGAAATTCAACCATCGGCAAACCGAAATCGAATCCAACCTTGATCTATTTTTGGGCGTATTTTTATTACTGGATTCGCTGTGAGTCCGAAGCCGCTGTTTTGGCGGGGAACGAAGTTAGATTCGTTCTACCGAAAACCCACACAGTGACTTCTTCGGATTGTCAAAAATGGCTAAGCGGAAAACGGAAGCTGCGGAACCTCATGAGGTACGGTACTTCGGAACTCAGGTTAGAGCACAACCACACAGCGGACCGCATTCGGTGCAACCCGGGTCAACCGGACCGGCCGTAGGCAGCTCCCCCCCACACTTCCTCAATCCTCTTCCGCCAATCTCAACGTGGGCGGCGCGGATGTGTCCGTGGGGCCTGTTGGGAGAAGGCGATGGTTGATGCCCTATTCTGCACGGTGGAAAGGGTACATTAGGTCGTCTGGCCGCTGCCTTTGCTTATATACGATCACCTGTGGTCCCATCTCGTCGCTGACTTCATCACTCATGCTCTCAACACCACGGGATATTCATAAAGCGAGACTCGAACGAACAGATTCGTGAAAATCACTGTGGAATCAAATCGGGAAAGCGGAGAGAGCAAGGTCGGCAAAACACCCCTTTCGAGACGCACATTATAGCCAACGTTCCCACCATGTCCATCGCAAGGGCAAGCGCCAGCACCGAACAGCCAACGCAAGGAGCCGCCGCCGTCGTTGTCGGCGATGCGACACTGCCGCACTGCCCTGCGACGCCGGCGCGCGTATCGCCGGCGCTGTTCGACCTGGCAGGCAGGCACGTTCTACTGACGGGCGGCACACGCGGCATCGGGCAAGCGTGTGCCGTCGCCCTCGCGCAGGCGGGCGCGCGGGTGTGTCTCGCGGTTCGCCCGGGAACTGACGCTGCAGCTGTGCTCGCCGCACTACCCGCAGCACAGCAAGAGCAGCAGCAGCAGCACGTGACGGTGGAGGCGGACTTGTCCGATGCGGCGTCGGTGCGCACGGTCGTCCCGCGCGCAGTGGCAGCGTTGTCCGGGCGGCTCGACGTGCTCGTCAACTGCGCCGGGATCCAGCGGCGCGCGCCTTCCGAGGCGTTCCCGGAGGAATACTGGGACGAGGTAATCGCAGTCAACCTCAAGAGCGCATGGCTACTGTCGCAAGCGGCAGGCAAGCACATGCTCGAGCGCAAGCTCGCGCTGGTAGCCGCAGGAAAGGAGGCAGACTGGCAGGGAGGCAAGATCATCAATTTTGGAAGCTTGCTCACTTTCCAGGGCGGCTTGACCGTCCCGGCGTACGCAGCGGCCAAGGGCGCCATCGGGCAGTTCACCAAGACGCTCAGCAACGAGTGGAGCAAGCACGGCATCCAGGTCAATGGAATTGCGTAAGTTGTCGCCGGTAGTGGGCCAATTGCAGAGAACAGACTTATCCATACGCATCTGACCCCATTTTCTGGACACAGACCGGGATACATTGCAACAGACATGGTACGTCCTCCGCTCCGAACATCTTCAACGCATACGGATATGCGGACGCTTACAATCTCATCCGACTTGGCGCAATGCAGAACGAGCGTCTGCTGGCAGACCCGACGCGCTTGCGGCAGATCTCAGAGCGCATTCCCGCTAACCGGTGGGGCCAGCCGTGGGATTTTGCGGGGCCGACGGTGTTTCTGGCGAGCGATGCAAGCCGTTATGTGTGTGGCGAGATGCTCGTCGTCGACGGTGTGAGTTCCGACTGTGTCTGGGCAACAGCCGCCATGTCCTTGGGCGCTGACATAGGCGATGCTCGTTTCTCCCATCCCTCTTCTCACTGTTACTCGCGTAGGGCTGGATGGGGCGTTGAGCGCGAATCTCAGTACAACCGCGCTCGGTCGCTTCGTTGGGGGTGGGGTATGCTCATGCACGTCGAAGTAACCACCCCAGGATGCATTGCGCAATCATTAGCACGCGCGTTGTATATACCTTGATAGATGCTATAGATGCTAGATGAGCACTTTCTGCGTTAGCATTGTTATGGCATGCTCGTGCACGTGCACATTTCGCCCGACTTGGTAGTGGTGATGGAGATGATTGTGGCGGCGGCCTGCATCCGCCCCCGTCGTTCTTCGCTCGCTTATGAAAGCAGGTAAGCTGCTTCCGAGCTCCGAAGAGAAGGAGCCCGGCCCAAGTCGTCGTCAAATATTGTTCCTTGCAAAAAGGGGGGCTAAAACTCTCTATATAGCAGGATCCAGGTCCTTCACTTTCCCTCATGCGCGGACAACGACAGGCTCACAAAAATTATTTGCGCGATTGCATGCGCAGTCCTCATATAGGCACCCAGGTGGCGCACATTCACCCGGTCCAAGTCTCATTTTTCTCATTCGTGCTGATCAACATCTTACAGTAGGATACGTATACGTCCGCAGGCAAAGCCGCCGACGTTTGGTGTCAAGAGTCCACAGGAAGCCGATTGACACAGCGATCCGGCTATTAATTGCCTCTCTGTCGTTGTCTTAGATGATTTTGAAGTCCCTCTTGAAAGATAAGTCGATCTAGATATAATGTGGTTTATATTACTATCATACGATTTATTCCCTATAGTCAAAAGGGACAGCTACGCTGCTCAAACCCGCGCGGGCCATGTCCCTAAGTTCAACTCTTTTGGTCGCGACCAGCTATAGGCAGCTTAGTACCAACCCCCCTCCAGCTCACAGCAAAGCACAATTGTGCAGAAAGTAAACAACGCCACACCTGCAGCTGAAGATTGCATGCTGGCTTGCCATGGCTTGTCCGCAATCAAGTCCCTCTTAGAGCGACGAGAACTGTAAGTACCGTAAAGAAGCGCCTAGCTGTCGCCGGCTGACAGTTCGGTCGCCACCAGGAAAGGCCATCGAAGCGTTCAGCTTGCAACGTTAAGTAAAGCAACACAGATCACGTTCAGCTTTCACCAATCAGCATCTTTGTTTGACATGCGCAGCACAACTTATGTGTGTACAACACATTTTCTCGCATCGCATAAATCGTAGTTACACACATAACATCGCCTTCCTTTAATGTATCTAGTCTCCAACAAATTCACGGCAGTCTCGGTCCAGAAAGTGACCCACCTTTGATCCCTCTACTTCTGGCACTCTGTTCTCTGGAGCTCCCAAACTGCCTGCCAAACGTAAGTCACGGAGACTATAGCTTCTCGGATTTAAGAGAACGGAACCATCGCACGTATATGGTCCAAGGATACGCGAGCTGTACATCGTCCTGCCGACGCAGAGCAGGAAGCTGAACTGCAGGACGCGCAATGATAGAACGAAAGTACGAATCAAAAATCCACCTTACCGTCGTGCGCTCTGCTGTTCTCCTTAGCCGAGGGCTTTGATTGTCTTCTGACGGCTCGCCGAGTCGACAACAACTTCTGATAAGTAGTCATTGCTGTTGCGTTGACAAGGACAAATACCTAGCAAACTGGGGTTTCGAACTGAGGTTTAATTGGGCATCAATAGCTGCTGATATTTAACATGCCTCTCAGTTGTAATCTGAAAATTTGCACTACTTTTTGGTGAACCCTTTCCATCAGCCAGCCACGGTGAATAGGTACACAGCAATGCCAAACGCCTGAATGTTCAGTAAACAATGCGGCACTATTTCGGGGAACTGAGCGTGTTCGCAATGCTTTGCCACCGTCTTCCTAACTTGACGACCCCATATGAGCGTCTCATGCACAGCATTGCGTACGAGACTCTCTTCGATCTTTGAATATGGCAGCTAGAACACGCGGGATACCGTAGAGCTGAAGAAGAAGGACAGCTTTGACCCGTTTGGGATGGTGGGCCTATTTGTCTGGCTTACTTCCTTATCTGTAGCAAGGCCATGGTCCATGGTGCAGACAGAAAAGCTCTGCGACGTGAATGTCAGTGTCGGCGATTGGCCCACTTACAAGTGGCTGGCTTGCAGCGAAATTGTTAGAACCAGGGCTTTCGTACAAGTCACAGCCACAAACTCTTGACAATGCGTCTCCAAGCTTTGCCATCCCAATCCCACACCTCAACGTAAATGCTTTTCGAAAAAAAGAATTTGAGGTCTCCAGTTGAAATCAACTTTCGCTAGTGGTTGCATCGTGGTCTTGGTCTTGGTCCAGGATCAGAAGCAGAAGTAGGGTTGACAACTTAGCGTGCAAGCTCGTTCGGGGCATGCAGATCCCCACGTTAGATGCACGCACCACTCCATCTCCGTCCATTGAGGTAACATAGTATCGGCGGCGTCCTATGGAAAGCCAGCAGCAGCAGAATCTCCAGCCCAGCCTCGTGCGACTGAGCTGTCGTTAAGGAGTGTACAGGAGTGGAGTGAAGCGAGGTGGCGTTGAGGGGAGTGGAGAGTGTCGACTGGGTACGGAGCATCTTGCACAGCGAAGGATCCCCCCGCATCTGCCTTCTGCCTCGGATGCCAAATCTCTCCTGCACAGAGCAGCAGCCACAGCAGCCTGCTGCATATGAACGCCCCCTTCCCCCGCCTTGCTTCTGACTCAGAATAATTTTGCCCCCAGCATGCCTCATGTGCCACGGCACGACGCGTCGTCGTCAGCGGCAGCAGTAACAGCGCTCTCACCTTCATTCGGCACCGGAGTCGGAGGCAGCAACACAGAAGCGGATCCGCCCGGGGCAATGGGAGACACCAGCGCAAGCGCCAGTGCGCACGCAACGCCGAGCGCCGGATCTAGCGATGTACAGCAGAGTCTGAAGGCGTTCCAGCGCGCATACAAGGCCTGCGACGCCTGCCGCTTCCGCAAGGTGCGCTGCGACCTCGGCAGCGTCGAGCAGCCTCTCGACCCGCCCTGCCGCCGCTGCCGCCGCGAGCGCCGCGACTGCACGTTCGACAAGGGCACGCGAGGCAGGCCCAAAGGCGGACTCGCGCATGCCAACGTGTTTGAACATGGAGTCGGACATGGACATGCGTATGCCGATGGCAGCGGAAATGGTAATGGAAGTGTGCCCACGCCTGCTGCGTGGAGCCATCTGCCACCAAATGCTGCGCGCGGCGGAGCGTCTGGATCCACTTCTTCGTCTTCGCAGATGCTCCCACCGCCTCAAAAGACGTTCAGCGCGGGTGAACTAAGCGCCACGGCTGCGACCGGCCAGAGTCCCTCGCAGCACGATCCGTGGCACCCGGCATACCCCTCTTCCCATCATCATCACCACCACCACCAGAAGCCAGCGATGGGCCGCTCCCATTCATCCAGCAGCATCCCCTCCGCTGCGCCCTCTGCGCTCTCGCCGCCGATGTACGCTCCGAATAGCGGCAGCGGCGGCACACAGAACGCTGTGGGCCTCGCCCATCGCAGCAGCGGCGCAGGGGCAAACAGCAGCGACGCCGCCGGGAGCGATACGTCATCGCCGACCGCGCATGCGAGTCTGGCACTGATCAACCTGCGCAACAGCAGCGAGGCTATGAAGGCGCTCACCACCGTCGGCGTCAGAGAGGTTATTGCCGCCGCAGAGTCGCCTGTGCCCACCACTGCTGGAAAAGGACCTGGCACCGGTGCTGCAGCGGGGTCACCCGCGGCGAGCGAGCGCAGTGCGGCCTCCGATGCCACCGCCAATGCCAATGCCAGCGATGCCGCAAGCAGCGCAAGGAAGAGGAAATGTGCGTCGGCCACCGGTGCGGGTACGGCCGAGGAGGAGAAAGGACGAGCGACGTTGAGCAAGACCCGGCGAGCTGATGCCGGCGCTGCTCCGAGGACTTCGACGTCCGCGTCGATTTCCATTGCTAATGGCGTTAAGACGGTTCCAGGCGTACCAGCTGCTGCACATGCGGGTCCTTCGTCCGCCGTTTTTGCCTCCGCCGTCCAGCACGCATACGCAAACGTTACGCATGTCAAGCCCAAGCGCCTTCAAGACTGGAGGGACTTTGAGCCAGTTCGTTTGAAGATCATCAAGGCTTCTGAGACAAGATATCTATTCAAATAGTGAGTCACGCTGTTGGGAAGACAAGACCAATCTCGATTGCCCTCTGCTCACCCACTCAGCATCTATCTACCACACCCAACTTTTTTCCTTGTCCTTCAATGAAGCTTCTTCCAACACATCCACAGCTTCTCGCCGCTCTGCTCCGAAAGATACATGCGCAATACAAAAGAGTCGCGCTCAGAGCTCATCAGCCGTGAGCCGCTCTTGCTCGGCGCCATCCTTTCCATCGCCTCGCGCTTCTGTATCGGCCCGGACCAAGACGCCGCGGCAAACGCGCTCGATGGACACGATGGGTATAGGGCGAAGCAGGCGGCGCATTCCGCCGATGGAACGAGCAGCGGTGGAGGCGGCGCCAAGGTCCTGTCCGCAGCATCGGTCGCGGCGGAAAAAGCGAGTTTCGGGCTCGAGTTGCATCAGCGTATCTCGCACTGGACGCACCAGCTCGCTGGGCGTGTGCTCGTCGACTGCAGCCTGCACTCGGTCGGCAGCGTCGAAGCACTTCTGCTGCTGTCCGAGTGGTCCACATGGGGGATCCATTCCAATCGGCAGGATATGCTTGCTTCTTCCGACTCGGAGGAAGATGACGATGAGGAGGATGAAGATGAAGAGATGGATGTCGATGTCGATGAGCGCGTTCCAGTCGTGCCGCGTCGTCTTTACACGAATGGGACTGCAGCGGATGGTGATGTGGCGCGCAGCTCAGACGCCCCTAGTGACGCCGTTGCTATTGGTGGTAGCAGCAAGGTGCGCCGAAGAGGCGCCGCAGACGCCTTGGCGGCGTGTGCAAAGAAGGGAGCTCGTGCGTCGCCACGGCGCAAGCGCGAAGCATCGCGTCCTTCGGCGGACGTAATTGCCACAACGATTCAGCGCTTTGACAGCATGTCGTGGATGTTTGTTGGTATGGCCATCCGCCTCGCCGAGGAGCTGGACTTGCCGAAGCACGAAAAGTGCTTTGGGATCTACAGCCAGGACCACGCGGAGGTCGAGCAGGCCGAGAGGAGGCTGCGCGTCTGGCTTGACTGCGTGCGCGCTGACACGCAGATCTCCATCCGTCTCGGCAGGCGCTTCACCAGCGGTGGGCTCAGTCCCGAATGGATGGAGCTGATGCGCGCTAGGACGTACCGTCTGCCTGACACGGTCGCCGACCCGGCTATGCCGACCAACGGCTCATCAAACGGACACAGCACGCACCCCACAGAAGCGGCAGCAGCCGCTGCAGCAACGCACCACCAGCCGAACAAGAACTGCAACTTCACCTTCACGGACGACTTGGTCGGCGCCGCACGGCAGGACCCGGCTGTTAACGAAGCGCGGAAGTGGACGGCGTGGCGCGGACATGCGGAGCTGGCCAACAAGCTGCGCAATGTGCACGATATGCTCAACGAGTCGGACGCCAGGACGGCGAGCATGATGGAAAATGATCGCTTCGAGAGCATCCTGCGGCCTTTCAGGAACGACCTCGACTCCTGGGTCAAGTGGCTTGAGCCGAAAATCGGTATGTGCCGCGCCTAAGCATAATGATCGCTCATTCACTGACATCCATCGATGCAATGCGGTAGGCTATCCGGGCGGGGGCATGCGCACACTCGACATCCGCGTCGACTATCACTTCACGCGTCTGCAGGCATTCAGAGTGGCCCTCGATGCTCTGGTCCTGCGAGCGCGCCGTATTGGGCGACCGGATGGCCTTGCTGCACTTGGCGAGGGTCTCAGCGACCGTCCGACGTTCCCTTTCGCCAAGGAGAGCGTCGATGCCGCACGCACGCTTGCCATCGTCATCTCTGTCGACTTGCAGAGCCTGCGTTGTGCGCCACCGCGCTTCTTCCTCTACCTCGTGCTTGCCGTCATGGTGTGCATGCAGGCGTGCGAGCTATCGGAAAGCCTGATGCTTCCGATGCAGTGCGCCAGCATCCTGCGCGATGCCATCAACGCCCTGAATTCCGTCGCGGTTGATGAGCGTCATCTGGCGAGGCGATATGCACTGATGCTTCGTAATGCTGGTAAGCGCCTGTTACTCGCCGAGGAGGCTGAGGCGGCCACCGCTACGGCAGCAGCGGGAGCGGGAGCGCGCGCCCGCTCAGAAAGTCATCTCATCTCCGACCTCGGCCTTCTGAACGGGCAGCCGCCTCAACACCACCAGCAACAGCAGCATCAACAGCGCACCCTTGTCCCTACGATCTCTGTCGCGCCGCGCCCTCCGCAGCCCGCCGCGCCTCCAGTGCAAATGCAAGGCCCATCATTCGCCGACGACGTCCTGGCGCCCACACATGGCGTGGACCTCGAGGACCTCTGGTCATGGCTGGGTAACATCGACCAAGCTGTGCCGTCCGCATCGACAGAGGAGAGCGTCACGGACGGCACAGCGGAGCATATCCTCAGTTTTGACTCCTTGTACGAAGGACAGTCTGCCCCGTTCTTCTTCCCGAATACGGCACTCAATCAATGATATAGCCGAACTCATGCAGCAGTTCTAGGGTATGACGGAGCTTCCCTATGTTGTAGTATATCGCCGTCGGATGTGCAGTGCGAACAGATTCAAGGGGTTGTTTTCTGATGGGCCAAACCCGACGAACCCGTCAGGTACGTGCTGGGTTGCGGCCCATGAACCCGAATCCCGACAGTCCCAATTGGGATAGACTAAGCTCAAATCCATTGGGTTCTGGTTTGTTACCCAATTGACACCTATAGTCAGACTTATAGACTATCGCAACTCGGAGCTTGACCGTTCTGTATGGGCCTGTGAGCGGCGAGCAGAAAGATTTTACGCAATTGTCTATTTTGGGGATCCACTCGGATCCATTGCTTAACGTGATCAAGCGGCGTAGGCCGTTTTGCGAACAGCGTGTGCACATCTCGGTCCGCCATGGAGAGCGAGACCGCGAGTGCGCTGCATCTCGACGCACTCTCCAAAGTGCATTCAGTGTCGCTGCCGGAACTAGCCAGCATTGAAGCGAAGCGACTCGTTCGGTACCTCGAATCGCACTTCCAGGCCGGACCTTCAAGTGACCATCCTTCAACGGCAACCTCCTTCGTACCACGGCGAGGGTTGTGGGCCGAGAAGAACGCATCGCCCGCAGCAGCAGCGGCGGCAAGCGCGGCGCCCCAACCTGCCTTCGTTAGGGGTGCTCGCCGAGCGCCAACGGGGGTGCGGTTGAATAGGCTGCTTCCACAATGGCATAGCTTGCACAACACAAGATGCAGAAAGTGTGCCATTGCCATGGTTCCTGGTGTCAATACGACACTTGAAGCGGTAACCACGGACTTGGATGAAACGCAAGGAGTAGTAGAACCCCGAGCCGAGAGCAGGGCTAATTCACTTAGCGGACGAATGAGGTCGAGGCGGGCGGGTCATCTCGCACTCTGCCTTCACTGCGGGGCAAGAAGAATCCCTCCGAAACCAGCAAAGCGACGGGCTGTCAGAAAGAGGATTGAAGGCAGCGTTGTTGAACCAAGGTTTGCTCGCTTTTCCCAACCGAACCACCCTACCGCCAACACGCCTCAATCTAGCCCCAACAAGGTGTCAGAAGGCAAGCATCAGCCTATGCCAACGGATCAGCAGCCAGCACAAGCTCGAATATCAGAGAATAGGCCCATGACTCTCGATGAAAAAGCTGCACATATTCGAGCAGAAAAAAAACGACTATTGAAAGCGGCTGCCATCATCCCTGCCGGTACTTTCACTGCTGGTCCGAGCAAACTGCCCACTTTGCCGCAGGCTCAACATACTCCATCGATACTGCTCGCCGCATCGGCCGTGAATTCGACGTCTCCGGTAGCCGCCATGCAAGGAACACCAGCAGCACCATCAGTGATGCTAACAACACCGGCAACTCTATCCCCCGACCCTGTCTCGACAGTGGCAGGGGCAGGAGTAATAGCTCCTACCACTGCTCAAGCTATAGCTCGACCGATGACGCTCGATGAGCGTGCGGCACTCGCGAAAGCCGAGAAACGGCGCCAACGAAAAGAACAAAAAGCGAAAGACACTAAAGATACAGCAGGACCTATATCTACAGAAGCAGGGCGAGACTCTTCCGGCACCGCTGCTGCACCGAAGGATTCTAGTGGAACACAAGAGCGCAGAGATATGACGGATCTAATGGCTCTACTTGCAGCTAACAAGGCGAGGAAAGAGAAGGTATCGTCTGCACGAAGTGAGAACACGGGCCCCGTCGGCGGATTGCGAAGTTTCTTCGGTTGACATATCCATAAGTCGAAAGCGCTACAATTGAAGTCAATCTTAATGAATACATGCAATATTGGGTGCAACTCCTACGCACTTGTCTGATGCGATCGCCCATAACCCACAAACAACAATGACTGCGCTCTCGATGAGCCGAATGATGCTGCAGAGGCGAATGTAGACCGCTGATTTGCCATACTGTGGAAAAATTGAACTGGGTATGTCACGCTCGCCGCCAGCCCTGCTGCCTCTCGTTACCGGCCTAGCGTGTGGAAGACTTGCGCTAGCAATGAGAAGGCGGCAACGAGTATGACCAATGTGGTTGATCTCAAAAGGAAACGCAGGTTCAGCGGACAGTATCCCTCAAATTGTTATTCCGGTGCTCATTTACAACAGAGTCGACGGCCAGGCGGATGGGGTTCGCATAGCAGGCATGGTCGCAGAGCTTTCCGCCCAGCTGCACAGCAAAATATGCGATATATACGTCGAAGCGGGTTGTCGATCTAGCGCAGGGAGACCCATGCCATCGAGGCGAACATGCCATCCGCCAGCGCCGTCCCCACCGCGACGAGGTGCGTGATTGGAAACTGGGACGGGTCATCGCGTGGTCAGGCAGGTCGTCTCCGTACGGCGATGGCAGTCATGGTGCAGTGGGCCCGCCGTTGGTAGGTCGCCAAAGAGAAAAGTCGGCTGAACCATGAGGACGACACTGCAGAGGTAGATGGCACCAGCTACGAATTGTTGCAAGCTAAAGTGCTCGCCGAGTAAGCAAGCGCCCAGCACAGCTTGGCAAGCGGGCCATGAACGTGATCATGGTCGCGTCGCATAGGGTGAGATATTGCAGGGCCAAATAGAAATGCATGGTTGACGCAAAGCCACAGATGCCTCGAATAAAAGGAGAAGTCGTATGCCAGGTGGCCCGAGGAGTCTGAAAGAAATGAGGCAATGCGTCGACGATACATTCCCAGTATTCCTTTCCATCTCAAGATGAAGGTCAAAATCACTCACATATACTCTGTGCGTGTGGCCACCACGACGAGCATACAGCCAGTCCACATGTTCAGGCACTCGAGGTCAACAATGTCCAGCGCACTCGGCGTCATGTTTTCTTTTGCTGTTTGGCCTTCGCTCTCGTCCAAGGGCTTGGCACGGAGCTAGATGATAAGAAAATGGAAGCCTCAATAAGCTGGAAACAGGCTTCTGGTGAAAAGCTCACTCGCACCTGTCAGCGATTCTACTTGCTGACAGAGTGCGATGAGGAACAGGGCCAGGATCTTGGCAGAGAGCTTGCGGAAGATCGTCGTTGCGGTTTTAGTCCTCTTAAAGAAGCCTTCCATGCCCAAAGGCTTTGAACCAACGTCTCTATGGGGCATCCCTTCCGCTTGTTTATCAGCCAGCCAGTCGAGGCGAGGAGACAGAGATGTGATTGCGAAGCACCAGCTGTCATCTCCAGCCGCTTCGGGAGAGTCGATATGATCTGTGTCCGTCCCGGTAACATGGCCATACCAGCAGTGGGCGCCACCTTGGACTTCTTCGAAGAAGTTGCGTGTGTCCCCATTTGCAGCCGAATCGGGTATTTCAAAAGCAAGCTCATTGCTTTCTCCTGGTCAGGATCTTGCGGCCGGCGATGGAACGGCAGGACGGGAATGACCATGTTCGGGCTTGAGAAGCTCGAGACCTCTTGAGCTGCGAACGAAGAGCTGAAATGCGAAGAAGAGTCGGCTTTCTCTGCCGCATGCTGCAGTGGGACCCTTCTCTGAGACTCGAGTAAAAGTTGGGATGGAACATTTGCGTTCTATTAGCCAGGAGTCCTCGCACTTCATCACCGACGTAGGCAGTGGAGAGAAGATCAGAAAACGCCTCCTCAGCTTGGAATCGAGCTGTTGATCCAGCGTCAGAGTTGACCACTCCGTTGCCGCTGGTTGCCAGTTCTCCGAATTGTCCTTCACGCTGTGTTGTCGTCGCTGCCCGCACAGTGTGCGTACTCGGCGTCGAAGCCGATGGACCCGCAACTGAGGTTGCATTTGAAAAGTTGTCAAGCCCACCCTGCTACACGTGTATAGTCAGTCTCAAGCACAACAATGGATGTCTACATCAGAAGCGAGTTGGTGAGAGAAAGCAGCGGCTACGTTCAGCCCTCAATGCGTTTCATGGTGCGGCTACGGTTTGTCCTGTTTTGTCCAAGAGAAATGAGGTGGTGAGCACTCAGACCCTATGTGCATACAGAATACGACGAATACAGCGGTAGGGAAACTTCAATGGGAAGCACACAACCTTCTAGCCATCCCATGCATGGCCATCGTTGCAGACTCGCAGGTTCGACCTCGTTGACTTAACCCGATGGACGTGTCCAAAATCGGGTGATGATAACAAGATGGGGCGATGGGGTTGAGCTGTAGGTGCACGGAGAGATAACAGGATGTGATTGAGTGATTGTCTAGTTTGGACACCTTGGACCGATGCCTGTCACTTTTGCTTTACTATTACTATACGCTACCTCGCATAGTCCCAGCGTCCTGCGTTAGGTCTATATAGGCCCATCCTGCGTATGGCCCATCTCACTTTTCGTATCAGATGATCCCTATGCCTGGCCCTCCTTCATCTTCAAATTACCCATCTTTTCTGCTAGGTCTGACGCGAGATCGTTTGCCGTCTGTTCTGCAAACGACAATGGTGGCTTTTCTAACGTTGGCTTGCTTGCACCGTCCGTCTTTGCTGGCCCGTCAGAAGCCGAATCCGCCTTCTTCTCCGCCTGTGATACGGCAGCGGTGCTCGAAGGCGTTGATGGGGCTTTCTTGTACTTGCGCTCCCACTGCTCCCAGACCTCGTCGCGCAGCTTGAGTAGCTCAACTTCCCAGCCGCAGGCCATGGCAAGCTCCAGCACGCCGTCATCGCACTTTCCCTCGTACAGGACGTCACGCGCATTCTGTTTTCCGCCTCTTGAATGGCCTTCAAAGTCGAACCCACCGATATTATATCTGCCCGTGAACCCGTCCATGTCGCTAAGATTTGCCAACTCGCCAACCCGCTCGAGATTGATGAGCATGCGCGGACACTCGTCGGGGACTTTGTCGATGAGGGAGGCAAATGGTTGCACTTGAAGGGAAGTACCGAGCACAAGAAGCAAGTCCGCTTTTTGAAAGTCCGAGAGCCTCTGGAAAAAGCGGTCCGGCAAACCCTCGCCGAAGACTGCGACCATAGTGAACGTGGCGTTCAGTAAGAACGCTCCACCCAGACCTACAGCAGTGGTACTCACATACTATGTCCGGTTTCACTAGTCCTCCTTTTCCTGCAGTTTTCTTCTTGCATATCGCGTCTTCGCATCTGACTACCTTTCCTTTCATAATAGACGCCCGCATGTCCTCGGTTGACACAGCTGTCTTGCACTTAGTGCACTTTGACGAGGCGAATGAACCGTGCGCCTCGACGATCGCTTCGTCTGGTAGACCTGCTGCTCTTTCCAAGGTATCAATATTCTTAGAACCGCACAAAGGGACACATAGAAGTCAGCTTAGCCGCAGCAAGAAGAAAAGAGGTGCACACATTGAGCTCGCCTGCGTAAAGACACGCAGAAGTTTCTGCTTCTCGTGCAAAAGCCGGAAGAAGACATGCGTCAGGGTTGGCTTATAGTTGCCCGGAAAAAGCTCCTTGGCCAAAGTAAAAAAGGCTGTGCGTCGAGGAATTGACGTCGTACGAAAACTGTGTAAGTTGGAGCGACGGTGACAAACGAGCCAGGTCAAAGGTCCTTACGTTCTGGTTTCTCGTGGAAGAAGTCTAGCTGGAAAATCGCCTCTGGATACGGCAAATTGTATTTTTGTAGATTGGCATATAGCCCAGTATCTGGTGATCGAAAATCAGGGATACCTTCATCATGATTGTCAGAAAGAAAATTGAATTAGCACCGTGGTAGGATATACGGTAGTTTGAAACGCACCAGCACTGGTCGAGGTACCGGCACCGGTCATGACCAGGATCTGCTTCGCCTTGCCCTTCTGAATGAGGGAAGCCACACCTTGAAGGTCCAGCTTGTTTGATGGGGCGAAAATGGCCGCGCCATGAGAGTCGCTCATTATGATGCTCAAGGGGTGAGAGACGACCGAGGGGTCCTTAAGTACAGTTAAGTTCAGCGAAGCAGCTATCGCCGCCGTCGCGGAGTACAGGTGCTGCAAAAATTTCAACAGAATGGTAACTGGAAACCCGGCTTTCTCAGGTAGTGGATACGCCGTCGATGAGATTGTTCGCTGAGTCCATGCCTGAAGTCCGAAGTCGAAGTCAAGGGATATATACTACAGTGCAATCCAGGACCCAGATTTATCTGGATTCTGGGATGCCGCATAGTGAGATCGATCAGGCTGTCCTCGCCACGGACAAAGAAGAGGCCGATGAATCATGGATCCTCGGCGTCTTAACTTGGTGATGCATGGGGACTTGCCACCTTCCGCACAGCGGTCCACGGCCCGCACACACCGTTGCCTCGTGGCTGTAGGCTTTTAGACACTACGTACCAAATTGGCTGTCATGGTCAAACGAGTTGTATCTTCTGATCATACCGCAGTGGCAGCCGGCAGGCTGGCAGTAGCAAAAAGGGCACAGGTTTCGGCGTACGGTTGGCGCAAATATCTGCGCGTCATCATCGAGTCATCGGAACAAACTCGGACTGTCGGGCATCAGATGCTGCAGCTGGCACTTGGCCACAATGTCGCGCCAACAGTCGATGCGCTCCAAAGGCGCCGCTGCTGACATTCGATCGCGAATCCGTCACGAGAACACCAATCTTGGCGCTGGCGTCGACATCCAGCCGTCGTTCAGGGGCGGCGCTGCCCTAGGAGCACCACATGGACTCGCTGGAGTGCAGCAGGGGGAAGCCGCATTCCTAGCCCATGGTGGAAGTGGCTATTCATCGAGCGCCGCAGTTGCGATGAATGGGGGTGGATGCGAGTACTCCCACCAGATCAGCGCATCTATTGCTAGTCTGAGTTCTAGCGGTTTTCATGGCACTAGCTCAGAAACCAACCTGGCGCAGTCACTACAGGGTGCATCGCTCGGCGGACAAACGCCGCTGCGTCCTGCCCGATCTGCGAGGAGGCCCCAGAACCAATCGCCGCAGCGTCAAGATGGATTTGCGCTGGCAGGTCCTTCGCGGGCTCATCAGCTCCCTGGCCTCCAGATACATCAAGACCCAGTAGATCGCAGTGCGGCTCCTGGTCGCAATCTGTTGAACTCGAATAGAGGCACCAGGGTATCCCCCGTCGGCGAGCCGGACGGCTATGGATCGTTCAGTTTGGCACGGGGAGCCAGCACGTCCGGTCAATTCATGCATAACCAACATGGCTACGAAGCACCTCAACCTCGATCAGGGCTGAAAGCTGCGTATGACGGTGAAGAAGATGCGTACGGTGGTCTATCGCCTCTTGGTGAACACCCAGGTCACGAGCTTCCGATACCGTCTATCAGCCCTACGACGCCGGCCTCAGTAGGTTCTCTTACACATCGCAAGGAACCAGCCGCGCTCAACAGCGTCATATCAGCTCTGAGTGCTGCGGGGAGGAAGCATCAGACGAACCGCATCCAGCGTGGTGCCGCCGTATCAGCAGAAGATGAGCGCAGGCGACGGGGGAGCCAGATGCGGATCGATCAGATGAGGCACATCGAGCGACGGCCGCTGGAGAGTTATCTGCGCAAGGACGATGCGAGGGCTTTCAGGGAGATCAATGCGGTGCTGCGGAAGGTCAAGGCCGAATGGTCACACATGACGATGGACGATTTCAATGCGGCATCATTTGCGCTCTCGCTCATGGACGACAGCTCGTTGGGCGCCAGCTTCGATGAATTCGAGAAAATGAAGAAAATGCTCGAACGCGCGCTCCAAGGGACCCTCGATGATCACTATGAAGCTTTCGCATCTGCTATTACACTACACAACAACGTCCTCTCCTCTTTGAGCACGGCCCAAAACAACGTATCCGTTGCACGGAGAAGACTCCGTGATTCTCGAGACGCGCTTGGTGCCAAGCGCGCAGATCTCGTGCAAATGTGGCACAAGAGCCAAGGGGTGAAAGAAGCACTCAGATTGCTGGACACCGTGGAGAACCTCAAGAACATGCCAGATCGACTGGAAGCTCTCATGTCCCAGAAGCGTTTTCTCGAGGGTGTCAACGTCTTGACGCGCGGGCTGCGGACGATCGACAAGGCAGAGATTGTCGAACTGACAGGCACAGCAGACCTTCGAGCGTACCTGAAGGCACAGGAACAGAGTGTGCTGGACATTCTAGTGGAAGAACTGCACAACCACCTGTACCTCAAAAGTCCGTCTTGCGACGTCCGCTGGCACGCTTACACGCCTGGCCAGACGTTAATGCCGACCTTGGATCTGGACAACCAATTCGAAGAAAGCGAGGAGGAGAACATGGTCGCCGCGCAGGATTTGAAAGCGTCTCTGTCTTCCTTGCCAAGCACTCATCAGCCCCCTCCGGCAGCATTGCATCGTTTCCTGCAAACCTTGTCATCTCGTCCCTCTTTCGATCCAAAGCTCGCAACGGACGTTGTGGACACTAGTCTTGCGCCGAGTACCTCAACCTCGGCGCTGACAGGCGAGCTCATCGAGAATACAGGCGATTCCGGGATGGCCAATTCCAAGAGTACTGACTCGCTCGCTGGCCTGACTGGCTTTAATAGCGCAGGGGACAGTGGCAGCAATGGCTCGGAAAATATTGAGAGCAACAGCTTCCTCTACATCGAGATGCTTCTGGAAAGCATTGCTCGCTTGGACAAGCTATCCTACGTTCTCGATACTATCGCACATCGACTGCAAGTGGAGGTTCACCAGGTTATCGATACTACGATCGAAGAAGTCGAGCGTCGCAACGAGCCGTCAAGACAACACTCCATGGGGCGAGCAGGATCCATGTACCTTGGCCGCTCATCATCACACACACTCTCGTTTAGCGGCCCCTCATCTTCTGCTTGGCGTGGCTCTGGGCCGCCAAGTACCCTTCACGTATCCACCAGTGGCTCTGTACGACATGGTCTCATGCGGCGGACCGCCGCAGAATCGTTTGCGACAGCCATGGACGAGGAGACGATGCGGGACCTCTTCTGGACCCTCTTTTCCAAATTTGATGCTATCCTGCAAGGGCATCGAGCCGTGTACGAGGTCACGACGCGCATCTCGTCGCGCACCGGCTTCTCGCGGTCGACTCCTCTCGCCCGGACGACTACTCTGTCGTCGCCTGTCAAGGTCTGGCGGCAAATACAGCTCGAGGTGAATATACAGAACTTGGATGCTATACAGGTATTCTAACTCCTTCATTTCACTTCAGGTCCGGTCTCTTCTGCACGACCATCTTGTTGATGAGTCCCAGCCATCATCGCGCGCACGACGCCAAGCTATCATCTCTGTCAACGATGTGCTGCGTTTCGGCAAGACCGATAGGGACAAGAGCAAGCGACTTTTCACGTTGCCATTGGGGCAAGTAAAGAGCGGCAAGAAGGAAGTCAATCCCATCAAAAAATACGAAGAAGAGCTTACAGCTGCTTTGCGCATTCACGTACCCGGCCTCGTGTCATCGGACGCCGCGGCCGGCCCTGGCATCACCATGATCGACCTGGGTCATTCCATGACGATAGGCGGCACCTCAACGGCAGAGCTGACAGGTACAGGGCATCGCATCCTGGTCAAGCCAGATGCGTTCAATCTCTCGAGAATTTTCAAGCCGATGCTTAAATTCATTGCAAAGGTACAAGCCGTCATGCCCCCAGACGGCGAGGGAACATCTGACTATGACTCTTTCCTGGAGGAATTTGTGCGAGAGACCTTCCTGCCTCAGCTGGAAGAAAAGGCGCAGTTGTTGTTCTTGCAGTCGACAAGCAGTCTGGACGCGCTGCAAGAAGACGCTGCGTTCAAACAGGCTACAGGCAAACCGGTGACAAGGTCGGTGCGCAACGTCCTCGTGCTCTTGGACGGCATTTACAGTATCTTAGAGGCAACGCCGTTCCATCGGACTAGCATTGCTCGCTTAATGGTACAGCTCATCGTTCAGTTCTATCAGCGTTGCAGCGATCGCTTCACCAACCTCGTCGCTCTGCCAGCGGATGGCGACACTCCATCTGACGCTGTGCACACTTGCGCAGCTTGGGCACAACGACCTGAAATCCTGGAATATCTTTCAGATGCAGTTCAAAGCGCTTCGGACGAGACACGTCAGAAAGAATTGTTCGACCAGGAAAATCGGACATTGCTGCAGGTTTCGAAGTACGGCAGCGGGCTTAAGTTTGCAGATCTAACGACATCTCGCAAGAAGCTCCTCGCGCTCGGCACGCTCAAGCACAGTCTCGCTAGCTTCCTCGTTCACATGCGCCGGTTGAAGGCGATGGCCGTCTTTCCTGAGGACCAACTGGGCGTCAGCCTTCTTGGCTCAGGCAAGGGCACGCATATGGCCCTGCCACTCAACGACGAAATGGCTGTGCGATTCCAAAGCCTCCCAGCAACGTTCGAATACTTGTGCAACGTCATCCTGTTCACTCTGAGGGCAGAGTTGCGCATCCGCGCTGCATTTCATCTCAATCTCACGGTGACAGATGGTAACTACTTGATCGAAGAAGCCACGCTGGAACCCGATCCGCATGTGGTCGACCTCAATGCGGAGATTGTTTCGTGCGACGACGTTTTTCTCGACTCGCTTCCCAACGAGGATCGCCAATTCTTGTTCGCTGGTCTCTCTGGCTTTATGGACCTGTTGCTTGTCGCATCAGTGCGGCGTCTGCGCGCAATCAATCGACATGGCGTCACCAAGATGATCCGCAACATCATGGCTCTGCAACAGAACTTGAAGAGCATGGTCGATACTCCCGAACAAGTCAATCTGGAACGCAGCCAGCGATTCTGGGACTTGCTACTGCAGACGCCGGAGGTGAGTCTCCATGCACGGCCGAATCTTCGACTGTTCTGACTCAATTTGGTTAACTCGGTAGGAAATGTTGGAGGTTATCCGGAAGGATGGCGCGCATCACACGTTCGAAGAGTACAAGTCGGCTCTCCATCTCGTGCTAGGCTTGGAGAACGTCCGGGCCAGCGGTGGGGCAGCAAATGGGGTTCTACCGCCGGCCATTGCGAATGCAGGCACGTTTTCTGAAAGGAGAGACACTTCACGAAATCAATACAACGAATACCGTGAGTCAAACCCTCAGACCAACTGTCAAAATATTTATTGACCTTTTCCATCTGTTGGCGGTTAGTGATCGAGCTACATCAGGTGGTTGGAGACGCTTGATCGTCGCGACGCAGACGTACGAGCGAGTGTGAGCGCGTGGTAATGATCTTTATGCGCGATATATACTTGTTGCGTTACGCGTATCACATCCGGTCACCTTGGGTCACACGAGAAATTGCAATTTATGATTGGCGTTTCAATTTACATCGCATTCCATGACGCATGGTGAGACGAGCAGCCGCTAAGGACGGTAGATCTTTTGAGAGACAAAATCATGTGTCGCCTCGCTCGAGCAATTCTGGTCTGCCGACCGCCTTGCGCGAGCCAAGAAAATGAGGCTGAAAGCAAGAATGCCTCACTCTCGACCATTAACGCTGCTCCTGGACATCGCAAGCAAAAACACGCCCATCCTACAGCGCGACTTCAAGCGTAGTTTTGGCGATGGGGTCGACTGAGCATGAAATCGAGCTGAAGCGTGAAGCTTTCGGTGGAGCCCTTAGTCTGCAAGCAAGCGACAATATTAGAGAAAGGTCATGCAAGCATCAAATCTATGACAAGTGCAAGACTCACAGAAGTACCCGATGATCTTTCCACCAGCGTGCTTTCGCCTTGCCTCCTCATGGTCCATGATGCCGGCGCTGGTGGTGAGGATGATGTAGCCGAAAGAACGAGCAGGGAGGAGCTGGTTGACCCAGTTCTCAATCTGACCGAGCTGAACGTTGAAGCGTGGGGAGATGACACCACACTTGTTGATCCGGCCGTTCAGCTGAACGACGATCTTCCCTGATCGGTGGTCATCAATCTCCTCAAACTCTCCAATGTAACCTGTCGATCGTTGCGGAGCAAAAGTGCGTCAGTGAGGCATCCTTGAAGACTTCAATTCGTGTGACACGTCAAAATGCAGGTATACGAGATGTCCCCGGAGCATTGAATGCACAGAAGTGTCATACGAGACTTCTGTGCATGCACTTCAGCTTCGGACCAGACCCTGCATGACGGCAGGATCAAGTGGTTTCATCTCCCGGGGACTTAAAAATGGACGCTGGTGAAGCAGCTTCTCAACGAGAGCCGGCCAGTTGTCCAACAGTTATACCTCCGGGCCTGCCTTTCTATCCAAGAGAATTCGGTACTTCGCATTCACAGCACCCGTCCCAACCCTATGCTTGCCCCAGGCGATATTCACATCCTGCCCTGCGGCAGATTACGTCTGCAAGTTGTCCCGCCCATGAACTAATAATCCAAGCTTCCGACCCTTTGTCGGCACTCCTCTCTACTAAATGTTGCTGCGGCGTACAGGTCGAACATTTGATGCATCTAGAGCACATGGATGCAATGCTCACCGTGCTTTTGCATGACTTGAAGGAACTTGATGATGACCTTGGAGGAAGGGCGGATGAGGACTTGCCTCTTACCCTTCCTCTCTGCATTGACAATGCTGTTCAAGCAGTCGTTCAGGACTGAGACGCGAGTCATTTTGGCTGATCTGGGAGGAGTCAGCGTCCAACAGGTGTTAGTCTCGGAGTTGGGAATGAGCAGAAGGCCATCAAGTGATGTCTGCTCACAGTGCTGGTAAGTCAAAGCCGATGAAAGATTGACTGAGACGCGCCACAGCAGGTACACAGAAGGACAATGAGAAGGATTATAAGCCTCTTGTCCCGTTTCTCTGTGTTCTGACTGAGCTTTTGAGCAGGAGTGCACGCAGCTGTTACCTACCTTGTTAATGAGCTTGTTGCTACCTGCCAAGCGACCGTGGCTCGAGAAACGCTGACTTGGAAGAAGTAGGATTCATGGTGGAACGCGTGAGCTGATTGGAGTCCGGCACAGCGACAGAGGGCTGAATAATTCTCACCCGCAGCAACTCGTTCGTTCCGCCCACCGCCAACGCCACCGCCGCCTCTGCCAATCGCAGCGACACGCACCAAAGTCCTTCAACACCTCACCGTTAATGATCCCCAAACGTAGCTCAGGAAGTAGCGTAGCATCGCAGCAGCATTGTCACAGCCGCAGCTAGCCTATACTCGCCAAGATGGGTCGTGTTCGTACCAAGACTACCAAGCGCGCAGCGCGTGTGCTTATCGAGAAGTACTACCCGCGCCTCAACGCGCTCGACTTCCACACCAACAAGAAGGTCATCGATGAGGTTGCCATCATTCCTTCCAAGAGGCTGAGGAACAAGATTGCAGGCTTCACCACCCACTTGATGAAGCGTATTCAGAAGGGACCGGTGCGCGGCATTTCTTTCAAGCTGCAGGAGGAGGAGAGGGAGCGCAAGGTGAGCTTCGACAAGAATCGTGTCTCGGTTCGGTGTTGGTGGAAGGGCATGCCTTCAGAGGAAGAACGCAAAAACCTGTGATTTACGCACAGTGTTCGAGCATCATCCTGTAAAATGCCTGTTCCAGCTGCAGATATTGGACGAACATAGGCGACGGTGGACTAGAGGGACATATGAGCCATCTAGATGTCTCGCAAGCCCGACAACTTGGGGTGGGCATGGAATGAGACTTGAGGACACCAGGGGGCGCATTGCCCGCCATTTGCCTGCATTTCCTGTATTAGAATGGCTAGGGTTGGAGAGGACCATACATAGGCAGGTTTGAACGTAAAACTGACATGCATGGTCTATGTCAACCACAGGACCAATACGTCCCAGAGGTCTCCGCACTCGACACACAAGCACAGGGCGGTCTCGAGGTCGACCCGGACACCAAGGACATGCTCAAGTCGATTGGCTTTGACTCCCTCCCCGTCACTGTCAGCCAACCCGTCACCGCCTACCAACAGGAGAGGCGGGGCCGGAACGTTGTCGGTGCTGGCCGGCGCTAAGCGCTTCCTGGCGGTCGCTCTTGTGGACATGGTTTGCTATGCCATCGATGCAAGCCTTTGATCCCGACACATGGACACGAGCGTCAGTCTCAAGGGATGTAAGAGGCTGGACGCATCTCTCATGCCATGCTGCCGAAGAGAATCCGGCATGGAGGAGTGATTGCGATGCGACGAGCGAGGCCGAGTGCTTCTCATACGCATCAAAAGCTGGCGGATCCCAGTCGATGCCGGCATAAAGCACGGCCTCGGGAGCTGATGTCAAGACTCGCAGCATATATGCCACTCGGGTGTATTGTACTATGAACAAGGCTTCTTTTGCTCATCTTCTGAGAATGTCTTTGATGCCGAATAGTTTGGATTCAAGTTTGCACATGAAAGGAGGTACAACAGCCATCTTTCAACGAAACAGCTCTGTATGAGAAGCCTGTTCTGCGATGACCAGATCAATGCTGTCTCCAAAATACGACGGTTCCTCGTCGTTGAGAGCAGTAACTGCTTGTTGGAAACTTGAAGTGTCTCCCAAAACATGACAAACGTAGCCGGCGGGAGCGATGAAAGCACGGTCTGGGGGCGGCTCTGGCTGCCATCAGCGACGGACATAGAATTCGCACATGAATGGTTCTGTTTTGGCTCACCGCTATAATCCTCCAGCCCCCTACCGGTGCGAATGTCGATCCCGGCTGGCACAGCAGGCCATTTTCCAGACGCTCTGACGAGTGCTTCTCGCATACGCTCCAACAGCGGCCTAATGCGCTGGTCGCCGCTGGCAGCATAGTAGTGCGCAAGCCGCCACGGAGTGCGGCACGCGTTCCAGGACATCTGCCCGTCTCCTTTTTCGCTCTCAAGTAGCTTGCCGTGCGGAACTTCCCACTGATTGGTACGCAAGTTGAAGACCAGAAAGTCTGGGAGCAGCAAGACGCCGCGATGCAGCTGGCTCAGTGCAGCGGACAGAGTCGATTCAATGACCCATTGCCAGCGAGAGCGCTCGCCAGCGTCTGAAAGGCGTCAGAGCGTCAGAACGCGAAAAAAACGGTGAAATTTCAGCGTTTTCAGTGAGATCTTACCCGCTACGACGCGATGGAAGAGGAGAAACGAGCTCAGGATGAAATCGCTTGTTCGAGTGCTGTTGTACAGTTTGACATTCTCTGCTCCATCTTCGTTGCTGCGTTAAGGAACGCCGGTCCTAAGCGATGCGTCAGCCCATCCCCGGCAACCGCTCATGTTCTTTCATACCACTCACGCCCAGTCACCAAGCAAAGGAGTGCCTAGTCTCGGGTGAATCTCGTACCGTAGAATCGCGCTAGCAAGTCGGTTGCCTTCGGTCCAATATGCCGAATTAGAAAACACGGGGGAGTCTGCGAAGACTTTACCTGCCAGAAAGAGGGCGGTGGCGACGTCGATATCTGGGACAAACAGAAAGGCGAGAGGGTCGAAGGAATCAACATGTGTGAGCTGGGTGGGACTGCGATCTGAGAAACCGGCAGGAATGATGGTAATCACCTCCATCGGTCGCGCTTGTCTGCCCATCGTCGTCGCAGTAGATGCCGCGATGAGAGTCCTGTTTGACCTGCCATTTCATCAGACTATGGTCGTTTCTAAAAGCCAGAAAGAAGCGCAATAGCCTGTGAAAGCCTCAAAGGATAGCAAGAGTCAGTATATACATGCACCCGTATATGGATTGCGACTGACTGGTCGAAATCGGGCTGGCTATTGCGGAGTAGAGAAAGGCCATCCTCAGCGGTCAGGTCTTCTTGCTGGCCTCTCAGCAGATCAGCATCAGCTCACTTCCTATGCATGACAGAGATGAGCATTGCGTACCCTAGGCCGCAGCATGAGGAAAGGAGGACGAAGCAGGATCGAGAATGGTTAATCCTTCAACGTGTTCTTGGGACTTTGGGAGGCTGCAGACAACCGGCTGTGTACACACCATGCGCTTCCGAGCATGTGATTGCATTTCCATTATCACCCTGAGAAGGTTTCAAAAATAGCATCAAGACAGAGCAACCGTGATGGAGAGCGATGTGAGCGCATAGAGGCTATGCCTGCTTGGGATGGGGCGACGCGAAGTTCGCACCTTGCCGTTGTAAAAACAATAGGTACCGTGCTCGCAGGAGCGCAGGTACGTTGCCCGCCATTGAACGTACCTCTGCTCCATTGTGCTTGCTTGAGAGCATGAACGCCGCTTCTTGTCCAGTATGGACATGCTTCATGACAACAGTACGGGGAACACCATCATTATAGGCGAGAACTGTCAGCTGCGGATTGGGCTGCTTGTGCGGGCGTGTTGTGCGGCGAGTGTCGACGTGCGTCACACGGATGTACGCCGTAGGCACTCTGGGTCTGTGGACAGGCGGCGTACTTAGGAAAAATGCTGGTCACGTGCGCTGACAAATGGCGGTGCTGGCGGACGCTGACGGCTGTTTGTCGCCTTCTCCGAGCTCCGGCGTCCGACGACTGGCAAGTGCCCAAGAGCGCCTCTCCGGCGCTCTCCGCATCTCTAGGCTTGTCACACACTCTCCTCCCCTTCCCTTCGCTCGAGGTGCGCAACACCTCTCCTCCCGTGGTATACATTCTTACGTTATTACTCCATCTGCGCCTTCTCACACAGAGGACCCCAGCATATAGCAAAGACAAATTCTACACACGCACGCATATACGCTGCAGAGATGTCGATGCTCGCATCACCACTCAAGCCCTCGGTCGCCGGTCCGTCCAAGTTGGCTGCGGCGGCTGCTCGCCGCTTTGCCACTTCTAGCCCCGCGCGCCTTGCGACTCCAGTCAACGCCAAGCTTCAGCACTTGAAAGAGTTCAAGATCTATCGATGGGTGCGTGACAATAAAAATTTATGCTGAGGCAGAATGCAGGACGTAGAGGCGACTGGACCTGGAACTGAGGCGCTTTTTGCTCACAGAACCCGGACAAGCCGGCTGAGAAGCCGCGTCTGCAGACCTACACGCTCGACCTTAACGCCTGTGGGCCCATGGTCCTTGATGCGCTCATCAAGATCAAGAACGAACACGATCCCACTCTCACCTTCCGGCGCTCGTGCCGGGAGGGTATCTGCGGAAGCTGCGCCATGAACATTGATGGTGTCAATACCCTCGCATGCCTGTGCCGCATTGAGAAGAAGGGTGACACTAAGATTTATCCACTGCCACACAGTGAGTGTTCACTTCAGCTGTGGCACGTCGAAGGATGCCAGAGCTCATCTCTTTTAATTCTTCACGCTTCTACAGTGCACATCGTCAAGGACCTCGTTCCAGACTTGACCCAGTTCTACAAGCAATACAAGTCGATTGAGCCATACCTCAAGAGCAAGAACCCGCCCGAGAAGGGTGAGCACCTTCAGTCACAGGAGGATAGGCGCAAGCTGGACGGTCTGTATGAGTGCATTCTCTGTGCAAGCTGCCAAGGGTCTTGCCCTTCGTACTGGTGGAACTCGGACGAATACCTCGGTCCTGCGGTGCTCATGCAGGCTTACCGGTGGATGGCGGACTCGCGCGACTCGTATGGTGACGAGCGTCGCGAGAAGCTCGAAAACACTTTCTCGCTCTACCGTTGCCACACCATCTTCAACTGCACACGCACATGCCCTAAGGGTCTGAACCCGGCGAAGGCTATCGCTCAGGTGAGATGTGCCTGGCCTCTCCCATTGTGGCCCTATGGCTCGTGAGAACGGAATCTTAAACTTTTTTTTTTCATCCCGATATTTAGATCAAGAAGGATTTGGCTGTCGGACCCCCTGCAATCAGCAAGAGGCCCGTTATTGCTGAAGCATAGAACACGCTTTCTCTCATTGAAAGACAGGCATGGACGACAGCGCATGTTTCCACTTGCATCATTTTGGTGCTGACCGCATGTAGCAATCGCACATTTGGCAGGCAATACATGCACTGCATAGGCATTGACGCTTTATATGTGAAAACTTTTGGTCCTTGAAAGCTTTTCATGCATCCTGGATCGGAACTCACGGGAGCGGTGAGCATGCTTGATCATCGCGAATCATGCAGCTCATAGTGCGCCGTGCGCGAACGCTTTTTGTGCTGCTTTGACACAATACAGTTGTCGAATTGCGAAACCGGCTCACATTCCTCCTCCGGCTCACTGTCTCTCACCGGGCGGATCGTGCCCAGATAGGCGTTGAGCTCTTGAGGCATTGCAATGCCTCGAACCGCCTGTCCATCTGTATATACTAGTGGATGAGCGGTGGAGAACAGCTGGAGGTAGCCAAAGCTCAGCAGCAGTTTGAGCAACTGTGCGAGCATGGGACTCGAAATTCAAGTGTGCCACGTCCCATGAACGACAAGGGCATGAACCAGCGTGTATACCAAACATCTTCAAGGGCGGCCACAAAATCTCGTCGTTCCAATGCCTCGTCGGACATGGCCATACAATGCCTTTGCTTCTCCGTCTCGATTTCGATGCTTCACCGTCAAGAAGACAAACAGGTCGCGTTTGGCACGGCAGATTATCGTGTAAGGTGGCTCATGAATACCGTTATCATTAAATAAACATTGCCTAGGGCGGTACCGGGTGGAGCATCTGAACCGCCTTTGGTCGGGTATCCAAAAACAGACGGGTCACCTTGGTCATCTCTACGAATTTTGATGCCAAGACAAGTCCCATCATGGTGAATGTAGAAGAGGCTTCTGTGCCATTTCTTCCGATTGCAAGCTAGGCCAAGGCAACCTGCTCGTTTGCGGCGTCCAACACGAATGGTTGCGTTCGATTCTCCGCACACGACCTTCGAGAGAACAATCCAAACGTAATATCGCCCGACAGAAAAGTCACGTGGGCCAGAGGGTCTGCAATCGTGCGTAGCTCCTCCGCTTCGCTCCGTCGCAATTAGGCGAAGCCGACCTGCTTGTTTGCAACGTCGAAGACAACTTCTCCTGAACTCAAGAACAGAGGGTCTCCAATAATCCAGCCGGCCGAACCGATGTCGGCACCGACGATGGAGAGCACACAATTCCCGTTGTCGTCCGTGCCGTACGCGGTGTACTTGCCTAGGCGGATAGAGGCGCCGGAGAAGGTAAAGATGACGCTGGGCGGTTTGCTGCAGTCATATGTTGCAGTCAGCTGGCCGGAGCTGGAAGACGACTGGAGGCCGAGCGAGTCGAAGAGGCTCTGCGCCTCGTTGGTTGGGGCGACGATCAGGGTTGTACCAGAGTCGATGATACCATTGATACTCTTTCCGTTGATGGCGCCGGAAATAGACCAGTAGGCTGCATGGGTGACCGGGGTGAAATTAACTTTTGAGTCGGTCTGACCGAGCGTGAGGGTCGAGTCGCCTGTGCTCAGGCGAAAGATGAATGCATGCTCGTCGAGAACGCCAGCGTCTAAAGGATGAGAAATAATAGGTAGGATATCAGCAAGGATATTCTCGAGCGAGAAAGTGACGGAGGCAACGCACTGATAAGCGAGTAGAAGAGCGGCGTCCTTTGCTGGAAGGAAGCCAAGCTGGGGAAGCCCTAAAGCGAGCAAGGAGCCAAATCAATCTCAAACGCGCGCAGAAACAAATGTGAGACAGGGACCTCACCATGCCGGCGATACCCTGGTCAGGGTCGCTAACGAACTGCTGAGTGGCGAGACCAATGGTAGCTCCATCCGCATTGAGGCCGCCAATGCTGAGGATGTCGGTGTAAACCTCTCCACTAGCGGTGGTCCCATCGCCTTGTGAGAGGGAGAAATGCCCATCAGCACGGACGCCCAAACCTCGCATAGTAAGAGGTAAGGGAAGGAAAAGATGCTCACCGTAAGAGTCGTGGAAAGTGGTCCCAGTGTTCCGAGCGGAAGAGCCCGGGCTGTATGCACCAGCATTGCAAATGGTGCCGGCCGAACCGGTGTCAAAGTCGAATTGGATGGACTGGCCGCCAAAGCTGGCAGCACCGACCCAGAGCTCCTGGTTGCTGACATCCTGTAGGCTTACCGCGCCCGAGCCACGGGCGGCGTGCTCAGAGCGCCTGTCGAACGGGTGGGCTTCGCCCTGGTTGTTGCGCTTGTAGTTCTCCAGGGACTTATGATATTTGTACTTTAGGTAAGCGATCTCCTTGTGCAGACCTGGGTAGTTGACCCTGCCGTGGCGGTCCTTGATGCGGGAAAGGAAGCCACGCTTGGAGAGCGAGACCTCGATGCTGCTGGTCTTCCTGACCGGGGCGGAGATGACGCTCGCGGCGAGGGCCGCAGCGAGAACAGCGGAAGTGAGCTGCATGTGGGTAACTTCGTTACATAGAAGGCGATGAATGAGAAAATATGCGGGTGACGACGAGGGGCAAGCCTGATCCAGTCAGGCTGACAGGATTGGAGAAAGTGAGTTCAGGATGAACTCCAACCTCGAGAGTGTACTATATATGCGTTTGCTGTCGCAAGCGACACGGGGCATGTAGCAGCATCCCATCGCCGCACCGCGCCATCGCCCGTCTTAACTCGAAGGCGTACATACCTGTAGCTGTTACGATGAATGACGATCGCATCATCATCAATTCTCGATCATCATCCAAGGCGCTCTAATCCCCAAAAAGTCGAAATCCCACGGGGTTCACACATATCGCACTCGTAGCACCGGATATTGGAATATGAAAGTAATTCCCTTGGTGCAAAGCGCCATGAGGGATCCACATTGTTCCATTTTGCAGGAGCCGCCGAGTTCGGTGTGGCGACGGGCATTGCCTCAGTATGAGGCATTCTTTGTTGCTGGTGTAGCCAGAGAGAAGGAAGGAAGGCAATCATGCTTTGTAGCAGTGTGCAGCCCGGCTAAACGTTTGCCGGTTGCCCTCCAATGATGTATGTAGCAACGTCGACGTTTTGTTGCCGTCGCGTGCTGCCAGAAGTGAATGTTACTGAATCGGTTGCAAGATTGAATGCAGGCATTTTAAAAACTCGTGAGTACCTGACATCTGAAGGGAATTCAGTCTAGCAGAGTCTAGCTGCGAGAAAGAACCGAAAGTCCACTAGTACCAGGATGTATGTATGATATGTAACGATTGTCGAATTCACGGCCAAAGGATGTGGATGTTGCGACCCGCGACCCGCGATTGGAAAGAGCGAGTTGGTCATCTGCAACCTTTACGTGTAGTTCCAGGCTGCTCCGGGGAGAGTGTGCTCGAAACCAGGCCTGTCTGAGATTAGAGGCCGACCCGGCGGGCTGGCGGGCCAGGGCTCCAACTTCCAGGGACAAGTACAGACCAAGTGCGGTCCAGGCCGCGGCGGACGTAGATGCCGAATTGGCAATAAAATAAAAAGCGCCGCGAGCCACGGGATGCGGATATATATCGAGTGGGCTTCGATACTCCACAGCTGTCGGCTTTCGGAGATGCCGAAGGCGAGGAACTGAACAGGAGCATTGCGGATTGCCGCACTGCTCCGCCAGGCCAACGCCAGTAAAGCATGAATGTAAAGTGACACGTCCACACTTCGACTTATTTGGACGCGTACCTGACGCACACCCACACACTAACGAGGAGACCTCGGAATCCGCAATAGTAAGCAGTTCTTTGGGAACACCTTCATGTCGCAAACACCGATGTGACAGAAGTTATCGACTCGTGATGCTTCTCAACAAGTTGGATATGAACGCTAACATTTAGCTTTCAGCTCTTCATCCGCCCTCTCCAGCGTTCACGGTGAACACGCTAGCAGCTGGCTACAGCAGGCTACCGTAGTGCTACCGCATGACAGCACGTGCCTCAAGCCAAGTACCCCGTCTGGACGAAAATACGAGGCTGTGGACTTGCGCTCGGGGGCCTCAGACCTTCCCTATACATGCAGATGCAGTCTAAGTCAGGCGACAGCATGCAGTGTGCATTTAAACTATTCATTTCACTTGGGAAGCCAAGCCATGTGCCATGTATCATGCGACCCGGGCATCGGGTGGCTCACCGCCGGCTGGGAACCTACATGTAGCTGGCACCTAGGGAAGGCGGGCAACTAGGAAAGCGACTGGAAAAAGTGCGTGTGTGTACGAAAGCTCAATTAAATGCTGTTTTTCATGTATAGATTGTCTGCAATTGGGTAGAACAGCAGAACTGATAGATCCAATAATAAGGTCTGGGGCTGAGGGGAACTCTAGATCCTGGCCAGGTACACCTTGGTGCGGGTGGATCCTGGCAGGCCTATGTGCTATGATCTACATATGTTCATGTTGCACGCTGCGTGCCGCGTGGTTCAACAGCTGCCCAACGTAGGCTCCTGAATACATCAGCGAGTGGCCGCGGAACCAAAAAGCGGGCTAGCCTCGCGACGGATTTCGCTGCAGGCTGCATGGTTCACCCGCACCAACCCCGGGAGAAGCGCTGCCGCTTCCTGCTTCCACTGAAGGTACCAGCCCCCCTCAACTGCCCTGCCACCGCCAGGCCTAGTCTTACGCCTTTATGTATTGCCCTCGTTAAGTAGTCACACATCATGCCAACGGGCACAGGCCAGACCGACCCTTTCATCACACCTCATACCTTACATGCCCTGATGCCGACAGTCTGTGACACTCTTTCGCGGGACCGAATCAAATTGATCGTTGCACAATTTCTGGCACGCTTGCGATATGGACAATGTGATAGTGCTCAGGAACATGTTCGTGATGCCTTGATGCGCTACTATGTCGGGTGCATCTAGTATTAGCGAGAACGGATGATCGACGAGCGTGGTAATGAGGTCAATGTGCGTTGTGACTGGTGATGCTCGGTGGAGTTGAAGCTCTGAGTGGTGCGCTGCGTGGTAGAGCAGGACCTGACGTGCTGCAGACTGGAGGCGGCTTCTGAGATGATGATGAGCCGCGTGCGGCCAGAGATGTATATCCTCAAGGCTGTTGGCCTCCAACCGCGGTCGCACGTCGGGCGCCAAGTTCAAGACCGAAGTACCGAGCATACTGAGTACAGAGGTCCGAGCGATGGACAGCAATGACTGGCGCCCGACGTGATGCATCCCCTTCTACGTCGCGCGAGCCCAGATTGCGAATCTCGAGAGCGAAGGGCATGCCTTCCAGACCTGTAGCGTCTCCTGGCTTCAGCTTTACCGTCCTTGATGTATGATGGCGTTGGCCGACGCAACGGGATGGGCATGCCTGTCGGGCAATATGGTCTGTCGCCTGAGTGAGGCGGTCGAAGTGCTGACTCTTGCAAAAGCACACCAAAAACTGAATGTCGGTCAACAGTCTCATTCCGAATTCCGCTGTCGAGATTTTGATATGATGAATCTCTCGCGCTTGTGGGCTGTAGCTGGGCTGCCTGCGACTCGTACCCCGAAGGTCAAATGCCGTTGCGGGTTGCGAGCTTGCGAAGTTGTTGATTTGGAGCCTTGTAATGCTGGGTATGCAACAGTGGTGGCTCACGAGCGACTGAGGAGCACAAAGCCGAGGAGGTCAGCTATTCGGCCATAAGTGTCAGTGCCAGTGACCGTTACTGCTTTGCTGTACGCTGAGCGCTCGCAATCAACAAGCAAGCATGTCTGTCAATGGGGACTTCCGCCTTAAGAGCTATTGGGATGGGCGATACGAGACGGAAGGACCAGAAGGGCAATTTGATTGGTTCAAGAGTGTGAGTTATGGTGTACATCCGCGCGCTAGTATGTATCTCCAATCTTATGCTGAAACGATCTTGGTGTTCGGCCGCGAAGTATGAGCAATTAAAGTGCGTCTCGGCGGTTGCTCCTGTTATCTTTTGTACGCAGTATGTTGGCTCATCTCTCCGAGCATTTATTGGCAAAGGTCAATCATCCATGAGCTCATCCCTTTCAAAAGCGCGCGAGTGCTGATGCTAGGATGTGGCAATTCGAGTGAGAAGATGCAAGTGCATGCGTATCCTTGGACTAGAGTCTCACCGTCTCCTTTTTGCTCGTGTACAACTGGTACGTTGTGCTACAGCAATGAGTGCTGACATGGCAGAAGACGACTACTTAAATGTCATAAGTAAGTGGCTTGTGATGTACTCGAGCCGAGAATCTTGCTCACTTGATCGCGATCGCTGACGAGTGCACATCGGCGGCAGACATCGACTTCTCCCAAGTCCTAATCAATCAAATGCAAAGCAAGCATCCCCACCTCGAATGGCATGTCATGGACGTGCGCGAGCTTAAGGAGAATGCAGAGTTGCTCGGTGGGGCAGCATCATATGATGCAATCATCGACAAAGGTGTGCTCTGAGCTGCTCACCCTGTAGTGGTGTGTTAAGGGTCACTGCTTACCCTTGCCTGACCTTTGTTGCAGGTACACTTGACGCCCTGATGGCCGAGACTGGCGGCAGCATATGGGACCCCAGTCAAGAAGTACGGGAGAACGTGGAGCGAGAAGTCGAAGGTGTAATACAGTGAGCGATTCCGTCTGAGGCTCCCAGGTGACAGCGCTTAGCAGCTAAAGCCTATCTTCAGCCTACTCAAACCAGGGGGCCACTTCATCTACTTGACATTCGGACAGCCGCAGTTCCGGCTCAAGTACCTACAGCGGCCAGAGCGGTGGTCCTTCGAGACTCGCGAAGTGGGCGAGGAGGCGACGTTCGGGTACTTTTTGTACATCGGTACAAAGCTCGATGAAATTCATCCATAAGATGGGAAGATTGGCGTCTGACCGTTCGAAACAGATATCTTGCGGGTACGAAATACAAACGGGGTAAACACGGTTTAATGGAACGAAAGCTGTGGGAAAGGCAAAGAATCCAAATTTGCTCTTGACGCTAGGCATGTCATGCTGAACAGCTGTTCAGTATTTTGGAGGAGGGTAGTAGCCATGTTGCGGTGGGCCACCATAGGGGCCTTGTGGCCCGCCAAAGCCTCCTGCACCTGCCGGGGCTGGTTGATATTGCCCATGCGCGTCTGTTTGCCACTATGATTTACGATAGGAGAGGTGGGACCGTACAGATGCGTCAGCTTCCGGTAAGGGCGCGTCGGAATGCCCAAAGGCCAGGGACAAGGACTAACCTGGCAGATACCGCAGATGAAGATTTCCCTTGACTTCATGGGAATGAGTGGGATCCAGCAGACCTCAAGCCAGGTGCGGGACTTGGCTCTGACAACTTGTGCGTTGTGACATTTCGGGCTGCAAAATTGCAAAGACCGCAAGTCAGAGATGAGTCCTTTTAACGAATTGCTCGTACTGAGCGATGTTGAACTCACCAGATATGTGGTTGCGTGTCCGTCTGCTTAATCTGTGGGCGGATCACGCGAGTAGGGCATTCGAATATCAGCCTTGCCCTTCTGGGGTGGCCCAATGGCCATGCTCGCCCATTCTCACCTTGGCCGGACAGCCGAAGATGATGGGGATGACTGGGGATATGTAGTGCACATTCGCACACATGCATCAGCAAAAAGTGGCTCACATCGCTCCGGGTCCATCACCATGGCGCACAGCACGCAGCAGCCAGCGCACTCACAAAAGCAGAAATCCATCATGATCGGTCAAGAGTGGCCAGGTCACAGTGTGAGAGATTCAGGTCGTTTAGCGCGCAAGCAGATGCTGACGAGCGAAATGAAAGTGCAACTGCGCGAATCAAACGGTAGCCACGCTGAAGGGGAAAGAATACCTCGAGGCTATTAGCAGTCGTCGCCAGTGATATGAAGCGCTGCGAGCGATATATTGTAAACTCAATGAAAATGCAGCTGAGAGTGTCTTTCTGAGCAGCGGCTAGCACTCAAGTGGGAGTGACGAGGGAGACGATGGTGGCTGGGATTGTCGTGTGCAAAAGCAACAAGAGGCTCGGCATGCGGAGTGGTGTGAAGGCGTGGCCTGCCAGGATGACTGCAGCAGTACTGGCGTGCGGCCCACAGTGACGCGCCAAGGGGGAGCAGGCTGTGTGACGTAATATGGCATAGCCGCTTATTAGCAATGCACCACAATTTGCCGATTTAGATATCCCCTCTCTGCACTCTGCTCCACAGTCGGCCCATCGGCTGTGACCTGCGACATCGCACAAGAGCCCTTGTCATCTCAGTCCTGGAGCATGCGAGTAAGGATTATGGAGGAAAATACAACAAGTACGCAAGGCATGCTGGGGGCATGTGTTGCTTGTGACAAAGCGCAATTCGGAGCTTGCGGACCGGCAAGGTCACTGCTTGACCCGAAGTAACTCTTTGGGTATCTGCGATGTGACGGAAGAGCTCGGCATGAAGATGGAGCGAGCGGGACGATGATGGCCGGTGTGGCCATGCGATGCTTGCTTGCTATGCTGCTGATGAAGAGACGGCGACGCGGTGGGAATGGCTGGCTCAGATGTCACTTTTGGTGATCGATGCAGAGAATCTGATGTGGATGCTGCTGCGGGTATGCCTCCGGACGTGCCGTGAGTAGGCGCCATGCTTGAGCTATCGTTGGATACCGGTATCAGCCGTGCTTTGAGGGAACCCAGCGACCTGAGCTGTGGAGCTGATGTGACAGAGGTAGCGGATGGCGCACTCGGTCGCATTTGATCCATAGAAGAACCCTCCTGTGACCCGTAGTCCCCTTGCACAGCGTCGGCTCGCGGCGAAATTTCTTCAACAATCATCCTTTTGCTTTGGCCACCACTCGTTCCAACTCCCTCAGAGACCGACAGAACCCGCTTGTTCGTCAATGTCACCACGCTGGCACATGGCTCTAGTCGTCTTCGCTTGTCCGGACGTCGTCGGAATGATGAGCTGCCGCTCGAGAAAAGGTCAATCGATTGCATCTTCTCTCGCACGCTTCGAGGTGACTGAGCTCCGCTCATGTTCACAGGCGAAGGAGATTCCGCACCGGAAGGCCACTCAGCATCGGTGACGCCTTGCGTTCCGGGTGACGGCGAGGCTGGATTGCTCCTCGGCTGCCCTTCCTTCACAACGTCAGGGGCGCGCCTTTTGGTCACGGTGACAACGCTCGCAATTGACTTGGGTTGCGAGCTCCGCTTGAATGTCGACCCGCCGCCTAGTGAGGAGCCGCCACCGAAGAAGTTGATTGGTCCTCCCCCTGGTTGCGTCCTCAGACGGAACGTCATTCCCTCGACCGACGATCGTATTAGAGAAGTGGGGGATGAATCTCCAGTGGCAGCCAGGGGAGGTGATGACATGGTTTTTGCATTGCTCTGTGGCGGTCTATGAGCGGGTGTCGCTGTTGGAGGTCTGGAAGGTGGGACTGACGATGAAGATGGCGGAGAAGGTATGGTTGCATACGCGCCAGGAATGGGTCCGTTCTTACGCCGAGCTGCCGTTCTCGAGGCGGATTCGGCCTCGGCCACCCATTTTTCCATGAAGGTAGCAGGTGCCGTCGGGCTCGTGGACAGCACGACACGCTTTGACGCATTTTTAGGGGCCTTTATCGTCATACCTCTGGCACGATTAATCAATTTGGAGCCCTTCGTCTGGGTCAGCGGCGCGTTTGGTTGTCGTCGTGCAAAAATCTTGCCAACCAGCTGGTCTGTGATGACGGCCCGGATGGCTTGCTTCTGGGCACTCAAAGTCGCGTAGCGTTCCTTGGTGCGTGAGCCAATCTCCGCCAGAAATTCTTCGCGGTCTGCCACTTTTTCCTGAAGATAAAAATGACCGTGCTTGAGTTAGCCCTTCGCCTTTGATGCAATTGGTCTTGACTCCACAAGTGCACCCACGAAGTACAGCGCGCGCCAGCCATCTGGCTTGTCAAAGTCGCCAGCTTCAACGGCTTTTCGCACTTTTGGGAATTCTTGCAGAACATGCCGCCTCCAGATATCTGTGATGCGCGCGCGTCGCGGGAACTGTCAGCCAGCGGTGTACACCACCATATCAATCATATGATCAGACTCACATTCTGTCTTCGGCATGAAATGCTGCAAATTTGGTGCATTTCGCTTCAGCATCTTTCACTAGAGACCAAAAGTAAATAATATTCACAGGACTCTTTTGTTCCATGTCCATGAGTTGCATGGGTTTCATCTGCTCCAGCATGTCTTTCGCCAGGCGGAACGGCATGGTGCCAAGGTCGACCACATCTGTCGAGAAGGGTACACGATGTGAGCTCAGAAACAAGTGGTGATACGAATAGCATCGTGGGAACAAAGCCGCCCAGTCGTACTGACTTGCCACATTTCTGAACAAAACTGTAGGAACCATCGAAGCTCGATGTCAGCGAATAGCTGGCTGGTGATAGGTTCTGGAGAATTGACTCACTTCGCTTACACAGGCTTTGCAGCGACTCGGGCGGCGTCTTTTTCTTCGCTCGTAAAAATTCACCAATGGCAATGGCCGATGCACTTTCAGGTGCCTCAGTCGCACCACTATCGGGAGGCCGAGCCGGGACGTCTGAGTCCACGAGTTGGACGGTCGCGTCGGGCGGCTGCTCGTCTTGGCGCGTCCACCCGCCGCCCATCATGGACGGCGGCTCGGGCGAGCGGCGCCAGTCCTTCATGCTCGTCCGGACTCCCTAAATGTTCATGCAGCTCACCGTGCATGTGGCATCTCGAAGGGGCAACTCAGAGCGGAGTCAATGGCCCCGGTCGTTCAAGTTGCAGCTCGCAAGCGGTCTTAGGTTGCAGTCACCTTGCAGCCTGGGCATTGTTGCCAATTAAAGAGCGGAAAAAAGAACTAGTCTGTTGTCAGCGCGGAACGTGTTGTGTCCCAAATTCGCATCGGCAATTTTGAATCTGTCGGGCGAATAGAAGACGCCGAGCGGCTTGAGACTCCTGAAGCGCCAGTGGCTCGGCCCTTCACCCGGGGCTCAGCTAACAGGGCATCGGCACACCGTGCGTCGTTGCTCGACACCTGTGTCCTTCACTCCTTTCTATGTATTCGCCGAGCAAAGGCTGAGGGCTTTCGAGCGTAGCGCCGCTTAATAATGCCAGCCCGCCGTAGGAAAGGTATCCTCTGGTAGATCTGGAAAGCTGTTAAGATTTGTCCGGACCCAGTCAGAGTGATTGCTGTAGATGGTCATGTCTGATTTGGCCATCCGGGACGAAGTGTCACGCGATAGCGTTGCGTCAGGTCAAAGCATTACTGCATTTGCTTTCTAACGCCATCAAAACGCTCCAGTCAGGGACTCTGGTCCGTGCAAGCTCAAGATGGAGACAAACAATGACGGCGGACCCCAAATGGGCATCGACATGCCGCTTTCGCCTTCGCCCTCGCCTCCGCCGGATCCATCGAGTGCTGGCGGTGCGCTGAATGTGCATCTCGCGGGCGAGCAAACTACCAGCGCCGATGGTACGTCAGCACAGCATGCAGCATCGGCTCAAAAGCCACTAGATCCGCGCGAGACCACTCGGAAAGAGCTCGAGAAACGAGTGCGGAAAGTCATCGACCGCTTTTATGAGATCGCGACACGCGCAGCAGACATGCCTGAAGGAAGCGAAGAAGCATTGATGGGCAAGATGTGCATATTTTCCTGAGTTGATTGACCCGACTGGCTGATCACTGATGGAAGCTTCTTCACTTTCACCTTTTGCATGAAACAGACTAGAGGCAATCAGCTCTCTCTCTGACTTGATGGCTATAGCGCCGTCACTTACATTAGAAATACCGCTCGATGTGCTAGAGTGAGGATTGAGTTTACCTGCTCCGTTTCTGCAGGCTCATTTACTTGGTACATACATGTTCATCTGCGCGCAGGTACATCGATGTCGGACGAAATCCTGACCTGCACACACTCGCACTGGTCCGAAGACTTGCAAATGACAATCAGCAAATGCTCGGCCAGAGTATGGCGTTGGGGGTAAGTGCAGTAAACTATTTCACTCTCGGTTCCTTTCATCGGTGTACAAGATCCGTTCTGCAGTAAGGTAGCGCTGACATAGTTCTCGTCACTGTCCTTTCTAAGCATTACCGCGACCAGCTGCAAGCAGCCTTGGCCGTTAACTTTCCCGAATTGGCACAATATGTGGCCGCAGATGCAATTCCGACAAGCCAATTCGTTGGGCAACCTTCCTGACAGCATTTGCTCGAGTCATCCTTGGAGCTCGTCCCAGGTACTCCCAGCAGCCGTAGTATGGAGGTTCCTTCGATACAAAATGCCTCACGACATTTGAATAATACCATTACACGTCCACTGCCAATCAGCACGCTCCATATGCCCCCTTACCCTCTCTCGCGAGGATCAAGGAGAAGGCAGTGCACCCGATCCCCACCACGGCTCCCTGATTGGAGCGTCGCTTGCAGCACGGCTTTGATTCGCGCCTCGAGTATGTGCTCTGAAGCGGTACTCGCTGACACCGCGGAGAGCGATGTCAAAGCCATGCTCGCTCGCAGCGCCCAACCCTGGCACAAGATTGCACTCTAGAGAGACGGTACATATTCCAGCAAGTGAGGGAGCCAGACTGCCCGAGCCCAGACCCCCTGCCGATGCGATGCCGCATGTCGGATGTTGAACTAGCTTGTGTAGTATACATGTAGGCAGGACCGCATCCCCCTTTGGGCTTTTAAGTTGAGAGTGAAGCGAGAAGGACGATTGAGGGCAGGGAAGGCTCTACTGACGGCTTCGTTGCAATGGCACGTCCACTTCAATCCAAATCCAAGGGAATAATGTCCAGCCGCCGGGTTTCTCGCGAACTTGGCCCATCGTGACATTCTGGGCTCTGAAGCAGTCAAACGCCATCGACGCTCGAGCCACCTGAATGTCGCCCTCACGCCATTTTCGCATCCACGTTGAACAGTCACCTCCCCACAGCCATTCTTTTTCCTTCATCGCTTTGCCTGCCCACTGCCCAGGCTCACCCTCGTTGAGAAACTCCGTTCATGCCGGCCTCGTATAAAAACCGGACGACGCTCGCAACATCTTCACTCTATTACATCTGCCAACTATTAGATTTTATATTTCTTCACCCAAACTCACTCCTCAGACCCTCGTTCACAATGGCGGAAGTGAGTGGCAAGTGCGAACAGAATAACATGGTCGAACGGCCCCACTGACATGACATCCCCCTGCATCCCTCATCAACCCATCTATTACTGATAGCAACAACCCCAAGGCGGCGCTCCTCCTCAGGCCGATGGCCAGCAAGACTTGCTGGACAAGGGTATCGAGTTCCTCGAGAACAAATCCGGCCATCTACAGAGCAAGGATACTACCGAGAAGATCAGGTACGCTTCCATGGAGCCTATCATGCATTGTGAATAGGCGATTTTTCTCATGTCTGACATTGCATTCTTGCTCGGACGGCCTCCTGCTTTTTGCACGCGTACAGCGACGGCATTCGCAACGTCTTCAAGAAGGTCACTGGCAAGGACATCCCTATCCAGGACAAGCAGTAATTGTACTCCCACGCCTCATGCTGCCTGCTCTCGGATGATACCCTGCTACTTCTAGCGGAGTCTGTGGTTATGTACCTTACGAATGATTCAATTCAAGTAAATGAAACCAACTTTGCTCATCTCCTCGGGCCGGCTGTTACTGAAAGAGCCTCCCGACGAAAGTGTAACATGAATGCAATGCAATTTGCAATATGGACGCAGTGCGAAACGAGATTTTGCATTGCTACGTGTTACTAACATCACAATGTAGCTAGGCTCTACAGTCAAGCGCGGGGATGCGTTCTCCTGCAGACTATTTCACTGATTCATGTACGATGAAGAGTCGATCGTGTCGGGCAGCTCGGGAACGGCCACCTCGAAGCGAGCCTGAATGTCTTGCAGCACCTTTTCGTCATCATCACTGCTGACGAACATAATGGCAAGACCCTTGGTACCGAAGCGACCAGCTCTGTGGAGGGCGTGGACAACAGAATGATCAGTAAAAGAGAAGGCATCGAAGGTGAGAAAAACACTGTCAAAACGAGAACCTACCTTCCCACGCGGTGCAAGTAGCTGTCTGCGTCGGTCGGAGTGTCGTATGAGATGGAGACATTTACCCGCTCGACGTCGATACCTCTTCCGAAGATATCGGTCGCGACAAGAATACGCTTCTCGAAGTTCTTGAATTGCTGGTACCGCTTGATCCGCTCCTCCTGCGGCAGACCGCCGTGAATGCAGATGCTGGGGAAGTTGCACTCCTGCAGGAGCTTGTCCAACTGGTTGGCGCGCGAGATGCTCTTGACAAAGATGATGACCTGGTTGAATTCGAGCGTATCGAGTAGGTCGTTCAGCTTGCGGTTCTTAGCGCCCTCATCGAGGCGGACATAGTGCTGCTGCAGGCCGTGCAATGTGAGTTTTGTCTCGTCGTCGACGTAGATCTCCAGGGGATTCTGCATGAACTTCTTGCACGTCGGACGGATCTCCTTAGCGAGTGTTGCTGAGAACATCATGACCTGCTTGTGGTGTGGAGTAGCCCGGAAGATCTCTTGGACGTCACGGCGCATGTCTGCAAGGCGGCAAGATGGCTGGGCGTGTGAGCTTGCCAGGGCAATTTCATCAGGATGCAAATGCGACACGACTCACCGACAGCCTCAAGCATCTTGTCGCACTCGTCGAGAACAAAGTGCTTAACACCAGTCGCCTTCAACGTCTTGTCTCTGGTGAGAGCGTTCATGCGGCCGGGCGTGCCAACAAGGATGTGCGGGCACTTGGTCTTATCCTTGAGGAGCGCCTGGTCGTCCTTGATGGGTGTACCACCGTACACGACCGAGGTCCTGACGTCGGGCATGTATTTGCTGAACCTAGCGAATTCGTTGCGGATCTGGAAGGCGAGCTCGCGCGTGTGGCACAGCACGATCACGCTCACCTCGCCGTCGACCGGCTCGATCTGCTGCAGTGTCGCCAGGACAAAGACGGCTGTCTTACCCATACCAGACTTGGCCTGGCAGACAACGTCCATGCCGAGGATCGACTGCGGAATACATTCTTGTTGCACTGTATGGACGCAAGGACTCGAGTCAGATACCATGCCAGGATTGAACGCTGACGACATACACACTCACCCTCAGAAGGGTGCTCGAAACCAAGGTCGCTGATCGCTCGCAACAGCTCCGGCTTCAGCAGGAAGTCGCGGAAACCGGTCGAGTGGATGCCGACGTAGGAGCCCTGTAAATGGTTTCAACGGCGGCAAAGTTGTCCGAGGCCACGTACGCGATGCCGGAGAAAGGAAAGAGGAAGGCAAGATGGAGAGGTTCAGAAGAGTGTTCGGAGACGCGAGGGATGGGTGAAGCGGCGGATGGATGGAAAAAGAAGAAAGACAAGAACGTGGCGGGGCATCTCTGGGCGGCATGCGACCTCGTGTAATCGCTGTCGGATGTTAGTAGATCGAGAAAAAGCAGATCGATTGCCTGTCGATCAGCGCAAGGGAATGCGTGCTAGCGCAGGCCCTCGCACCCTTCCTTGCATGTGCACATTGCAGCTCTTGGATGATGCTCGTTCCCCCGAATGAAACAGCTCTTGGCGAGACATCCGTGTGAGTCGACAGGATCGTTCCTGCTGCAACGTTCGCTGCATCTGTCCTCCGAACAGCCGTCGATCCACCTTTGAGGGCGAGATTTTCCTTCCTTCTTATTCAAGCGCTGTTGCTCCAAGACTTTACCCTTGTTGACTTCGAGTCCCCCTTCCTTCCGCAGCCTGTCCGCAGGGAAGCATCTACGCTGATGGGTCCGACGTCGGAGAAAAACTGGCAGCACGAGTGCAGCCTCAGAGACGTCAGGTCTGATTACAGGCGAGGATAGCTGTTGAAGCCCCAGGCCTGTTGAGATCGACGACAGATGTGCAGCATCCGTCGTCGGCCCGGTCGTGGTCATGCCTTGGCCCCATCCGCCATTGGCTGATAAGGAGCAAGAGAGGAAGGAAGAAAGAGAGAGAGAGAGACATAGAGAGAGCCGTTGCCGCCCAGATGCATCGCCCAAGTTCAAGTGTGGAAGAAAAAAGAAAGAGTAGAAAGAGAGGCGGAGGCGATGGAATGAATGCTGACCTTCTTTGCGCCATCTGCGTCTGCTGCACCATCTGCAGCGCCCGTTGCAGCCCCATTGGCGGCGGCGGTGATGGTTGTCGGCGGGGCGACCTCCTCCTCGTAGTCAATAAGACTGAAGCAAGGGAACGGTAGTGAAAATGAGGGCGAGGTCAGTGACAGGGCGAGGATGCAGAGAGGGTACTGGGTCAGGGCCTCGTGGGCATCCACGACGAAGGCCGGAGCCAGACGACGTGACTGACAACGGCGACGATATTTGGACACTCACTCCTCGTTATCCATCTTGTAATAGGAAGAGGTGTGGTAGTATGTTTACAGTCGTAGAGTTGAGGGTTGCTGACCTGGTGGCCCTGGCAATGCTGAAGTTATGGCCTCAGCTCGATGTCGGATGGATGGGATGGGATGGGATGGATGGATGCTGCTGGGAGGATGTGACGAGGTGCAGCTTTGTTGCTTGCTGGATGGAGTGCTGGGGAAGAAAGAGAAGAAACATCCACTGGCGGCACTGCACCAGTCTCCCACCCTGCTGCGCGTCGCTCCCTCCTTCCGCCTGCGGCCGCGCCTTCACACTGCGTGCCTGCACTTTGCTGCGCTGTGTCCCTCTCTCCGCCATCAACTACGCGCGCCACGGTGCGCCGCTGCCGCCGACAAGGGAGACGCGTTTCGCAGCCAACACCAGCTCTTGCTAATACGTATACCCCGTGTACAGCACCCACTATCGCATCCAATGTTGATTGGCATTAGACTGGTACGCTTCTCCATTGTCCTCGACCATCGCCAACGTATGTGCGTCTGATTTCCACACATGAAGAAGTCTTCGAAGCGCACATCTTTGTCTTAGTGCTGAATCACGCGCACCCGTCACCAGGGAAGCGAAGGACGCCGGTTCGTGCGTGCGCACCTGTGCGAGTCGCAGGTCCACTACACCGCGGTCTCGCGCGTCTTTTGACAAAGTTTCGCTTGTCATCATTTGCAATTACAGCTGTACAACCCGCGACCCTCCAACCTCGAACAGGCAACGGACCACAGATGCCAACGATGCCGCCGCATGCAAAAGAGGGTGCTGTTATCAGTACGGCTTCCGAAGGCCTGCAGCCCGTCCGCAGGAAGAGGCGAAGGGGCGTGTGCGGTCGCGGATCCCCAAGCGCAACGGATCACCACGAACAGCATGCGTCCTCACGAACCTCAACCTCATCAACAACAAAAAGCAAGTTGCAGAACGCAGGAAGTCTGTCCGTGACCCGTCGTACAATATCGAGTAGCTCCGCTGATTCCGGATCCGGCTACCAGACTGCCGAAGAGTCCAGGCCAGTGGGCAGCTCTTCCATCGCTGACCAAGCTAGAAATGAACGCCTTGAGGGAAGCACCTCAGAGGGCTCGAATCTCAAAAGCAAGACTAAAGGCAAGGCAATCTTCGGAAAGCCAGTCAAGGGCAAATGCAAGGCTGCCGAGGAGGAGGAGGATACGACCGTTTCACTTGCTCCTCGAAGGAAGCATGCCGCAGCCGAGCTGGATCCAGCTTCCGATCAGGGAACAGCGCAAGGCAGTGATGAAGACAGCAGCGCAAATTACAGGCCGAAGAAACGAAAACGCTCTGGAAACAAGCCAGTACTTTCGGTTGAAACGGCGCCTTTGACCGGCGCTGCTTGTTCGACAGGCAAACGCTCCCCAGTTGCATCGCGCACCCCCAAGGGCACTTCGGTGCCTGGCGGTGCCGAACCTGCTCAAGACAGACTGGTCGATGCGATGCATGATCGCGAGAAAGAGCTGCAGCTGCAAGTGACGGAGCTTCAAGGCTTGATCAAGAAGCATGAGCAAGTGATCCAAGAGCAGACCAACACACTCAACGCGGTTCAGAGTGCATGTACATGCCACATCTGTTTGGATAGCATCTGGCGCCCTTTTGTGTGAGCGAATATCAGCCCCCGTGGCTTATCGGCCATGAGCATTTGCTGACGACCCCTTCCTTACGTGTGTTTCTTCTCCCACCTGGAACAGTCTGGTCCCGTGCGGCCACATCTTCTGCCTCTCCTGCCTTGTGAATTGGTTCCAAAAGCCGGACCATCATGAGGTTTCCATACCTCCGCACTGGAGCGAAGGTCTGCGTCGCGACGAGGAAGAGCGCAGGACGCGGTTGCGTAGAAAGCTGTGTCCAGAGTGCCGCACACACGTCGCGCAGCCCCCGGTCGAGCTGTGGAGCATGAAGCTGGTCATGGACAAGATGCACGCGGGCGCAGAGAGCATGCGCACTGCCGCACGCGGAGAAGGTTTGGCCAATCTGCAGGCCCTTGTCAGTGCCGAGTACGGTTACGAGGCTGGAGAAACGGCGCAGCAAAGGGACGAAAAGCTCGGTTTGACGGCGCGCCTGACGACTGCACAGGGGATGGTGCTCGGCAAGCAGCTTGGTGTTTGGCACAGTGAGTTTTACTCGGGGCTTTGCCTTTTCCCACCTCCAGGCTCTGTTTCCGCCGTTCAGAGCCTTACCGTTACCGTCGAACCCCGCAGACATCTTCCCAGCGCGTGATATCGATCCATCGCGCCCCCGCTTCGATGAGGCGGATCGCGTGTACAGATGCCCAGAGTGCAGTGCGGAGATGCTGGACGGCGAGTGCATTGAATGGTGAGCTAATGTCTGCATAGTAGCAACTTGGCGGACCGAATATCTGATCAGGCCTTTTGCATCGACCAGCGGACACATCTGGGACGATTATGATGAAGAATTGTGGGAAGGTGAAGGTGATGACCTCTACGCGTTGGATCTCACCCGTCTCGGTTATCCGTATCGTGGACACCCCGATTTGGGATACGATAGCTACGATTCTGAGTTCGAAGAGCCGTTGGATGAGGAGGAGGAGTACTGGAGTCATCCTCTGCACACACCGCGACCACCACAAGCACAGCCACCACCAGTGGCCGCCGGAAATGCGCCCGCTCACGCGCCTCATGCGCATCCGTCCTTGTCGGACGATGGGCGGAGGTTCAGAGACGACGAAGCCTACGACTCTGATGCCTTCTACGCCCGCTACGAGGACCGCTCAGCCGACTCGGCCGACGATGGTGACTCAGACGGCAACCTTGCCGGCTTCATCGATGATGAGGATCGTGTTTCGCTCCTTAGCGGCGGCAGTAGCGACGTCGTGACCATGGGCGTGGACGAAGACGACGACGACAACAACAACAACGAAGACTACGGTCGGAATGATGCAGAAGATAGCGATGACGATGTCCATTACACGGGCGAGAATGCGCCGTCTCGCCGAAGAATCATCATCGAGGACTCAAGCGATGTAGATGAGTAGAGCACATGCCTTGCCGCCCGCCTTGTAAGGCAACCTACTGCCATTACCACGTCGCATTCGACAGTGACTCATTGCGGCATGCAATATCAGGCCTATTATCCTGCAATACACAGTGCATTTGGCCTTCAGGCGATTACCGACGCAGTGTGGAATTGCCGTGATTCGTGGCCTTCGATGCAATTGCCTAGCGGTATGACTTCTTTGGTATTGACCGTGCCCAGGTAAGCCTGCACGACATGGAGTCACACTTTGCACTCGTTTGCATCTTGCCCTACCAGCAGAAGACTTGATGGCCAGTGTCGTAGATGAACACATCGTCGCCCCTGAAACTATCCAATTGACCTTTTTTTCTGTCCTTGACAAGTTCGAAGTTCAGCGGGCCACTTTCGTCGGAAAAGACACACGGGTCGGCCAGTCGCGTCTTCAGCCATCGAGCTACTCCCCATTCTGCGCCTCCGCACGGCGGAGTCGGCGGTGCGATCTTGGCGTCGACATCACCGCCTAGCGAATTGAGGGAAAGCACCAAGCGGGGGTCGTCTTGAGCTGCATACTCAAGGGAGCAATCAGTACGCAACGCTTGCTACAGGACCTCGTTATAGTTGAGGCAATGATGTAAACTCACAAAACACCTCGGTCTTTGCTTGGCCTCATGGGGCGGTCTCGTTGACAATGGCCGAGATAGCCTGCGCGGACTTGGCCTTCTCGATGGGGCTGCTCTTCCTTCCCTGCTACGCCGTCAGCTTGCTACCCTCGTCCAGCACCAACACATCGCCTTCATTCAAGGTCTGCGAAGAAGGGTTGACCTCATCGATGACAACCACGCTTCTGCTGCCTCCACCCGAGATGGTGATCTGCAGCAGCCAGAAGATGGGAGTTTCGACCGTCTCACCGTGCTTGAAAGTGCGCACGCCGCCGGAGAGAACTGGCAGGCGCGAAGGAACGCGAGAAAGGCGGCCGACTCTTTCCCTTCCACTTGTCAATACCGCGTGGTTACGGTTCCGAGGACTGTGGGTATGAGAATGGCAAGTGAGATGGTGTCTGGCTGACTTGCAGGAAGAATTGCGAGCCCCCAAACGCTGACATTCGTCCAATTCCACCGTCTTGCACGCTGCTGTCCCAGCCTTGCCTTGTCGTTTTGGCTCCAAGCCAGAAATGCATGTCACGCGAAAGATATTGCTGCTTGGATAAGGCTTGTAAATGCATAAAATAATATACGAATTGCCATCGAAGAATTTCCCGTAAGCCACCTGCAGTACATGCACCACTTCACAATCCTCAATGGACCAAGTCCGCAGAACCGTTTGCGGTGGCGACAGTGGGGTGGCTTGCCATGCGGACTCGGTCGCGGCTGAGGCGCACTTGACTTGGCGATCTATGCCTGTCCCGATCAGTTCCATCTTCGAGTCCTTGACACCTTACATGGAGAATCAGACGGTGACATTGTAGCCAGTTAGCTCTCCGGACCATGCTTGTGATGCTTGAAGGCTCTGCAGACCCCGAACGTAGATTAAATGGCTGGCCATGCCATAGATCTCTGCACTTCCAACAGCGCAAATCGCACTCGCTCGTACGTAGGCAACTGAGTCAGGCCACCGCGTGGGACACGCATCTCTGTGGGGCACGTCGGCTCGATTCAATGAGGCAGGGGACGCCGAAACGATGTGCCTCATCTTGATCAGCCAGTTGGGCGCTAGGACGGTGATAGGACAAACAGCCTCTCCACAAAGGCAAAGGGCGCGTTCGTTCGGCGGTCCACGTCGGCAATACGTATCGTGGGCTCATCCGCAGGCCTGGCGAGGGCAAAAAATGGGAAAAGTGCGGACGCGGACAGCCGAACAAACACAATCATTCGCGGTATCTGACCATCATCGGCGACGACACAGATGCTGGTGGAGTGATTACCTCGTGCACGCGCTCCGGTGGGGTGATGCATGAGAGGCATCAGACGAGTGTCCTCAAGGCGGCGATACGGGTTGCTCAATTCGCTGACCCCACAGTCCTAGTCGCTCGAAGAGAGTGCCTGCCAGGGTCGAGTCGGTGCGTTTGATTCATCCCCTGTTGACTCTATCTAAAAACGACGAGCTCGCAGAGAGGTTTGGCGCCGTGTGCTCTCTATCATGTGGGGATACGCTACAGGAAGGAGGCGTCAGACCTGACCCCTCACGTCTCCATCGGTGCCTCACGCGGCCGGGGAACGAGATCAGTGGGGTCAAAGACAGAAATGTCTCTTGCAGAGCACAGGTTCGCAAGGTCCGGGCGACCCATCCTGTGCCGAGTTGACATGGCAATGTAACAATTAGCAATCAGACGCTTCGTCGTGATGCGGATGTTCAAAAGACAACTCACAATTCCAATGCGACGCGGAACGTCTCCCACAGGCTGGTGCTACCGACGCCAGCCTCCTTGCCATCAGTGGCGGGCTGCAAATGAGCGGATTGCGATGCTTGAATTGAGAGCGCCGAATAGATGTGCTCAGCTGCGTCTTGATAAAGCTGTGAAAAGGAGTCGCAGGGAGAGGAGGGTTCAGCCATGGCACCATCACAAAGGTAGCGTATAATGCATAAGGCTCTCACCTTCAAGTTCAGACACGAGATAGACAGGTTGAAATGGCACCGAACAAAGCTGGGCTGCAAGCTGAGAGCATGATGGTAGTAGCTCATCGCCTCGCTGCTCTTGCCGGAATTGCTCAGAGTCGCACCGAGCCTATTGTACAGTAGCCAGTCCTCTGGGCGCACTGACAAGGCAGAGGCAAAGCAGTCGACAGCCTTGTCGTACTCCTCGCTGGCGTTGAAAAGGACACCCAGCGCGATCTGCACATCCGCGTCCACTTGGCCTGCCGCACTGCCATGCCTGGCGAGCGCGATCAGAGTATCAGTGAGAGCGTTGTGTCGCTGCAGTGGAGTCATGTTAGCCGGGCTGTCTGCTTTCCCGTCGCCTCTATGCTGCCGCACCACCTCAGCATACTGGTCTGAGCCCTGGATCCATTGCTCAATCGCCTCGAATGCCTGGCTGCGGTCATTCTCGTTGGTATAGCTGACAGCAAGCGCGAGCCACGCATCTCGAAGTTTCGGATCGAGCTCGACCGCTCGACACAAAGCAGCAATGGCGTGCGTTTCGCGCTCGTTCTCCTGCTCTTTGACACCAAGGTCGAGCCAGGCGTTCGCGTCGGTCGGGTTCATCTGGACACGCGCTTCGCTCTCCAGCAGTGATTCGAACATTTCCGGCATCTCTGCGTGTTGAGCGTGGTGGTGCGTTGCCGCAGACATATACGGATTGTCCTGTTGAAAAGGGTATTTTAGCGCAGGGCGCATGTTGTGCTGTGCGCCTTGCTGACTTCCATACGCTCGCTGCATGCCAGACGCGGTCGCCTCCCAAGCGTCCCAGTCTTGCTGCAGCCTGTCCCACTCAGCGGCCTGAGCCCCGGCAACTCCACGTCCTTTGGTGCCTTCCCACCTGCGTCCAACAAAGTCCGCTTCGGCGTCTTCATCCTCGTTCATGTCCTGCGCATCTCCACTCTCCTCCACCCATCCCTGCTTCGCGCCAGGGACTTGCGTCCCCAGTCTTTGGAATTTGGCAAATTCGGCAGCTTCTGGATCTTCGTTGCGCTGCTGCTGCTGCCCGCGGAGCTCGTCTTCCGCGTGCAGATGCGCAAAGAGATCCTCTCGTTCACGCGCCTCGACGTCTCCACTATCTCCAATGAATGTCGTTCTGCGCTGGTTTTCCTGCTGCTTCAGTCGCTCTTGAGCTTCCTTCATCTTTGCTTGCTCGAGGGCCTCGCTACGTGCGTCCTCTTCTGCCCACATCTCTGCGAGTTCTGCACGTCCCGTCGTCTCATTCTCATACGTGGTCGGCCCTGGCGTGAGTGGCATGTGTTTTGCAGCGTCGTAGGTGTATGATGAGGTGCGTCCCAGAGAGCTTTGAATGGCCGGCGGTGGTCGTGATGCATGACCATTCGTCGCCATTTCGTTCGCCCAGCTGTACGCTTCTTGCGCAGTCTCAGGCCGCCTGAAGCGCTCGTGCATCTCGTCGCCCGACGTTTCTGAAGCCTTGCCTTTACCTTTGTCCATTGTGCTCATCGTTGCGCCACTTTCAACGCCATCAGGAGTGTCGACAATGTCTGTCCCACGAATGCCTGCCTGCTTGTCTCTGATGCGCCGCATGAGCTCAAGGAAGTTGCTCTGCTTGAACTTGCTAGACTGGTCGTGGTCGATGGTCGCAACAAGCTTGCCAGCTGCCTCGGCTAGCTCATCCGCGTCTGCTGGGGGGATGGGCTCCTGGGACGTGGCTTCCTGCACCGATGGAGTGGAAAGTAGAGTCGACATGTACTTGGCTGCAAGCTCAGCATTGGCATTATTTCTGTTGCTCGCTGCACTGTCTTTCTCGACTTGTATGCTAGCAAGCTGGGCCTTTTCAAAGGTAGTAAAGGCTGAAGCCCATTGAGAATCGTCGGCCTGCCCGAAGTGAGCGGTGGCAGGTGCGGCTACCACCGGGCCCACATTTTGAAAAGCAGGCTGCTGAAACCCTGGCATCATTTGTGGGTGTTGAAGAAAAGAATATGCTTCATTTTGTTGCTGTTTTTGCAAGTCATAGCCCATCATCGGCTGATGGAAATGCGATGTCCCAATCCTTTGCGCCCGTTGATGCTGATGTTCCTGATGGTGTAATTTGGACACAGATTGCCGCGCCTGCATAAATTTCTGGTCTCTTGGAGTCCCAGTTGAGGCTAGAAAGTCGGCTGCCCACGCTGGCGGCACCAGCGCTGCAGCAGCGGCTGGTGATCCGCCACTCGACTGAACTTGAAAGGCAACATTAAAAGCTGGAGAGTAATGCAAGGGAGAGCCTTGACGCTGCAGTGGCGAAGGGCTAAAGCCCGAAGCGAATGAGCTCTGCCGTTGGTTTTGGTGCTGCTTTCTTGGCAAGTTCTCCTCAAGTACGCTCAGATCAAAGCTGCCGCCACTGACAGGTGGCTGGCGCATGACTATGCCCGGCGCTGCGCCGCCGCCTGGATCGGGACGAGTGGTCCGCATGCTTGCGCTTCCTGAAGGCCCTGCGTCAGTGTTGCCGTATCGATCGAGCTGAGAAGAGCGATCTTGACCGAATCGTTTACCGAGTTGCTGAAGTGGATTGGTGGGGCCGCAGGCTGCCCCACCCGAGACGATGTCTGACAACGACATGCTAATGGAAGCTAACGTGAGCACTGGGGCGAGTACCTTGGCCAGCTCTGATTTATATGAAGCAAGGCTCCTCTGTCAGGTGCCGTAGGAGAATTTTCCAGTTTTACTTCCCCGTATCCGCGTGCAAACTCAACGAGCTTAGTGTCGATGACCGACTGGCGAAGAGAGGTTCGCCAAATGCGTGGTCGCCTATCCGGAGAGTTCCACTTGCAAGGAACGTGCCGCTCAAGAGGCCTCGAAATCCACGTCTTTTGCGGTTCACGGTCCCCCTTGGACCAGTTCTTCACACTGATACTGGGGTATACACGCTACACCTTTAGCAATGGAGACTGGAAGCTGGGTTCTGTGGGAAAGGCAGTCTCGTCGGAGTGCCTGAGCAATACATCTATGCAAGCTTGAATACATCAAGTGAGTCCCAAGGCTTCCGGCAATGGGCGAACGCTCTCAACCGGAACAACTTCTCGGCCGAAAGCCGCTTACGTCAGGCAATCACACGTCATAAGGAGACCGAGTCGCGCATGTCCCTGATAATCGGTTATCGTGGGTATGGATATTGATCGTTGGGGATATGCTGGTGTTATTTACATGCATAGTCGTCGTTCGAACGGTCTCATTCCTGCGTAGCGCAGGGAAGGAGAGGAGCAGAACTTGCTCTTCGTTGACGTTGGCACATCCCAGCACTTCTGCACCTCACAGCCCGTCACCGATCATCAGAGTCGTCGCCGGCGTCAAGGAGCGAGTATTCTGCACATCACAATATGCATTAGACCCGTCAGCACGAGGGGTGGCAAGGTCGTTGCATGCGCCGTGACTTACGCTTCATGAGGACGCATTCGCCACCTTGTTCGAGGTCAATGTTGTACGAGTAAAAGTACCCTTCGGAAGTCACGACCATGACAGTTGGCGTCGTGCTGCCAGGGAAACAGTTTCAGCTGAGCCTGCGCAAAGCCCATGTCCGTGATTCGAACCAGAACTCACGATCCGACGGCCACCAAGCTGCTGACGCCAGGGCTCGGCAATTTAAGATGTGCAAAGTCCCTTTGGGGTTCCCACATTTCTGACAGGGTGTTGGGCAAGAGGCCTCCCACGCTCCCTGCGACGTTGCGGCCGAGAGCCCAGCTCCTTCGCCGGATAGAGCCACTGAACCCTCCACCTGCTCCCTTTTTCGTCCGATTTTGATCGTCAATGAAAGCTTCATAGCCGCCTCTAGCTCCGCCTGCGTCAGAAGGCGAATCAGACCCATCTGCAGACGTGACGGAAGGACTCGAAAGACCATTTCCACCGGGCCCGGCGCCTGCGGACGCCGCTGCAGAAAGCGCGGCAGTTCGTGCCGCCGCCGCCGCCGACCCCTTCCCTAATCCACCAGTGTCATTCTTGGAGCTGGATACTAACTTGAAAATGTGCACGGTCTCTGTGTCGCTCGAGCAGCAGAGCAACGTGCTCATATTGTTGAAGCTGAGGTTGTAGATGCGCGCAGGATAGGTTCCGCGTCGGAACTGCCAAAGCTTCTTTGCGGACGGGATGCTGAAAACGCGAATGACTGTGCCCTTGTCGCTGGATGTGGCCAACAATGTACCGCTCTGATTGAGCGTCAGCGCTGAGATCGGCGTCTTGTGCGCTTGAATGATGTTTGTCACGGACAGTGTCAGTAGGTCGAAAATCATCACGTCCCCAGGTGCGTTTGCAGCGCTACTAGATCCATTGGAGTTTGACAAAGGTGATGTCGGCGAAGGGACCGGCGAAGGGTAGACGAGGTAGCACGGATCAGAAGAGGCGGATAGCGCGCAGATTGCTGGCAAGCAAAAATGGCAATTCACCTAACGTGAGCCTCTCATCTCAAATTTGCGCAGACGGTGCAACACTGTCACTCACCTTGTGGATTCGGACTGGTTTCAATGGTGTGAAGCAACTTCATGTTGCTGATATCGTAGATATAGATCTCCTCCTCCAGGATGACCACCAGTCGTCGCCGGTTGAGCTTGACGCCTAGGATCGTCGTAGGGAAGAGCAGCTCGCAGATTGTCGACTGGCGTTTGGTGTTAACAATCTGTAATCGTCTCGGACTCGCATTCGGCTGATTTGAATCGGCTGTACCTACGAGCGCAACCAGCGAGGTGCAGAACAGCATCTCGACGATGGATGTAGGGCCAACGTTCTTCGAATAGACACGCCCATGCGGCTCTGCGTTCCAGATGGAGTAGCCCTTACGCGTGCCGACAGAGACGCATGATGCGTCCTGGTTGAAGGAAACGCACAGAAGAGAGGATGAGGATTTTTGTTGCCCTGCTCCGAGTAAGCGAGCCATCGTGCTAATGCTTGATGACTGAGTCCCCTTGGAGGGAGGGAGGGTCGTGATTGCGATCTAATTGGATCGCGCTTACTTTGACAAATGCGAACTGAGCGTGTGTAGCCTCCCGGAAAGGCTTGCTAAGGAGACACAGCGATGCGTGTCAAAGGCGACCTGATGTAGCTTGTATTGAAGTGAGCACATGTAATGCGCAGGTTGGAATTGGCATGAGGACGGATTAGTGAACTGGGCTGGCTCTAATCCTTGCTTGGGAGTGAGAGATGTGTGATGTCGGCCACATGTAGTAGGGTAGCAAGAGGTGGTAGACGCGGCCAGCAGTGTAGCGCAGGTGGGCGCGGTTGTGGGCTGCTGCCTCTCGCGCACAACCCGCAAGCTGCCGTATGAGGGCCCACCAAAGTCTCCACCAAAATGCCAAGTGTGCTGCAGCCATATTGTGTGATTACTTTGCCCTGGTTTACTTTGTACCCCCGCTACTTGCGCATTGGGCAGGCGGTTTTTCAGCTCGGCTAGCCTCCAGCCTCCCAGTTGTGTGTATCGGAATTATGTAAGAACAACACTTCGCTCGCCCATGGGCTGGCGTACGCGGGGCCAGTGTGTGACAGCCAGCCTGCAGTGTTGTTGTTGTTGTTGTTGCATGCACATATGCAGCAGGCATGAAACTCAACAAGACGAAGAGCCATTGAAGAGAGGATGTGCATCTTCTTGAAACACATCTTGTACCCCATTTCTCACCGTCGATTTGGAAGGACAGGCGACCAGGCAAGCGGTCGAGGGATGCGGCCCATCTTTGGCGAATTACGTGTTCAAGAAGTCACATATGGACCGCTCCGTTTCGACCCAGTCCCTCGGCGCCAGACGCCCTGCGCCTCCTGGTAACGTCCGCAGCTCCCGTTTATCCTCGTTACCGTCCTTCGTTCAAGAGGCGAATAGCTCAGGGGGAGAGTCACAACTCAGAAGAAGCAGCAGCAGCTTATTGGAGAGCCCAGAGATAGAATACAACCAGGCTGCTTCGCCTACATCGGCCGGTGGCATCACCCCTGGCGGCCGCCCTCGCACTGAGAGCGTCGCTTCATCAGCATCTGGCGGACCCTCGCGCTTGATACCCTCCTCGTCCGATATGGAGCCTTCCAACAGCTTGGGAAAGGGGATGGACCTGACCGAGCGGCCGAGCTCACCTGACAACATTCGTAATGGCATGCCTTCCTCGCCGGTGTCTTCGATCAATGGTGGAGCTCCTCTATCACCTCCCTCGCCTGTACGACGCAGTGCTGGCGCAGGAGCAGCTCTCGGCGAAATATCTCTGGATGACCTCAGGAATGCGCTCGAAGGCGTAAGCAGAGATGACTTGCTGATTGCTCTTGGCCGGACGAAGCACCAAATCGACTTGGTGCGTATTTTGATATTTGGCTTCAGGTCGGATATAGGACTAATACTCTCCTCTGATCCGCGACATTAGTCTGAGGCAGAAAAAGAGGAGCACCTGCTTCACATAGAGACGCTTCAGTCTCATCTGTCAGACCTTAGTGATCGCTTCTCAGGTGCCCAGTCCGACATTGACATGTTGCACGCCCAAATTGCGGCCCAGGAGGAAAAGATGGAGGAGATGGCCAAAGATCAAGAGCGGCTTGAGGACGAGCTCTACAGCAAAACTGGTGTATTGGACCGCTTGCGAAAGCAGCTAGACGAGTGCGAGAAAGGCCGTGCTGAGGCAGAGAGGCGATATGCAGATCAGGTATGTGCCTATTAGGAAAGGGTGGCCGAATTCCGACACTGTTTGCCTTACGCATTCTTTCCCGTGGAATTGAACAGAGCACCACCTTGGACAAGGAGAGACAGTACTACAATGACGCAGAGGCCCTGGTGAAGTCTCAAAAGACGAACATTCAGTCACAAGTCGACAAGCTCTCCAAGCAGAACAGTCAGCTGATGAAGGAGAACGAGCGCATGTTGAACCAGTTGACGAGGCTCAAAGCGTCACAGAAGGGTGCAAATGATCCTGACGTCATTGCGGATCCCTCCTTGCAAGACACAAAGGCTGATGGATCTGAAGATGCTCGTTTCGAGGAGGACGCGGAGGATGCCGAGCAAGACGAAAACAATGAACACGATCGAAGCGCCCCGAATTCAGGTGATGTCCGAAACTCAGTCGGCAAAAGATCACTGCAAGACGAAGCCGAGGCCGCGCAGTTGCGCGACGAGCTCGAGTCGATGCAGCGCAGCCATACGAGTCTGCAGCAGACGATGCAGCGGTTACAAATGGAGATCAAGGAGCTCAAAAATGCTAACAAGGATCTGCGTGATCAGAACGAGACTTTCCAAGGCGTACTGGAGGAACGCACTTTTAGCGGAAGTCTGCTCAAGAATAGTGCGTTGCTTCGCAGTGCCGGCGCACTGGACGCGGCTAGCGAGATGAGCAGCACTATTGACGGCGATAGCGACGAAGAACCCATGGACAAAGAGACCGAGACCGATGACACCAGGCTATCGATCGACGACGTTGATGATGTCGATGACTTGCCGATTACGCCAAAGAGTGCGACCAGTTCTAGCAACAAGAGCAAGCGCCGGAGTGCAGCCGTTCGGACGGGACGGGATGGAAGACAGGAGTTGTCTACCGAAGACGGGTTCGTCGCGCCTCTACCCACGGATCTGGGCAGTGAGCTTGAGCAGGTTGAAGGCGAGGATGCAGAAGAAGGTGACGGAAATGAGGAGGCTCGCAAGGCGAGGAACATAGAGAAGCGGCGGAAGAGGGCTGGCACGCTGTCCAAAGATGTCAAAGGTACGTTGAGCGCGGGTGTGTTTGCGCATATCAGACGAGCTCGTCTGACTGCGTCGGCCTTGCAGAGCTACAAGACGAAATCCTCTCTTTGCGCGACGCAAACAAAGGTCTCACACTCTATGTGTCCAAGATCCTCGATCGCATCATTGCTCGCGAGGGCTATGAGAACATTCTTGCCATTGACCCGGAACACAAGCGCACGATGCGGGGCGCATCCGGTGCGGGCACGCTCGGACGCAGCCGCACGAAGCGATCATCGGTTTTGCCCATCAACAAGAGTCCTGAGGCCGGCAGAGGGTCGTCATCGGAGGTATACCAACCGCCGGCCGGCCAAAGTAAGCGACACAGCGTCGGGTTGCTCGGCTACAGTCGCGCTCCTGGGCAAGGGCCGGCACCCACTGCTGCGCCCGAGGTGGGGCCTCGGTACGCGCCAAAGCGCACGACGTCTGTCGATTGGCGCGGGCTCCTGCCGAGCGCCATTGGTGGCACCTCGAGCACATCCAGCACGAATCAGTCCAACTTCCGACCACTGGCATTGCAATCGGCGCTGGTATCGCGCCAAAGCTCGGCCGGCTCGTCGAGCGTAGCGCGCAAAGTCGAGTCGCACGAGGAGATGGAGGATGACAACGACATTGCTGAGCGGGAGCGCATCCGCGCGTCGCTGCAGCTCCAAGGCATCGTCACGCCCGCGCACCAGCTCAAGCAGGTCCCGCTGAGTCCATCAATCGGCGGCCACACGTCTGATCGCAGGTCGAGTCCTCTGATGTCAGCCGGCCACCGCGCCCCAGGCCCATGGGGCGGCTTCCTGTCACGCGTCATGTCCACATCAACTTCTGTGACGACTGCCCCGTCTCCGAATCTTTCGCAGTCGGGTGGGCAATCGCCGGCGGCGGACAGCAGCAACACAGCCGGCTTCATGGGCCCGCGCCTGACGACATTCGACGACCCCACGCCGGCGCGGCCGCAAGTCGGGAGCGAGGTCAGCGCCGGCTCAGGCAAGCGCATGCAGGTGACACAGACGGGCGCTTCCGGCGCCGGGCCGACGGAGCTGCTGCCGCGCATGTCAGCCCGGCGGGCGGGGAGCAGCGGCGCAGCAGCAGTAAAGGCGCTCGGCGGCGGGTCCGATGCGGGTAACATATCGTTCGCGAGCCGCGCCGGCTCGGTCGCGGGCGACGAATCATACGCGCAGGCTGCCTCGGCGGACGGCACTGCTGGGGTGCGAGGAGGGCCAGAGGAGGAGGTGGAGGAGGCAGAGGAGGAAGAGCCCGGTTGGAAAAAGGCGCTGAAGCGCGTGTCGCTGCTCGCGCGCTCTGTTCCGGTCAATAACACAGGCGCGCAGTAGGGGGGGGGGCGTGCCTCTCAATGCGGTAATCCACACGGTCACGGCACACCGGCCTGGACGCGATCCTCTCACTTTCTGTTCTACATGACAGTACCGAATGCGATTAGATACCATTCGAAGTTGCGGGCCCGCATCTGTCGCACCACCGATTGCAGTTTACGGAAGAGAGTCGTCTTGACAAAATTGGAGGGGCGTTGGTTCTTTGTGAACTGGACTAAGCATGACGCGTCAAAGTCGCGCAGGGTGTCGACTGAGAGAGCAACACTCCAAACCCTCCCCCCGCCAAAATGCAGGCGGGCATGCTGTGTTTGCCATGTGTTAGGCACGCCCTTGACTGTTCAGCTTCTCACTCATCGTCTCGCCTTTCCCCTCTGTATTTTCGGCAGGCTTAGCTGTCGCGAGTGCAATTCGCAGAGGCGCATGTTCTCGGCTTGCCACGCGAGCTGCGACGCAGATGGGGAGCAGGTTCCACGTGCTTTTGAGCTTGTGCTTGCTCAGGCTGAATCAGCAGCGCAGACGACAGATGCAGATGAATCAGCGCACAACCCTGGTCATGCACGTGCGCGCATCACACTCTAAGCTGGGTGGGGCTGTCGCCACCGCAGCGCACAACCGCATTCCCACAGCGTATGCACACAGCACGTACAGCGCGCGCACTTGCATGAGCACGTACACACACGGTGCGCCAGCCATCGCTTTCGCATGCGCTGTCGCCATGCTGCAGCGACGGGACCGAAGAGCGAAGGATGTCGTGGGTCCAGCCAACCAGCCAACCCGGCACCAGAAGACGGCCGTGCATGCTGCACATGAACCCCCCTTTTTCTCCATGTCCACCTCCCTCTGGCTATATTATGCGCAGTGGGCTGGCAGCGGGCGCACTCGGCTAAAGCCGCCACAGATCTCACGCCGCTTCTTCATCCTCCCCTCGCACATGCTTTAGCCGTTCTCCGCCTCCCATCCCTTCTCTACCCCGATCCATAGCCAGCTCCCCCGACTTGGCTCTGCTCAGCACCAAGTTATTCCAGCATGCCACCCATTTCCCTTTTTCCCCTCGTTGCTTCGATCGCTAGCTACCCGTTTCCCATGCGTCTTGAGCCTGGCCACATTCGCGCACGGGCTGGTACCAGCAGCGTACCTTTATCCATACAGCGCAGACGACCCCCCTCCCTTTCCCCCGGAAACCGCCTGCTGGTGGTCTCAGCTCAGCCTGAGGAAATTAATGCACTTTTGCATCCCCCCCCCACAGCGCATTGGCGAGGGCATCCACAGGCTCATGAACAAGTCCGCTGCGCAGTTTCCCAGATGGAATCAGCAGGGCAATCGAAGCAGTCAGCAAGCCATGGCAGCACCACCTCACAGCGGTTCTGACAATCGGGGTGAGATAAGAGCGTGCGCGGTGGTTTCCTTCCTCGCCTCTTGCTGGTGGCGCTTTCATTTTCGCTGCTGCTCCTCGTATAAAAGCGGCTCACTTGCTCTCCTTTCGCCCCCAAGTCCACAACCCTGCTGGCAGCCCCTTCTCTATGGATTCTGTGGAGGAAGCAAGTAGAAAACAGCGTTCGTCGATCGTACAATACATTCTACACAATGGGTCTTACTTTCGATGTCATTCGTGCGCTCGTTACAGTCTTTTCTGCTGGTGAGCCCAAGTCTGCGCGCTTCGTTCTTCTCCTTATTCTGACAGCGAGCCAAACTGACCAGTACCGTGCGATCGAACTGACCCCCCCTCTCTTTTTCAGTCGTCTTCTACGATCACATCATCCAGATCCGCAATGAGATCCGCCACATATGGCGCAGAAAATTCAACGCGGTCTCGTTCTGCTACCTTATGACGAGGTCAGTCCGCGACCCTCATTTATGTACTAGTCGCGTCGCACCCGCTCGAACGGTAGACTGAACGAGGTCGCCCTGTGTGCCGATCGCAGATATGTAACAGACGCAGCTTTTGCATTCCAGATGGCGCTTGCGTACAGCTGGATCTCCGTCTCGCAGTGCTCGCGCATCCACCGCCTCATCCCGATCCTCTACCTGCTCGGCATCGCGCCCGCCCAGCTGCTGCTTCTGCTACGCTGCTGGGTCCTCTGGGGGCGCCGCTACCCACTGCTACTCGGCTTCCTGCTGCCGTACTGGATCGCTGTCATTGTCATCCAGGCCATCGCTATCCCGCACTTCCAGCCTTTTGCTGCTGTCGGCTTCGTCACATACACCCAACCCGGGGGCGCGCCAACGGACTTCTCGTACTGCACGAGCGCAGGAAGAGGCGTGTTCCTCAGCCTCTTCTGGGTCATGCCCATGTCGCTCGACTTTGTCCTCCTCGTCCTCGTCGTCGTCAAGGTCCTCGTGCAGCGCAACAAGCCGCAGGGTATCACGCCCGTCTCGCGCCTCATGCTCAAGCAGCAGCTCGGCTACTTTGTCCTCGTCTTTATCCCCTTCCTCATCTCGTCCGTGTTGATGACCGTCACCAATCCGGTGAGCACCAAGACGGTTCTACGACCGTTCCATCACAGTTGTGCGGCTTGCTAAGCACGCCCTTGGTCCCATGCAGATTTTGCAAAGTATCTCTGACCCCCCCGCCGCAGCGTGAGTGGTAACATCCCAGTGCTTGCACGCCGCAGTGTCGATGCTGATACGAGCCACATCAACCCTCTGTAGAATGGCGGCGATCGCCTCTACTCGCGTCGTACACAGTCTCAAGTCAGAGATGGAGCACATCTACAGCAGTGCTGTCGGCAGCACGCCGAGGCCGCTCTTCGGTACTCCGCGCCGAGAGGTCGTCAGTGGCATCACTAGCTCGACCAAAACTAACAGTGACGTCGAGAAGGGCGGCAAATTCTCAAGTTTCGGCCAAACTTCGTCCAGCATGACCGCAGCCACGGTACCGACGCCACGGGAGCGGGGCGGTAGTACACCTGCAGGCGGTGTCGCTGCCACGAAGCCCGACTTTGACCTCGACATGCTCAACCCGCTCGTCTTGGCCAGCAACGGAATGCGCGGCGCACACGTGTACCGCGGGGACTACTTTGGCAGCATCGAAGCGTCTGCGCACGGCAGTCAGTCCCCGGGACGAGGAGCTCCAGGCAGCAGACACACCGATCTGCGGAGGCACCCGCCCGGCGGAGTCCACCACGACGGAAACCAGCACCACGCGAACGACGGCGAGGCGCAACGCACCTTCGAAGCACTGCGCGCCCGAGCGTCTGCGCGTCCGCACGCAGCTGAAGAGATCGGCTTCGGCCTGACGCAGCATACCGCCCATGTCTTCAAGCACGTCGCTGAGGCGGACAAGGACACTCGCGGCAACAGGCCTGGACGCGCTGAACAACAGATATGTCCCATCTGTGCCTCCGGCGGTTATGACGACGACGATGATGACCTTAGTCCGTGCTCGAGCTTGCAAGACCAGGCAGCCGCTGGCCCTGGCCCTGACGCAGGTGCAGTAGCAAGTCACCGTGGCTCGCGCCACCAGCGCCCGCGTCTCTTTGCGCAACAGACGTTTGGACAAGGCGCCCCCGTGCCGTCTGGCCCTGCTCATTCTGCCACTGAACTCCCTCACGGCGTGATCATCGGCACAGAGCGCGGCGAGAGCTTTGACATGGTCGACCCCGCCAGCGCGGCGCAGCAGTGGACTCCTGTGCAGAGCGAGCAGCAGCAGGAGCCACTCGTGGTCCAAGGTCACATCTCAATCCAGCCGCCACAGCGCGCGAGGGTCGTTCGCCAAAGCTCGACCGCCACCTTCGGCCATGCAGGCAACACCGGTGCCGCCACTGCTACCCCTGCTGCTGACCGTCGCAACGGCGGTGGCGGCGCGAGGGACTCGAACAGGCCGAGCGACGAGCAGCTTCCTCCGCTGCCCCGCTCTCCGCTTGGTTCTGGGTCGCGCTGATGCAAAGCTCGACTCTGTCCTCACCCCAGGCCACTCGGCCACGGATGCAATGGAAAGGAGTGCGAAATGGCAGAGTGAAAGATGTTGGAGCAAAAGTTCACTTCAAAAGCAAGAGCAAGCTATACAACGGTGCCCGCCCTCTTGCGCAGCAGGAACTTGCGCGCACTCACAGATGTGTTCCTCGGCGCCCTCGTACCACTAAGCTCTCATTATCACCTGCTGCAGAGATGCTCTCTACCTCGATGAAAAAAGTGCTTGATGCCCCCCTGTGTAATTTGAACCTACAGTGCAAAAACAGAATCCTGAATACACGAGATTCAATGAAAGAGATGCTAGACTAAACTAGACTAGAATAGAATAGAATAGAATAGGAATGCGTATAATACAAATGCAACCCACCTCTCTGGTGCAGCATGGACTTGGTTTGCCTGCCCCTTCTCGTCCCGAATAAATGCAGATTGCACAATGCCCCTGGCAGGCGCCTAGCGAGGCAGGGGATGCGTCACAATGCTATTTTGAGACGCTTCAGCATCGTCACTGGTACTGGCAGCGCCGAAAGTCTGCGGATTGCGGAAGAGGTTGGTGGGATCGAGCTGATGCTTGAGCGCTTCGAGCTTGGGTACATTGTCGCCGTAGTAGTCGTGCTTCCACGCGCCGCTCCTCGTCTTGTCTCCGTCCGTGTAGCAGCCGTAAGCGACGGGCGTGGAGCCCGAGACGGCAATGGCGTTGCGAAATGAGTCCTCGAGCTGGTGGATGAGTGTGTAGGCGCGCGGCTCGATCGTGCCCGTCGGCGACGTCCCGACAGATGCCTGGATGAGCCAGAGGGTGTCGCGGTGCGGAAAGGCGCTGGCGCGGACCAGTTCGGCGTCGTCGCGGTACTTGACGTTGCTCCCGCCTGTCATCTCGAAGTAGACATTCCAGCTCCAGCGGCGCGGGAGGCCCCACGTCTTGAGCATCCAGTCCCACATGAGCTGCGCCGTTTGACGGAGGGCGTCGCGCAACAGCGGCTTGCGGTGATCGAGCGAGAGGACGGTCTTGGCGACGAACTTGTTGTGCACGAGGCGCTCGGCGAACGTGTCGAGCTTGTGGTCCTGCGTGCCAAAGTCGTCCCAGAGCTGGTTCAGCTGGAGCCAGTCGACGGCGCGCTCGTCAGAGTAATCAGGCACTGGCACGCCACGCGCGCGCAGCTCGGTGCGCAGCTTGTCGGCCCAGGGCTTGTACTGTGCCAGCGGGTGCAGGAACATGCCTCGCAGGTGCAGCGTGAACTGCGGCGTCTGCAGCGTATTGTCGAGCCCGGCATTGCGGTCGATAGACGAAGCGGGCCCCATCTGGATGTGGAAGCCGAGCCCAGCGGGGAATGAGGGGTCGGCGACCCAGCGCTGCACGGCGTCGACCGTGTCGACGATCGGGTCGGGTCCAACGATGCTCTTGGTCCACTTGTACTCGAGGAATGTCATCGGGCTCGACGCGTCCTGCGTGCGGAAGCGGAAGCGCGTGACGATGCCATAAAAGTGACCGGCGCCCTTGAGCGCCCAGAGCAGCTCCGGGTGCGAGTCACGCGAAGCGGTGACGATCGATCCGTCGGCGAGGACGACGTCCGCCTCGAGCATGGAGTCTGTGGCTAGGCCCCAGGCGCGCGAGCTGGGTCCAAAGCCGCCGCAGAGCGCATGGCCACCGACGCCGACGGTGGGACAGGTGCCGTGCGGCATGGCACGCCTGCCGTCGCGCCAGAGCGCCTTGACGACGTCGCCAAGGCGGGCGCCGGGTCCGACGTCGGCCCAGGAATGCGCGCTGTCCGCGTGGATGTCGCTCAGGTGAAGCATATCAATGATCACGCTACCGTCCTGGCCTCCGGAGCCATATCCGGCAAAGCTGTGGCCGCCGGAGCGGGCGGCCACGGCGATGTTGCCGTGCTGCGCGGCACATGCGACAACGTGGCTGACCTGCGCGCTGTCGCGCGGGTAGACGATCGCCTCGGGGTGGAAGTGGAAGATGAGGTTGTCCGACTGTGACGCATCCCAGTACGTCTCGGTCGAGTTGGAGTATGGCGTGATGAATGCGATCTGCTCGTCGCTGGTGCTGGAGGATGCGCTGTGTGACGCTACGCGCTGGTAGGGAGTGGTGGAGACGTTGTAGCGCTCGATGCAGGGGATGAATTGGTTCCGAGTGGGCAAGGGCCGTCGCACATGTATTTCGTGGAGAGACGGCAGCGTGGCTGGCGTGGCGTGGACACCCTCCAAGCTGGAGAGGGCAAGGGCGAGGGCAAGTAGCAACAGCGTCGTGGCTGTGAGCAAGGGGCGCCTGGCGCCGCTTCCCCCCCGGCTGCTATGCACAAGTTTGTCACCATCTCCTGCGGCCGTCTTGGAGGGGGCGTCGGTGGCGCGCAACTTTTCCTTCTGGCGGGCAGTGGGCATGTTAAAGAGGCCGACGAAACCCGTCGTCGTCGTCGTCGTTTGCGATGCGGACCTCTGCGGAGGACGACGGGCGATGGGCGAGTTGGTCCCGGGCCAAGCTCTGCGCTGAACAGTGTCCGCGGGTCCGAGTTTCCGAAAGTGTGGCAACCAGCCGAGCGGCGGAGTGGTGAGCAGGTGGCTCGCTGTTGGCCAAGAGCGATGGTGGTGGTAGTGATGAGAAGGTCTTCCTATCTGGCTCTTCTCTCGGCGTGTGCCCCAGTCATCCCCAGCGGAGGTCCCGAGAGGAGGTGGTCTCGCCAGTCGACCAGGAGGTGGTAACCCTACGTTGGGTGGTCGCCTGGGCCGGCAAGAGAGAGAGACGTGGAGCTCTCTCCCGAACTGGGAAAGGGGGCAGTAGAGCAGTCTTTCCGCTCTTGATTGGTGGATTCTTCTCAGCAACACACTTGCCTCTCAAGTTCTAACCCCCTCCTCTCCTCCATCGACCATCATCCTAGCCACTACCACTAGCTACAACTGTGCAGCCAGGGTGGGAGTGCACAGAGAGAGAGAGAGAGAGCTTCTGGATCGACGACGACACTACCGCCGCCGCCGCCATCATGAGCTCCTGTGAGTAGTCGTAGAGGAAGCTGTACCCTACTCTTCTGCTAGAGCGAGGGCAGCGTGACGTGCCATGGTATCACATGCTACGTTCCGGTCCCTCCGTTTTCGCTGCGCATTGCAGAGATCGAAGCCGGGCACCCTGGATGCCCCTTGGTGGTGGCAGCGAGCTAGCGATTATCGCTGAAATCAGAATGCATTCTCTGTCCCCTTTCCCGCTCTAGTCCGCTTCTTGTCGCTCGTGCGACCCTTCATGTCCGTCCTCCCCGAGGTATCGGCACCAGAGAGAAAAGGTGAGCCCCGAGCGGGCAATCGCCTGCTGTTTCTGCTGCTCCAAGACTCACCTTGCACCATGGCTGTTCTCATCCAGTCCCCTTCCAGTCCCGCGTAGCATGGACCGCCATCGTCCTGGCCATCTTCCTCGTCTCCTCGCAGATCCCGCTGTACGGCATCATGTCCTCCGACTCGTCTGACCCGCTCTACTGGATGCGCGTCATCCTCGCCTCGAACAGAGGCACCCTCATGGAACTCGGCATCACACCCATCGTCACCAGTGGCATGATCATGCAGCTCCTCGCCGGCGCGAACCTTGTCGAAGTGGACTTTAGCCTCAAAGAGGACCGTGCGCTGTTCGGCGGCGCCCAAAAGCGTGAGTCTGATCTCTAATGACGCCTACAGACACGGAGAGGCATCTGATCGATCCTGTTGCGCCGCTGCTGCCGCCCTCCACGCAGTCTTCGCCGTGATCATCTCCCTCGGCCAGGCGACCGTGTACGTTCTAACCGGCCTCTACGGCCAGCCAAAGGACCTTGGCGCCGGCGTATGTCTGCTGCTGATCCTGCAGCTCGTTGTTGCTGGCTTGATCGTCATCCTGCTCGACGAGCTGCTGCAGAAGGGATACGGCCTCGGCTCGGGTATCTCGCTGTTCATCGCGACCAATATCTGCGAGTCGATCGTCTGGAAGGCCTTCTCTCCAACGACAGTCAACACCGGCCGCGGGCCGGAGTTCGAGGGCGCGCTCGTCGCGCTCTTCCACCTGCTCTTCACTTGGAACGACAAGAGCCGCGCGCTCAAGGAGGCATTCTACCGCGACCGCCTGCCTAACGTGATGAACCTGCTTGCGACACTGTTCATCTTCCTCGTCGTCATCTACCTCCAGGGCTTCCGCATCGAGATCCCCGTCAAATCGCAGCGCTTCCGTGGCCAACGCGGCGTGTACCCTGTCAAGCTGTTCTACACATCCAATATGCCGATCATGCTCGAGAGCGCGCTGACGTCCAACGTGTTCATCATCAGCCAGATGCTCGCGAACCGCTTCCCGGACAACCTGTTTGTCAAGCTGCTGGGCGTCTGGGAGCCGATGGAGGACTCGCTGCAGCTGCACGCGGTCAACGGCTTGGCGTACTACATGTCTGCGCCGCACACGTTCAAGGAGGTAGTCGGCGACCCAGTCCACACGGCCGTGTACATCGCCTTCACGCTCACCGCCTGCGCCCTCTTCAGCAAGACCTGGATCGAGGTCTCCGGTAGCGGTCCGCGCGAGGTTGCCAAGCAGCTCAAGGACAACCAGATGGTCATGGCCGGCCACAGGGAGGCGTCCATGTACAAAGAGCTCAAGCGCGTGATCCCCACCGCGGCCGCTTTCGGAGGCGCGACCATTGGCGCGCTCTCCGTCCTTGCCGACCTCATTGGTGCCTTTGGCTCCGGTACCGGCATCCTTCTCGCCGTCACGATCATCTACAGCTACTTTGAAATGGGTGCGTTCCCTATGACCTTCAGGTTGCCATTTGCATGCCAGAAGCAGCAGCTGACGTGTTGGATTGCCTTCCCCCCTTCTCTTCTTTCTGACAGGCATGCGAGAGGCCGGTGGCGCCGAGATGGCCGCGCTCGGCGACTTGATGGGCACATAATCAAAATGTGTGCTCGCCTCCGACAGGCTTCGCACGGTCTTGCATCTCGCTTCAAGCAGAGAAGAAAGCGCAGGTGCATGGCAGATGTGGAGGACATTGCAGCAGGAAAGAGTCTGGCGCGTCTCTGTTGCGCCCTGCCGCTAGGGAGAAAGGTTGCAGGCAGCCTACACGGCAGAGCAATGTAGAGGCAAGAAGGGCAGATGCGAAGCAGCAAAAGAGGCTGCCGTCAGGCGTGCTTCTCCCTTGCCCAGATGCAACCGTCAGGTCGGGGTGTGTGTTTGCGCACTGACACAGGAGCTCGACGGTACAGAAAAAACAGGAAGCACACCATATGAAAAACAATTCCGCGGCGCGAGGCTTCCGCGGTGCGGCGCAGTTGTAATTATAGATAAATCGGTAAATTGCAACCCCCTGCAGATGCTTCTTCCTTTCCTCCGCGGCTGCTGCCCTGCATTGTGTTTCTCTCAATTACAACATCTGTGAAAGAGTAGAATACAACATCTCAACATCTGGTTTGCGATTTCGTCACTCGCGTCCATGCTGCGACTTTTGAGCTTTCCCAAATCGCTTTTCGCTCCTATGAGTCTGTCTTCTGGCGCTTTCGGGCAGAGTCTTGCGCCTCCAGCGGGAGAATGTCGGGCGCTGGTCCCGATGGCACGATGCGTGTCGGGTTGATCTGCAGAAGCGGAGCATGTGCGGGGTGTTTGGGAGGGGGGTGATTGACGTCCAGCATTCGGTTGGTCAACATTTGCATCCAAAAGAAAAGCGCAAAGGAGGACAAGTTAAATTCACCTGCGAGTGCGACTGGTAGTAATGAGCCTTGATGTGATCAAAGCGCGTCGTCTCCTTGAACCCGGGGACGCTCCAGTACAGCTGGCGCAACCAGCGGTGGATCTCCGGGTAGCCTGCGCGGATCGTGTTGAGGTTGCATTTGAAGTGGCCGACCTGTGTTGCGAGGGAAGGAGCAAGAGCAGTTACGTGGGACACGTTAGATAGCAGTCCGCTAGGATGGATGCGGAGAAGAACGCGACTTACGTAGACCGGATCGAAGCGGATGATGGCTGAGGAAAGCGAAACCAGGGGTCACACAAGGACGTCAGCATCTTCCCTGAAGTTAACATCAGTACGTACGACTAGCGGGACTCACTCGTGTACAACCTGATGTCGGCCTCGGTGAGCTTGTTACCGATTAAGTAGTCCCTCCCATCCGAAAGGATGGACTCGATTCGGTCCAAGCTTTTAAAGAGGGGTTTGATGTTCGCTTCGTATGCTTCCTGCTTAGACGCAAACCCGCACTTGTAGACGCCATTGTTGATTGTACTTGTAAGTCGCGATCGACAAGGAAAATGCTCAGCTGCCACACTCTCCTTCTCTGCAGCCATCGAATAGCTCTGGGCAGCACTGCCACTCACTCGTATACCCATTCGTTCAATTCGTCAATCTCCTTGCGCAATTTGTCGTCCTCTGGGTAGAAGCTGAGCCCCTTTTTATCTTCGGGAAGGAATTGGTCGAAGCACGTGTTCATGAAGCGAATGATCTCAGATGATTCGTTCGATACGATCGTCTTGTTCTTTTCATCCCAGATGATGGGGACCGTGCACTTAGCGTTGTAACCAGGATCGGCCTCCCTGTAAAAGTCCCTGATAAGCTTTTTGTCCTTGTGACCGGGTACGAACCCCTCTCCGAGAATGCCAAGTCCTTCTGGGCCTTCGTCGGAGGTAAAGGTCCACCCGTTCGAGCCGAGGAACGAGTTGACGGAAGTGTACGGCAGCAAACCCTCCACCTTATCCATGCCCTTTAGAGCGCGGACAATTAGCGTGCGGTGTGCCCAAGGACACGCATACGAGACGATCAGTTTGTACCTATTCAGCTCTGGCTGGAACTGGCTGTCCGGCGCGATGGAGATCGAGTCGCGGAATGAGGACACCTGGCGACGGTAGTGGCCGTCCTTGGAAGCCCAGACGAGCACGTCATTCTTTTTTGTGTCGGTGGAAGCCATCCTGATGAAGATGTTCGAGCGTGCTGTTGCTGCTGAGGTTGCTTCCGTTGGAGTTGTATGACTTCCCAACAGTTTCACTGGAGCCAACGTTGACGCCGACGAAGCTGTAGCAAACGATTTCCTCTGCGTGCGACAGGGAGCTGCTGCTACGCGAGATTGGAGCTGAAAGACGAACCTACGTGCAACCATTCAAACACTATTCGGGCTTGCTTAGGTCCTGGCCGAAAAGAAGACGGAGCAAAATGCGAATATGGAGAGCAAGAGATGGGGTGGGCGCACAAGCAGACAACCCTGCCCGATGGATTGGGATTGGAAAGCCTGCTTCTTATATATACGCCGGCATGCAAGAGAACAGAAATAGGAAAGCTGACCGGAAGCCTCGGGCGTATGCAAGACGATGCTTGGTGTTAAGTGTGGCCTTGTCCACACACATATCATGTCGGAACGGAACCCGTGCTGTAGATAGCAAACACATCGTCATCCGATCCGTCTCACCTTACCCCCGCCACCACGCTGACCGAGAATACGAGACACGAAACACGAAACTCTGGACAGATCGCCTTACGATACATGCTCCAAGTTGGATTGGCCATTGGAACATCGCATGTCAAGCGACTTGGCATCATTTGATCTGGTTAGTACAGTACAGTGGTCATGTGACTAGGGAGAGCGGATCAGCAAAGGCGAATAGGGCGGGAGCAGGGTTGGTTGCGGCAAGGAATGAGAGGAGAGGAGCACGCAAAGGTGAAAGGCAAGAGGATGCCCAAAGGGGCCCCGTATCACGTTCTAGTCATGCAATGGCAGAAGAGAAAGGACGCGCGCAGCACGTCCTTCAGATCGGGGCTGTGTATATCCGCACAGCACGGAAAGTCGGAAATAGAAAGGTTGGGGGGAAAGGAGCGTGACGCAACGAGACGAGGGGACTGTTCGACGGGGCGCGAGGAAGCGTCTAGCACCTCACACGAGTTTCAGGTAGTACGCGCTCGCGGGGCTACCATCATCGACATAGTTGAGCTTGACATAGTGCGTGCCGCTGCCGTTCTGCGCCAGCGTCTCACGGCCAAGCGTGTACTTCCCGCTAAAGTCGCCGTCTGGATCGTCGCGCGGCTCGCCGATAAAGGCGAGGTTGTAGCTGAATCCGTTTGAGCTGGGTTGTTTTGTGAGCGACTGTCGAAATCAGAGCATCAGATATCAATACACAATCTTGCCCGAGGTATTTGAAAATGCAAAGCCGGAACTCACCCAGTATTGCATCATCTGAGAACTGTCATCCGAGTAGGAACATTGGTCGTTCACCAGCCTGGAAGTCGACTGAGCGAGCTGTGCTCCTGAAACGCAATGATGAGGGCTCTGCTCCCATCGGAGATGCCTAGAATAGCCCCGAAAAAAAGTAGGCGAGTCAGCCCAGTTTTCGATGGGGGCAACGCAAGCACAAAGTGTTCGTCGCCGACGTACCCATACCACACTGTCGCCGCCTTGTCGTCTTGCCTGTGCCACTTCATGAAGCTGCTGCTGCAAGCATCGAAACGGAACGACTGTGCTGGAGCGCTAACCTCGCCGTGGCCGACGTCGAGCATCTGCAGTCCATCTTTGTTCCGAATACCTTCAAAAGCGGCATTCTTGGCTTTGCCTGTCGACCTTGAAACGAGCTTGAGCGTGCCCGAGTAGGAGAAACCATTGCAGCCAATGGTGCCGACAACACGTTTGTCCAGCATGTCCGTCGATCCGAGCGCCGCGTCCGCCAGCGCAAGTTGACGGTCGGCCACCGCTCGTGCTTCGGCTAGGGAGATGGACGCCAGCCTTGACGACGACCCGCTCGCGAGGGCATTCTCATCGACAACAGGCTGGCTCAGCTCATAGCGGCCTAATACACCGGCGGAGACTGCTTGAAAGAGTGAAAAACCGAACAGCGCGGCAGCAGGTTGACTTCTGACCTTCATCTTGCCGAGGTCGTCAAGTCTCGCGTGGAAGAGAACCCAACTTCCAAAGCGTATTAGGAAGACGACAAAGGCAGCTTGGTAGGTAAGACCGTTTTGGTGAAAGGAAAAGACGAGCAAACTAAAATGAAGGAGACGGCGTGGATGATAAAGGTGTGAGGATTACAATCGAGACGTGAGACAGGGCTGAAATAACAGTGCCCCTCTTTTTGAATTTGAGTGTAGACCTCGACGGTCGGGGCGGTCAGTAGTTACATATAGTTGCTAAGCCACAAGCAGTACGAACATCAGCGTGTCAGCGCCATTCATCAGTACGTTCAGTGCAGTCAGTGGTTAAAAGTTATTGCAGATTGGGCAGGTTGAGTACAGCAATGACAACGCGCTGTCAATGAACTTGTATGGCAGTGCCCACCGCCCAGCATTCCGAAGATTTGGGTTCGCACTGTGCTGCCTGTAAAGGAAACTCAGGCGCACGGCATTACTCTGTTGTATGCGAAGATGGAAGACTACTGCCGTTGATGTCAGCATGTACCTGTGACTGCGCGCCAGCGGTTAGCCGGTCAGTCAGTCATCAGTGGTCAGGATTAAAGTCGCACAAGACACCAGCCAAGGCGGGTCCTCATCGCCTCATCTCTTACAGTCCTGCTGCAGTGCGCTATTATCATGAATATGGGTGCAAGGTGCATCATTCCCGATCGCATTGGCGCAAGAGCCAAATCCTGCCAAAACCAAGAGGCACAAGGCGGATGCTGACAGCTACCATAGTAATAAGACGAGAAGTGCACGACAGCTTCTTGGCCATGTTCAGGTATGTATTTTGTATACACAACACATTTGTACTGCCCACATACCGGCGGGCAAAACACTGGCACAGCAGAGATGAACCCACTGCGACGCCTGGGTGGACCTGGAGAGACCGGAGTCGGCACTTTGAGTGGAGTAGGGTGGGGCCGTGGATAATGTCTTATCTTGAAACCCGAGGATCGGCACTCGAAAGTGGAAAGTTCGAGGAGACAAAAGACCCCAGCCCTCTGCCAAGCTAGACCAATCTGAGAGCTGCCGCGAGGCCCGGGTTAACCGCTGACTGCGGACCCTGATTCCTGTCCTCCTTGAGGGTCTGAGAGGCCCGACGAGACCCTACAAGACCTGCGTAGCGAGGACGACCAGCTGGCCGCTAAGTACCGTCTCTTCTTCCTTGGCCTATACCTGCCTGTGCCCTGTGAAGCTTGGGTTGCTTGGCGTGCCGAAAAGTATCGGACACTTATGGCTTCGTCTTGCCAGCTGCCAGTATCGCGAGGCCTTCCCTGCCCCGGTTGGCAAGAATGCCAACGGTTGTTTGAGCGCTAGGTGTTACACTTGTTTTCTGCCGTTGGGCGCGGCGCGCACGCTCCGTCTTAGCAACCGACAATTGATTGTTTGTTAGGCGAATGGAAGTCACGTGACGCAATTACTGCCGATTTCCATGTGTAGCTGCCAGCTTCATCCCTCATTCGACTTGAAAGCTGGTCACATGGCAATCTGGGATCAGGAGCATGGAGCTTCGAACTGGTGCTCGTGGTATCGTTGTGTGCGATGCGGTTTGATAATTACAAGAAAGTGTCCAGCTTATAGCCGTGCTTGCGGGCCGCGGATGTAAAATGAGTGGCTTTGAAAAATGAAGGCGAAGGGGTCGGGTAAGCAATAAGGAGAGTAGAAGAGTTGGTGTGGTCGAAGGTTTGTGGTATAGAGGATCATCCCAAAATCCCTTGGCAAGCGGAATAGCAGCGCTGCGATGGCGAACGGTGCAAAGTGCAGTTACGTCATAACACGTACGTCGCTGGGATGACACCTTGATTGCCGTTCACATCACGCGCGAGCCACCAACTCTCGTCTTCGTCCGAAAGGATGGCTAGCTGTTGGCCAGCGCGTACGCTGAGCTCCGAAGGGTGGGTTGCCTCAAAGCTATAGCGAGCATGTGCGACGAAGCCTTGAGTCTCGTCCGCCATCTCCTCCCAGCCGCTTTCTGAGGTGTATTCGGTGGAAAGGGGTCCAGGTGCGCCAACGCTGATGTTGCGCTGCTGCTGCTCATTGCTAGAGTCGGTCGTGTAGTAGCCTGACCTGCCAGTGGCGGCCCCGTCGCTATGATAGACCATGCTCGTCTGTGTCTCATCACTGTGGTCATTTGTGCCAAATGCAACCGAGTCCATCCGGTTGTGCCCGACTGGCTCCCGCGCAGAGCCACTTGATTCCCCACCCGCGCGATACCCGGAGGAGCTGTAGTAGCCAGCATCGTGATGCCCGGCGCCCATGACGTTCTCTGTCGCCGCGTTCAGCGTGGCGAGCAGAGAGTCTGGCTTTGTCTCTGGAGCCCCCAGTGAATCGTCCGATGAAGACAAGGGTATTGTGAGATCGTCCTTTGACCGACGCCGGGTGAGCGCGAAGATCAGACCGAGCAGGACGAGCAGGAAGACGATGCCGAGGCCGATGGCGATTGATATCAAGATGACGAGGCCAACAGCGAGTCGATGTAGATTCGGGAATCTCAACGTCTCGATCGATCGAGTGACTCCCCGGACGATGCCAGACTGGCCGTTCAAGTCGATAGCGCGTAGGAAGGGTGCCCAATTTGTACCGTCAAAGAAGGCGCTTGAGACGTTCCCGTAATCCAGCATACTGAGCGCGCCACTGACAACCAAGATACGGTTGCTCTCGAGCACATCATTGGGCGAGTGCGCCGTATTGATCGGCATGAAGGTGAGCTGTGCCACGCCCGTTTCAGCCAGGAGCTGTGGATCGCCGAGGCTCTGGAAAGCCGAACCATTCCACTTAACGAGGAAGGGCTTGGTCCCATCAGTAGTCCGGCCTGCGACAAAAATCGAGTTAATCTGCAAATCATCGACAGATACGGCCGTTGCTGGTCCTGGAATCTGGTCTGGTCCAGTGCCAATCTGGCCATAAGGTGTCCAGGTGGCATTGTCAAAGCTCCAGCCCGCCAGCGAGGCGAACACGCCGTTGACGAAGAGAGATCCTGCGACGATCAGTGTCCCCGCGTGATCCTTTTGAGAGTCAAAATTTCATGTCAGCTGGATCTGTCAAGTGTATTGATGAAACAGAAACGCTCACGCTAGCAAAGTCCATGTCGGTGACGGTCCCTGCAAAGCCCGTCCCAAGCGGTATCCATCTCATTTCCTCGGCATTCCATTCACAGACACTGGGGCATGGCAGAGAGCCGGCACTGTCAAACGTGCCGGATGCGACAACAATGCTGCTATCGGGGCGATGGGCCAGCTTGGTTACTGAGGCGGAACCCTTAGTCGCTGTTAAAGCAGCGATGTTAGCGTTCCAGGCACCAGTTTCAAGGTCAAAGATGTTCATGCCACCGTCACCCCCCACAAAGAGCGTGTTATTGACGACCAAAAGTGAGCGGATGACGCTAACGCTCGAGGCTGTGCCACCGCTTGAATTGGGATACCCCGGCAAAGGCGTCAGTAATCTGCTCTCATCGTCGTAGATGCCAATGTTGTTGATGCCTGTCGTCGTAGAGAAGTTGCCGCCAACGATCTGGCTATAGTTGCCATCGGGTCGCTGCCAAAACACCGTCGCTAAGACTTGGTTGCGATCGTCGGAAAATAGCGAAGGCGGAGCAAGTGCGTCTTGCCGCTTTACAAGTGCCGTCGCGCCTTGCAGCCAGCGGGGTAGCAGTGATGGCGAATTTGTCTGTGATGCTGAAAGCTGTCGAGAGTGGAGGTTGCGCGTGAAAGCCGAGAGGTGGTCCAGGCCGCGGCGCAAGCTGTTCGTCACAGGTCCAGTGCCATTGTCGAAAGCGAAGTTCAGCGCCTTGATGACGGGGAGCTGGCTGTTTTTCGCCGGCTCCTGTAGAGTGACCGCAGCGGGTGCGCTGTTGGTACTGAGCACGGAAATGGGCCCGGCAAAGTAGCTTAGGGACTTCGGCTCTGCATCGGGCGCACCGTTACCTGCGGAAATGCTGCCCACCACAAGTGGAGTCTGCAGCTGCCATGCTTTGGTTGTCGTATTCCAGATGGCATAGCCGCCAGTCGAAGTCTCACTGCCGGTGGCGTTGAAATGGCCGGTGAAAAGAACACCGTCCTTTGCGATCGTGCTGACAGACGAAACTGGGCCAGACAGGCCATCTGCCAGGGATGCCCATGTGTCCTCAGCAGGGTCGTAACGGGCGGCATTCATCAGCTGCACCTGACCGTCGGCAGTGGAAGAGAAGTTACCGCCGATGTAGATCAAATTGTCCACCGCGACCATGCCAGTGACCGGTCCGAGCACACCACCGCCGGCAAGACGCATGATGTTCGCCCCATTACTCGCACTTGTGAAGCTAACAATGCTTGCAAAGTCACTGCTGCTGCTGTTCACGGGGGACAGGCTTTTCGGGTCACCGTTGCCAGCGCGGAACACGCCGGCAACGAACGTCCTGTTGGCGACGCTGGCGATCGATGAGACGTACTCGGTCGAGTTCTGGGCGACGCCTGCGCTGCGAAGCGCGACAGCAAAATTGTCGAGGGGTGTTATCGTGCTGTTCAGCAGTAGAGCTGACATGTTCATTTGTAGCGAGGTAGCAGCCGAGTCAAACAGGTCATACTCGAATAGGCCAAACGAGTTTTGAGCGGTAAGAGGTAAAAAGGAGCTATTGCGAAGCACAAAGTTGACTCGGTCCGCCACTACAGTGAAGCTCGAGGAATCCGGCGCTGTCGGATTCTGCGGGATGGAGAGCACAACCGAAGGCAAAAAGGAAGGGGTGGCACCTTGTACCTCGCCGTCATACACGAGCACCGCGGTCGTGTCCTGCACGTCCTGAGATATTGTAGTTGGCGTGCCCGAATTGGTCGCGTTGTTCATGACGGTAGCGAGGACATCTATGCGTTGGCCACACGTCGATGTCTGCTTGCAGCCAGGAATTTGCATGTAGATCGAGTAGTTACCCGTGATGGGAACATAGACGTTCCAAGAGACCGACGCACCGCTATCCGTGCCAATGGTGCTCGAGCTATCCGTCAGGGCGAGATAAGACTCGGTGGTGCCCGTCAAGGTCGAGTAGGTTGCAGGGTACCAGTCTCCTGTGGACGTCGATTGCGAGTATGTGCCGTTCACGCCGACTTCAAGAGACGAACATGCTCCGCGGTTCGATGCCTCGTACGCATAAGCCCACGATCCAGCCGAAAGCAGTTCCAAGATGTGCAGTCCGGCGCCATCCCCATAGTGATCTGTGGCTGTGAACTGGAAGCCAGTCATCTTCTTGATCCCGTTCGGTGCATTGTTGGCAGCCGCGTTGGAGATTAGAAAGTCCTGGAAAGGGATTGTTTCCGAATGAGCCAGAGGACAGGCAGTTGTGCAAGTTGCGTTCTGATTCGTCGCTGGATCAAGGTAGATGAGTTCAAGGACGGTGTTGTCCGGGATCGAGACGACGTTGAACGTCTTTGTGCCCCGTCCCTGATAGAATGTATTGCCGATGCGGAATGCTCGTGCGTCAATGGACCGGAATGTGCGAATGGTGAGCTGGCCGTTTCCGCCATCTGCAAAGAGGTATGAGCTACCAGCTCCATCGCTTCCTTGCGGGCAGAGGATCTGTGCAGGGTTGCTGAAGCCGTCAATGTCGGAGGAGGGCCCGCCTGTGAGCTCAGATTGTGCGAGGGATAACGGCGCCAGGCCGCTTGTGATGGGGCTGGCCGATGTGTTGACGCCTGAGGATACGCCTTGGATCTGCCCGCCAGTGAAGGAGACCGAGAAGGATCCTCCAAAGCGGACCATGGAGGAGTTTATCCCGGGAGAGATGGTCCTGACTGCGCCGTTCAAGCCTCCAAAGTCTGGGGGATTCCACATCCCCGCAGCCGCATCCCAAAGCGCAACGTTCCCCAAATATGCTGATGCGTTGGCGGCTGCCGTCGGAGCGCCGAATGCCCCTCCGAACACGACCGTCTGATGCTGCGTGTCGCAGTACAGCGCATCGATAGGACCGTCGATACCACCTGCGATATTGTCCCACTTCCCTGTGGTGGGGTTCCAGCTGGCGACATTGCTCGCGGTCACGCCTCCGACCTCTGAAAAATTGCCGCCCATGAACACGCCCGCTTTTGCGCCACCGAGTTGGCAAATCGCGCGAATTTCACCACCAGAGTTGGTGGAACCGATCTGGATGAGCGACCCGTTGTGTGCTCGTGCAAGCAGTGTCGACGCACTGGGGTTGAGCTGCTGCCCGGCCAGTGCTGGGGTGGCAACTAGTGACGAGTTCCAGATCTCGAGTCCCGAGAATGCACCCACGACCCCGACCAGGCCCAGCGCGTCGAAGTCGATAGAGGGGAAGGACGAGCTGTCGGCGGCTACTTTCGGTGCAAGCAGCATTATTGCTGTAGCCACACCTGCCGCCAGCATGTTCCTTCTTCCCCGTCTCGGTGGCCGCGAAGGCCCAGCTGTTGTTTCCAATGCTAGGCCTTTCTTCATGTTTGCGAGGTACGAAGGCGGAGTGAAAGTAAAAGGTGACCCCTGTAGTCGACAGGGTAACGCTGCAAATGCAGGTATTGAACAAGACGCAAATTCTCGGTCAGCACGGCGCGTGTTGCCTGGCAGAAGCGTTCTACCTACCCTGTGAGGCGCACGCGAGAGATCTGGCAGATAGAAATTGTCGACTAAAGCTTGGCGTTCTTATTCAAGGGAACGGCATTGGGCCGCGCACAAGAATGTGGCTGTCAGGGCGTGGTTGAGGCCGATTAACGAGTCGAGTTGCAGTGAAGGCAGTGGCGGGAGAGAGTTTGAGGATGGGAATCCGCTGCTAGCGTGAGCAAAGGAGCGTGCGTATTTGCTCAGCGGTTCTGTCAATGTGGTTGATAGGAGCGAGCGAAAAGAAGGCTGGGGGGTGAGGTTGATAATCTCGTACAAGAGCCGGCGTGGTCGCAGCCGACACTCCGTCTCAGAGTCCTCACGAGTGGCTGGAACTGAAGCCTGGGGGCATACAGCACCTCGCAGCAAGCCCTACTGTGTCCACTCTCCTTCGACGCGGTGTCCAACAAGTGCGGCTGATGCGAAACTACCTGTGACGCATGCTTGATCAACATTGGTCCCCGAATATTATGACGAGACGTGAGGTTGTTGTGCTCATCATTAGCAGCTGCGGGTGGCAGGGGGCGCACTCTCTACATGACTGGGGTGTGGCGGATGGAATTCTTCCTAGGGGCAGCCAAACTGCGGAAGGAAATTCAGAGCCTTTTGTCGGCGTCTACCTTTTGCACCTTCTAATTCCGGGCTCTCTTACACTTTCCGGGGAAACGGCAGGGTTAGAGCCCAAAGAGGCAGAGCTGGTGCCTGTTCAGTTCTCCCTCCAGTTTTGTAGAAACCATGAAAAATGAACGGGTCGGCACTGCGCCAGCCAACAGGAGGCGGCCACAGCCACGCTGGCTGGGGACCAAAAGGCGAGAGGTTCAGCTCGTGCTTACTAGCCGCGAAGGTGATGCGATCCTGGTTGCTAGCATTCAGGCAGCATCATAGTAACGACCTTGGTACTTGGCACTTCACATCTCGCACCTGCGCGACCGTGCTTCTCTTTCCTGAACGCCCGCTCATGATGCATGCAATCACTTCGCGGGCGCTAGTCCGCGCCGCGGCCTCATCCCGGGCAGCGGCGGCTCGGGCCAGCAGGAGCACTACCAGCAGCAGGGCAACGCCGCTCACTGCGATTGCAGCACCTCACGCCTTCTCCTCAAGCTCAAGGCAGAGCGCAGATGCGCACTCTTCTTCGCCATCTTCCTCAGGTGATGAATACGTGACCAACGAGGGTGAGTGGTGTTTGGAACAATGGCAGCTGGCCCGCGGAAGACGCCGCCCGGAAGGCTTGCCGAAGCTGACTCCCATGCGGGTCTTGGTCATGCTGTGTCTTGCATAACAGGCTTCTCCGCTCCCATCTGGCGTAACACGTTCTTCCTGCTAATTGCAGGTGTCGTCGCATACCGCTTGTCCGAGATGCAAGCTTCCACATCGTCGGCGCACTCGTCCCATGTCAACGCCGACGAGCACGACGACAGCGAGGAAGCAGCGGACACCCGACCATTCCTGACACGCTACATTGCCTACTACACCACCCCAGCCGATGTCTGGAAGCGCCGGAATGCCAAGCACTACGAGCTCGTGAAGGAGGAGGCCGAGAAGAAGCTCTTCTTCCAGGATGCAGAGAGGCCGCCGGTCCACAGGTTCCGGTACCCTCAGTGAGTTTCCAAGCAACCTCGTCTTGTAATCGGAAAAAAAGCTCATAACGCTGTGTTTCTGCTCGCCAGGACATTTGAGCAAGCCTCGCCACACGGCTTACCGGTCGGAGCGCAGGTCGATCTCTCTGATCTCAAAGTCAAGACTGAAAACGAATAGACGTCGGTCCGAGTGGGCCATTCCACAGCGGACGAAGCTTGCGCTGTACGCCCGAGAGCAATCTATGACAGCGAGAAAGAGCACGCCGGAGAGGGGAACTGCTACAAATGGTCCATCTGACTTTGTTTCTACAGAAACTACGATGAGAAATACATCTTGAACAGTGACTGGGCGTCCGCAAGTGGGCACGTAGAAGGTGGGCACTGAGAGTGCTGGAAGCGGAGCTCGTTCATTGCACTGCCATACCAAATACGGAGAAAGGAGTGCAACCTTGTGTCAGCTAGCTCCAAGTTTCTCAGATCCTGCCAACGAGCACTCACGGTATAATGGCTGGACATCGCTGACAGCAAAGGCCAGGCCACAATGAGGACACTTGCGTTGTCTTGTCTGGATGCGCGAATCAACGCACGGTGCGCAGAACGTGTGCATGCACTTTGTGATAACACGATCTCGATATCGTTCCTTGCAAGACGAACAGCGGAGGAGAGACTGGGTGGGAGAAGACGGATTTGAGTGAGCGCATGGGGGCTGAAGCAAGGAGTGCCAGTCGCAGACTCACATTCAATGCTTCCAGCTCTCCGTCTGCATTGCTGAGGCTGCTCTTTCGTCCGCCGCCGCTATTGCTGTTGCTTGCGATCGCTTTCTTGCCTCGTTCCAGATCCTTCTCGAGCTGCGCCACCCTCTCCTCCAGGCGTGCCTTTGCCGCGCTTGCCTGGTCCAAGCTCTCCATGCGCGACTTCGCCAACGCGTCCAGCTGCTGAGCCATTGCGACCGCTTCCCTCTCCTTTGCCATTGCGCGCTCGACCGCAATGTTCATTTCTGCCAGCTTTGTCATGTGCTCCTCTAGACTCTTGCGCAAAAGCGTCACCTCCTCTTCGTGCATCTGGAGCTGTGCCCCGAATCGCTTCTCCGTGTCCATGTATTGCTCGATCACCGCAGTCTGCCGCTCCAGCGTCCGATTGAGAACCTGCTTCTCAGCGTCCAGGGCATCGCGAGCCCGCATGGCGGAGAAGTACTTGTTGTCCGCTTTAGATTTCTGGATTGTAACCCAGAGCGAGCGTGAGAGAGGGTAAGAGGCATACCCAGGGAACATACGCTTCCCGCGTACGCGTTCAGGAAACTCACCTCGGTAGTCAACCGGGCGATCTTGTCTTCTAAGCGACTCAGCTCAATGACCTTGCTGGTGAATTGTTTTTCCGCTTCGGACGATGCGCTGCCAAGCCTGTCAATCTCCCCGACGAGCTCCTCGATGGTCTTATCGGTGGCCTCCACTTGAGCTGTCAGCGACTTGATAAGCGCTTCCTGTGACTTGAGCCGCTCGGTCGCGTCCGCGCCACTTTCATCCCGGACAAGGGATTCCAAGATTTTGACTCTCACTGCCAGGTCTGACGTCTGTTTCGCCACGTCGGCGCCTGCAGTAAAAGATGTATGAAGAGCATCGTACCGCGTCTGTAAGTCGTCTAGCGAAGATTGGAGGGTGCTAAAGCAAAAATGCAAATTTAGGGAGCAAGTCCGACAATAATTCGCTGAAGCTGCTCACTCAAGTTGCTTTTTGAGCTTCCCTTCCACATCCACGTCTTCATCCTGCAGCGTGGCGCCATCTTGTTCGGCGCTAAAAAGGCACTGGAAAGTCGTCAAGTCGCCTCTCCTACCTGAGAGCACGAGCTGTAGTCGCCTGATATCGTGCCGCAGCTTGTCCACTTTCTGCTCTTTGAGCGAGGCGAGAGCCTTGATTTCTTGCACCTGGGTGCTTTTGACAGCCTCCTTGTGCTTCCTCTCCGCCACATCCGCTTGTAGATCGTCGCGCTGCGTGCGCAAGCGTAGAGTATCTGCATCCTTCGCCGCGATCTGCTTGCGCAGCTCGTCGACGACCAAAGCACTTTGATCCTTGTGCAGCTGCTCAAAAGCCTGTCTGGACTCCCGCAGCTCGACGTTCTCCACTTGGGTTGCTTCCCACTCTGCTTTTGCTCGCGACAGCTGTGTTTGAAGCTCGACGGCATGTTTGCGCAGCTCCAAATAGCTGACGCTTTCTGCAATTTTGGCATCTGGTATTTGTAGCATCTCTGACCTGAGCCTGTCGTTCTCCATCCTTATCGCAAGGAGTTCCTGCCGCAACCCTTCCGCCTCGGTTAGTCGGGATGATGCCAATCGCTGTAAATCCTCGACTTGCTCTGCATGCTTCACATCATTCACCATGCCGCTCGCGGTAGACATGCCCTCGTGATCAGCAGGGATTCCCTCCTTTGGTTTTGATGGCTCTGGTATCGGCGTCTCAGCCTTCCCTGTATCTGTGAGTTGCACAGCCTCCTCGGGAGGGTCCGCCGTTCTCTCCACAGCCCGCACAGAGGGCGAAAGCAGTCGATCTCGCTGCCGCTCTGCCCGCCGCAGCTTTTCGAGCGCATCATGAAGCTCGACTCCTGCCCGCTCAAAAGACGCCTGCGTAGCATCTGCTTGATGGCGCAGAGTAGCAGCCTGTCCGAATACATAAGACCCCAAATCAGCAATAATCCAAAGAAGACTTCGTGGATGGAGAGTGTGCACCTCTTGAGCCAGCTGGTGGCATCTCCCTTGCAGCTCAGCTTCTGAAGGTTGGAGGGACGTCCCATCGGAAGCCAGAAGCTTGACGATGGCACAAATGGCCTCCGACGATCGTAGCATCGCTTTCTGCAGCGATCCAGGATCTCGCACGCCTTTACTTGCGTCGATTGCAGAAAAAAGATCTGCCGAGGCAGACGTGCACGCAGGGCTTGTCAGCACCGCTTCAACGTTTCTCGAAGGTGCGCAACACCTCACCTTGCTGCTGCCCCCTTAGGGAAGCGCCTTTAACAAGCGACTTGATGTCATCCACCAGCTATAACATGCGATCCATCAGCATGCAGAGTGCGGAGTCATGAAGGAGAAGGGGTGTCCACTCACTACGCTCCATGATTGCTGAAAGGTATTTGACCTTTGTTCGAACGCTTGGAGCTCATGTTGCATGGACGATATTCGCCTCTCCGCTCGGACGAGATCTCTCTGCCCCTCCAGAAAGCGTCTATAGATGGCCTCTTTCCGGTATTCCTGAGAAAGGAGGCCAGCCAATTCTGATGAGCAAGCTGTATGCAATTCCGGAACTGCGACCGGAAGGAACCTACCTCCAGTCCATTGTACGCTGGACTCTCTTCTGCAGCTTCGCCGGCAGGGCCCATAGACCCTGACGGCTTACCATTTGTGATCGATGTGGACGAGAGTGAACGATCCAGCTGCAGCTTCTTGTTCGAGCCAGAGCGCTGCATAGTGATGGAAGATGCCGAGCCAAGCGCATCAAATGGCCGCTTCCTGTCATCCATCATGGTGGATGCTCGTGCCCCGCCCTTCATACCTATGCTCGCCCGCGCGAACAACACGGCTCGATCTGCAGCGTATCCGAGAGCCTGCGATCCGTTGCGACGGGAAGTCACATGCCTTGTGGAAAGCAAGGGAGGGTATCAAAGGGAGAAGCGATTCGAGTAGAGAGTCAGGCTCAGTAGCAGCTGGAAGAGAACTGTAGTAGCTCTGTGTGAGAGGCGAGAGTCCACGGTTCCGCCCCCGCGACGGCGCGACTCGAGATACCGGGAGAGCGAATGGGAGTGTGTCTTTGCACCATTACAGTCTCTCTCGCCGCCCCACGTAGCCTTCTGCTTTGCTACACGTTACATGTACCTGGGGAGCTCTGACGAACGTGCATTGCACGGCGCCAATAAAATGATGAATGGTGCGAGGCAGCCCTGTAGCGTACAGTCTCGCGTACCGATATTCGACTTGCATCCGTCAGTGTTTTCGTGACTTGTGATGCTCAAAACTCGTGGTCGAACACCATTACACCGTGCCCGACGTACAAGTGTGATTGCTCGGTCCATCTTTAGGGAAAAGGCGATCGGATACGCTCAGCAATTGCAACATGTCGGCAGAGCTATGCACCGAACAAAGAAGCGATCACAATGACGGCATCCAGGCGTTCTCGGCACACAGTTCAGCCAGAACGCCTCCTTAGTGAGGCCATGTGATAGTATGGCAACTGGAAGGCGGCGTGGCACTTTGGCGGGGGCTCATCCTACAATGGTTTGATTCCGAAGAAAGCGCGGAATTGCTCGAAGAGCACGAGAGATATTGTCGTGTGCAGTCCTAATCGGCCCCAGCATGCGGTGAAGCTGAGTTGAAGCCCATGACGGCCAGCGCACAGTCAACACACCTTGCCTTGTAGTAAGAGAAGAATGCGTGAGGCTCACCCTTTGTAGAGAGCCAACGGCCCTTCGTTGGCAAGCAGCTTCCTTACGACGCTCAGGCTGCCGAGGTGCTTCCGATCCTTGTCCGCCATGATCCTAGTCTTGATGACGTCTATCGGCTGACTAGCCGCTGAGCATACGAACCCTGATATCGCACTCGACAAAAAGTGCAGCCCGATACCTTCGTCCATGCGGAAGCCAAAGCCTCCATCCTTGAATCCATTTTTGACCTGATCGTAGGTCGCGATCTGCGAGCTGGTTAGTATCGCGGCACGAAAGATCGTCGGATTCACGCCTCGCCACAGAGACTTGATTCCACCAACACAACCAGTCGAGGCGCCTGGAACCGTGGACCGCGAGCCTTCGCGGAAGACTTCTACGAAGCCAATCAAAGTATTCCAGTATGGTGGCCGCCCCGCTGCTCGCGGTGCTTGCATACGGACCTGAAGGAGGAAAGTGGGTTGCACACAGTCAGTTGATTTCAAATAATCCTAGCACACATAAAAGAGGAACCTCTCACCTTGACCAGATCGGTCGGCGTCGCAACAGCTGCCCCAACCGCGCCGCTCAGGACGCCAGCAAAGACTTTGGTAAGGAAAGAGGTTTGAGATATCCCTAGTGTCGCTACAAATTCCTAGCAGCAAGGGGCCCAAAAATGTCAGCATATTTCATGACGGGCCCTTGATATTTGTTTCATTTACTTTTGCCGGTTCATAGCCTCCCATCCGAAGCGTCGAATAGCTTAGCTCTCGCAGGCAACTAGCCGTAACACCAGACCACAGGCTCTTGATCCCTTCTGTGCGCACCATCTCCATGCCTAAGGTCAGAAAATTTGGCTTGACCGCACCCGAACCCCCGCCGGAGCGCAGCAGCAAAAGTTGCTGTCGCGTTTTGAGGACATCAAATGGGTTGGTGCAGCAGGCTGATACGGCGTTCCCCAGGCCAGCTGAGGCGAACGTTGCGGAGACGAATGACGGCGGGCGTGTCGTGTCAGGCGTGCTTGTCGCGACCGCAGCTGTCAGGCGCTCCTCCTCATCGAGGGCAGTCAACGGGGGTTTCTTTCCCATCGATTGGGGTCCCGCTCAACACCTAAGCACTCCTGAGTGGTTTGTAGGATGCAACCTGGATTACCGCGCCTCGCCCTGTCGATGGAAAGGACATTTGCTGTCGCTTACCCTTTGTTGAGAGTGTATTTTGGAATCTATCTGACCAACTATGGAGAATGAAGCCGGATGAGACGGACTCTCCGAGAGTTAAACGCCGGCGGGTGTCCTCCTCTTTTGGCTCATCATCGTTGTGCTTTGCTTCGCTGTCAGCTCTTCTCGCCATTCAACTCAACTCGTGATGGTGGCTTCCTACACTAATCCGCCGCAATTGTAGCAAGGCTAGCGAGGGGCGGGTAACGCTTTGCAAGAGGAAATACAAGGTGGTACGGAGGGCGACGGTGTTGCAGCGATGACTGCCGTGCAAGCGCGGTCCGGCAACGAGCTGCCGGTCACGCTCCCTCTCGAGTTGAGCGCCTCGATCTTCTCAGTACTTCACCCCGGCTCCCAGCCACCGCAAGAGCCGCCACCAATAGAGGAGCAACTGTCACAACTATTTCCAGATGATACCTCTTTATGTTTATCGAACATCCAGGCTGTGCAAGGAAACTTCCGCGCGCAAATTGACCAAGAACAAGCAGAAACGGCCTTGCTCGTCAAGGAGCTGGAGGAGGAGCAGCGGGTAGCGAGGATGTCGAATGTCCAAGAAGGTATTGGGGTAAGTCCGGGGCTCTGGGATTCTCAATTCGCTCTACATCTTACAAAGCAGTTCTCCAGGCTTTACTTGCACAGCTATCGCTGATTCGAGAGAAAGCAAGAGAGTCAGAGACCGTCGTACACAACATTACACGAGACATTCGCAGTCTCGACACTGCCAAGAAGAACGTTGTCCAGAGCATGACCGTACTGAAGCGCCTTCAAATGCTGGGTGTGTTCCAGCTGCATGTAGTGATGTAGCGCTCCTATGACTGATCTCCACTTCGACCGCAGCCAGTGGGACGCAGCAGCTGGCGCGCCTCACGCAGAATCGAAATTATCGCGATGCTGCACATGCGCTGGAAGCCGTCAAGGCTTTGCAAGACTTTTTTAAAGACTACATGAGTATCATGCGAATCGCGGAGCTATGGAAGCAGGTGAACGAGCTTCAGCAAAAGCTTCGAGAGATGGCTATGGGTGACTACGAGAAGCAGTAAGTTTCCGCAGCCAGCTTCTGGCAACGTCAAAACTGACCAGTGGATCCTCTCTGCAAGCCTCTTGCACGACCCCACGAACAATGTTCGCTCGACACCGCTGCCAGATGCGGCTATGCTCATTGACGCAGCCGGCTCAGAAGCGACATCGTCATTGGTTGATTGGTACGCCTCGCTGCAGCTGCGTGAGTACCGCCGCATCTTCCGAGCAACAGACGAGGCAGGCCAGCTTGACAATGTGGCCAGACGCTATGCCTGGTTCAAGAGGGTGCTCAAGTCATACGAAGAGGAGCATGCAGATGCCTTTCTTCCAGCGTGGGATGTCGGACGCGCACTCGTGGCCCGATTCTCTGATGTTACCAAGGACGACCTTAAGAGTGTGCTCGTCAGAGAGCAATCACGGCTGCAAGTTGCTACCCTGTTGGAAGCCTTCACATCAACAATGGACTTTGAGGCTCAACTCTCGAAGAGGTTCAACCGTCCTGTGAGTACACGCATTGCTTCTACTCGACGAGTGGAATGCGAATTGACGATAGAATGCGCTAGTTCAAGGACTTGGCGAACCCAATCGCCCCGACGCCTTCATCCTCTTCAGCTGCTACGATGCCTACAATTTCATCTGTCTTTGACCCCTATCTCGCCATCTATGTGGACGCGCAAGACAAGACTCTCGCCGAAATGATGAGCGCATACCGGCGGGCAGGCCCTATAAATCCACGATCTGGGTCAGGGTCGGAAGGCCACGCGTCTGCGGATCCAGGCGAGCCAGATCAGCACACTGTCTTGCCATCCTCGACAGAGCTGTTCTACTTTTACCGACAGACGCTGGAGCAGTGTGCTCTGTTGAGCAATCGGAAGCCCTTCCGCGACCTTTGCAGCGTCTTCAAAAAGTGGCTTCGCATCTATGCCAATGATGTGCTTCGCCAGAGTCTGATTAGAATGCCTGGTGGAGATAGGACGCGGCTCTCGCAAGATTCACGGCCAAACGCCCATGATGTCCAGAGATGGTGCCTGGTCATCAACACCTCCGACTATTGCGCCACCACGTCGTTGCAGCTGGAGGAGAAGCTCCGTCAAAAGATGCACTCTGACTTCAGGGATGGCTTGACATTGGAGCCAGAGCGAGAGCAGTTTCTTGGTGTCATCTCTTCTGGCGTCATGGTTTTGACGCGCGAGTTGGAAGAGTCCATCGACCGAGCTTTCAACCAGATGCTGCGACCGCCACAAGGCTGGGCAGCGCGAGATGAGACGATAGAAAAATCGTCTTACATTGATGATGTCGCCAGCGCATTGGAGCAGGTCGCAGTCATCGTGCGGCAAGACGTCGAGAACAAGCGATATGTCCGAATGTGGAGCGACAAGGCGGTCGGTGTGGTCACGAGTCGCTTTGGGCTCTGCATCGTCAAGCTCAAGCCGGTCAGCTGCAACGCAGCGCGGCAGCTGCTCGTCGACATTGCCGAAATTAAGACCATGTTGCTGGAACTCCCGCGGTATTCCCCGGAAGCATTAAATGGCGCCATTGCATCGTCCTATGTACGCTACGTCGAAAAGGCTGTCTCCCGGATAGTGCTGCTGCTCGAGGTTTTGGAGACGCCCGAAAGCCCAGCAGAGAGTCTGGTCAACACGTACATTTCGCAGATTGGCGATCGCTCGATGGTACGTGTCCCGATCTTTTTAAAGTCAAGCGAGGCATTGATCCGCAGCTTTTCATCCTGCCAGGCTAACTTCCAAAAAGTATTGGAATTGCGTGGCGTGCGGCGCGTAGATCAGAACGCGCTGATCGACCACTTTGTCAATGCAACTGCTTCTTCGGACGAGCTATCTGACACGTCGTTCCTCACTGCCCTTGGTTCGTCGCAGAGCGAGTGACTTATAGCTCTTTTGCTGACCATTTCTTGCCCTACCACACCTACAGACCTCGAAGCGTCCTTGCAGCCACTGGGCCAGGCACCACAGCCTGACGTGACCCAAGGGCTCGGTACGCCTCCATTGGGTTCGGGTACAGGCAGCAATGGACGCAACAGCCTGCATCTCAACCGGCAGGGAAGCAACTCTCAGTACGACCACTTTAGAGAGTCCTCTGGCCTGCGTAGCCCTACACCGGGCGAAGCTGCGCAGGGAAACCAAGCGGGTGGTGTTGGCGGACGCGCTTTTTCCGACCTCAGGCGCTTTGGCACGCTCTTTGGCGCCGCGCTTGGAAGACGCCGAGGCGAGATGGATGATACCACTTGATGCTTGTAACGCCAATAAGCGCCTAGTTTACATATCTCTGTACGATGCGCACGATATCTTGCTCTGGCAATCGGCCGCGCAGCTTCACCAGCTCTTGGGCCGACAGGCCAGCGCCGTCGAGGCTTTGCATGTCCACATCCATATCCGCCGTAGCTGACTTTGTGCTGGAACGCCCCGTCAGGATTGAAGGTATGCTGAGCTCGCCAGCTGCTTCGAGCACCTTGCCGACGGCAACGACGTGTCGGGGCGTCGCTGCGCGGACCCAGACTATGCCATTGTGCCCGACTGCCGCTTCGAACGGGAACTGAGTCGAGAGCGACGGTAAGAGTGGATGTGATGGTACGAGGAGACTAGTGAAGACAGAAAAAAAGTAAGAGTTTCAGTACCGACATTTCTTCATTTAGTATTGGAGCACATACCTTGATGCCAGCGCCAAGCTGATGTTGTAGATTCTGCAGATACCTTCGTCCCTTTCGTTTACCTTGAGCTCCCCCAAGCCATCGGCTTTCCCCGTTTGAGGGTCAACGCACGTGAGCTCGGGCTCGGAATGGCGATCCGCTTGTATGATCTTGGCATAGATAAGCGTCCCGATCTTTAGATTGGGCTTCGACCGCTTCGTTGCCCCCTCAAAGGACAGCGCGGGCAGCGTACAGTGATGGTAGGACGTCAGGAGTGTGCAGATATACGTTTCCGGATTTCGGTTTGTGATCTGGCACACAACTGAGTCGCCAACTTGAGGAGTATACTGTCAGAATGGGAGAAGAGGTCAGCTGGGGCGTCTATTTTCCGTGCTTGTGCGCAATTGCTCACCCGCCGCGTATCGCTTTCAATCCACCTTCCTTCGACACCCTTGGCTTTGCCTTTGCCCTTGTCCACAGGCCTAACAGCCCCAAGAATGCCCGCCTTTGTGGCTACGAGCTGTGTAGTGGTAGCAGAAGCGCCCCGCGTCGACATGCTCACACCACGCAAGAGCCCTGGCCCTACGCGGACTGCCGAAGATGAGCTTGGTTCACCCGCATTAGATGGTGGGACCGTAGTTACATCCCCGGGAACTACCCTGATCATGGTAGCAAAAAAGGCGTCCAAAATCCGGGCGCGTAACAATAGATCCAGCAGCAGTTTTAACGTATACTATACGAGCGTCAGCGTTGGCTTTTAATGCTTCGACGTGCGTTGCAATTGCATTGCTATCGCATTGCATGTTCTGTGGAAGACAGCTCGTCGCTACTGAGGTTGCTCTTTGTGCGTGCCCGGCGACTTTTTTTTGTTCTCTCGGAGATGTCGGCCTCTTGAAACCCTCGCCCCTTGTCGCGAAGACTTTGATCGAGCCGCTTTATCTTTCTATCAACTCATCAGCTTCGTCTACCTTCGCAGTCATCGTTAGAGCGACGAGGAGAAGAAGCGATAGGGTAGACCGCTCAAACAGCATCGAAGATGTTGTCTCAAACATCGAAGGACATCCTTTCGGGTGAGCCCACTATGCCTGCTCGAAGACCCCTTCCATTGGCTGATGCGAGGTTCCTTGTTCTGCTGATGCCTCGCAGGGATCGTCGCTGCGAACGCACAGGTGCTCGTCGGCCAGCGTAAGCGTAAAAATATTTATCGGTAGGGCTTTGCTTACGTTTCCTCCAATCTTGCGACAGCCTTCGACATAGTGAAGGTGCGGCTACAAACTGCTCCTGATGGCACATACAAGGGTGCATTCCGATAGCTCAAGGCGACCCATACAATGTGGCAACGCTGACATTTTTTTTCGGTCAGGAATGGTCGACTGTGCTACTCGCATCATTTCGAAAGAGGGACCGCTTGCTTTCTACAAGGCAAGCCCCATTCCACATTGTTCGCGGCCGACGAATATGGCTGACGTGTCTTGATCGCTCATATCAGGGAACCTTGACACCCCTACTCGGCGTCGGAGCCTGCGTATCGATCCAATTCGGGGTTATGGAGGAGCTCAAGCGGAAATTTACGGCGTACAACCTCCGCGATAAGACAAACAGCTCTGCCACGCTCACCAGACCTCAGCTGTACACAGCAGGTGCAATTGCCGGCATTGCCAATAGTGTCGTTGCCGGCCCGGTCGAGCACATTAGGATCCGTCTCCAAGCGCAACAGACCAAGGTTTACAACGGACCGTTAGATTGCATCAAGAAGTTTGTACGGAGCGAGAGGCAGTGCCTTGGAGTGACCACCTGCTGATAGCCTTACTCTCACAGAATCGTTAGCCAAGCCGGCTTATCTGGCATCTACCGTGGGCAGGTCCCAACGCTCTTGAGAGAAGGGCAAGGTATGGGTGTCTATGTGAGTCAATTCCCTCTGCTGTACCGGATGCTCACTTCGAGCTAACCCTGCTGGTCGCACAGTTCCTGACTTATGAAGCGCTAGTTCAACAAAGCCTGAAGCGGTCGGGGCTGACGCGCAAAGAGCTGCCGACGACGCATGCGATGCTCTTTGGTGCATCGGCTGGCGTCGCGCTCTGGCTCAGCGCCTACCCGCTCGACATTGTCAAGACTCGCATGCAGACGGACGCACTCAACCCCGCCGAACGCCAGTACAAAGGGCCGCTCGATTGCGCGCGCCAGATCTACCGAAGTGCTGGCGTCGGCGGCTTCTTCCGCGGCCTGACGCCCACGCTGGTCCGTGCGCCGTTTGCCAACGCCGCCACCTTTGTCGCTTTCGAGTGGGCTGCGAGGAACCTTTCGGCTTGGTAGATGGCGGCGGCGCTCACAGGATTCCGACGATAGAGGCCGTAAACCAGCCGTTGATAGAACCCAAGCATGATGCAACGCGTCCGTGTTGCCGCGTACGTTTGCGCCCCAAAGAGAACTTGGTGGAGGTTTCTACGGTACAAGGGCAGAACGTTTACATACGTATTTCCACCGATTTGGGAAACGGCAGCGGAGCATGAGAGAGAACAAAGGTGAGGAGAGTCTGAGAAGCGAGGCAGCAGAGCGTGAGATGGGACCGACCGTCCGTCAGGCCGCCTTGGCGAATCCAACGGCGTTCTTGCCAAGGTCGTAGACGGTGTAATACTTGCGGAGGAAGACGTCTGCGGAAGGGAAAGAGGAAGCGTGTGAGCAAGGTATAGCATAGAGTGAGTTTGCCACCAGACGCACCTCCAACGATCCAGAGTGTGCCTAGGTTGCTAGGCATGTCGAGGCCCATAAATGAACTTAGGCAGGAGCCCTGTACATTGAGGATGTAATCCTCTGGGCCGAGCGGGTACTGCTTTCCGTCAAAGGTGAAGGTGAGGTTCGGAAGGCTCTTGACCTTTTCGCAGTCGATCGTGTACTGGCCGTTCCAAGACTTAGTCGCGCCGATCTCCTTGTTAAGGATCTCTGCGACGTCGGTGGGGAGCGCGATGAGCGAGGTGCCCGTGTCAATGGCCGCACCGGCATTGTCGAGCTCCATGTCCTCGTCGCCGAATGAAACCTTGTCCAGGCTGACCTCCCAGTAGCCTTTGCGGCGGACGGGGGCGTAGGTGATCTTGCCCGTGTAGTGCGATTCGTCAACGCCGCCAAAGACTGCCTCGCCGCCATCCGAATCGGAGCTGCCGAGGTAAAAGGCAAACTGCGGCTGGTCGATCAGCTTCTGGTTGATCATCTGGTAGAACGGTGGCACGATGCCGTTGACAGAGATGGTGTCGTAAGCGAGGCCGAGGATGCCGTCAAACTTTCCAAACGCAAACGCCAGGCCCGGCTCCGATGTCGCCTCGGCAAAGTCTTGCTTCTTGATCCTCAGATCGCCAATTGTCAACGTGTCCGACGACACGTAGCCCTCCATTGCACCTGAGCCGTACTGGATGCTGAAGCTAGACCCGTTTTGCTTGTATGATGACGACGAGTCGTGGTCGTACTTGGTGTGCAGGAAGCAGGCGATGCTCGTGCACTCCTTGCTTGGCACCCACAAGTTTGACGAGCCAGTGTCCAGGATCACCTTGAACAACTGCGGAGGCGTCCCCAGCGAAATGTCCGCAAAGTACTGCGCGTTCATGAAGTCTGCAGGGGCCAGTCGCATGTCAGAGGGGAAAGGGCATGCAGCACCCCGTATCACTTACCTGTCAAAGGCACGCCGTGGCCCTTTTTGGCCTCGGCATACCAAGCAGAGCTCTTGTCATCGACCGGCTGGATCGCAAACTCGTGCTCCTTGCCCGCTACGAAGGGACTCTGGCGAGAGGCCGAGCCGTACTTGAGCTGAAGCATCTTGGCCTGCGCCTGTAGGCCAGCCACAGTGAGAGGGCCGGCTTCAGGGTGCTTGGAGAGTTTGGTCCTGGCAGCAGCAGGCAGTAAAGGGTCATTGAATGGTCCTCGCTGCGCGCAGGGCGAGCACAAGGTGAGTGACTCACTTGAAGACACCCGCTTTGGTGGACGCCTCTGCGCCGGCAGCGGCGACGAGACCAGCAACGAAAGCGAGGGAAAGCTTCATGGTGGACAGATGCGGAGAGGGGGTATGGTGTTCGTCTGAGCCTCTTCTGTCCTTGGAGTGTATACAAAGAGGAAGGAGGATGTATGCTACTGTTGACAACGAGTGGATGGTCTGAGTGATGTTGCGATCAGCTTGTACCCAGCAATCAGCAAGGGCTGCCCGCATCAACGTCAGCTCAGCGCTGGAGCCTGGCTGTGGCAATCTTAGCATTGTGCCCGTAAGTGAGACTCGTGAGGTGCTGCTGACCGGAAAGGGGTAACATTGCACAGGCCAACACCTGCACAGCGACTCATCAAGTTTCAGTCGCCTAGTGCCGGCATGCCGTCACTGACTCAGTCTTTAACCTCGGCCCTACTCTGACGACTGCCGACGCGCCTGTCGATTGGGGAAAGGACGCCACGGCCTCTCATCGCAACCAGACACAGCTATTATGCCTCTTCCAGTTAAGCAGAAGTCTCTTGACCACAGCCCCACTGTCACGAACCCCTCATCACGACTGCGCATTTTAAGAGAATTGAGCGATCTACGGATGACGTTAAGTTGATGACAGCACCATCATCACCCCACCCCATGATCTGTTCGATGTCATTCACAACCGCTGTATGGTGGGAAAGGCAGCGAGCGCAATGCGGCCGGGGAAGCACGGCCCTGTTGTTCACTCTCGTGTCTGACCTCTGCGTCGCGCACGAATCCGTCGTCTTTCGCAACCATTCGTGATTGGCCAGGAAGTTGAGTTTCGCATCGAGGCACTTGGCCATGCGCTTGAGCTTCCTGACCAACCGGACGGCAGCGTTTCCTTTATTTTACTTGGGCATCCGCAGGGAGATCTGTATGAAGCATTGCCTGCTTGTTCTGGACCATCACATAGATCACGCGAAGCGTGGGGTGGCGGGCAGAAGCTGGCCCTTCGCTTTACGGACTTTCACGCCGCATTTATGTGCAGGCGTCCAGAATACCTGTGCGACCAGCTGATACAAAGAGGCCTGTCGGAGGAGTACGCGCGTTGGGCTTGAAGTTCGATGGCACAGAGACGAATAGGGCTCAGACTCGGAAGTCAGGAGAGATGATTCGCGTGTGCTTACAGTAGGGCTACCCGTTGTCCACAATGCTCTATCCTCCTCGCCACAGGAAACACGGGCAGTCGTAGGGCTACAGCACAAGTGGGAGACCGGCTCTGGGTCCGAGTACAGCACGGATCAGACACGGCTTCTTGCCCCCACTGCCATTGCAAGGCTGACGCGCAGACCAATGCGACCCCCCTCAAGCTGCAAGAAGATTGGACGGGTGACAGAAGATGCCGGAAACCGCACGCTCGGCCCCCAAGCCCCCGACAGCCAGAGGGGGGCAAGACATTGTGGAGATTGGAGGGCCGAGCACGTTGGTCTGTAGGAGGGTGTATGTTCGATTCCGAGGAGCGGTGAATTTGTAGCTGCGGGTACAATCAATCGAAATGATAGATCCACATGTATATCTAGATCCAACGGGAACAAGCGGATATACAAGGTGGACCAGAGTCCATGCACTTGTATACAAAGCAAATGAACAACATTTCGCCGAAATTCATGGCACCCTCGTCGCATGAACAAAAAAAAAGCAGCAAAACAAGCCACTTGATTAAAGTGTCGCATTTGTTCAATAATGGAAACGGACGGGAGTGAAAAGCAAGAAAAGGAAAACAGTCTCCAGCGGGACTCGAACCCGCAACCTCCGGATGGAGGAAATTGCCAAAAAGGACAAATCCGTAGAAGTCCGACACGCTAACCAATTGCGTTATGGAGACATGTCTGATATCACAGTCTAGGAAATGAATTCAACCTGCTCAAACTGTGGGCAATTCTATCACCCGAGAACGATTGCTTGCTTTCATGATGGACAACAGGATTACGACACAGCCCCGATACGAGGGTAGGGGGCCTGAGCCAGGACTACCCATGTTCCATCCCCAACCTTCTTTAAGACACCCCTCGGGTCATCGCGTGCCGGCAGCCACAAGTCGATTGATGGGCTTTATTTAGGCGATACTCTGGCCGAACGTGAGGTGCGATTGAAGGGACGGAAGCTGAGAATAGGCTGAGGCCCTTGTGGGCCTGCGGAAACGGGCCGCTGGACTGTGCCATGGATGAGGGGGATGAGTGAGATCACTCGAAGCTTGTCCATGTATGATATGATATCGCATGAAAACGAAGACAGGGCCTACGAACCTTCTTATCCGGTGACTGGTTTTCAACTGGAGCGCTGTGTTCTCTTTCAGTAACGCATTCGATATTTTGATACAGGCGTTTTAAGCACCACGGGTAGACGACAGCCAAAATTCCGAAAAGTGACAATGAAATTGAGAAAGCCAACTAGGTGGAGCAGGGCGCAACCCTACGTGTGTATATTTATTACCTGTGCGATAACATGGATCCTTATTTATGTTTCTTTCTTTTTGCACCGCCTGTTTCACGTAGTGGGTTTCAGGCTCCAGCAGGCAGACGCCGGCAGCCTGCCTCAGCTTCTTCGCAATCTCATATCCTAGTACGTGCACACAGGGAGGTGTCAGGCGGCTTCAGATTGCACCAGAATGGTGCGATCATGCCTCAGCACATCTGTTGCCCCATTGCTTGTGCACTCAACTGCGTCATGTACTGTGAGCGAAAATTACTTTCCTGCTGCTTGTGACTGGGGGCTGCAGCGATATAGGTGCAAGCTTGTGCGAACTGCGAACTGGAGCTGGGGGCGGCCGGCAAACATCAAGCAGAGATGATGCTGGTGCGGGGAGTAGAGAGCCTTGTGCTATGCAGGCGGCATTGCATTTGCCAAGAATTGTTTCCTGTCCTCAGGAGCGTTGTACAGCAAAAAGAAAGAACGGAAACTTGGGTCTGCTGAGCCGGAAAGAGGGTGATTGTCTTGGCGCCCCGCAGCAGCGGAGAGCGCCCGATGGGGGCAGCATGGGTCTCACCCGGGAAAAGAAGGTTCTCCCACAGGCAGTGGCGCGGACCAACAAACAAGGCCACGCACACACGCCGGGTCGGGTCATGGCCCGCACCTCGTGTCACTTGATTTGTCTATTAAACACGCTCGATCATCATCCGCTGCTTACGTACACAGCACTGCGTCTGCACATCGTTTCACGCTTTCGTCGAGAGCTTCTATTTACTTATTTATTAGCTAACCCCCCATTGCCCACTCAACGGATAATTCGAGGGTGTGATCAGACTCTCTCGCAGCGCCGCGTACTATGTGCTACACATCCCGCAACGTCTCCAAGTGCAGCCGCAGCCCGGAGCTTCACACTCACCACCATCCACGTACACACATACCCTACCAAGTAGCCACCAACCGCGCGGCTGTCTCAACGTCTCAGACCAGGTCGCTCTGGAGATCATCGACTCGCTGTGCCTGCACACACACACATTACGCACACGCACACACACCAGGTGAGTTGTGAGGCTTCTGCTTCCTGTTTCGGGCTCTGGCGCAACGGACATGCCGGCCTCGCAATCGGCAGTACTTGCCGCGGCTGCGGCCGGCAAGGCTACGTACGCGCAGAAGAGGCTGACGGCGATCAGGCGCCCAAGGCTTCGGTCGAAGAAGCTCTTTGGAAAGGATCCTTCAGCTGGCGCGAGCGTAGATGCCTCATCGACGACGTGGGCGCGTCGCTGTATGGTGACAGCCTCCGGAGCAGGCGTCTGGCCTGCCACGAAACGAGGTTCTGCGCAGCAACACGAACTAGCAGACTGCTAGCTGGTCGCTAGCTTGGCGATGGTGACGGCGATGCTGGAAGAGCTTGACCGAGCGCGACCTAGCTAGGTGCATGCATGCATGAACACACGTGAATGCACACTCGATTTGCTTGCGAGGAGAATGTGGCGCTGGGGCAATCTTTCTGGTGTATGCTCTTTGCTAACTACTAATCGTCCAAGCAGTGATTGGAGTGCCTGCGCGAAACCACGATTTGCAAGCCTTGGGGCAGAGTTGCCTGTGATAAGGACAACTTCTTGCTGCCAGCTTGCATGAGATGGTGCACCGCCTTTCTTGCGAATGAAACGCGGGCCTGTTCTTCTTCATTGCTACATTGTCGCCGTCGCGAGGTGAGTGGAATGGAGCACGCCCAGCGCTTTGACTGCCACGCAGAATTGTTCACTGATTTCGTCATGAGCTGACCACAGGACATGAACGATATCCTCGTCAACACTGCCGATGCAGCGCTAGCAGTCAGCTCGATGCACGACCCAGGCGAGCTACCGGCGGCCCCCGTCGAGAAGCTTGCAAAAGATATGTCATCTCAGCTCTTCTTGCACAATGCAGCCGTCACCCACTTGCAACAACTGCGGCGTCGCTCGTCTGACTCTGCGATGGAAGACAAGCGCGCGCCGCTCGATCTGCAAAAATGGGCTGCAGAGGCTAGCGCAGCGGGCTCGCCACCCTGGGAGTCGGAACGCAGGACGGCAGAAGAGTTTGGCCGAGCTCCCAGGCTGCGGCGCATGCGCTCCGTCTCGCCTGGTCCAACGAGCAGGCAGTGGCCGAACACGCGCGAATTGCGGGTGCGTCCCCGGAGCATCCATGGGCATCAAGCGCTTCCCGCAAGCGACTCTGTTGACACGCTGCACTCGCCTGCGTCGCCAAAGCAGCCGCTGCTCAACGTCTCCCTTCCGCCTTCACCCTATCCATCTGCGCCATCTACGCTATCGAGGGCATCTGCGCTAAAGATCAAAGCCCGCCCGACGAGCCTACGCACGCAGCGCCCGCAGGACATCGGAGAGCAGCAGCACGTCCGCTTCGAAGCCGCATCGGCGTCAAATGGCGGTGGCGCCCGATCCGAAGACGATTACCCAGTGACCCCGCGCGCGACGATCGCCGCGACTGCTGAACTGGATCGCCCCCCACTACGGCAGAACATGCACCTTCTGCAGGCAACGACATGCTCGCTCGATCGCGGCGGAGGCGATCAGGGTCTTGGCGCCCTAGGCGCATCTGCGGATGTGTCCAATCTCATCTTCAACCTCGACGGCCGCCGAGGGGGCGTAGAGTGCAGCACGTCAGCGGCAGTCGAGGAGGATGTGTTTGGGGGGATGCCACTTAAGAGCGTGATGCGAAGGTCACTCCCGCTTCCCAATGTACCACACATTTCGCAAGCGTCGTTGCTCGAGATAGGGCGGGTCGAGGGGATCACGCCGCCGACTAGCTCCTCATCCATGGGTCAGTCGGACGCATCCCTAGCGCCGCTGCCCGAGCTCAGCACAGTCGTCAGCGCAGGCCTAGAGATGGGCCTGGGCGTGCACCTTGCGACATCGGCGCTACATAACAACCTCCCCGGCGCGTCGGCCGCCGTCAGCAGTCTCGCCGAGCCGCGCTTCGCCCGCCCCGCGACGATCGACTTCAACGCCATCTCCCTGGCAGCCAAGCTGACTGAGCGCGAGATCTGGACCGACGACAATGGACCACGCTCATCCGTCCTCGAGGACCCGACCTCGGTCGCGTTCGAGCACGCCGAGACCCAGCTCTCCAGGCGCCGTACTACGGGCAGCGCGCCTGCGTCCACGACCGGCCGGCGGCCAGTCCCCGAAGTGACTCGCGCAGGTCCTGTTACCCATGATTTCAGCTCATCGCCAAAGGTGAAAAAAGTACCCAACGCCAACCTCACCTTCACGCGCTCCGAGCTCGAAGCCCCTTCGTCGGTCAGCACGCCGTCGATCGACTACTCTGCGTCGACTGGCGAGCGGCACCGAGTGTCGGGCACGAACAGCACGCAGATCGGCACGCCGTCCCTGCACGACCGGGCCATGCTATCGCCTGCCACGAGCCACCACATGAGCTCTGCAGGTGATTTCCTCAGCCATGAGCACAGCAGCAAGGCCCGCGGCGGCCACTTGATCCGTAGCGAACGGCGCGAGAGCAGGCCCATGGCTCACCACCCCGTGCCGCCGCACCACCAGCACGGTGGCCTGATCGGCGTCGGCGGCGGCGGACACTTTGGGCCCGGCGTCCGCGCTAAGGTCCTTGAGGTGCTCGATCAGCTCATTGCTGGCGTTCCGCTCGACGGCGACGACGGCAAGACAGTCACGATCGCCGAGTACGGCAGCCTGCAAGGCCGCTCGCTGCCGCTTATGCAGCCGATCATCTCGCGCTTCTCTGCCAAGGCGCATGCGGGCCGCTGCACCAGATCGCCAGCGGTTCCGGACGGCTTCTTTGGCCCAGACGACATGCACACGCACACCGTCATGGGCGCCGGGCGGCATATGGACTGCGCAGCGTCGCGCGTCAACTTTTCGCTCATCCACGAAGATATTCCGCAGGCCGACTTTCGGCCGCTCATGCAGCAGCTTGACAACACTTCTGAGTCGTATCTCAACCCGATTTGGCAGTCGCACTCGCAGCCGTCACTGCAGAATATGATCTTTTCGTCGTTTGTCGCCAGGCCGTTCGCCTCGCGCATCGCACCGCCGAACAGTATCTACATGGGCCTGAGCCTAATGGACCTGCATTGGTCACACACGCCCCCTAACCCCGCCGTTTCCATGTCCACGACCGCAGACGCAGAGCTCACCGCATTCCTCTCCGCCCGTGCCCACGAGTTCAAGCAGGGCGGCGCGCTGATTCTGGCATACATTGCGCGCTCTGATGATGACGCGCGCCTGCGCACTGCGCAGTCACTCAGAAGCCTCTCAGCCGCCGCAGTCAGCGAGGCGCCACTGCCCAGCAAGCGGCGCAGCGACCTCTGGACGATGCTGACCAACATGCTTGCACCATGCATCCAGCGCCTCGTCTCGTGCGGTATGCTCAAGTCAGATGTCGCCCGCCACATGCTCAGCCTGCCGCTCCATCCGCGCACGGCCAAGCAGACCATCGCGGTGCTCAAGTCGGTGCAACATCAATGGGACGTCGAGTGGAGCTGCGGCTTGGGCCAGCACGGTTCGCGGGCGGTCAACGCTCGCCTCAGCGAGCCCGACCCGGTCCGCATCGCTCATCCAGCCTGGAAAGCGCTCGAAGCCGGCACGTTGTCGCACGTCGCATTTGCCGAGCACATGATCCAGCTGTTCAAGAACCTGTACGAGTCGCACTTTCGTGCGCTCCTGCGCGAAAAGGGCAAGCTCAGCAAAGGCGCCGTTGAATTTGTGCTCGACTCGCTCTGGGACGTCCTCCACTCGCGCATCGGCGACGAAAATTCTAACCTCGTCGACGGCGTCGAGCTCGAAGTCTGTATCTGCGCGCTGAGGAGGCTGTAGGGCCAGCTACAGAAAGGCGGGGGGATCTGATAAAGGGACCAAATACAGTATGGAACGACTGCCTTGCACGGCGAGGCTACCGCTCGACGGGCGCTTGTCTCCCCCGTCGACGAAACATATCTTGCGCTACCTTTTTTGTTGGTAGGGGAGGGCTGCGCGAACCGGGCTTTCTCCCTGTTCGTGTTTGTTTGCATCTCGGCTTTTCGGCAAAGGCAAACGCACCCCCCGTTTTGGCACTCACACTTTGAACATAATGAAAACACGAATACGCTGTACTGGTAATGCAACGTTGTACTATAGACGCATACCGCACTCAGGCCATGTTGCCGCAACGCTGTGTAGTAGACCTACCATCACGCGCAGGATTGGGGCGTCAAACGTCCGTCGATGGTACGGATCCCACTCAGCGCATATTATTCAGATTTCCAGACGAAGTCGACGTCAGCTTGTGTGTGTTCGTAGACCCATCACGGCGTCCATCCCAGGGTTGGGGGCCATCGCGATGCTATAGAAGGGAGCGCGCTATGATGAAGGCATTGGAGGGCTGTGGTCTGCGGTGGCACTGGCCCTGGCCGGCGTGGTTGACCTTGAGACGCGCGCGCTATTCCCCGAGTTGGCGTAGCGCCACCCTGTTTGAGTCAGTGCTAGCTGCTGGCGGAAATTACACTGCCGCAGTGCCTACTGTAATCATGCAGGTGCCCATCGCGGCAGTCCCAGCAACAAGTCTTCTTCTTCTTGGCCCCCCCGTCAAAGGATAGCAATCATCGTGCTCTTGCCATGTTCGTACTCGTTGCATACAGCGACGGGTCTGATCCGCGCACATAAGAGCCGAAGCGAGCGAAGTGATCCATCCAGCCCCGTCGTACGCTTTGCACTCGGCGCTGCAGCCAGGCGACCCTTGTCCAGTGCTCACCCGCGCTTCCCTCGCGCGTCAACACGAGCTCACACACTCACGCAGCGTCTGCTACAACAGCAACTGCGAACGAGGCGCCTGTGACGAGCTAACCTCCAACTCCGTGCTCGAGAGAGAGCGACTTTGCAAACGCCCTTTGTGTGACGAACATTCGCCATGGCGACGCCGCAAGAGCAGAGTCGCCAGCACGTAGGAAAGGCGCTACAGCAGATCCGCAACAAGCAGCCTGCGCCGGAGATCGACTTTACGATCCACGTTACAGAAGATGGGACGCAGGTGTCGACGCAGGAGCGAGTCATCAAGGATGTGCAGGCTCCGGCGTTTTTGAAGCCCACAGACGAGCAGTTCTTCTCGTCCAAGGACCCCACCAAGCCAGACATTGCCTTCCTCAAGAACCACTTTTACAGAGAAGGAAGGCTGACGGATGAGCAGGCCTTGTTCATCATCCGGCGAGCAACAGAGATTCTTAGGACAGAGCCTAACTTGCTGGAAGTCGATGCGCCTATTACTGGTGAGTGCGCAGCCTAGCCGTTGGACCGATTGACCCTTCTGCTGACAATTGAGGCGTCCGCAGTGTGCGGCGACATTCATGGGCAATATGTGAGTCGCTTGTGAGCAGTTGCGTGCTAGCGTTCGCTAATCTCATCCACCTCTTGCAGTACGATCTAATGAAGCTGTTCGAGGTCGGTGGCAACCCTGCGGAAACTCGGTATCTCTTCCTTGGTGACTATGTCGACAGAGGGTACTTTTCCATCGAGGTGAGTTACGGCAACGTTTCTCGCCCGCTTCCCCACGGCATGCGCTGGATATGTTCTTACTCCGGATACGTCTCTCTCAGTGTGTACTGTACTTGTGGGCGCTCAAGATCTGGTACCCGGATACCCTTTTCCTCCTCCGAGGCAACCACGAGTGCCGGCATTTGACAGATTACTTTACATTCAAGCTGGAGTGTGAGTGGGCCAGAGGACTTTCCACGCCGGCAAATCGCTGACTGCTTGTTCATTTTCTCTACAGGCAAGCACAAATACTCGGAGCATATCTACGACGAATGCATGGAGTCGTTCTGCACATTGCCCCTCGGCGCGGTCATGAACAAGCAGTTCCTCTGCATCCATGGCGGCCTGTCACCAGAGCTGCAGACGCTAGATGACCTTCGGAGTGTGAGTCTCGTAATACAGCAGCCGGACGCTACGCCGCCTAACGCTTACCTTTATCGTTTGTGATGGCCCAGATCAACCGCTTCAGGGAGCCGCCGACACACGGGCTGATGTGTGACCTGCTATGGGCGGACCCGTTCGAGGACTTTGGTACCGAGAAGACCAATGACAGCTTCATCCACAACCACGTCCGAGGTTGCTCTTACTTTTTCACGTGAGTTAGCACGAGCAATCCCTCGAACCTGCCGGCCAACGCTAACTGCACCGCTCGGCATTTTGTAGCTACACCGCCGCGTGTCAGTTCCTCGAACGAAATAATCTCCTCTCGATCATTCGGGCGCACGAAGCGCAAGACGCCGGGTGAGTAACAGGCTGCCCTGGTGGGGACAAGAAGAAAGCTGATCATATGTCTTATCTGGTGCGCCCAGTTACCGCATGTACCGCAAGACCAAGACGACCGGATTCCCATCAGTAATGACCATCTTCTCGGCTCCCAACTATCTCGACGTGTACAACAACAAGGCGGCCGTGCTCAAGTACGAGAACAATGTGATGAACATCCGACAGTTCAACTGCACGCCCCACCCCTACTGGCTGCCCAACTTTATGGACGTCTTCACCTGGAGTCTTCCCTTTGTCGGTGAAAAGATCACAGACATGCTCATCGCCATCCTCAACATCTGCAGCAAGGAGGAGCTGGAGGAGGATGAGGAGGAGGATGAGGAAGAGGATGAGGATGAGGAGGAGACGTCGATCATCGACGAGAACGGCGAGAGAAAGGTGGTGGTCAAGAACAAGATTCTCGCCGTCGGCAGAATGTCTCGCGTCTTTGCTTTGCTCCGGTGCGTGTCCTTCCGATGAATCGTCCGCTGTCGCCCTGCTCTCGCTAACACGGACGGCCGATGTGCTTCCTTGCGCCTTTTATGAACAGAGAGGAAGCCGAGAGAGTATCCGAGCTCAAATCTGCGTCCGGAGAGAACAAGCTTCCGTACGGCTCGCTTGTGCTCGGCTCGGAGGACATTAAGGACAACATCCACAATTTCGACGAAGCTCGCAAGGTCGACATTGAGAATGAAAGGGTAAGCGGCCGTCACGTGGAGCGTGACATTCCAGGATCGTACGCGTCTAACAGCTGTGCCCTTTCTTTTTATCATAGCTTCCCCCTGATCTCATCGACGCCGACGAGCAAGGTCCCGCCTCGCCAGCGCAGGGTGCAGAGATCTCGCCGCGTCCAGACGACTATGCCGATTCTACACCGAGCAGCCCGACACCGTCGCCGATCGCGCCTTCTTCCCCCGGCTCGTCGGCGAGCCATCGTCGTGGGCATTCGAGGACGTCGAGTCTGGGCACCACCATGTCTAGCCCTTCTAACAGGCGGAGATCGTTAGAGTCTACGATCTCGATGATCGTGAGTTTGCGTGCGCCCCATGCCTTGCGCAGATCGCGCACTCATCGGAGATGCTAACGCGCGCATTGCCCTTTTGTGCCTTATAGAGAGAAGCGATGCAAGGGGAAGAAGGCCAAGGCGATGCGGTGAGTGGTGGTCTCCCACTGTGATATTTAGCCCTCAACCCAGGTATTGATGCTTCGCTCTGCTTCTTGTTTCCAGTCGCTCGAGAAGATCGCCAAGGACATTACGACGCCCAGCTCACCGCGTTCACGCAGGTCGGGCGACAGTAAGTAGTTGCAGCAGCAGCAGCATCGCGTCGAGCGCGGACGACGGCGAAGGTGAAGATGTTGCGGTCGGTAAACGAGGGACACGCAAGCTGGCATTGGTCCTGTGTAGCATTATTCATTCACGACGAGCATGCTCTTCCCTATCTGCCCCTCTCCGTCAAGGATGTGCCCTGGTTCGCACCTTTGGTGCTTCATTGAGGGTTGATACACATAGATGATTCCCGCTCGTGACTTACCAGCCAGCTCTCGAACAGGCCGGTACCAGCAGATACAGTCAAATGTTGCATCTAGACCTCGCACGAGCTCAAGTCGAGTTTGAGTAGACCACACTGGGGAGTGCATTTTCTTGGGCACTA